AAATCTTGCGGACATCCGTCAATCGTCCAGAGTTGCTCATTCAAACAGCTTGGATCCCACAAGGCGCGCATAAGAAGGCAACGGCCTTGCGTTTCCTGTTTGACAATGGTCCTTGTCAGCCCATTTTACGACCGTCACGAATCCCAAAGACATTGGTATTCTTTGACTCGAAGAATGATGCATATACTGCCATGGAAAATTGTCGGTATTGGCTGCAGCATAACAAGCAACCAGATGGGGCAAGTGTTCAACATTGCAACTATACCCTCAAAGAGGCAATGGATACGGTGAAGGTCTACCATAGCGACACCGCAAAGGGAGACAAGGAAGCAATGATCAAAGAGCTTCAGAAACCCGGACCGCAATCCAAGCTTCGTGTCCTCATGACCACCGAGGCACTAGCGCTCGGAGTGGACCTCCAGGATATTGATCAAGTTGTCATGTATCGGTTCCCCAAAAACCTACAACCAGCAACGCTCTGGCAACGCGGTGGTCGGGCATCTCGCCTTGGACAGGATGGAAAGATCGTTATTCTCGTTGATCAGTGGATACAGGGGCGTATCAAGAAACGTGCCGTGAAACGCAAGATTCATACAGAAAATGATGATCTAGCGGAAGACAACCCACTGGCCGATTCAGATGATGAAGTCAAAGAAGCAAACCCTGAGAGACCACAGAAAGGTGGACGCTTAAGTCATGAAGAGCGACGTGCTGTGTTGCCTGAATTTTGGTATCTCCTTGCCAATGAGCCTACAGAATGCCTCCGGAAACGGTTCCTGGACTACTTCAATGAACCTGAAGAGTTCAGATGTAATCCTCGGCGTGACCGGTGCTGCAGCAACTGCAATCCTGAGTATCAGCTCAATGATCCAACTCGTTATCTGTATACTGAGCACGGTCCGAGGTCAGGACAGATGGACGAGATAATCATCAACCAGTTAAAATATTGGTCCAAGGAGGTCCTTTCAAGCGCTTTGAACGGAGTGAAGTTCATACCTGATTGCTCAAGCATACTGGCAGAAGAACAATATGTCCATCTTGCGATATATATTGAAAATGCCACCTATTCGGAGCGGGAATATTTCCAGGCAAAGGATCTTCAGACAATATTGGGAATATGGGCTTTGTCGAATCAGCTTGCTGAGGGTCTTGTGGATGTCTTGAAGAATGCATATCAAGCAGCCTTTATGGCCACTATTCAAACCCCTGCAAAGAGGAAGCGTGTGTCGAATGACTCTAGTCAAATGAGTGAATGCAGCAACCTCACATGGTCTTCTGCAGTCACGCCAGAAAGCACCAGTCAACCAACTCCATCTCGGAATATCTCTCCGTGGGTTGATATTAACACGCCATCCCAAGCTTTTATGGACATGCCTCCTCCTTCGGCAACTCCAGTTCCCAAACGCAAGGCCCTCGGTGTGGTATCAGGAAATGGGCGTCGCGTGATGAAGGGTGGAGAAGACCTAGGTTCTAAGGTCTGGTAGAGAATGATGAACAATCCATCTGATGCATTCCATCAATGTGTGTCAGTCACCTTATAATATAGCGTGGGAGTATTATCAATGGAATGAAGAGAAGTATAGCTAAAGCTGTCCCGGCAGCAACCTGCTATTCAGTGTCATGTGTCATTCTCTTCAATCTCATCTAGAACAGCAATAGGAGTCGATGTCATCTTGCTAAAATCAACTTCTTGTGCCCACTGTCCGTTGACGACGAGGCTATTGAAGTTCTGTACGGCTTTGAAGAGCTTTTCGCCAATTGTTTCTGTGAGTATATCACATGGTTGAAAGCCTCTTGTCCGACCATTTGGTTGCTTTTGGATGCACTTCGAGATCTGATAAGCTAGATGACGAACATCCTGGCTAGCATCCTTATTTTGGTGTCGCCCATTGCTATATTCTCCAAAGGTAGCCTCCAGAAGCTCCTTTAGATCAGTACAGTAGCTGGCTGTGAGAGCAGTTCGACGGAACATGGTAGTGATGTCCAGATTTGAGGTCCGTCGAGTCGACATGAGTGTCTTCATATGAAGATTGAAGAACTCATTCAGTCGATCAATTTCGAACCAACCGTCCTCCGCACCCCGTAGATTCACAAGTCCGTTGGCAAGAATGGCAGTCTGCAGCTCGGGATCAGCTGCTTTGGTTTGAGTGAGCCATGTCATATACAAGGAGAGGAAAGAATATCGGGTTTTCTTTGTGCCAGGGAAGAGGAGACAACATTGTGCAAAGATCCGCTGGATAATTCCAATGTCACCAAGTTTGATGGCAAGCTTCAAGGACTTGTAAGTCTCCATCTGCTGAAGGAATTTCGCATGTGCTGAGAACTCATAGTCGACTGGTTCTCCTTCTCGTTCACGAACCTTAGACTGCTGCTCTTTAAAATGGAACAGAGACTGGCGTATCTGATCCACAACGTCCAGGAATTGACCCCTTCCGAGGCTTTGAATCCAATCATCCACATCTTTAGCATCCGCGAAATTGACTGTTAATGGGACAAACTGATAGAACATGGCCGTGACGCGAGCGTCAAATGAGCGAGTAGCCACCTCTTCTTTATGGTGGAATGGACTTTTGTGTCCCTGTACGCAACCGAGACAGACCTTATTATGATGGATCGTCGATTCAACGGTAGGGTGGTCTGTCCCAGCATAGAGCTCAAAGATCATATCCAAGTAGTTCATACGCCAGTGGAACAGTCCGGGGATTGGCAATATCCAGCTGAAACGATCGAAAAGACGAGAAGCCTCCGCACGTTCTTTTTTGACGGCACGAAGGAGTGACACTGTTTTCTGATCTCCATAAACCAGTTGTAAAAGCCCATCAAGGTCTGTATCATCATCATCCCCCAGTTGCTCCAGAAAGACATTCTGAATGACCTTGTATGTCCCCTCTGTCGTGCCTTCGTTGTATAACATTGGCCCAAGGCTGTAGTGAATTGTCTTCTGCGCTTGCAGTCGTTTAACTGCTGGGAATTCAGGCCAGTCAATAAGATGGGCTCGCGGTTTCATCTGGCCTGGTTTGACGCACGCTTCCGCAGTAAATAGTTTCTCTACTGCCTCCCGATGAGTATAGCGAATGGCCTCTGCAATCCAATGGCGCTGACATTGATGGAAGATCTCATCATCCTGATTGCCTGGTGCCATGTAGATATCATGAGGACTCAGTGTAACCTCTGGATGGAACATAGATCGGAGAAGCCCTCCTGCAGGGATGGACTGACCGATACAAAGCTTGCCAGTGGTGGCGGAGATATGCTCTGATGGATCACGAATAGTTTGATGTCGAACAGTCTGGCTGTAGTCAAAGTTATCCCATGCCACAATGAGATTCCTGCGAGAAGCCTGGGCATTCTGTTTCAATTGTTTCTGTACACATCTTGGGGTAAGAAGTCAGCCAGAACATGTTATTCTCCGGTAAATGCGGTTATAGTACCTGTCCTAGTTCTGCAAGTTCCTTCCGTCTGTCCATGATAGTCTGGTATGCTGAGTTTATCCCCAGGCCAGCCAGAAAGCTAATCACACGTCGCTTGACACCCATTGCATGTAAATACAAGCCGATCAACATCGGGAAGTTGTTGCTTTTCCGTGGTGCAAAAGCGCAAGCCAGAATTGAACAGACCATCACAATGCTGCCCTGGTGGATCTTGGGTGTATCGCGATGGTTTCCTGGAGGTGTCATGATGCTAACGAGCAGTCCACAGAGCTCTGGAGCTTTCCTCTGCATCTGCGTAGCCAAGCTAGAGATGTCCATATCTTTAGGGTCCACATTGGACTGGAACTCGCCGAGTATATCTCCGTTAATCAGCCCTCGAATCTCGGTCTGTATCCGAGACACGAGATCGGATGCACCAGTGGCATATATGTCTTTTGAGACACTACCTAGCCGCTCAATAATTTCAGGTTGCCCATATATAGCGTCAGACAATTTCTGTGCTCGATACGATGTCGAATATCCATTTTTTTTGACTGGTTGTGCATGCACCATGTGGTAAAGAAGATCCTTGATTGTCCACCGGTGCTTATCATTAAGCTCAGCCAGTACCATATCGACACGTTCGCGTGGCTGCAATCCTGAGATATAACGAGATCGCTGAGTAGACGCAGGTGGTTCTTGTAATGGTGAACTGGAAGAAGGCCACTCGAGGGAGGATTGTCGAGCACGCTTTCGCGATCTAGAGATCATATTGGGCAAATCCGGTGATGCCATTCTTTCTAACAATGTCAGAAATACTCTCAGAGAGCTTGAGAAAACACACCTTGACCAAATGGTGGGGTTGCTGGCGAGAACCGGAAACTTGTATGTACGGAAGGGGTTCCCGGCTCAGACCACGGGCTGATGAAGCAACCCAATCGGGTTAGCGTGGCAGAATCGGCAGAATTCTGTCTCATCATTGGCTGTGGTCTGAGGGAACTGAGGTAAGGTTAACCAGCCCATAGGTTTGCTGACTAAGACTCGACCCTATCCAGGGGTCGGGTTTTGGGCAGGTTTCGCGAGGTCTACTCATAATAATAAAACAGACGTAGAAGTGAGCATTCTCAACTAATTTGAGCCTCGCAAGAACCAGCTTCTTTTAGTTAGATCTGATGCGGCTCAATACGAATTGTAAGATTATGATGAGCGATAACATATCGCTCGTTATTTTCAAAAGGGCAGGATCGCTGAACGAACAGCCCCAAAATGTGGAGCCGGAGGCCTGCCTGCATGAGGAACACGAACGTTGCCGCGTCTTGGCCTTATGCCCCTGCCAAGATTTGAGGCACTGAGCCCTATTATTGGCGACAAATGTATGGATTGGATCTCGCCAAGAATGGCTTGTCATACCAATGAATCGGGTGAAGTCCACTAAAGAAATATTCTCAGCCGTTTGAAGACGTCGATCACTCATGGGAAGGAATATGACTGTAAGCTTCAAAAGATAAGTAGAAACCCGGGGAGCCGCAACATGATTTCTCGAGGAAAATACAGATCACTAGCGGCTCTCACTTCATCTTCGCATTCACGATGGTGAATATCCGGCGATTCTGGCTGTCTTCCAGCTTGGTCCTGTCCCTTCTCGCTCAGCAAGGCTGGTCTATGGTTTTTGAAGATACAGACGCCCCTGATGCCGTCAAGTCCCTTTTCGAAAGAGAAGACCAATCGAACGAAGATGCTGCCTTTTCGGTTTTTGATCGACTGAGCAAAGACTCTTACTATTGGAGCGGTATTGTTTCCCCTGGATAGAGCATGTTCCTCGAGTCATGGCAAGATAACTAACATTGCATAATAGGTTCCCAGAATGGTCATAAGACGCTGGCGAACCTCACAGTCGACGTCGGCGACGACGAAGCAAACATCGTCTCCATGGAGAAGTTTCGACACCTGCTGAAATCCGTTAACTGTACCGACAATGGCATGGTCGTGGAGTTTGATGACACTCGTGCGTTCGGTTACACCCAGCGCGGATGGCAGTGGGTCAATGATGACGATGATCGTAAATTGATCCTTGTGACCGGTAAAAAGCACTGTGGCTGGAACACTCACAGGTTGCCGTTTGTCGTCTCATCAATTGTGTTCGACAAGCCATCACTGAAGGCGAAGCTGAGTGGCGTGGCATCGGAATGGAAACAACTTTTCCGTAACTACGAGGTCACGGTGGGCAATGTTCCGGAATCATCCACAAGCAGGCGAGACTGGGATTCGGATGCTTCCCTAAGCTTCAACCATAAAATACCCCTCAGCAAGTCGATACCTATTCCCGGCAAGGGTATCTCCGTGGACATTTCATGTGAGGGGTGTGAAACAAAAGGATCGTTCGATTTTGGTGTCCACATCAAGACAAGCTATGGCGTACCCGAGTCCGCCTCTTTAACACTCTCGCCCAATGGCGTCTCTGCAAGCTTCACGCCACGCCTAGGACTGAGTGGGAACATGACCGATGAGATCTCCGACGAGTACGAGCTCATAAAGATCCCTATCGACGGTATCTCAATTCCAGGAGGTGTTCTTGACCTTGGCCCTGAAATTGTCTTCAGTTTTGGATATCAAATTGGTCCTGTCCAAGGTTCCGCAGGCATTTCATCCGGAGTGACTCTCAGTCTAGAGGACTCTGCAGAACTCGAAATTGATTTTTTGTCTCCGGACGTGTCCGCTGGCGGGTGGACTCCGCAAGTTGAGACTCAGCCGATGAAGATCGATGCTAAGATCGAGGCTGGGGCTGAGATTTACACCAAAGCTGAGGTTCAATTTTCTGCGTCAGTTCTTGGTATGTATGACCGTGTCAGGATGTATTCAGTGTACTAACATCATCTAGACCAGGGCTATGAAGCCGGTGTCAATCTGAGACCCTATCTTGGAGCCAATATAGAAGTCTCTACCGGTAAGTCAATTTCTCCACATGTGTCCAATGTACTAATGTCAGCTAGACAAGGGCTTGGGAGTCGATGTCAATCTGGGAGCCGATCTCGGTGCTCATATCGCGGCTGGCGGTAAGTTAGTCTTCAATAATGAGTTTGAGCATTCCCTGACGAAGTTTAGGCTCTAAGGCTTGCCTCACCCCGAAGGCTGGAGTCAGCCTTAACGTGGATATTGCGCAGGCTGATACACCTGAAGACCCCATGGTGGAGAAGACAGTTGCGGTATGTCCATCAAACCTCTGAATAGATCCCTGAAACCACCACTGACTTCTGTACAGGAGGTCACAGCGCCAATGTCACCGTCTTGTTTCAATTTCGGTCCGACCGGTTCCATACGGTTAGGTGCCGGCAAAAATAAGCCAACTTCAACCAGCAAGGCTTCTATTTCCTCGATCAAATATACACCCACTCCTTCAACTACAAGAGTCACCTTGTCAGACCCCACCACCACCTCATCTTGGACATCGCAACCGTCGTCTGCTACCCCGACCCCGTCTCACCGCAGACACAGCCGCCGACAGCATCATGGCATGCGAGGACACTGAATACAAAGACTCTTCGTATAGTAACTACTGCCTCAAGCGCAGTACGTGATTGAAAATGCGGCAAGTTGTATTCAACAAGAAGCACATACGTACCGACTAAACTTCGGTTCTTTTTTCTTATATCTCCTCTTCGATGAACAGCTTACATTCACTTCGAACTCATTAATTACCTTTTTTTTCTTTTTTTCCCCCTTTTTTTCTTTCTTTCTTTCTTTCTCTCTGTCTCATTCAAACATATATACAAATTTACAATTATTAGCATTTCATTCACCGAAGTATATTCTGTGTTTCCTTCTTGCTCGTGAACTATGTTTGTTATTAGGGGGTTATGTGTATAATTAGAAGAGTCGGTTAACTACCTGTTCTGAGTATGTAAAATAAGTTTGTAAAACGGATCATTCAGCTATAGCGGAGGCTATCGCTAGCCGCGTTGCATAGCACAGTATATCTTTTATATTCCCACTTGGGGACACTCCAAAACATGATTGCAAAAACCTAACTTAAGCAAAGCTCACTACTTGCTCCAACCCGGACTCCTGTATCAAATATGCCAACTCACTTACATATTTTCTGGAATGTATTGTTCAGAGAAAGAATACACTCTTTAAGACTGAGCTATGATGTACAAATTTACCAAGATCTTGACTTTCCCGCAAGCTGAGGAGCTTCCCATCAAAGGCCATAATCCTCCTCGTTGATTTATCTGGTGCCCATCCGTCACCAGAACTCATATAGCGCTCCTCGTCTGCTTCAGGATCTGAAGCGCTTTCTTGCAAATGCTGACCCTCCATCAAATTTGCAATTATCTGAAACGAGTAAGACGCCCTATCATGAATTCTAAACGGCAAAATCTCTCCCTTATGATTCACAGCCAAGTGCAACACCCATCCTTCCTCACCGGCCTTGCGATCTGCGACAAGAAGCATCGGATTCTGTGGCGTATTCAGAGAAGCCAGCTCGGCCTCTGCCTCACTGTGAGAGTGATGTCGCCAGGGCGGATCTCGCTCATCATCAAATGAATCGGATAAGGCGTTAACGCTGTGATTAGATACGATGGCATAGAGCCTGTTGTTCCGTGGGCGATTCCATCGACGAAATCCGGGTTTTCGTAGTCATTAGGACTAGTGTCAGAACTGGGACCGAATTCCTATTGGTTGTCAAAGATGAGTTCTTCCTGCAGGACCTCATTTGATTGATTGTCGTCACCTTCTTGCATCACAGTGACAAACAGCCGCTTATATGCGGCGTCATCGGGCCTGCTCCTTCAATCCTGGTGTCTCCTATTCCTCGATGTTTCAGTATCCACAAAAATCAAATAAGAGAGAAATATGGATTACATTGCGGCCATATCTGCCAAGTCGAGTCCAAGATTCCTCAAGTTCGCGTTTCTGTTACTATCGGGACAGGACGGAATTGGGATCCCAGAGAGCCTACAGACAATGGGTCAGAAGTTTTCAACCCTTGTTGCTCGCCACTGCTATTCATACGACGACACAGTAATCGAATTGCAGAAATCCAAATGGCACTTCGTCAGGATCTGCCATTATGCAATAATATCAATACTGTTGGGTTTGTTGAATTTGGAAAGATGCATCAAGCCGAGGACTTGGCGCCTGGCTGTGTCGTAATTGCTATATAATTACTTCGTGTCAGTTTCCGAATAACGAGTTCCGGGAGCTCAGTATACAGTGCAAGATATAGATAGATGATGCTATTTAGTACCTATTGCCTCCCTTCCCTGACATGTATTTTAGTACTCAAAGTCGTGCTCAGTTCCACGCAAGTGACGGCCAGAGGAGCGCTTGAGTAGAAGAAGAGAGGGTTCGACGGCTAGGCATTATCCAATACATACGTGATCCGGGCTTCTTGCCAGTGCCAAAACAAGGACAAATACATTCGTATCTCTTCTACAAGGTTGTGAGCCGAAAAAAAGGAACCGAAATATAGAAAAGAGAAATAGCAAGGCTGACACCTGAAAGGGAAAAAAGGAAGGGTATTTATTGTAGAGATAATCACACATATCGAAGATCAATGTTCAAGATACCTTCAAGACCTCACTGCGTTGCCCGGGACTCTTCCGGGGATGGATTTCCATTATTTGCTTTGTTCCAAGCGTCATCAAAAGCAGAATCGGCCAAGGGCTCATTCAAGCTCGGCTCCTCAGGCTCGTCCTTAGGTAACTCCTTAAGTTCATCATCCACAGCCTCAGGCTCGGTCTCATGACCAACAAGCACCTGCGAAAAGGAAGCTGACAAAGGTTCGGAATCAACCAGATCCGTGTCCCTGGCAGGCGCCGCCGTCTTTTCCTTAGCACCGAGGAGCTCGAGATCAAAGTTCGAGCTGTAGACCACGGCAGAGAAGGCTTCGAGCTCACGCACATTCTGGTCCATAGCGACCAGATACTCGTTCGGTGCATGAGAGCCGTTGCCAATCACGTGTGCTTGGCGGGCCATGACTGCCAGGAGGTTGGCAAGCTTTGTCTTCCGTTCGGCGTTGGCAGCCAAGGGCACAACTGTGGCGATGGAGTCGAACGACTGGGGAGCAGTCTCAGTGGCAGCGGTAGGCGCCTTGAAGGCATCGTTGGCACATCTTTGATCAATCAAAGTAGAGAACCCTTCGTTGTTGAGAAGGGTCAGGACGTAAGAGAAGGAAGGCGAGTCAATCAAGTCGGCGGTCTCATCCAGCAAGTGCCGCAGCTTCGATGCTGTCTGGGATGAGGATGGATCTGCCACGCCTTCAACACCTGACTCGCGCAGCACATGCTCCTCTTCTTCTGCTGGAGGTAGCAGACAGGACAACCACTTCTGGGACCTCCGCTCATCCTCTGTGCTACCCTCTACCTTCTTTCTGATCTGCAAGGTCAGCTCGGAGAGCTTGGCCAGGCTGATGTCTTCGCGCGGGTTTAGTGGTCCGAATACCTCTTCCACGGCAGTTTGGACGGTTCCCATTAAGTCTTTCCATCCGCGGTGAAGCAACCACCAACTGAAGGCGAGGTAACGACGATTAGTCTCAAAGTCGTCGCCCAATGTTTGCGTGAGTTCATCATCGTGGTCTTCCAGGCTGATGGTTGAGGCGTTGACAGGCGGTGTAGCAAGAGAGATAACACTGGAGAGGTAGTTCCGGCGGCCGAGGAGGTTGAGTTGGATGCGGGTGAAGATGGTGAGCAAGGAGAGCGTATAGATCAAAGTAAAAGACCGAGTAATAGCTACAAACAGTTAGCCTTTGATGTACCCAGGCACATGGCCAAGACCTCACGAATCAAAACTCACAGCTAATTTTAACCTCATTCCACAGCTGAGTCTTGTTCCGTTTAGGTCGGGGTTGTCCCTCCGAGTCTACAGGAGACTCCCCAACCTGGCTGGTATGCACAAAACTCTCACTCTGGAAGCTCCGATCATCATCCGGTAGACTAGGCGACACCGAGCTCAAATCCGAGCCCGTCGCCTCCCCAGCATTCAACCGAGCCAATCTCTCTGCCCGCTTCTTCTGCAACTCCTTGGTTAATTCTTCAACTGGGAGAGCCTCGACAATGTTCTCGGTAGCAGTTGGCAATAAGGCCAAAACAGTGTAGGTACAATCGGTCTGGTTTTGCTCGAATCGTCGGCGCAGGCTATGACATCGTTAGTGATTCCAATCCTGGTGGATCTGATCGGTGTAAACCAGTCCCAAGCTCGCGTGCTTGCTAGCGAGGTGACAGGCCATCACCGAGAACAAGGGGCACTGACTTTTCGCGAGCAATCCGGTCGCTGCTCATACGTTCCCGAGCTTCGGATATCTTGGACAGAACATACTGTCCGGCCAAGTAGCCAGCTCCAATCACCCCAGCCCCGATCGCGAGACCCTTGCGATTGCGCTGGAACCAGCGCTTCGTCGCCCCGATCATTTTGGTCGTGTGTGTTTCTTCTCTCGGGGATATCAAAGGCGATGGAAAGATTCAAATCATGGTGTAGGTAAGGGCGATGGATTCTGGGGTCGGGAGATGGAGACAGGCTTTGGGCGGTGATCACCCTCGGCCTCGGCTAGACAGGTCAACGTGAACGGGAGAACGTACACGCCCCACAAGCAGGAACGAAAAGTAGTATTGAAGATGAAACTTGAAACAGAGTCGATTTCATTCATTTTCATCTGAAACTGCCCAGTTTGATCCAGCCACAGTCACGTTCTAGAGCTCCCCCGGATTCGGCGCGGCCATCCCGCAACAACCCGCTGATCCCTGCTTGGACCCTGCTTCTTTACTTGTTCCTTTACTTATTTCTGTACTTGATTTCTGCTACTTGCTACTTCATTCTTGCTGCTTCTATCATCCATGAAACATTTGCCTCCCATTTACCTTTCGTCTTCACCTGCAAGTTCGCCGATGATAAGATAAGCGGGTCCCGAACGCCGATACAGGCCGCCCCCATACATCACTCCACCTTCGAGCTTACTCTCCCTTCCATGATCCCACATACTCAACTTGAATCACACACTTCTCCTACTGTGAGGATATCACCTCCTACCGTCCGCGACTGCACCCAACCGACCTGGTTGCGAGCTGCGTCATGGCGGGGATGGAGCCCCGCAAAACCCCTCCGGAGTACTTCCTGGAGATCTTCGCCGACACCACTCATGTGCGAGACGTCCTAAAGGGTAAGCCGCAGAGCAATTACGATACAGCAAGGCATGACATTGTCTTCCACACAGAGCTAAAAAGCTAAACAACCCATCTCTCCCTGCCAGGTGTCCTCAACCTCATCTTCTTCCATCGCTACTTCCCCTCCATCCGGCCGGTCACCTTTGACGTACTTGACTTTACCCTCCCCGCAATCAACGACGCTGATCTCGAGACGTTGATTGAGTCGCGCGTGTCCGCGCTCGTCCGCCAACACCTCTCCTCCGCTGCCGGTGGCCAAGATGGCCTGACGGCAGGTGGGGGCGGGGGCGTGCGAGGCCGGATCGCGGTTGAGTTCTATGAGAAGAAACGGCGTCGCCCGGGTCACTGGTTTGGTGGGTTAACTGGAAAGGGTGAGGAAGAGGTTTGCTGGGAGATCTGGACGCTGGATGTTACTATTGCGACGCCGCGCACGGAATCTGGTATGTATAGTATACAATATACTGGTTTCTCTATGTCCGGCATGGTCTTGCTTGCTAACCTGGTTTTTTTTTTTTTTTTTAGAACGAGCTAAAGTCCGCAAGGCGATGGGCAATATGCTACAGAAAGCAGCGTTGAAGATCCTCGCTGTTGTTAACCGTGATAAAGATCATATCCCGCCCATCACTACCAGCGACTCAAATCCGTTTCCCTACCGGATCGTTGTCAACCCTCGCGCTGACGGTTGGGGCAACCGTATGGGGCTTTATTGAGTTGTGGGGTTGAATTCTAGTTCTGGATGATTAAATGTGTCAATCGTCCAGGTCTGCCTTTCCTTGCAACCAACTACTGTTACAACAAACGGGGGGATTTTGCTCATTTTTTGACTGGGGCAACGGATGCCGATACGACTTACGAAATCTATCAAATATTGCAAAAATATTGCCATACAGAGTCTTCGAGTCCTGCTATGCTTGGCTTGTAAAATCTCGGGCAATGGTCATATGTGGAGTTTTGTCGGCGTTTACTATTTCAAGATATTGGGCTGGTGGCTCTGCAATACGTGCATTGATTAAGTATATGCTTAGCTTTAAATTAAAACATCATATTTGAATATCCTTACCACTTGAGCTGGTGATCTTAGTCGCCTTCCACTTGGCGTATCATACGGTTGTTCCTAGCACCTTAGCTCCCATCAAGCATACCTCTTCATGAAGCGGTTTTTCTGCAAGTATTCGTCGGGTCTGTGGAAACTACATGAGGACCGAAAGCAATCCCCAGTTGTCCAAACCAGATACCCAAGCCGAGTATATCTTCTTGAAAACTCTACGGGAAAGACAACATGGCCTCAAGCTTGAAAGTACACTGGAGAGTGAAACATCTGAAAGTAACCGGGTCCTGCATTGGTAAATGTACGGACTAAGCAACTCAACAACACAATGGTAAAAATTCCAACATAACATCATATTCATCGAATATCCAACCCCGGACCCGTCACAACATCCCCGGGCCCTCTCTATTTCATCACCGCCAGCACCTACGTATTCATGACGGCAGAACATAAGCCAGCAACTTGACTTCGCGCAGTGCCATAAAACACCGAGAATCGGATCCGCGATTACCAACTAACAAAGATTCCGCGGAGGTTTTATTGTCGATGCGATTCTCTACTCAAGAGTTCAGACAAAAGCCCTTTAGGTGGAGTGGGGCTTGCTGGCGGCCTCGGCCTGAGCGCGGAGGTTGGAGGAGGTGCCGGAGCTGGAGAAGAAGCGGCCGACAACGGGCTGGAGGAAGGACTGGAAGACGACTTGGGCACCGCTGCGGAATTGGTCAGTTATCTGCATTCATTGGGTTCGCGGGAGTGTAACATACTTGGTCTGGGGGAGGGCCATCCAAAGGATCAGGACAAACTTGAAGATATAGTAGAAGGCTGTTCGATGGTTAGCACATTTGCATTGATATTGACGTCGCGTGGATACTTACGGAACCAGTAAGCGGCGCTGATTGCACTCTCAATAACGGTCAGGAAGGCGAACACAACCCAGTACTATCGATTCGTATGTTAGTTTGGTCTGCAAACGGGAAGACGTCACGTGGTGCATGATAAGCCTGGACCGGCGGTGATCTCATCCGCCCGCAATATCGCGATGGCAGGGTGATAGGGTGATTAGGAACTTACGGTAAGCCACTGTGAGAATTGAGGGTTAGCAAATTGCATAGAGGAATAGAATACACTAGAGCGAAATTTCTTACCTGGGTGTCATCCTGGGTGTTGGAGGTGAAGAGGGCCTGGAGGGAGTAGTAGCCGGGGATGATGAAACCAGCAAAGTTGACGAGGAACTCGCCAGCAATGTTGAAGAAGACGAGGAAGAAGTAAACTCCGACCAGGCCGAGGATGGCGTAGACCTTGGGGACATTGGTCTGACGCTCAAGGTTGTTGAGGACAGGGTACTTGGAGAGCTGCGGAAGGACAGGATGTCAGCTTTGGGACTGAACACAGGCACCCAGATGTAGGGAGACCAGAGAACATGCGATCGCGATTCAGTTCAGTCGATCGATATCGCTGCTAGATTTGCGATCTGTGGCACTTGAAGGCGAGGAATTGACAGGCGCCAACGAAACACACAACGGGAACGTACCTCCTTGTCGAGCTGGGCGATGGTGTGCTGAGCACGGTCCTGGAAAGAAGCCATTTTGGTTGATATGTATGACTGGTAGATTACAGGTCAAAGAGTTTGGATGGCAGTGGAACTAGGGATGGTGAGAATGCGAGCTGGCAAGCTGAGACGGAGCCAGGCTGCTTGTGCGCATCACGTGATCACATGACGTACTCGGCTCCATGTGAAGCACTTGACAAGTCCTTTGTTATTGGAAGATACACTCCCGTCTTTACTGGAGATAAGTACTCTATCGTGAAGTGGTGACATGTCTATCGTGATACATCGTTGTTATATGAACCTATACGTCGTTACAGTACTTTCGGCTATTAACTTGAAACATGAAACCACCTGAAACGAAAGCAAACAAGCCTAAAATGTAGATTCCCCAAAGCAAGTCCAATTCATACATGACGTGTGCGGAGAGTATCTAGGTAGACCGGTTTAATGGATACTGTAAGCACAATTTTGGATATTTTGCTTTTTCTATCATGAAACCGGGGAGTGTATCTTTGTGGGCCTTGACCCCTGCAGCGCTTGGTCCGTTCTCAAGTCTTGATGCATCCCATACTCCGCCTATACCGAGGCCCCCATTACTCACTATCTTACGCCAATTATCTAGTAGATATGTCGCTTAAGACAGGACAAATAGCCGCTAATGACTTGGACATATCTATAAGCATCAGAAGATACTGAAACCTCCAAAACTCGGGGCGTATACATACACGTGACAATCACGTGACCAGATGTATTTGGAATGAGTAGAGGCCTGCATATTTGTCAATTGAAATAAACTCGAAAGAAAGGGACCTTGCACACCGCCAGTGACGATCACGGAGATGATCTGATTGGGGAAGTGTTCAACCTAACTTCTATCTTCTCCTCCACAAAAACCCTGTGCAGAACCGACTAGCCTAATCTGTGCCTCTTCCTTTTCCTTCTGAGCCTCAACCCCCATTCCCCTCGATACCTCATCGGGTTATCCGGACATAAACAGCTCATATAACTGATCCGTGTACCACCATTCATCTTCTCCCTCCAAGCTACAACGTGAATCATCAGACCACTTCAGAACCTCGGGAGTTTGGTCGTGGTACCACGTGGGACGATCAACGCGGCCATTGTCCTCTACTTTCCGACAACTACATAATTGATTCCCAATGCGGCCTCAGTGAGTTCCTAAGCCTAGTCTTGCTGCCCAATGATGGATGCTAATCGCCTGTTTCCTCCGGTTTAGACGCGAGTACCATATTGTTGTTCTGGGAGCTGGTAGGCATCGGCCATTGATTCCGAGCTATTTCCATGGGGTATAGGCTGACCGCAGGCATTCATATGCGCCATAAACAGGAGGAGTAGGAAAGAGTTGTTTAACAGGTCCGTCTGCTGTCTTTTTGCCCCGGCCCTGAGCTCCCAAGCTGACCAACTCCTAGCGCAATTCGTCCAAAATGTTTGGATCGAGAGCTACGACCCGACGATCGAGGATTCATACAGGAAACAGATCGAGGTAGATGTAAGTGGATTCTAGTCAGTGGGGAGCGGGTTTGGTTGCTTACACTGGTGGCAGGGTCGGCAATGTATACTGGAAATGTGAGTGTAATGGAGCTTATGGTATCGTTTGATGTTGGCTGAACCTTTCCAGTCTTGATACTGCAGGAACAGAACAATTCAGTGAGTCACCCAGTCCCCTTGTACTCTGCAACGAGCTTGAAGCTAACAACACCCAGCGGCAATGAGGTAAATCTAGGCTCCAACCCTCCAACCCTCCAACCCACCACCATACATCCTCCTCCACCACGCCTACAACGTCCCCGAAAGAATCAACACTGACACCACACCCATCCAGAGAACTCTACATGAAGCAAGGCCAAGGCTTCCTCCTCGTCTTCTCAATCACAAGCATGTCCTCCCTAAACGAACTCTCCGAACTCCGCGAACAAATCATCCGAATCAAAGACGACGAGAAAGTCCCAATCGTAATTGTGGGCAACAAATCCGACCTGGAAGAAGACCGCGCCGTACCCCGTGCTCGTGCCTTCGGTCTTTCTCAGAACTGGGGAAATGCCCCATACTACGAGACATCGGCCCGCCGCCGTGCAAACGTCAACGAGGTCTTCATCGACCTGTGTCGTCAGATTATTCGCAAGGACTCCGAGGGCTCAAGGAGTAGCACTGATCCGAACCGCAAGCGTGAGGGTCCCAGTCGCCATGATCGGAAGAAGGATACTAGACGGCCCCGGAATCGTCGTGGGCCGTGTGTTATCCTTTGATTTGGGACCTTTATCTTCATTTGGAGGGGTCCTTTGACTCTCGCGTCTTCTCCTGATTCACAATTGAGAGCCTCCTCTTACTTCCTTTCATGCGCTACGACACCCCTTCTTCTTCTTCTACTTCTTCTTCTTCTCCTTCTTCTTCTTCTTCTTCTTCTTCTCCTCATATGCCCCCGACGCTGCTATGCATATTGACATGTCATATATGACTGATGTTTCTTTCTTTACTACATTGCTGATATGTCTCTATCTCTTCTTTTCTCCTCCTTCATAGAGCATGCCTCACCGCGTCTGACCGTGTATCTTTTCTTTTCTTTGGACTGCACACTTTGTGTCGTTTCTTATATTTGACATATCGAGGTTTGGTTGATCTGGACTCTAAAATTTTCTCGACGGAATGGATAAAAGTGTTTGATTCTTTTTGGTATATCTTTTCCTGGTATCTTTATGGTTTCCGGTGGACACAGTGTTCATACTTTCAATCTACGCTTCTGAGATTCCCGCGATATAGAAGTCAATTCGCATTGACTAAAACGTCTGCATCATGCACTTCATTGCCATATCTACATTTGAACAGATCATTTGCGACATCATGCATTTCAATCTACTATATTTAAGCGGTCTACATACGGAACACACCGAATCTGGTCTGTACATCCGGCTCAGCCTTCCCACCAACAGCAGCATCAAGTCCCAAACCAAGCATCTTCCGCGTCTGAGCAGGAGGAATGACACCATCATCCCACAACCGAGCCGAGGAGAAAGTGGCCTCGGATTCGCGGTCAATGCGTTCCTTCAATGCCGGATCAGCTGTACGACCCACAGCCTCCATAACCGACGAAAGCTGCTCGGAGCCCATAACGCCAATCTTAGCGTTGGGCCACATGAAGAGAAGACGGGGCGAATAAGCACGGCCACTATATCATCACAGTTAGAATCCGACACACATTCACCAGACAAGGTATGTGGATGTGAGAAGACTTACCACATTCCGTAATTTCCAGCACCCGCACTGGATCCAAATACAACAGTGAACTTGGGCACATCGGCACATGCAACAGCAGTCACAAGTTTCGCACCGTTCTTTGCAATACCACCCTTCTCGGCATCAGCGCCAACCATGAAGCCAGAGATATTCTGCAAGAAGACAAGAGGGATTCGCCGCTGCGCACAAAGCTCAATGAAGTGCGCGCCCTTAAGCGAAGACTCCGAGAACAGAATACCATTGTTAGCAACAATACCCACGCGGTGACCATGGATACGCGCAAAGCCAGTGACAAGCGTAGATCCATAATCACGCTTGAATTCAGCGAATTCACTCCCATCAACAATCCGCGCAATAAGCTCATGCACGGGAATCTGCCGACGCAGATTTGTACCGACGATACCATTCAGCTCGTTAGGGTCGTACAGCGGCTCCTTGACAACAAGCGAATCACCCTTCCCATTCTCCAACTGCAAAGCAGATGCAGAATTGGCAGTAGGGTAATTGAGATTAGCGACAGAGCGACGCGCAAGGACAATAGCATGGGCATCATCAACAGCCAGGTAATCCGTCACACCAGAGATAGTCGAATGCAACAGTCCACCACCGAGGTCTTCAGCAGAAACCTCCTCGCCCGTCGCAGCTTTAACAAGAGGCGGACCCGCAAGGAAAATCGTTCCCTGATTCTCGACGATGATAGTCTCATCACTCATAGCCGGTACATAAGCACCCCCCGCCGTACAGGGACCCATAACAACCGACAACTGCGGGATCCCCAAGGAGCTCATACGTGCCTGGTTAAAGAAGATCCGGCCGAAGTGATCCCGGTCCGGGAAAACATCCGCCTGATGTGGCAGGTTCGCACCACCCGAGTCGACAAGGTAGATACATGGCAGACGGTTCTCCTGTGCGATTGCCTGTGCGCGGAGATGCTTCTTTACTGTGATCGGGTAGTAGGTGCCGCCCTTGACTGTGCTGTCGTTTGCTACGATCATGCAGTTCACGCCTGAGACGCTGCCAATTCCGGTAATTATGCCGCCTGCTGGCACGTCTTCGTTTTCGTAGACTCCGTGGCCGGCTAGGGCGGATAGTTCCATGAATGAGGTGCCGGGGTCGACTAGGGCTGAGATTCGGTCTCGGGGGAGCATCTTGCCCCTGGAGATGTGCTTTTCTCGGGCTTTTTCGGTTCCGCCAAGGGCAATTTTGCTGTGTAGGGTGCTCATCTTGTCCAGGAGTTCTTGCATTTGTTGGCTGTTTTCGAGGTAGTCTGGTGAGGAGGTGTCCACTGCTGTGGGGAGGATGGAGAGGGCTGAGGCATGGTGTGGGTGGGTGTAGCTTGCTACTGTTCTGTATGCTGGTCGAGTGATATTTGGCAGGGTGAAGGCCTTTTGTTGATATGTTCGTCCGAGCCGTGAGCTCAAGCTCCGGAGGACGAGCGGGGATGGGGTACGCATTGTGGGGAGAGTGGAGAAGGTGAAGCTGAGAGAGGATGAGATCTCAGCTGGGGAAGTCAAAGGATAAGTATGTGACCATATTCTGGTGAGTATCTGGCGGCGGTATGGGTATATAGGTATGTGACTGAAGCCGGGGAACTTATGAAGGGTCAAGCGGGAGTTTCCCCAGATGCGGAGGTGCGACGATTGCCGCGTCTACCCGAGGTCATCGTCACTACCCGCAGTTGATGAGAGACGATATTCAATATGAATGTATAGGGAATGGTGGTGGTGCAATTAGCATGTTAGATGGAAGCAGAATACTCAATTCTCTGTATGATAGCGCTTGAAATAATTAAGAGCCCAATAAAGAAAAAGTTCATAGCAAAGACAATAAACACCCTTGAATCCGACCTGATTATGCGCCGAGGACTGCCGCTCCCTCGAGACATATTTAAGAGGCCCACATCCTCTCCTCCGACAATACCCCAGATCCTGCAACATATTCGCGTTCAACCATGGCCTCACTCGCTCTCCCATCTCTCCTACGCACATCCACACGCGCCCTGCGGCGGAATCCCATCCCCGCATTCTCCCCATGTTTATCCCGGAAGATCTCCACGAAGCACCCCGTGGGCTTTGCACCACCGACAGAAGATGAATTACTAGAGCTAAGAGAGCGGGTGCAAGATTTCACAAGTATGTCGCCTTTTTTTGTTTCCAGTTCGCTTTTTTAACTTGGCTGCAGGGCGCGAGATCCCTGCCGAGGTTGCTGCACGGACAGATGAGTTGAATGAGTTTCCTGCGGAGATGTGGCAGAAGATGGGTGATGCCGGGTATGATACTCTTGAGATATCTGTTGTGAATTCATATGCTAATGAATGCAAAAGGTTCCTCGGTGTTACTGCAAACGAGGAGTATGGTGGTTTGGGCATGGGCTACCAGGCTCACTGCGTGGTTATGGAGGAGATTAGTCGAGCATCTGGTAAGGCTTACTCTATATGCAATATTCATGGTGATCGATCTAACGCAATTTCGGTTAAAGGAAGCATTGGTCTGTCATATGCAGCCCACTCTCAGCTCTGCGTGAACCAAATCTCCCTCAATGGCTCGACGGAACAAAAAGAGCGCATTCTCCCTGGTCTCCTATCCGGCGAGAAGGTCGGTGCTTTGGCAATGTCGGAGCACTCGGCAGGGTCCGATGTTGTCAGCATGAAGACTACGGCGAAGGAAGTTGATGGAGGCTGGGTCTTGAATGGAACCAAGATGTGGATTACCAATGTAAGCTGGCTGATATAGATGGGCTGACAGCTCCCGTGGCTAATCCATTCCTCTGCTAGGGCCCTGATGCCGACTATATTGTCGTCTACGCCAAGACAGAGCCCGAGCTGGGCTCCAAGGGTATCACAGCCTTCATAGTCGAGAAATCCTTCAAGGGCTTCTCATGCGCACGCAAACTAGACAAGCTAGGCATGCGCGGCTCCAACACCGGAGAGCTAATATTCGAAGATGTCTTCGTTCCTCGGGAGAACCTTCTAGGAGAAATCAACCGCGGTGTCAAGGTACTTATGGAAGGCCTGGACCTCGAGCGACTCGTCCTGAGTGCAGGACCCCTAGGGTGCGCATCCCAAACTCCGCCACCCATCCCCTAGTCCAAACTAACAATTTCCAGAATCATGCAAGCCGCACTCGACCTCGTCCTTCCATACACTCACGTCCGCAAGCAGTTTGGCACCCCAATCGCCCACAACCAACTGATCCAGGGTAAGCTAGCAGACATGTATACCAAGCTAGCCGCCTCGCGGGCATACACCTACGCCACAGCACGCGAAGTCGACAATGCAGCCGTGGCACCTGGTGAGATGACCATCCGCACGCAAGACTGCGCCGGCGCAATCCTGTACGCCGCCGAGCGCGCCACTGAATGCACGCTCGATGCCATCCAGCTGATGGGCGGGAGCGGGTATATCAATGAAATCCCAGCTGGACGCCTTCTTCGTGATGCGAAGCTGTATGAGATTGGCGCTGGCACGAGCGAGATCCGCAGGATGGTCATTGGCCGTGCATTTAACAAGGAGTATGCTTAATTTGGTTAGGACGTAAAAAAGAAGGCTTCACAGCTTAATTGATTTTGGGATATTACTACATCTCCCATAGGACGTAGATGCTTGTATAGATAGATGCATATTGATACATTCCGCTTTCGTCGTGTATGTCATCGACAGATGGAATGAAATGGAATGGCCCTGCATCCCACGCCATCAATCCTCCGTACCGTACGGAGTACAGCAGGTCGACTCTACTTCTTCTGCCGAGCCGACCTGCGCACAGGCGGTCCAGTCGAACCACCAGGCCCTTTGGCCTTAGCCGTATCACTCCCACCTTTCCGAGACTCAACCCTCTTCGCCCTGGGCGGCGCTGTATCCTCACCAGGAACATCCTGCTGCGGCACCGCTTTCCGCTTCCGCCCTCTCTTAACCGGGATCACGACCTTCGGTGGCGAAGGCAGTTTCATGGAAAGGACGCAATCCGTGTCAGGTGTTGTATTTGAAGCATCTCCAGTGTCGAGACTGGACTCATCGCGCGACGCAGAATCGTCCATTTCATCGGAGCTGTCGGGTTCATCGCCTTCACCTTCGACTTCTTCAGGCTCCATTTCATTATCCGCCTCGGACAGTGACGCGTCAACCGCTGCCAGTGATTCCTCCACCCGTCGCCTCTTCAATCGCGATTTATCCAGCGCAGGCTGGGAATGCTTGAATTCCTCCCGCCAGTTCTTCAACAGCGCGACTTGTTCGCCCGTGTGCGGTTCGTAGAGGATGGCGACGTCCTGGTCCCGATCCAGACTGGGCGTTTTCCAGATTACGCCTTGGAAAGATTTGATGTCAAGGAGGACAGGGGATTTGGTCTTTGTTGCTGCGGCTGTAGGCTGGGCTTTCTTGATCTGGCGTTTTGTTGTTGCCGGCGCATTCTTCGTTCCGATTTCCCTTACGGTACCTTTGTCGGCCGTTGGGTCGTTATCGTAATAATCGTCTGATTGGTATTCCAGGTCTGCGAAGTAATCTTCTACATCGCTATCCGCGTCGAGGAATAGGCCGGTGGCATCGTGGTACGCGGAGGCGGCGAGGTCGTCCTGGAGAAATGAGCGGTTAGGTTATTGCTTCGGGGTGGGGGATTGATTGCTTGCGTCGGTGTCGTCGGGCTTGAAAGGGTGCACTTACGACTAGTTCTGGGACTTCATCTGCGTACTGGTAATCGTCCTCCTCGTATTCGTAGTAGTACTCATCGTCGGACATGTTGGAGTGGATACCGGGAAGAAAAAAAACGGCGAGAAACGATCGAGTGGCAAGGCATACAATGGATGCGAAAGAGATCGAAATCAAAGACAGTTCAGATGAAACAAATCGTATCTACACAGCGCGAACCAAACGAGTGAACGAGTGCACAGCTGAAGTGAAGATCGGGATGATCTTGTAAAGATGGAGATGGCAACTCTGCTAATGTAAGCCTTGGCGTTGACTAAATGAACCACATTCCAGAGGTCAGGGTCGCTGATCTATACATCTCTACAGAGTACTCGTGACTCATTTATTTTCTCATTTTAAATCCAGTTTAATTTAAAAAATGCTAATACATCGTTCCTATGGTTCAACAAGGACTTTTCATCAAGCTGGTTTGCTGCCCATGTATACTTCTGTTGACTTCCTGGATCCGCAGAGATTTCCGAGCTTGCTTTTGACATTTATACCGCAAGGTGTCACCTTGTGACATTGCTTCAGCATACAAATTGCTTGGAATCAAGGGATATTTGTAAAGTCAGATGGTGTAGCTGCCAAACTTAAACAATGTACCAGTCTATTTCCGTAAGGCAACTTGTGCCTTTCCGAGGTTTAGGGTATACAATCTACCAATTTACATCTCGACATGCAACATCGAGGACGTTTATTTTGAGTCATGAACTTTGATATCGAGAGGTATATCATCTCGCTCCAGCCTCTCTTCTTCTCTCTTTTTTTTTCTCCTCCAGGCATCCATCAGAATGTCCCCCCAATACTTCCTCATCAAATCTGGTTTCGCCAGCTTCGATTCTTACATCCTGAGAGTCATCTAATACAACCGACCTTGCCAAACCTGTTTATATCAACTTTGTAAATCCCGCCTCGCCTCATTACTTGGGTAGAGAGCCGAGGGCCCCGGTCTATATTCGAGTATTGAGAACCCGCAGTCTACATCTTCTCCTTCTCTACTGGAACTTGGGAATCTGGAAACCTACACGATGTACACATACCACTACTATAAGGTATGTTGAACAGCAACGCTCCATCACCTTGGCCTTCAGGCTAATGATCTCAGATACAATCTTTAGACACTAGCAGCATGGCTACGTCCTGAAGTTCATCCTTCTATCCTCCTGGGATACAATCGACAACGCCTCACAGCCTCCGGGTTTGATCTACTCAGTGGAAATTACGGCGCTTGTGGTTTTCCGTTGGAAACGGTCAGCCCGAATAATCCTCAAACGCCTAACTCGCTCTTTAAGGTTGCGCCCATTCGGTCTTGAGGGACCTGGACATCTTTGCCAGTATTGTGTGCAATCAACTTCAATTCGCAATCCTGTGGTTTGATGCTCGGTGTGTTCTGCGGCGCCTGCAGTCTGCATTTGGGTTGATGGCTCATTCTCAATAATATCCCGTGGATCAATCTTATGCTTCGGCATTGGGGATTTTTTTATCCGGACATTGGAGGAGGAACATGGAAGGAAAATCTGGGAGGAAATTGGGTTGAACTGATCTCTTCCGGGGCTTGTGCTCCCTGATTCTTTCTGCGGGTTTTTTTTCCTTTTTTTTTTTTTTTTTTGATACTCTTTTCTTGATACTGTTTTATCTTTCTTTTTGATCTATGGAGGAATCTCTCTCTCATCCCCATCCAGCCCGGACTCTCTCCCGCCTGGACACTCAATCGTGTTGAGATTTTTCTGGTAAAGCAGTCTGTTTCCGACTGAGAGAATCTCGCAGGAGGTTTTCTCTCGGTCAGATCTTCACCATTTGCCGTTTACATCAAACAAACCACCACAATGACAACTAGGTACTCTTTCCAATTGGGTCATTCATCCCACGCGGTTTCGCCCAGCTTGGTTTTAATGAGGCCTCAATCAGTCAAGTCAATAAATCAATTTTGGGAAATCGGAGGAATGTCAGGGGCAACAAAAAAATCTTGAAAACGACCATCAAAAAGACCGTCAAAACAACGGTCAAGAAAGCCGCGAAAAGAACGATATAAAATCTCCACGCAAGAAGGCTCTATCTGCTGAGCAAAAAAAGAAACCCTCATATCAAACTATTGAAGAATTGGAGGAAAAGTCAAGGAAATTGTTTGTTTGTATGGGGTACTCTTTCCAGCTGGTTGTATTTTCCCACAGGGTTTTCTTCCAGTTGGTTTTAACGAGGCCCCGAATTGGGTGGAGGAAATGATCAGATGAAATGGTCAGATCAAGCTTGGTGAATTTGTCTGTCCTTTTTATGTGTGGTTGTTTTTCTTTGCAAGGGGTACTCTTTTCCCTGCTGGAGGTTCCCAAATGGGTTCACTTCAGTTGGTTTTAACGAGGCCCCAAACTTGAAAGACAATGGGATTAGATAGGTTGCTGCGTGGTTCGAGAGAGGGCATGGCACCTCTCTTTCGGATTGTTCAGTGACAAAACAACATTTGAATTACTGCATCATCTTCATTTCTGTCTCTGTAAATATCTGTAGATTGTGTCGCACCCCTGTAACTCCATAGAAATGATACCTGCATGGCCGACTATCTCCTCTTACGCTCACGTTTGTTACTGAGGATCTGCTGGGCTTCAGCAACAGCCGATGTAATTCAGAAAATGTAATGGTAAATATAGGAGTAGAACTGACCATGTAGATCGCAGTTTGCTTCAAGAAGTGCATAGACAGTGATATACATCCAGCTTTATGGAAAAGCAGTGGTTTGACGAAGCGCATGTCAAAGCTCGCGGTTTATTGCTTCAATGTTCGCCGTTTTAGGAGGGAACAATTTCCGAGTAGCGCATCCTCCTTTCTGGACATCAGTGGAATTCGACTCAAATTGTACATTTCTTCCTAGAATACTGCTGATCTACATCAAAGTCCTCCACAGAAGTTTCATGTTCCCGCCTGCGATGATAACTCCGTGCTACCCCCAATATGGCAATATTTATGTACACACCGGGTAGAAGCGACGATAGATCAGCAATTTGATTCCGTAAAACTCATTATATACATTGCAGACTCTCAGCCAATATCGTTTCATCATTGTCTTTCTCGACCATTAAAGTTTGCCATATACCTTCCACAATCCTGTACATCCCAGCCAGTCCAGGAAAACCTCATTGAGTCCTTGTCGTAAAAGCTCATCCCCCATGTAATACCTTTTCGTTTGATCCCATACACCGGTTCCAAGAACACTTTGAAGAGGCTTGCCCAGACGAATTGTCTCCATCGATTTCTGCAAGTCCATCCAATACCCACTATCCGGACTCCACTTTCGCTCGTCGTCTGTAGAAGCCGCGAGTTCTTCAAAGCTTGGCAAGGTTCGAACGGTTTGCCAAATCCTGGGCGCATCATAGTATGCGGGCTTTCCATATTCTTTGACAAGCCGTTGCGAGTATTCAGGGTCGACCATCTGTCGGGAAGTTCGTTGCAGATATTCAATCTGATTGTTTATAAGGTCTTGCACTTCCTCTGTTGCTTGGGTGTTGTTTTGTTCTTTCTCTGCCCTCTCCAGATAGTGGGTAAGCTCGTCTCTTAATTTTCGCAGACGATAGTTGGTCCATTCGGGATACATGGTGTTCATATCCGCATATGGTCGAACATTCGTCATGTAGCTGGAGTCGTAGATATTCGGCATCTTCGATCGGTATGAAGTGATGGTAGATATGCGTTCTTTTACGCCCTTTGCGCGAGCAGCTAAGTGTCGAACTTCGCCGCCTTGGAGCATCACTGCATGACCGATTTGAGGTCCCTCGACCTACAAAATGTTTAGATTCGTTACTTTGTATATTATATCAGATCCCACGTACCTTTTGAGATTCTCCATCACCTTTCTTAATATAAGTCTCTCCTCCAATCATCCCCTCTGTTTCACTCAACATCATGACGCACACGTAAGGATACGAGTCGTAACTGCAGTCGAGTTAGCTCTGTGTATCAAATAAGATTAACCAAATGGGAAACTGACTGCCACGGAATGATAGCACTAGCATCTTTCAACGGATCATATGCTCGGTCTTCGGCACTCAACTCAACTTTTTCCAGCGATGGCTCAACTTTGAGATTACTAGCCATTTCAGGGATGGTAGTCCCCTCAACTTGAATGTTGGTGTGTCCTATTTCGGTGGGCATCACAATCTCCAAAGGCACGTCGACTGCTTCGGAGACTATCCTCATAGTCTCGGGATGCGTCCAAAAGTCATTGATAAACTTTGACTGCTTGACTGCATCGCGAAGGACCAACGTTCCTGGGAATGGGGAGCTTGCACATTTATCAATGACATCTTTTTGAAACAACGCCCTTCGATAGGCTCTCACTCCTTCGGATGACAACAGGGGAAATGGCACTGTTCCTGCAATTGGGGATGCAGTTGGACTTTGCTTCAAAAGTAAGTCTTCCAGTGTGATTTTCTTTGAAGGTGGTGTGTAATCGAGATGCACCTATTAGGCCAAATCTTAGATATTCCAATTCATTTCGAGCTTTAAATCAGATTGCGCCTGGATGCACATACTTTCGGGTCAAAGGCCTCTTCTTTCTCTTCAGACCCCTTGGTAGAGCCCCAACTCCATCTCTTTACCAATTTCAAAGGATTCATAATGCGTATAATATGTTGACAGATAATTACAAGTCAGTCTTCATGGGCTTTCCAATACGCCTTGGTATGGCGGACAACAAGACCGGTAGCGCTTTAAAGTAGAAAAGAGAAGAGAAAGAAGTGCGCGCAAACGAATTTCTAAATAGTCGGCACCGCCGAAGCTCTAGTTACTCAGTGAATATTGACTCAATGCGCTTCGACCGGAATCCACCATTCCTATCTAGGAAGTTCTGTCCCGAGTGTGTAGTCGGATCGCATATCCACTTTCAGGTGTTTCCGCTCCACATCGTCTCATTTCCTGCGAGCTGATATGTCCTCGTGAGCTGCCAATGTTCCCTTTCTCCGCAATTCAACCTGCAAAGCGGGTTCCCCGCCGCCTCAATTTGGATATTCCTACAGATCGTCGTATCTGCCGAAAGGTAACTCAATGCTTATCTTCTTCTCCTTCTTATCTACAAGCAATCCCTTGGCTTGATAAGAAGAGAAACTGAGATTCGTTCATTGAATTTCGAGGTAGATATGACAACAGTTTAGAAAGAGCACAGTCACACTATTTACTCAGTGAAATACAATCTCAGTGTCGATGGAAAACCCAACCCTTTCGTCTTCCTACCCTTTTTTGCAGTAATAACCTTTTTGGCATTGATCATGGCTGCCAATGATCCATCATCTCGTGATGATTCCAAAGTCAAGCCACCGGCCATCGACCAACTCACCTTGAATGCGGACACGAACGACACGACGTTTGGTCAAATTGATGAGCGGTACCTCGCTACTAAGTGGGAAATCTGGGCTTATTATGCGTGCGTTGTCTACAAACATGTAAGGTGACATGGCTAAAGTGTTTGTAGCTACTACATCGGCAATAACGGATTGTCTTTGTTCAGTGCGTATCACTTGGCGTACTTCCCATGTGGGAAATATATTCTAATAACAATCTCCAGACTTCGCTCCAACTGCCTTCCAGAATCTTCTCTATCAAGCAGCAGGGGACGCGAATGGACTGCTCTTCGCGGGAAAATTCAGATCCACCGAAAGTATAGTCCTACTTTGCAACGGCATCTCGTTCGCGATCCAGATAGTGATCTTCCTCGTGATAGGAAGTTTCGCTGATTTCGGGAATTGGCGACCAAACATCCTCATTGTGCTTTCTGTTATTGCCTACGCACTGGGATTTGCCTGGCTGGGCGTCCATACGGCGGATAAATGGCAGATTGGGGTTGGCCTCTATATCGTTGGTCTCATTGCCTATCAGACCACTCTGACTTTTTGGACTGCTGCTTTCCCATCACTTGCACGTAATACTGCTAAGATGAGACAAAAGTCCGATGATTTCGCCGCTGGCAATATCTCGCGTGAAGAATATGATTTTGCGGATACGATGAAAAGGAGCCAGCTTGCGAACACTGCCTTCTATATTCAGTCCCTTTCCGAGATTGTCATCCTTGCCATTATTGTTGGTATTATGTTTGGCGTTGATGTCAACGCCAGTGATGCAAAGAATAACTGGGGCATAAGTGTCCTTATTGCTTTTGCCAGCGGTGTCTGGCTACTTGTCTCATTGCCGTGGTTCTTCTTAGAGAAACGGCGGCCAGGCCAAGACCCTGGGTCTCGGAATATTGTTATGGCAGGCTTGTCTCAGCTTTATTATACAATGAGCCAAGTGTGGAAGCTGAAGCAGAGCCTGCTCTATCTTATTGGTGAGAAAATCTTCCTATTATCGATCTATGATTGCTCAAGCTGACGAGCACGCTAAGGATACTTCTTATTGGGTGATTCATTGAACACTACAGTCACTGTGGTCAGCACATTACAAAACAGCTTAGTGGCGTATAACACACTGCAGCTAACATATCTCCTGATTGTGGGAATCGCAGCTCAAGTATGTTGCATCTGATCCGTTTGAATACATCTTCTAACCCACTTCAGGCTGTTGGGATTTATCTATTTTGGGCTATTCAACAGCGGTACAAATTAGGGACAAAGACTATGTTTAATGCCATTGCACTTGGCATTGTCATACTTGATGGTTGGGGTATGATAGGTATTTGGACCGATAAGTTTGGATTCCATCATGTGTGGGAAGTATGGGTAAGTAAATTCTGTCTTTAACTGATTTCATGCCCGGAGGAAAGAGGGAACTGGGCCTTGATACTGGACATAGGCTCATGCTAATAAATTAATCTAGGTCTATCAAGCTTTCTATGGGCTGTTTATTTGTCCGTGGTACAGCTACTCCCAGATTATGATCTCCGAGGTAACACCCCGAGGTTATGAGTTCCTGTTCTTCAGTCTATTCAGTATCGTCGGTAAAACATCCTCGTTCATCGGACCTCTTGTTTCCAGTGCCATCATCGATGCTACTCCTTCTGGCAATGTATCCACGCCTTTCTATTTTCTATTTGCGCTTAGCGTGTTGAGCTTTGCAATCTTGTTCATTGGAGTTGATCTAAAGAAGAGTCGTTTGGAACAAGATCAGTTCTTGAGAGAGAAGGAGACAAGAGTGGAAGTTGATACGAAAGCAGTGTGAGATAATAACTTAGTCCTTTAACTTCATCATACCTCAAGATTGACCCTGCAACAAGAAATATCTTAATGTGTCTCGGGATTTTAGTGTTGTGCTGTAACGTTAGTCAAAATGCGATCCATATTTCTCAGGCGAGGCCAAAAGCGGGTGATTATGTCATGTTCGGCTTTCCCCGCAATCTCGCTTTGCGTCGGCTCAACAAGAAGAGCTTCAAGTCCCTCGCATTCCCCAGTCTTTATTTGATCTCTTCAAGAAACCTCGATCATGACCCTTGACCCATATCACTTCCTGTGAATACAATCGTGGCAGCCGAAAGTCTGCCTTCCACACACCGTCATGACGCTCTCATCCCTTCTCCGCATTACTCCCCGCTTAACCCCGACTGCGGCCCGCAGGACAACGCGAGCTGTATCGTCAGCCACCAATACACCAAACACGAAGTCCTTAGATTCAATTCTCATTGCTAATCGAGGCGAGATCGCTCTGTATGTTTTGCCTGGAAATTATATGGGATTGGTGTTGCTGACTGCCTGCTAGTCGTGTTGGACGTACTGCTGCGGATCGTGGCATCCGCGTGACAACCCTCTACACCGACCCGGATAGTCGGGCCCAGCATGCATTGAGCTCTCCCTTTGCTTTTAACCTAGGTTCCGTGTCCGCATATCTTGATGGCGACCGGATCATCGAAATTGCAAAGAAGGAGGGATGTCAAGCCATACACCCCGGCTATGGCTTTGTGAGTTTCTCCTGCATAGTGAGGTTTGGAGGGAAGAATACTTACAGAAATTGTGATGACTAGCTGAGTGAGAATTCTGCATTCGCGCGAAAATGTACTGAGGCCGGGTTAGTATTCATCGGCCCTCCGTACAAGGCCATTGAGGATATGGGAGACAAGAGGTTCGTACGAAAGCAAACTTTTTAGGTGCTCATATACTGATAGTTTAATTCTATAGCCGATCCAAAGAAATTATGACTGCCGCAGGTGTCCCATGTGTACCCGGCTACCACGGCCATAATCAAGATCCGGCCTTTCTCGAAGAGCAGGCGGATCAGATCAAATACCCAGTGCTCATCAAGGCCATCAAAGGAGGTGGTGGTAAAGGAATGCGCATTGCCAGCTCCAAAGCTGAATTCCAGGCTCAACTCGAGTCGGCGAAATCAGAGGCAATGAACTCCTTTGGAGACGACAATGTGCTGGTGGAGAAATACATCACTACGCCTCGCCATATCGAAGTCCAGGTATTTGCCGACAAGCACGGCAATTCAGTTGCCTTGGGAGAGCGAGACTGCAGTATCCAACGTCGACACCAGAAGATTCTAGAGGAGTCACCGGCGCCTCATCTCCCTGATGTTACAAGAAAGGACCTCTGGGCCAAGGCCCGATCCGCTGCATTGGCAGTTGGCTACGAGGGTGCTGGAACCGTCGAGTTCATTTTCGATAACGACAGTGGTGAATTCTACTTCATGGAAATGAACACCCGTCTGCAGGTGGAGCATCCCGTAACCGAGATGGTCACCGGACAGGACCTTGTTCACTGGCAGATTCTGGTGGCAGAAGGAGCCAAGCTACCCCTTACACAGGAGGAAGTAGAAGAACGGATCGCCCAGAGTGGGCATGGCATCGAGGCCCGGATCTACGCCGAGAACCCAGAGCAAGGATTCATCCCTGACTCGGGACGTCTTCTCCATGTTCGGACGCCCGTGACTACGGATGACATCCGCATTGATGCTGGCTTTGTGGAAGGAGATGATGTCTCAGCACACTACGATCCCATGATCTCCAAACTGATTGTGCGAGGCGCGAACCGCGAGGAGGCTCTTCGAAAACTAGCTGCTGCTCTGGAGCAGTATGAAGTTGCAGGCCCCGTGACCAACATTGAGTTCCTGAAGACCATCTGCAAGAGCCCCGATTTTATCGCCGGTGATGTTGAGACTGGCTACATTGAGAAACACCGTGAGGAGTTATTCGCTCCGAAGATCATCGAGGAAGAAGTTCTGGCGCAAGTCGCATTGGCATGCCTACATCGCGACATCGGCTCGGGAATGCGCCAATCTGCCGGTGTCGCAGGATCAGCCGTGGGCTTCACCCCTAGCTACCAAGAGCGACAAATGTCATTCACAGAGACTGCAGGTCCCGGGTCTAGCGACGGCTCCACATTCAATGTGCGGGTGCAGCAAACCACAGATGACACCTTCAATGTGGAGGTCGGCGGACGAGTCTTCGAGCAAGTAGTAAGCCACATGGATGCATCGTCGCACATTGTCACCTCCTTTTTCGCTCACACTCGGCTGGACACAACTGTCGTCCGGGACGAGGACACCATTATCGTCTTCCAGCGAGGAACCCAATACCGGCTCACCGTGCCCCGAGCCAAGTGGATGGAGAAGGCCCTTGGGATGAAGGATGTTACTAACAGCGTTCTGGCCCCGATGCCATGTAAAATTTTACGCGTGGAGGTACAGGCGGGCGATGTGGTGGAGAAAGACCAGCCTCTGGTGGTTATTGAGAGCATGAAGATGGAGACAGTGATCCGCAGCCCACAACGGGGCACTATTGCCCGGGTGGTGCACCGACAAGGAGTAAGTCACGCGCCCTTCCCCCTTGCCCATAGAATCCTTGACCCCGTGATCCTGTTTGTTTTTCTTTTGCTGCTTTCTGTTTGTTTTGTTTCTAGATGTTTTGCAATTACCTGGCGCCTAGGTCCTTGTGTTGTATTATTACTTTGTTGTGGCTCCCCTATGGCCCTGGCTTTCACTTGTGTCCTTGGAGACCCCAAAGAGGGAGCAGACGAACAAGCTTCCACCGAAATTTGAGGACCGCTGACTAACATGTACCTTGCAGGACCAATGCAAAAGCGGAACACCGCTGGTTGAATTCGCCGGTGCTGAAAATAGCGACTAACTGGGTTCTTATGTTTCGGAGGTTTTGTTTTGTTATTCATGTTTGTACGGGTTATGAGGATGCGCCATAAATGTCCTTGACAATCTTGGACCCACACGATCAGTGGGGTAGCTTAGCGACGATCTTGTCTAGACAAATCTCAGATTAGATGCATTATCCCAATTAAGAATTCGTGGACAGGATGTTTGTACATGTATAGTTACAGTGGAGGACAAACAAGTTCTCCACATGTGGAACCGGATACCCCAGAGTGACAACGTCGTCATTGATAGAATCGCCACTTGAGGGGAACCTCGACGCTATACTACTTGCTATTGCACTATGCCGTATCTATAAATGTTCTCAACTTGTCCACCGAGTACTGGTCCAACAATATTACCGGTGGCGAAATGCGCACTGCATGACACAAATATGATCACAGAGCAGTTGCTGAGGTATCAGCGGCAAAGGCGGCCATGTTACCCCCCGAAATGCAGAAAGTGACTGGTCCCTTTCCATGCACATCTCTGTTTCGCAAAAGTACCTAAGTACCTGAGGGAGATAGAGCATTGGGGTGTCGGTCTACGGATGTACACCGGGTGGATATCTATTGCGACAAAATCCACAGAGTAAGAAAACAAATAGCCAAAAAGCTAAAGGGATAAGAGCAACAAATAGCTAAATCGAGGGGTCCCAACACCCTATAACAGCACGAAACACCAAATCCACGCCCCACGTAGATCTGATCGGCTGACATCACCTCGCCTCATTTACAGCTAAATTCTGATATTACTCGTAAATTTCTACTAGAAGTAGACACACGAATTCTTAATTCAATTGTTCGCCTGGCACGGCCTCCATCCATTGGTCCTCCTTTCACCGCAATTGTCACATTCCCCAGCTCCTTGGGGGTCCGCCTCTGGGGATAAAATAAAATCTGGAGCTCCGATGACCTGCTTTCTTTTTAAAATCTGTCCCCATCCCCTGGATCAGCTCTCCCTAGCGTCCATAACATCTTTATCCCCAGATTTCTTCCCTGTACATCCATTGCTTCCCTTCAAAAGCTCCCCAACACTCACAGCTCAGTACATCTGAAGCTGAGCCCTTCACAATGTTCAAACCAACAGTCGCTCGCAATTCCTTCAAGGCTCTAAACACAGCTCGTCCCGCTGCGTTTGCAGCTTCACGGCCAGCTGCAGCCTTCACTCGGCCCCTGTCTTATACTCCCGCTCTCCACAAGAAAAGCAATGACCCCTCAAAGGACCCTATTGAAGCTGCTACGACTAGAGCTCCGGAGGGTGCATCTGGAGAGCATGAGGGTCAGTTTGCTCGTACCGATGAGAGTGTTCATATCGAATACCCTCCCGACAGCGAGATGCCCGCCCAGCCCGTTGTTCAGGGCCGTGGTGGTAAGCACTTTAAGCGTACCCTAGCTCAATTCTCGCTGGAGAAAAAGGTTAGCATGGTTACTGGTGGTGCTCGTGGCTTGGGGCTTGTTATGGGACAGGGTCTTGTTGCTTCGGGCTCTGATTTAGCTATTGTTGATCTTAACAGTATGTCTCGATATGATTCCCGCAGAATCCACTGTGAAACAAAGGTTATGCTAACTTCTACGCAGGGGACGAAGCTGTGACAGCTGCCCAGTCGCTTATTGATCAATTCAGAAAGGAGAACCCGGGTATCGAGGACACCGAGTATGTACATCCCAATACACCATCACGAGCTGCCCGGGGCTCAACATCTCAAGCCCACCACATTAGCTAACACCAATGAATTAAAAGCATGCCCACAGTCACAGCCCACTACGCCGACGTCGCAAACCCAGACTCAGTAAACGCCGCCCTAACCGAAGTGCTAGAAAAGCACGGCCAAATCGACAACCTAGTCACCTCAGCCGGCTTCACCGAGAACTTCGACGCTATCAACTACCCCTTCGATCGTATGCAGAAGCTATGGGGCGTCAACGTGGATGGAACCTACCTCTTTGCCATCGGCGTCGCCAAACACCTCATGGAACGCAAGGCCCCTGGTAGCATCGTCATGATCGGCTCCATGTCCGGTGCCATCGTCAATGTCCCTCAACCCCAGGCTCCGTATAACGCAGCTAAGGCCGCTGTGCGCCATCTAGCTGCTTCGCTTGCTGTGGAGTGGGCTGGCCATGATATTCGTGTTAACTGTATTAGTCCTGGCTACATGCTGACTGCTCTGTGAGTGATCCAACCGTCAATTGAGCCCCTCCAGCCTGTTATTTTTGGAGGTATTTGCTAATTATTGGTTTTTCTTCGTCTGTAGTACCCGCAAAATTCTCGACGAGAACCCCCAACTCCGCGATAAGTGGACTTCTCTTATCCCAGCTGGAAAGATGGGTACACCTGAGGATTTGATGGGCGCCGTGACTTTCCTGCTTAGCGATGCGTCTAAGTACATTACTGGTGCGGAGCTCCGCGTTGATGGCGGGTACACTGTGACCTAAGCTCTTTACAAAAACATGATATGATTTGCTTCTAGCTTTATACTTTCATCATTGCATTATGTACGGATTTACTTATGGATGCGATAGACCACCGACTAACTTTGTTTTCTGAGATATGAGTGCTTTTTCATAAGCCAAAAATGTTCTTCGAAATTATGATTTCTATGATCTTCATCACATATGGAGTTGGTTCCTTTAATTTGAGGAACATTACTGTGGTGATTACATCTAGTTCTCGAACATATCGGAGATCTTAAGAGCCAGTTACAGTACTCAGCGATCATCCGAAGGTATGTGGAGAGTCAACCGTGTCAGTCCACTTATCTCTCCACAAAGTTAAAGCCAACCCCGATCTAGACCCGCACCCCATGGATCTGGGCCTGGACCCTGTATACAGTAAGATATGGTCATCGACACAATAGACCCCTAACCTCAAAGCTTTCGAGAAAAAGTAAGAGGGAATAGCAGCGTAGATCACACGCCCCTTGCGGAATGTCTGCAACGTATGTACAGATCAACTACTGTGCATGTAACAGACTGTCCGCATTCCGCTCCATCGGATGACTTTAGGTCTGGGAAGTTCCCGGGGGCGGGTTCCGATTTCCCCGGTACCGAGCCAGGTACAAGGGAGGAGGCGTTTAGGAATGTGGGAGATGATTGATTGGATTGGTCGAGAGACTTGAGTTCAACTGGATGTACAGTCTGTTGGATTATGATAGCAGGGATATTTAACTGAAACTTGTCAACCTGGCCCTGGGCTCCAGGGCTGCCAGGGTGTATCCTGTTGCCACTTGTTTAATGTTGACACCTCGTGATCTAGGACAAATTTGATGGAGCCTCATCTTAACCACGGTACCCTGAAACGCTAAGATCTATATATCTCAGAACTGACCGTGGTATCATTATTTCCTTGTTCAAATTTTGAAGTGGAAGTTCAGGGATCATGGGCTAATTATGTCGCAGTGGAGACTACATCTGAACAATTTGGCTGGGCAAGTATCTTTGTGGTTATAGAACAGAGGGTAAACTTAAGCAATACCGCTCTAGCACATCTAATCGAAAGTAGAGGCTACTGAATAGAGAGCAGGATGCATACACCGCCCTAACTATATGCCAAGGTTATCCATGAACATATGCTTAGTCTGTTGTAGGTTATTTAAACTATTCTGTCCCTTATTGCTGCCAATGAATGGTATTTAGTGTGTCATATCTCATATTTTGACCACTTTGATAGCTGGAGGATAGTTTAAGGTAGATACAGCAGCAATACACAAGAACGAGACGTAAGTAGATGATGTTGGAGCGTGGAGAGATTCACTTTTGTGGATATATATCACCCGAACGTAGGGACAATATATAGCGAACCAAATGTCCAAGTGATATAAATGCACAATATATAAATCAACAGCTGTAGAAGAACAGTCTGATTATACTCTAGGTGAGTAGACCAAGTGCTACGTTTGGCCATGGAGTTAGGATAGACGTCATTAGCACAAGGGTCCTCCATCCTTACCACGAGCCAGTAAAACAGACCAGGCAATTAAGCCATGAGTTCTAAGATAGCCTACAGTAAAATAATAGGAACCGAATACTGAATACTGTATTGAGAAACACGTAAAACCCACGAAACAACAAACCGTATCAGCACAGAAAGGTCTAGAATTGTCGTAATGAATCTTATGAATTATTACAAACAGGGATATGCTGCAAGGTTTAAGGCGCAAAATGTATATATGCATGCAGGCCTAGGGTTGGGTCGATGGAGTTGGTATTGTATGTGAATTGCAAGTCGACGGAGCTCAAAGGTAGTGTGAAAACGCGACTTTGGGAATTGTAGCTGTCTTTCATAAACCGTGAAGTCAATTGCATTGTTTTATTACTTAGAAATAGTGTGTACAAGCACAGTACTGTCATTGGCATCTCAGTGAAACAAATACGCAAGATCAGGAGAAAAAAGTGTTGGATCACATGCCGCCTAGCACATGCAGAAATATATTTCGGCCCAACTTTAGCTTCATTGCCGACCCAAAACAGCAAAAATAAACAAAATACACTAGTGAAAAGGACAGAGTGGCAAGATAGACACAGAGTACTGCATGCATTTTGAACTAGATACAAGGGAATGGCAGTCTATCCCAAGAGTACAGAGGAACCGATTCACATCTTCACCAGCACACAAAAAGGGATTGCATACATCATTGACATTGGAAGGCATCGTCATACAAAGGAAATTAAATCACACAACTTAAGAAATAAGACACTATTCATCATAATCCACAAGGGAAAATTTACAGGCGGGAGCCGTGGATGACCTTGTAGTCAACGACAAGCTCACGGCCACCGTCGTTGATGACGAGGGCGCGGACGGAGCCACGGCCATCAGCGAAGGCATCGCTGATACGCTTGAAGAGGCTGCCCTGGGTGATGACATCGAGACCCTGCTTAACATCACCGGACTCGGTCATGGCAACGAGGCGGTTGTCATCACGGAGGTCCAAGATTCGGTAGGTCTTGAAGACAGGGCCGAGCATGGTCTGAACAACCACGGAGGGAGAGGGGTTGGCGACGAAGCTGGACTCCTCCTGCAACTTGCGGGTGAAGAGGTCGACACCGAGGTAACGGTGCTGGCCGGTCTGGGGGGAGACCGAGATACGGATGACCTGGCAGGGGCGACCCTGAAGGATCAGGATGTCGCCAATGCGGATGAAGTGGCAAGGGATGGGGACGGTCTCGCCAACGGTGCCGCGGTTGCGGGGCTCGACAATACGGACAGCTGCTTGGGGGCAGGTTCTTCGCCAGCGTAAGTTTCCTCGCGCTCATGGTGGTGGTGGTGGTGGGGGTGCAGGATGTGGTCGGCAGCGCGCTGAACGCCGCGACGGAAGGAGTGGTACTGACCCTCGTCGTCGTAGTAACCCATCTTGCGAGTTGGGGTGGTTTCACGAACGGTAGATTGAGAGACCTTGACTTCGGTGGGAGCCGAAGACTGAGAGTAACGGGATCGGGAGGGCTGGGCCTCACGAGTGTAGTAGTCGTTGGATTGGTAGTCCTGGGACTGGTACTCTTCTATCTGGGACTGGCGGGGCCGGTCGTAGACAGCAGTGGGCAAACCGTAGGCGGAGCCTTCACGTTGAGAATAGGAACCGACGGGGAGGGACTCGTACACAGGGGCACGATCAGCAGCGAAGCTTCGACGAATGTCACGCTCGGTGAGGTCGAGTTGGTTCTCCTTGACCTGGTCGTAGACTTGGGTACGGTCCTGGTAATAGGACTGTTGATAGTTGGGGTAGCTGTAAGAAGGGAAGATGTCAGCCCATGCTCCACGGGTACCAGAAACATAATAAACAAAACAGCCAGTCACCGCTAATTGAAGTGGATCCGGGTTTTTTTGACACGTAATTTTAGTCTGGGACTAGATGCGTATTGCCTCTAAACCCGAAAAGGAGATCTCACAACAAATAGTGACTCCACTAGCTGAGCTGTGGAGCTGTGGCGCTCTCCAGCCCAACCAAAACAGGCCGAAACCAGGTAAAACAACAAAACAGTAAAACAGTAAATTCGTAAACAAAACACGTACCTTGTGCGAGAGATCTCAAGCGGGGCTTGGAACTCTTCCGTTCGCTGGTAATAGTCCTGGCGAGGGCCTTCTTGGTACTGAGGACGCTCCTGGTATTGAGGACGCTCTTGGAACGGAGGGTGCTCTTCGTGGAAATGAGGACGCTCTTCCTTGATCACGAACTCTTCCTTTCCTTGAACACGAGGGCCGGGAAGGGGAGCAGAACCCTTAGTATCTTCCCGTTCGACGCGCGAAGGACGATCGAAATTGACTTCTCCCTCTACTCTCGTCTGAGTAGTTTCAGAGACAGCGTCACTCCGGTACGACGACGGGAAGACACTGAAGGGGATGGGAACGCGGGCGTCAAAGTCCAGATTGCCGGACTTGAGGTCTTTTCTCGAATGCCTTTCGAACTGTCGTGAAACAACTCGAAAGACTAGACAAGAAAAGACTTAGAGGGGAAGTCTTTCTCGAGGGGGAGAAGTAAGAAGAAAGGATCTTCTTTGATAAGATGGATGGAATGGAGGGGGATAAGCTTAAGATTGGAATGTAAGAATGGAAAGAGAAGAAGGAAAGGAAAGGCGCAGCTGGCGAGTGCAACGATTATTTATGCCTGGGGATTGTTTACGCCGCCTTGCCGGTTTAGGGTTCTGCTGATCACCGAGGTTCACTTTCTCTCCTTGTTATAATTTCATTTGAATGGTCTTTCTACACTATACGCAGTCGTCTTCAATTGGCATTCCAATCGTTTTGAATCACTTTCCTGATCGTTCTTAGTACACTCTCCATGCAATACGGAGCTCAATACACACCGTCAGACCCCGTTCACATGGGGGGGCTGGCCAGCGCGTATCGTCACCCATCGCCATAGCAACCTCCGGGACGAATCGGACACTGGGTCTCCCCGTGGCGCCGATCGTGTTTGGCTCCATCACATCGGTACAATGGGACACGGGGTTCTGGTTCTTGTGGTGCGGAGATAGTGTGTCCCTCGGCCTGGGGCATTGTGTTTATTATGCGGTTACCGGTTTCCTGTGCCTGCTCTGAAAATTGCGATCGACTCGTCTGGTTGCCATTGGCCCCATACCCGAAACAATGGGCAACAGAATTGCCAGCATGCAATACACTGTCGATACATGCACTTTGCTCCACCGGAAAGTGATTCATCGAGATCCTCCCCCCGAGACCTGGGACCCTCTTTTGGGTCCCCAGCCACTTGTCTCCAGCCCAACCACCTCGTGGACTCAGCGCCAGCGCATGCAGTCCGTGTCTAGACCCTCTTATCACAACGAGGCTGGGAGCTGCGATGGCGTGGTATTGGTCATGGGAGTGTATTATTCGTACTTTGCGATATGAGAGGCTGGACCTCTGGGATCGCTGTGATAGAGAGCTGTTTACGGCGATCCCGAGTCTCTAGCCTAAACGGTATCTCAATATCGCCGTTTGATTCAATGCACTCCAGTGACTCTATTCACACGGCAAGCCTGGTCAATTGATGTGCCCAATGTGGGCCCCTGGTCATGCTAATGCATTGCTTCCATTGCTGACGCACTATGCATAATTCGACTTGGAGCTCACTTCGACAGTCTCGGGATTTGACACGCTAACTTATCAGCGACTAAATAAAGCCGGTGAAGTGTCAATGCCTTATACCGAGACTGAGAAGGATTTCCCCTGCTAGACTCTGATGAATGACCATCACGCACCCCGGTCGCGTGCAGATGAATGGGAGAAGAGGTGAAGAGTTTCTTGGCAGAGTGATAATTCCAATGCTAACCCCGAGTCTTCCAGGGAGCGTGGGCCAGTTTCAGACTTGCACGAATTATTGGATCAGCTATCCAGTAAGAATCAGCTTCCACATATAACGTACAATACTAGGCATCGACTTTCTATAATGAACAAAAGAGCAGTGATATTTTTCCCACTATAAAAAAGAAAGAATTTCTTACACAAAGGACAAATTGCCGTATATAGGCCCTGACTTTTCCAAAACACCAGAGACCAGCGCCCCGAACACTCAAAAAGCAAACAAAAGCGAGAAGTCTTGAGAAGAATGACTATACCGAACAGCGTGTCATACCAATGCATGGAAATTGGAAACCCAGATACACCCAATAGAGTAGAACAAATATAATGACCGAGTCACCAAGCAAGAAAGCAAGATGATCCAGTCTATCTCGATATCCAATGTGAAGATGACGCCGGACCGGTATGGAATAATATGATATGAGGCGAGATATTCGCACAATCTCCTAACGAAAGAGAGCAGAGAAGAAAAACGAACAACTGAAAGCGAGTTCTATTGTACATCAGTGGCCTTTGAGGAGAAAAACAGACAAATCGAGTCGGATCGAGAGAGGGGTATCGTGATGCGACGCAGGGTAGCGGGACAAGCTCAATGACAGAGTGGGACGAGGGAAACCACATGCGGTATGAGGGCAGGCGGCACAGCAGGAACGCTACCGTTCCCCGAACTTGCCGTACTCCTGCTGCCACTTAAGCAGATGTCGCGTGAGAACGTCCATCATCTCGACGCTGCTGAGTTCCTTGAAGTCTTTGTCGTGCGTCGACGTATCGCCGTAACCGCCGTCAGTCGTTGCAGGCGCGGACTCGCCGCCATCGCTGCGGGACGAGGGCATCGCACTGTCGATTTGGTCGACCATGCTCTTTAGGAGGAGGCCTTGAGCGCGGTCGCCGTTGCTGGTCGGCGTGGAGTTCTCGCCGGCGACGGCCATTTCAACTTGCATGCGCGAGATGAACTCGAGGATGGCAGCTACGCGGCGCTTCATCTCGTTCATTGTTGTTCGCTGCGGGTGCATGTGCCGTGGCTTGCTTGGTCGTCCAGACTCCCCACCATTGAGAAGTGTGCCATTCACCCCGGCGTATCCAACTCGCGGGGAGTCGCCGCCGATTTCATGTGACTGACCGCGGCGGGGCGAGTTGGCCATATATCCCTGATCCACTCCATTCCCATTTGTGTCTCGATCCTTGGTATATTGGTTTCGTCCGACACGGCCGCGGCGCGCCGGGGGACGACCGGATTTGCGGGTCGACGGGCGAGCAGGTGTGGGCTCTTGAGGAGTTGGGGTATTAGGACTTGCTTGGGTCGGTTCGGGTTCAATTGGCACAGTCTTGGTAGGAGATCCCGGTTCATGTTCGGATTCTGTGGTAGTTGTGAGCAAGGAATCAATTGCGAACCTGAAACTGTGTGACTGACCTTCTCCTTTGCGCCGGTTCGACCTTTCCTTCCGACGATTCGCTGCCTCCGGAGCTTCTGCTTCGCCCTCGTCGGTGTCTTTGGCGGGCTCCTTATCGAGCTGGCCTCGAGAGGTGGCCCTCTGCCTTCGAGTACCGTTGACTGCAGACTTCTGCTTCTGCTCATCATCGGACGGCGGGTGAGAGGCAGTATGCTTGGATACAGCTGTCGGTGATGGAGAGGCAGTTCGTGGACGCTTTGATCCTTCTCTGTTCCTGGGTACCCGTCAGTCATGAACTGGTGAATGTCATTGAGCCTGGGGATACGTACGTCACACTGTCACTCCGACTTCGTTTGGTCCGACGCATGATTGCCTCATCTGGATTACTCTTGGAATCTTCCTTGCTTTCCTCAATTGCGCGTCGAATCAGCTCTTCTTCGTCGTATGCAGCATCCCGACTATTCATCGTTGACCGCCGCTTGGGGTTGGAGGCGCCTTCACTGTTCCGCGACTTTGGGTCTTTAGAGCGCCGAGATGTCTCTCTAGAGGATGCTCGGGAGGATGGGGCGGGAGAGGGCGCCTGCACTGGGGCTGGTGGTGTTGGTGCTTGTACTGGTGCTGGTGCTGGCGGTGCTGGGGGTGGTGGCGGCGGCGGCGGCGGCGTTGGCGAAGACGCCGGAGCGACTGGTAGGTAGGTAGAGGATCGTGATCTGGGAAGACATTAGCATGATACTCGGTAAGGTAGAGTATATAGAATGGAAGCGCGGTCCTGCCCGTGGCTGCCACTGAGAGGCACCCACTCCAAGCAGCGAGGTCAACCATGGCAGGGAGACAGATAGAAAATAAGACAGGAAATTGATGGCAGGAAGTCAGAGAAACAGAGTTTGTCCACTCACCCATTAGCTTCGCCTTGGATCTTGTGTAAATCCTTTCGGCACTCCTCGCAGAAATATTCGTCAGGACTCGTTGCCTCGTCCATGATTCCCACACAACCACCATGCTGCCACACTTTGCACAAATCGCACTGGATGAACATGCTCCCAATCTCGTCTGCCATGGTATCAGAGGGATCAGAGGGTATTGGGACCGACTCCAGTTTGATGGTGCCGCGACCGAGGGCCTCGCGACGAGAAGGAGGCAAGCCTGGGTAGTCTTGCTGACCACAGAGACACCGAGTAACCTCTTCCTCCTCATCTTCTAGGTCATCATCGTCTTCTTCGCCAGGTGCCTCGTCTTCATCGTCGTGGGCGCGCTGGCGCTGCCGCGTGTGCGGGAGGTCCTTTGAGCCGCTTTCAGCGTCATCGATGGACTGAGACCGGTGGCCGGAGGATTCGTGGGGGGAGACATTTTTGTGGTTCGATCGGGTGCTCCTCTCTCGGGTAGAACTTGAGGAGCTGGAGGAGTTGGTCTGTTGGATGAGGGCAGGAGAGGGTTGGGAGGTGCGAGCCCGAGAAGAGCGTCGAGGAGTCATGGCGGAGAGAAGGGCTTTTCTGAATGAATTAGAGTAGAGGAGAGCTCAAGGAGCCAAATGAGAGGAATTCAGTGAGGTATGGAAACGATGGTTGGCGTGGTTTCTGCACAAACTCGAGCGAGGCCGTTTGCGAGGGAGCTCTTCGCGCGCGATTGAGAGCTCCTGGGGAGAGTCAAAACGAGCAGGACAATTGGGGAATCGCAGTAAGATCTGAGTCAAGTCACAAGGCTCGATGAAGAGCCCGAAGACTACATAGTCCGAGAAGTGCGTGTGTTGGCGGGGAGGAAGAAGAGAAGGAGAAAAGCGCCGGAACGGGACTCCAAAAGATCCCATCGCCGCTTCCCCGCTCTCGACGCCTTTCGACGCGCGAGTCTTTCACCACGCATTCTGTTCGTGTTTCTAATCTCCTCTTCCCAATGCCTCTCAGAGACTTTTTATTTGGGTCTATTCATTGTTTTTGCCGTTCTTTTGACTCCAGATTTGTTGTGTACAAGGCCTTGGTCCCCACTTGGGTCTGTTCCTGAATTTTGCACAGCCGGACAACAGTGAGATCTGGCTAAGCTCACAAGCCAGCAGTCGACAAAAGGCATACTATCCTACATAGTCTTGCGAATGCTTTGGGGACGCGGCGTGAGAGATTTGAAAAGGGCGCAAGAAGCAGAAATCCCAAGGCAAAACCGGGAAGGCTTAAGCCGTGTTATCCGATTCTGCAGTCATTCGTCTGAAACAGACCTACAGACCTACTATCAGCTAACCTGCAGGGCTGCAACCTCCTGTATACTGCTCTGCTTACTCTACTACAGTCCACATTCGCCCTTCCCATCTTGCTTGACAGTCACAGACACCCTCCCTGAATCCCACCGTCAAAGCCGGCAAGGCCGGCTCGCCTGATATATCACTCGGAATCTATCGCACCGTTTCCTCCAATCCTTTCTATCATATACCTGTTCCTCCGAAATGATCACAGAGAGTGGATGAGTCGCAAGAGGTATGAGGTGACCCCTCCAACAGACAAGGGCTCAACAGATTCGATCGCAATCGATTACGGGCTGCATAATTGCGAACTGCATTGGTATTCGCCCTCGGCGAACCCCCGATACCCAGAGGCTGCCTCACGCAAGGCGTCGGGAGCCTGATGTTGGCGAATGCAGGTACGGATGGAAGGGCGATCGGAGGGGATTCTCCGTAGAGGGCAGTCAGCGCAACTTGACAAAAGTATAGAACCTAATATATACCAATATCAAAGAAATAAGGAAAATATACCCCGTACAGTAGCTGAAGATGAGTGGGAGGTCATTGGGTCGAGAGGGTTTCCTAAAAGAGATTAGCGTATCGTGTTCCGAACTCCCGTGACTCGTCTCTTTCTCTTCACTTCCCTCAACCCCTCTTATACCGTTATACGTGATGATATTTGGCCTCTTTGGTTTTTAAGCCGACATTTTTCTTCTTCCCTCTATTCTCCTTTTTTGGGTGAGTAATACCTTTTTGTGGGCAGGTCGATGTTCGGGATTGTGGACAACGCGGGGGCCCTATATCTCTTCAAAACTTACCTGATCCTCTCCGGCTTTGCGACTTGGAAGCTCATAGCCTACAGTGTACCTCCAATTCGTCCCTCTGATATCACGCCAATTTTGGAATTATTGGTCCTCTCAAGACAGACACGGTGGAGGGGGATAAAAGGAACGAGCTAGTATATCGTCTCATATGCTAGCATCGTCGGTGGAGGGAGAGGACAATTTGCATAATGACTACCTTGAGTATGTCAAGTCCGGACTATCGGCCAGGTAGCCTAGAAACCTCCTCGGGACAACAGCCTCAGTTACTGACATGGGAATGAGTAGACGGGGCGTTCAACTCGGCCCCTGACACACCTTCTACCATCTATCCCGATCGTTTGATCCGTCCCCTCCCTAAGCGGACGCTGCGTTCTCGTCTCTCTTCCGATGCCGCCGACACAATATTCTACCCCCCACACCACCGGCCTCTCAGATATTCTATGGTGTTTCGGGGGAGGAAGAGGCAGTGAATGAGTCTAAAGTGTATGTGCAGCAGACCGTGGAAAGCCATGAGCTGTCTCCGGAGGTCGATCATACGTTTGAGACATCAGTAGAGCTGGAGAGCGGTGATGAAGATGGTCCGGTAGTCGTTCGCCGCAGTGCCGGTTTTCGTTCGTCCTCACCTTCCTCTTCACACCTCGAGGGCCCTCCCAAATCTTCAGGCCCCGACGGTTATGACGCGTTTGAAAACACAAATAACAAAAAGAAACGGAAAATCCCCACGCCGGGGAATCTGGGACACTCTGCTTTGTCTCCAGAATTTGCCAACATGGGGCTGACGAGCTCAACCCCCGCACCACCTCCCCCGAAGGTCCTACCGGTACATATTATGGCAGTGGAAATCCTGCATCCCCGCTGGCAGGGATATCTGGTTCAGGAAGAGGTCGGTTAAGTCGGAGCACTGTTCGCACTAGCAACAGTAGGGGCCCGTTGTCGGCTAATGCTCAGAATGGTTGGATGACAGCTCGAACTCCTCGACGCGATGGCTTGATGTCGTCCCCTGGCCCAACTGGTGCGTTTCAGAGTCCTCTTGTTAATTTGGGTTTGTACTAATGTTTTCTAGGGGAATCACCCTCAGACCAGGGAATAATCTCTACCGCCATTGCTAATGCAGCGACGCTACCATCCCCGCCCCGAGGTCCAAGCAATGTCAGCTTGCTGGACCAGGAAAACACCACTCCCACCAAGACACAATTCACGTTCACCTGCGAGTCCGACTCTTCGAAGGGCATGGCCATGCAGCGGAACTACTCAATCCCCCATCGATCCCCGACCTCACCTCTTGGCCCCGTGAGTCACAATGCCCGGGGTTTCTCCACACAAGGGACGCAGACTAGTCCGAGTATGGCTGCATCGGTAAACCACGGTCCATCCGGTACGCAACCACCCGCACAAGGTGCAGAACAACACCCTGCAGGCCCGAAGAAGAAGCGCTCTCCAGGTAGCATATATGCATTATCTGCTCGTCAGCGCAAGATCCAGCAACAGTACACGAATCTGCACCATCCCCCGAGTCTGGAGGACATCTGGATCTGTGAATTTTGTGAATATGAGAGCATTTTCGGCCGGCCACCCGAGGCTCTGATCCGACAATATGAGATGAAGGACCGCAAAGAGCGAAAGCGGCTGGCGGAGAAGAAGCGACTCTTGGAAAAGGCCAAGATGAAGGGCCGCAAGACAAAGAAGGCGACCAAGAACGCCTCCAAGAACTCTTCTCACTCCTACCAGCAAGGATATGACCGCGCTTCGGTGGACCACTCTTCAGCTACGGGCTCGGGTCTTCACGATGATGAATATTTAGGACATGAGTACGACGACGAACATTCTCCAATCCCGGCTTCTGCCCCCGCATCTCCCACCGACCTCAAACCCCCATTGCCGCCAGGGAATGATCCAAAGATAGCTGCAACGGCCCCGGGCATCAAAGGTCCTGCTAATTCAGGAGCTAGTCGGCCGGCATGACAGGTCTCGCTCTGCGGCCTTTCCCTGGGGCCTATTGCATTCTGATTTTTGCGTTTGATGTGGGCGTCTGGGTATTTTCGGTGTATGGGGGGAGTTTTTTTTTTTTTTTTTTTGCATGACATTCCACTCTCAAGCATACTGGACCGGCGAGCAAATCATTGGAGAGAGTTTATGATGGTATCCTGTGTAATTGTAATGTCCGCATAAGAGATGTGCATATTTCCAATGAGATCTGAGATGATTCAATGTTTACCCTCTATTGTAGGGTTCCGTTATACTTTCCATCTTTAAAATAGCACAAAACAACTGATTGGATCTGGAGCTTCGCTGAACCGCCACACTGAAACGAGGTCCAACACAAGTTCGCGCGCGCCAACTGAAGCTGCCCCACCACATCTGCAGCCCTGCAGGAACCAATTTCGACCAGGGATTCTCGGCAAGCTATTTTGATCCCGTGAATGTTTCATCTCCTCGCGTTGAGATGATTGTCTTTGGATGAAAGTTGCAGATGCATAACCGATGCAGTGAAGATCCCCTGACGCGCGCTCCAAGAAGCAGCGTTTCATCTCATCTAGGGCTGCAGATACAGTTTCTGGAAATAGCATTGAGCTTTGTGTACTGCGAGTCCTGACGAGTTCTGCCAAGCGGAAGTACCATGGCTGTCTATAAAGAAGACTGGTTTGGACGACAATGGCATGAAACCAGACTTGTCTTTCTTTCTATTCCCATCCTATTCTTTCATTGTTTCTTTTCTTTTGTTGTTCGCCTGATTCTATTGATATATTCATTCGATACGTTGGACTTGCTCTTTGTCCTTGCTATTCGTTCTTACAATAGCTCCTTCTTCCTCTTATTTGGCATCTGGCCTGCCGAATCTACATCTTTCACTTTCTCTTCACGACACACATTCTTCGACATAATACCTGCGCTGTGCGCCATATCAACTTCATCATACCATCCATCTTCCACCTTGCATCCATACATTTACATTCACATCCTCCAAACCGTTGATCGGTCCCACAAAACAACAACGACCACCACCACAATCCAATGTCGTTCATCCTAGTTAAGCTCCTCAAAATAGGGGTCAACGAAGCCAAAAAGCGCCACAAAACCAAGAAAGAAGAACAAAAATTCCAAGCTGCTGCCGCAGCTGGCTTCTCTCAAAACAACAACAACAACAACAACAACGACCAATACCCAATGAGCGCGTACCCAACCGGCGCCGTTCCAGGAACAACAATGCAGTTCGAAAGCGCCCCCGAACCAATGAGCAAACGCGCAAAGCTAAGCTTCATGTTCATCTCGGCGCTCCGCTTCCTCCAATTTGTCTTTGGCCTCACCGTCATCGGCCTCTACGGCAAAGACGTGCACCACGACCACTCGGAGAAACATATCTGGCGCTCGCAGTGGGTTTACGCGCTCGTCACGGGGTTCCTGGCAACAGCTACTGCGGGTGTGCACCTTGTCATGCCGTTCCTGATGCGTCGTGTGAAGAATGCCTCTGGGCCTAATGTTGCGTTGCTGTTGCCGCAGTTTGGTTGGGAGTTTGTTGTTACTGTGCTTTGGTTGGCGCTTTTTGGTGTTTTCGGGAAGATGTATATTGGCGTTTATGCTGTTGAGAGTTCCGGTTCTGGATCCGGCTCTGGGAAGAGGGATGAGGCTGTTACTTCGACTGCTCCTTCTAGTCTTGGTGATGCGTCGAAGATTACCCGTATGCGCCATGCTGTCTGGATTGATGTTATTAACCTTGCTTTCTGGGTCATTACTTCTTCTTGGGTTTTGATGCGCTGGTTGAAGAGTCGGCGGGCTGCTGCCACTGAGGATGCTGTTGATGATGCTGAGAAGGGGAATAAGTTTTAGGGCTTGACTCGCGGATCTAGATCTGGGGAATGTGGGGACTCGCTTTGATAGTGGGTTTGTTTCGCATCCGGGTTTGGAAGACATGTTTTAATGGCGTTCAGGAGCCATGGATCTCGCATTTGCATATTTGTTGCTTTCGTGTCTGACACTTTTGGCTCGGGAGTCATGGTGTTTGGTGCTTTTTGAGAAATTCCATGGCGACGTTCATTTTATCCAGTGCATAAACACTATTTTATCAGTTTCATTTTCCCGTCTCTGGACTTTTGTAACTGTAGCTCTACGAGACAAGACCGGTCCCTTCTTTGATTGCCCGGCTGTTAAGCTGGAGTTCCTTCAAGGAAAGTGATATGATGGATGAGCTCAAACGAGCAATCAAATTATCTTAATGGGCGTCAAACTACCAGTGGCACATTTGATCCTCTGATTCCATCATGTTGCCAGTTCCAGTGCAAATAGTACGACATATTCCCCTGTTGGCATTGACATGCTTCAGCTTAAAAGCTCTCAATTAGAAGCAGCGATACAAATATTCTCGGTTTCAGCGAAATGCACTCGTTACGAACCACCAGCGTGCGAGCCACAATTCCTCATCAGCGCAAGGCGCGGTATTGTCATAAAAGAAGTGGTTAAGCAAGCCCTAAGACATGGAGATGTACAACGATTGAGAGTAATGGCAAACGTCATAGGTCGGGGCAAAAGGGATCGAATCACAGTCTGATTCTCTCAAGGCCGTGAGTCAACAGGGGATCATCTTTGCCAACAGACACAGTGACAATAGGAGATGCAATATCCGAATGACCCTTCTGGCGCTCCTCGATAGCAGGTTCCTCAGGCGAAACAGCCTTCTTGAAGGGTTGCAGGACAGGTAGAGTCGATTCGATGGCATCAACATCAGTCCATTCGGCATCAGTCTCACCAGTGGGGACGGCCAGGTCTGGGCCTCCGGGCGACTGGAACGAGTTGAGGTTGAACAACGGGTTCAGGACCTGGGAGTAGCTCTCCGGGGCAAGCATCGGGTGACGGAGAGATGAAGCTCGGGGAAGGGAATACCCTGGTCGACGCAGCCGGGCTTCATAGCCTGCAGCAGGGCGGGATCTCCCTCGACGAACTCGTCGTCGAACTGGGGAGTGGCTGGCTTAGCGGGCTTTGGCTTGGGGGCGATCTCGCGGGCGATGTCGCGCACGATTTGATCTTCCTCGTCCTCGTCACGGAAGCTCATGTGCTGTAGCTGGCCGAGCTCCACGTAGGAGTCGGGCGTGGCATCAGTGGTTGCCGCAGGCTCCGAGCGACGACGCAGAGGAGCAGTTGTCTTGGTAATGCTGGTCTGCGAAGACTTGCGGCGGTTGAAGACGGGACGGCGGCGCGGGCCGCGGCCGTTGCGGGTTGCGGCGAGGTAGGTCTTCTTCGCACCCTGGCGGGTTGAACCTTCCGGAGTTGGTTCAGTCATGATGGGGGTTGGCGGATTGGAGGGGTTTCGTGTGATCTGTTCGCCGGATGGTGTGAAAATTGCCAGACGGGGTTTCTTTTGTATTTCACCTTGTGTAGGCTGCGGCTTCTTTAGTATGGAGTGAAATGAGCACGCTCCGCTGTCGCAGACACCCTGCTTCACGGGCTGACACGATTGGTCAATATTGAACTGAACGCGCCAAATTGGGACGAAAGACGTCGTACCTTCTCTTTGTTTACTGCAGGCTCCATTTGCTTTTCTTCTACCTTATGTCCCAGCAGCACCGGCGTCTTCTTGATACGTAGGATGAGGCGGTTTAAAGTGTAGAGACTTAAGTTGCCTGATAGCTGCTTGGTACCCCAGATTCTCCAGAAGAGATGCTCGAGGCGAGACTCGGTCTGGCCTTTGCTGGCAAGATTGGATGTGCTATAGGCTATTGGTCACCGGGTGTCAGTCCATCAGTCTTCTAACGCCTTAATGGGAGATATCACCTTGCCAGAATTTCTTGTAAACAGCGCTATCCAATTTCTCCTGCTGCATGCTCTCGGTAGCAGGCATGACAGCCATAGTAACCAGACCTGGGGGGAGCTTTGGCTCCATGTTGTGTCGTTAAGCTTGACCTGTTGAACCTCGCCGTGAAGACAGAAAAGAAATTTGTCAACGGAAGATAGGAGTCAAGGAAGGTTAGGAGAAACGGTGTCGACAGTATCAACAAGCGCAGAGAGCTGCGTAGATGATCGTGGCGAGGCGACGTCGAGGTATGCAAAGATCTTTGTCCGCAACAAGGCCCGTTGAAAAACGAGTGCTCTATATGGGGCCTTAGGCTAGATATTATTCAACCACATCATCTCTAGGATATCGCCTGCCCTCCCAGGCCAGTGGGGAAGAGAAAAGTTCACTGAACTCCCAAGATGAGACTTCCAGCTTTGCAAGTATGTGTGTCAGCATTCGCTAAGAACACCACACCTCAACCACAAAAAGAAAAGACGGTAAGAAAGAGTGAGGACCGGAGACAAGGAATTCGGACCCTTGATCGGGTAGCGGTCAAGTGCGGAGCCCAAACCCCTTGGATCGATCTCTCCAGATCTGTAAGGCTTCAAATTCGCCTAAAATCGGGACGGGCCGGGATTGGGCGTTTATAGTCCAGAATATGTACGGAGTTCGTACTTTTAGAAAAATTAAACAAGAGCAAGAGTCCAGATAATGAAAGAGAACAATAGGAGGGGCATAAAAGAAAACGCCTCCGCATCATGGACCTTACATTCCGAATTGCGCGTCCCTTGCAAGCAGGGATAATCGCAGCCCTATACCAGATGTGAACCCCCAATTTCACTCGGAACAGATCCGTTTTATTCGAGAAGTTCTACCGAGGTGACATTCTCCTTGATTGCGGTACCCAATAAAGGCGCAGCATCATGAAATATGCGGAGAAAAGCTGGGGAGCTTATGATTGGGCTGGGGTTGAAGATCTTCCGGATTTTCCGCAAACAACTCCGAGATCGTCATAGAGCTACTGCTAAAACGTCGTTTGAAAACTCTTCAGCTCTCTTGATTCATGAATGGAAGGTATCGCGGATATGTTATATGGCTATAACCGGACTACCTTTTTTTGACATAGCCACGATGCCGCTAAAGCGGACATAGGTACATCACACGAAGCTTGGACTTGTTCGATTTCGGAGCCGCTTCTTCCAATTCGACCCTTCACATTTATTCTTCGCACTGGGTTGTAGCGATTTTCAGCGAGTAACTAGTAACAAAGGTCATAATGTATATACGGCGCCACTCATGAAGTATTGGACAGTCCCTACGTGAAAGCCTCGAGGCAAGTATACCGTTTCATACATTTCTTTTTCGACCTATTTTGTTTCCCTTTTTCCGTCATTTTTTTCTCCCATTTTCGAATGCCTCAGGTTATATGGACATGGCTCATGCCATAGGCAAATAGTCCACCGCAGATTCCTTGAACTCCATTCTAGACTATGTGTTAGAGGATTTACTTTGAAAACTTTGAAAAGAATTCATTTTAAGTATATACTGACCATTCCCTAAAGTCAAGTAAGTACGTAGATTATGGCCAGTGCTAGATAATTCAAAAACCAATACGTAACAATATACGCCTGCTCCTCGCGCTGGTACCACATCGAAGACGAAAGCAGGAATGTGTGTTTGGAAACAGCTTCAAAAATACCAAGCAATACTCGCAGCGCGGCCAAGGTTCTGAAATTGAATCCGAAGCAAATCATGGTCAAGGCCCAGCCCCACAGAAAGATGTTCGCCGCGAGGTACTTCTCAATAGGATCCCTTTGCGCAATGATATTGGTCGTGGTCGGATATTCTGCGAATAAGATACCGAAGTAGATAACCATGTGTAGCCGTGAGTACTAGAACTAGCAGCATAGATCTCGGCAATTGCAGAAAGACATCAATTCTCACATATTGTCCAACAAGGTGGGCATTTTCTCGGATTCCCATGATCGCTGCATAGCTAATGGCATTTTTATCAAGTGATTGAAGTAAATAAGTCCCAACCATGGCAATCAAGACTCGTTTGTTTATCGTATGTCTGAGACGTTTGCTGGTCACTTCATCCACTTGCACGCTGTCTGCGTAGGGTGGAAGCACGACTTGCAAGCTCCTGGGGAGCACACACACTGTCGCTTCCGTCATAATTTGAGTTCAGGAAGCCTTAGCTTAGTTCGTTGCCAATTTACGTCCCCTCCGTCCTCTATTCCTTAACTCTGACCCAAGCCCTGGGACGTGTAAGTTATACTTAACCGAGCTTAACAGCAACAACCTGCCCACCATAAGTATAGCCCCCCATCTCACCACCACGAGTAGTAACATAAGCCACCTTCCCACCCGGAGCAAGCTGCACAGAAGTAGGACCAATAAGATCCAAAGTATCCGAGCCACCAGCAACAACACTATAAACCCCATCCGGGGTAATCCTAGCAAGAGAATTCTCCGGCTGCGCAATATACGCAGTACCACTAGCATCAATGATAAAATCATCCCAGTCAGAACCACTAGTACCAGCACTCAGTCGCGCAATAATCTCCACGCGACCGAATCTCATGCCATCATCGCTAACCGGTATTTTGGCGAAGATGTTCAGTGCACTGTTTGTGAAGTAGACGTTATCACCGATGATCTTTAATCCGTTTATTCCGATGGGTATTGATGCATTTGTCGAGGCGGCGAGCGCGCGGTTCGTGAATACGTTCTTCGATACACCGGTAAGTGTATCAACGCGAAAAAGAGATCCAAGTCGTGAGTCGGCGATTAGGACAATATGTGGCTGTAAAGGAAGAGAAGCTATACCGTTCAGCATGTAGGCATCGGGAATATGAGCCACGATGTTGACAATTGGATTTGCGGCATTATTGCTGAAGTCGACTGTGTATAGGGTTTCATTGTCGTAGTGGTAGGAACCGCGGACTCCGCCCACAATGGCGAACTTGTCTGTGTCTATGGCTGTGATGCCGCAGATTGCGGTGGCGCCTGGGAGTGCGGTGACTAGCTCGGCCTGTGGGTTCGGGGTGGATGGGTTGAGTGTGTATAGACGGCCCTTGTTGAATGTTGTTAGGAGGAGGTGGCCGTTTGGGCGGAGGGCGCTGTTTTCGATGGCGGTTGAGCTGGTGAAGTTGTATAGTTGGGTTGTTGATTGGGCAAATGTTGTACCAGCCAGAGCGGTCAGGCTTAACATCAACTGGGGACGCATGATGGTATTTTGAGGCTTGAGGTCGTAGTAAGAGAATGTCATTTCGTTTGAGAGAGATCTAACCTTTTATCTTGATGGTCTTTCTTCATCTCGGAGATAAAAGGGATCGGCAAGGAGCCAAGACGGGAAGCTTCATATTGGACCTCCAACAGGAAATCAGCACCGAGGATGGAAAAATGTATTCCAGGCCAGTAGGTTGGAAGATCATAGCTGTTTTTCTCAAGGCAAATACTTACATCCTGGTGGAAGTTTACATTTCATGAACCACCTCGCAATATCGACAATCTAGACGAAAAGCAGACCATTACCCAAGAATGCGCACCTTACAGATATTTGATATTCTGCAACTGCATGTTAATGATGGACGAAAAATATAATACAACAGGGGTCATAAATGTGTATACAGTGCCATGTAGTATTGAACACTAGAAGTGGCTATACCGTTTCATGCATTGATTCGCCGTAGCACCTATTTTTTCACCTCTTTTTGCCCATTTTCGAGTGCCTTGGGTTAATGATATAAATTATATAATGCTGGAGGCGTGAAAGGTCTTCTGGCCTATGACTGTAGGGGAATCAACATCCAATCCGATTGACCAAATCTATAAATAAATGTCTATGGCAACCAGATCAACACACCATCGGCCTCAGCCATCCATATCCACCAACATAGATTATATGACACTGGTCGGTAGATGATAACGGAAATGAGGCACGAGAGAAAAGAAATAAATAGTACATGGGGGAGAGGAGCTAACGAGGGTATCATGGAAGTAAGCGAGTAACTCCAATAGGCCACACCAAAAGATGAGAGTAATGAAGGAAAGAGAGAAAGAGATGAAAGAGGGTATCAGGTGAAGAGTGAATAGTAAAAGGGGTAAAAAAGGCCAAATGGTCAGATATCCCCCAGTTCGGAAGATGAAGAGAGAGAGAAAGTGGGACGAATACCACAAGAAAAAGGAATCGAGAGGGGAGGAATAAGCAACACAAAACGAGGGCGTATAGCAGTCATTAGATATTAGATAACGTTGAAGATCGGATCAAATTTTTCGAAGGGCAACAGTAGCCATAGAGGGCTATAAACCTCTCGCATAAACAAGATGAAGGGAGAAAGAGAGAGGGAATAGGAAAAAAGTGAGAAAGAAGAAGGGCATTAATAGACATTATCGACACGGATATGCGTCTTGTAGATTGAAAACGACACCAATCAAGCCTTCAGACCGAACGCCTTCCTGAGAAGAGGGAATCGTTTCTTCCGCCCAGAACCGGCAATCACAACATCGCGTGCAGAAGGCCCATGGTCATCCGGATTCGTGATCTCGGTGGCAATGTCATTGTTTGAATCTGTCCTGCTCTCCCGCCGAAGTGGCCTGGGCTCTTTGCCAATTGGAGATGCACCGCGTGCACCATCTCCGTTGACAAGGACACTCCCGTTGCGTGCGGGTGCATCATTGACATGCGGCTCAAATTTCTCGGTTTGTTGAGGGGACGATGGAGCGCTGGGCTTCTGCTCTGGTACTGGCTGGAGGGTTCCTTTGTCCGCTGTATCAGGGCGGAGAGGCCAAGACGGGCCTGTGGTGTTTCGTTTGGAGTTTCTCTTCACCAGTTTGGGGTAATGGGGTGGTTCAGGACTTCCTGCTGTCACGGTTGTAATTGTGCTCCCATGGGTTCCGTTCACAATGTTGTCTTCGCGCAATTGATCGCGTTCCAGACGCGATCGCTCTAGATGTGTATCTCTTCGCGAGGGACTTTCAACATCTGCCTTGCGGATTCTGTGTTCGATGTTCTTATCCTTTTTCAAACCAAGTCGTGTGAGAAGACCTGGCTTTCGTCCACGCGGAGGCGACAGGAGGAATTCTTCCAGATCTCTTTGCGACATACCGCGTTGTTTGGCGACAGCTGCCATCCCGGACATGCTCTTCGGTTCATTCCTACCACGGGTTCTGGGAGGAGAGAGAACCGACTTGGGGGCAACAGTTGGTTGTGTCTGTTGTTGGGTGCCTTCTTCTGAGCTATCATCCAGCTCTGTCGAGTCGCCATCGTCGGCACCTTGGCGACGGGGGATACCGCGCACAGGCCGCATGGCTATGTTGCCAGGCTCGTCCTCGTCACTGGATTCAAATCGACTGCGGAAAGTCTGCGTCCGGGCTTCGTCTTCCTCGCCATCCGAATCTGCAAACCGGCTTGAGCTGGCTGCCTTGGGAGGCTGTTTCGAGACCTTCGCCCTTGGTGCTTTTTTGTTTGTCGAGAAGAACGAATACCGCTCGCCTCCAGCACCTGTTTCTCGAAGCGTCTTGCGCATCGTGCCATTTGACGAACCGGCTGACATGGGCCGATAATCAATGGGTGACTCGTTTCGCTCGGCTGGGCCAGCACCGGCTCTCAGTGTTCGTCGCATTGCATGGATGCCATCTCCACGAGGAGAAGAGCGCTTGAAGCTGCTTGAAGAATCGCTTCCACTGGACATTGTTCGGCGAGGCCCAGGGGGTCTTGACTTCTGGAACGCAGGGCCAAGGGAGACTGGACGTGGTCTGTTCATGCCATCCCGCGGAGAATTCTCGTTGCTCGACCATCGAGGGTCTTGCATACGAGATGTAGGACCAATTGCCACAGACAGAGGACGTTGTTTCCCGTTGGGATGTGTCCAGGTACTACCATTTTGAGGAGCGCGAAAGGTCGAGTTAGTTGCCAGCGATGGGTAGGCAGGATCAAGATTGCGAGCTTTCATCGGGGAGGAAGGAGATTCTTCTGCCTCTCGGTTGACCGATTCCTGAGTTGGGGTGACAGAGCGCACATCCCCAGCCTGGTCAGTCACATCACGCGACTGAGTATCCACGATGGCAGTTCGATCTAGAGCCTTCGGTGTTGCGTCACGACTCTCGCTCGTGGTGTCCAAAGCTGATACCGACCTGGGGGCTGAGCGGCTGTCAACAATAGCATTAATCGATCCAAATCCATCGCCGTCAATGTCTTCAGCTGCATCGCTATAAACACTATCACCAGACTCCTCTTCAGTATCTGCGTCGTCCAGGTTTGGAACGGCGCTTGCAACAACCTGAGCATTGGTCTTCTTTGCTGTGGACTTGAGGTTGCGGTCTGAGCTGGATGGCGGGAACCCGCCTGGAATCCTGTACTGATCCATGCTGGATCTTTGTTGTTCAAGACTTCGCTTTGATTGATCTAGAGGGGGGTAGCTGGTTCAACAGCAATCGCAGGCACAGAAAGTTCAGCGCTCACACCGGTATACGGCTTTTGCTCAGTGATACCAATGACTTTCGACCCCCTGTCCGCCCCCAAGTTGGTAGCACCATTGACGGACATTTGCTCCAGAGTACTAACATCGCGAGGCTTAAAGTAACCATGATCTTGAGTTTTGGAGAGCATGCCTGCGATTGCATGATCGTTTGATAATGCAACCCTCGGCTGAGTTGCAACCTCGTTTTCAGAGGAGGAACTGGATTCGTTATCGCTGAAATCTGGAATGGGCGATCTCTGGAGACCACCCTTTCGGTTGCCTCTAACGCTACCAAACGATGGAAGAGCTTGTCGAGGTTTGATGACCGCATTGAAGCCATCGTCATGCATAACAGGGTCAGATGGTGACTTCTTCTTGCCAAAGAAACTCATACGAGCCTTGGCTTTGCCGCCGGGTGGTGAATCAGGTGCATACTCCTCTGGCGAGGTAGGAGGGCTAGCTGCCACCCCTACAATTTCAGCTTCATCATCGAAGCTAACCTTGGCAGTCTTCTTTTTAGCACCAATGCGGAATCCTTCGTCTGATGCCACCGAGGTACCGCCATCTGACAACTCGCTAGATGCGAGAGCTCGACCTGTTGTACTATAATTCCTTTCTGGTGATAGAGAACTACCTCGTGGGTGTTTTAAGGCGGACTTGAAGGGAGACACTGATCGAGGAGGGGGCTGATGGATTTGATTCCCCTCATCAGCCACGGACAGTAATTGAGAGAAACGAGCACGACCCGGGCTGTTCGACTGGCGTATGTGCGGGGATTGTCCGGTTTGCTCTGGCACTGCTTCCAAGTGATCGGCTGTTGGTGATGCACTCGTCATGCGATTTCTCCCTTCCCTGATATGAGTATCAACGGCTTCGTCTATAGGCTCTGTCTCCTCTGGGACTGTTGACGCCCACCGCTCAGGAAGAATTCGCGAGGTCGGATGCTCACTCTCTGGTATGGTGGTCGCAATAGGCCCTACATTGTCGGTAAATTGGTCCAGGTCATCCTCGGCAAGTTTAACTTGTACTTGGTCGGCACGAGTCTTTGCCTGGGGAATACCCTTTTGCGTGTTAAGGGCTTGGGCAGCAGCAGAAGCAGCCAAGGGACCCCGGACCTTATTCGCAACCGGGCTTCCTTCCACACTGCCAGAGGTCCGAGCCCTAGATTCCTTTTCGGGAGTCCGCTCCGGCTCTTCGAAGGAAGACTTTTGGAGCACACCGGCGAGATTCGATGGTTCATTCTCCGGTTCCTTGGTAGGGGAAGTCGGCCGTGAAAGATTGGGATACGAGAAATTCGCCGAAATGCGACTCGCTGATCGTTCCAACTCTGGCACCGTCCCAAGACTTGTCACACGTTGGTGTGTATCAATGTGGATGGGCGAGCCTCTTCCATGGTCCCGATTTAGCCTTCCGGACCGCGGCGGAGATGCTGGGGGTGACCGCATCGATGGCCCCATGCTCATTGCTCGCCCATTGGGGAGTTTCCGCGGTGCATACTGTGTCGGGAGATTAGGCAACGGGGGCACATTGACTGGTCCAGAGCTTGTAGCTGGGCGATGGGGAGACTTTTCGCGGAAGGTTCGTGCCGTCATCGAGCTGTTACTGCTCGAGCGGCGCAGCGTCCCACTCACGCTTGCCGAGCGACGACCGCCAACAGGATTAATCTGCGACTGGGTCGAGGCACGCCGCTGGACCATGCGTTTCGTCTCGACATTTCCGATGGACGTCGGGGTGGGCGTGGAGCTGCGTAGCGCAGCGGCAGCTGCCGCAGAGGACAGACTGCTCGTCGACGGTTGTGATCTTAGGAAGGCATGGCTGGCGGCGGACTGGGCGGATTGCGACGCGGGCGGAGAGAGTGGCTGGTCGGAAAGAAAGAGCTGTCAGTTTCATGCATAGGTGCAGGTACCCGGCGGGTTGCAGGATAGGTCTCATCGCAGGTGGGAAATTTGCTATGGAATTCCATTGGAGCTGGTATTTGAGGCGTAGAACGTACTTGGTGATGGGCAGAGGCACTTCTCTTGCGTCGGCCGAAGACCATTGTTCAGGCTCTTCGTCGGTGAGGTCTCGGTCAGAGATCGGGTAGCCGGCCGGACACTGCTTTAAGCAGCGCCGGGGTTCCGAGATTGGAGTGGATGAAGTGGATGAGGCTATCGAGTGGATCTTAGATAGATCTGGGATGTGATGGTAGGTAGCTATAGGAGGTTGAGTTGGAAGAGGGGAGCGGCAAACTCGGAGCGATCGACACAGGCCAGTCAGGAGTCAAGGAGAAAAGCGAGGGTAAGGATTGGATTGAAGGAATCAAGAATTGTGGCTTGTCGCAAAAAAAGAAAAAGTGGGAAGAAAATGTGAAGTTGCAGAAGATCTGAAGTTGCGTCATGACTTAAGCCGTGGGTCAGGCACGGAACTACTCCTGGCAGCTGATAGTTCTTCCACCTCACCTCTCTCCTCTCTAACCTCGGTAGTTTTACATATAAAAGCTACCTAGATACCCCATTTCTCATGTACATAGTCCTTTACTCCTTGAATCCTTGACTGCTTACTATAATCTCCAAGCTCAAATCAACATCTACAACCATGACCACAAACACCTCCCTACCACCCATCCCCATCCCAGAGGGAATGACAAGCCGCTACATCCAAACAAGCGACCTAAACTTCCACATCCTAGAAGCAGGACGACCGCAAACTGGCACCCCACAAAAGCCGCTAATAATACTCCTTCACGGTTTCCCAGAAATCGCCTACTCCTGGCGCCGCGTACTCCCAAAGCTCGCCGAAGCAGGCTACCACGCCGTAGCTCCCGACCAGCGCGGCTTCGGACGTACAACAGGCTGGGACACCAGCAGCTACGAGGACGTCGATCTCGCAACTTTCTCGTTGTCCAGTCTGGTGCGGGATATTGTGATGCTCGTGCATGCGCTCGGCTATCGCTCCGTGCAGTGCGTTGCGGGACATGATTGTGGTGCGATGTCGGCCGCTATGTGTGCGCTTATGAGGCCTGACTTCTTTCGTTCCGTTGTGCTTATGAGTCATCCTTTTAATGGGAGTCCTGAGTTGCCGTTTGATACTGCCAGTGTCAATGCTGATGCTGGTCAGAGTATTGAAGCCAGAGGAGGTGGTGCTGGTGGTGCGGAGAGCTCTGCTGCAGCGGCGGGAATTCATGAAGCTTTGGCGCAATTGGGACGCAAGCATTATAAGTGGTATTATTCGACTGCACGGGCTGGTCCTGAGATGTCCAATCTAGAGCCTGAGGAGATGCATCGCTTTTTGCGCGGGTATTTCCATTTGAAGAGTGGTTCTTGGCCAGGGAATCGGCCTCATCCGTTGGGGAAGTGGTCGGCGGAGGATTTGGTGAAGCTGCCTGGTTACTATATTATGCCCTTAGATAAGTCTATGCCTGCAACGGTGGCTATTGATATGTCTGAGGAGTCGTCAAAGGGTCAGTCTTCGCATTCGTGGCTGCCGGATGATGAGCTTGCTGTTTATGCGGCTGAGTATGGACGCACTGGATTCCAGGGTGGATTGAACTGGTATCGTGTGCGCACGGCTGCTGGCGGTCGATACACTAAGGACTTTGAGGTCTTTGCTGGGAAGAAGCTCGAGCCACCATGTGCTTTCGTCTCTGGGAAGCTGGACTGGGGTAATTACCAGGAGCCTGGTGCCATTGAGAAAATGAAAAACGGCGTGTCCTGTGCGGATCTTCGTATCCTTCGGTTTCTAGATGGGGTTGGACACTGGACACCCCAGGAAGGCTCGGAAGAGGTAGCACGGACGATTGTCGAGCTGGCTGGAGGTCTGCAGTAGTTCCTAGGTGAGTTAGATGTGCGAAATTGACATGTACATCCGAATTACGATAGATGCGTAACAACATGATAGGGATGATTGTCATATTTGACGAACATATTCGTTCTGTAAAGCAGTATAGAGCCCAAACACCTGTCAACGCCAGCAAGGGATCAAAGACCCAAAGCGTCAACTATAAAACCCATTCAAAACATGCAGTATCATCATTGATTTTGAAGCGTCATAGATTAATGAAACCAGGGGTATGGCGCAAAAGAAAGAAAAGAGAAGCGCGTGTAAATACCAACAAGAATCAGACATCTCTACAGATACATGCCAAAGGCGATAGCAGTCAACAGCGGTACGAGGGCTCCAGCGGATATCTTCGGGGGCTGAAGCATCCCTGCGCCAGAGCCAATGGAACTGGTGGTGTACATGTACTGGAAAGAGATGTCTGTTGAGTTAAAGCAGTTGTCGCGATTTACTTCCTCAACAGAGGCATCGCCATCTTCTGCGAACTCGATGTCCACACACTAGAACCATGTCAGTATGTGCGACCACTTGACCCAGGGGGGTGGAACATACATTGTACAGTGCAGCGCCATGCTTGGCCGTCTCAACCAACTGGATAGTAGCATAATCACCAGGGCTAACACTGATATTGGCCGGCAGAGGAACCTGCGGCAGACACACGGTACCCGGGTATGGGTTGTTGGTCGGGCCGGTTATCTGGAAAGGCGACACAACAGGGTGGCTCATATTCTCCGGGATCTCGCCAAATCCAAGGTTGATATAAATCAAGGCATTCTGATGGCCCGGGAACCAGCCCGGTTGGAAGGCGAGAGCACCACCGCTGACAGGCCACTTGGTTCGGTTGGTTGATCGGGGCATACCACCACCTTAAGCAAAGAGAAGAGTCAGTGACACTGGCAGTGCGTCGTCGGAATCAACTGGTCTTACATGGGTAGATCCACTCCATGCCATAGGGGAAGATGTATGAGCCGTTCTTCACATCGTAGGCCACACCCAGACCATTAGACTGCTGGACTGTGCCGTTGGTGTGGAGGTTGTTGCCTCTGTAGCCTGGGTATGTGATGACGGTGTGAGCTTGTGCCAGACCAAGACATAGCAGGACAAGGACAGAGGCCCATCGTGTTACGGATTGTTGTAAGCTCATGGTGAGGTATGAGACGAGGCGTGGCCCCGAATGTATATGGCGACCAAGACAAAAGAATTAGACAAAAACGGAAACCGTCTGAGAGTCCCAGACTCTATTTATCCGATCGCAGGTAAAAAGTGAAGGGATGAAGGGAATTGATGTCAAACCAAAACCGCATATGAAGCTCCAAGACCAAGCCACGGATGATTTTCGAGGGCTGATCGGTCTTTTTGAGGGGGCCTCCATTGAGAACCTAGGAACCAAATGTGACTTGGCCTGCATGAGTGATTGGGAGTGGGTAGTGGTAAAGAGCAGGGATGGCCCGGATCATCACACCCAGCTGCAAGTGCCATCACTTGAAGCGTGATACTGCATGATGATTTGCTGGGGGGAAGCGCCCAGGAAGACGCTAATGTTCGGAGGGGAACAACGGCGCTTACACTGTGAATAAACGGGGTGAGAAAGTGCATGCATTGTTAGTAGATACCATCCGATACTAACAGCAGTGTTAATTGAATTATTGAGTGTAAGCTATGGTCTTAAGTGGCAACTAAGTAACTTATAGTCCACAGTCACCTCATCTCAGTCGGAATGCCAAGCTTTCCCCCGCAAACTCCAAAAAAAAAGGCTTCACCAGTCATACATTGTTTCCACTGATGTTATACCACTAATCAGCATTATTATAATATCGTTCCTATACAAAATATGCCGAGCACATCACGTCGAACAAAGCGACCCCAAAAACGAACCCAAGTGACAGACGATAATGGCTGGACCCATGTGACAAGCGGCGGCAACGTGCGGCGCGTAATGCGAAGCAGGCCAGACAGCACAAATGGAGCATTCACCGACCCATCCTTTGAGCCTGTGCTAGCTCCTGCAGAGGCACCAAGTCGACTGACAATCACCGAGCTGCAGACGCAATATCGAGAGCATAGTGAGAAGTGGGAAGGGTCGGAGACTTGGGTCAAATTGGCGGGGGTGTTGGAGAAGAAATTGAGAGAAAAAGGGAGTGAACAAGCCTCTTCCTCGCCTGGTTCAACTTCTTCTCGGTCTGAGCCGGCCTATGGCCCTGTGGACGCCATTGTATGCATTGGCCTCGGGAGTCCGAGTGGGTTCCTGCGTGATGGCTGGACTGATAGGCGGAGTGTGTCTATGTACCAGCTTGCTGCCTTGGTAAGCATCAAGGACATGGTTACAGGTGAGTTTTATATTCTTGCTTTTTCTGTTACTGGTTCCTTTTGAAGACACATGAGAGCTTTTCTCCAATCATATCCCTTACCTTTTCTCCGATGGCCTTATATCTATACATATACCCCTATACATTATATTTTTATACACATGTCAAACCCTTTCATATCCCTCACTCATTCCTCCACCCCACATTCAGCCCAATCCAAACTAACAGCCTTTAGCCCAAACGGAAGAAACCTCCCACTCCCAGATCCATCCTATCAAAGTCTACGCCCAAGACCCCGTCTTCAACCACCTGGATAAGACTCTCCTCGCAGATCTCAACATTGAAGTTCTCACCCACCCTCAAGCCTTCACACACATAACACATAACACACTTCTCTTCTGTCCAGGCGCAGAGAAGAAACACCTCGAACTCCTCCTACCTTCCAAGCCGTGGCTGGTCTTTGGTGGCCCGCTTGAGCATGCGACTGCGGATGCTGGTGGGGCTCTGCAGACTTTCGTTGATGTCACTGGTTCATATTGTCTGCCTGAATTTGGACCCTTGGAGCATGCTTTTTGGAACATGAGGCTATATTGGCTCGAAGACGAGACGGTGGAGGAGCAAAAGGAGTGAATTTGGCATGCTTTGGCATTGGGGTTTGAATTGGTTTTTTCGGGTTTAGCATGGTTATATACAAAAAGGTTTATAGATATTGCATGGGTTGGCGTTGATTTGTGCTGGTGCGGCTGAGACATCGAGGACGATCTTTCAGGGTCCAAAATTATACCACGGTTTATATCAATTGTTTTCTATTCCTGGTCACTGGTTCATTGCTCCAGTCCCATGGCGTAACCAAAGTTTTAACTGCTGGTATATATGATTAGAAGTATGAGCTTGTGAGCTGCCAAGTACAAATGACTTGCATCCAATGAATGATGCTATTATATCTAACAGTCTAGTATGATACTGCTAACGTATCCCTTCCCAAATATCAAAGTCTACTGTGACAATACTATATCCCAACCAGCGTTGTATCTCCAACTGAACCCCAAAGAAAGCCAGACCTATAACAACATCCATATAACACAAATTCCAACACCCGAATCACAAAATCATATCAAATGAAAACCGAACCTGAACCCGAGACCAATGAACATATAGGCACATGGCGAACAATAGAAACACAAGGAGCAAGAATGATATCAAACATCCACGCAACCCTAGCCCTTCTACCGAACATCCTCTTTCTGGCAACAACCCTTGTTCTTATGCGAACAAATTGGACAAGTACGCTCCGAGGCAAGGGCTGGGTTGACTAAATTTTTGCAGCCGCAGCACGTCCACCAGTCCCCTACCAATTGTCTCGGGGTGCCGGTAAAGAGATAGTCAGGTGTAAGAACCGGCATGGTATCCGGAAATGCAACCAGTGTCGACCGCACACGATTGGCGAGTGGAGAGGCCAATCCATCCGGATAGAAGGGACCTGACCCTGTGATCTGACTAAAAGAGCAATCGGTCGAGCTGGAAACTGTGCTGGTTCTGGAGGCATCTTCCGTAATCGAAAACACGCTGAACGGAGCGGCAGACATTGCGAACTGATGTTCAGGTGGAATCGTTTGGTTGTTGAATGTTAAAACTTCAGCTGATGCTGCTTAGTACTTGAACACTGGATATATGTCCGTTATAACAGAGAAGATGTAGTCTGAATCCAAAGTATAATGCAATGAAAGCGAGTGAAGAACCATCCCAAGGCAGCCATAAATGAACACTTTTATTACCCCAAGCCCAGGAAAACAAAACATCCGACATGAATCTTTCATCGCAACAATTGCCACCACAGAATACCCAGAATGAAGAGCCACAGATAGGAACATCCAGTCAGTGGCAGAGCAGACAGCTCACAATACCCATCGGGTAAAGCCACAAGAAAAGAGCAGCAGACAATACCCTTCAGCATCGGGGAAGCGGATTCAAACCAACCACCCAGCAAGCACAGAACAGCCTACTCAGCCATTCCATACGTATCACTCACGACCCGGGTCAGACAACCAGAATCGCGCCTGGCAATGCCTGATGCCTGGGCGTCGGGTATCTTTTTCTCTCGATGGAGTCGGGATTAAATATTTAGAAAAGAGCGGTGGCATCTGTAAGAAGATCTAGAACTGCCGTGCATGACGTGGTTCCCCGTTTGGGGGGAACGTCACGGCATGCTGGGACTGCGGATAGCTGGCCCATTTCTCGCGAGGCGGGCCGTACAGGGGCTTAGAGCGCTTTGTGGAGTCATATTGGGCGTGAGAGTTGCCGTGGTTCTAAGTTGTTTGTCTGGGTGTTGGTGAGATCGCTTGTGGGGACTTAGTTCCCTTGCCTCGGTTGGGGCGTCTGGATCTAAGCCTCCCGCGGGTGCGAGGGTAAATCACGAATGAACGGTTCGCTTTGTCCTGTTATTGCCGTTCGCCTCATTGACCGGTTTTATCCCATTGGAATTGTTGAGGTCAGTGGGAGATACGGGGTTCATGTGGAAGTGTGTAAGGTCTCGAAGACCTGTGGCTTTGGAGCTTTGCTTCTTGGTGTCGTTATAGATCAAGAGGAGATGGGTTATATTGGGACTCTAGCGCTGAATGGTATATGCAAAGTCAATAAACTGTGAATATGAATGGTACTCCTCACAAAACGCCTTCAAGTAATTTTGGATAAGAGATATAAGCCCCCTGGTGGGTAGGACTGTCAGTAGGTGGAATTGTTGATATGTGCTACAGTCGTAAGCTATGAGTCCTTTCACACCCCCACCTTTATACCCCCCATATGATGAACCCGAGGCACTCGAAATAGGTAAAAAAGAAGTGAAAAAAGAGAGACCAAAGTAGGGCGAAAAAACGTATAAAATAGTAAAACAGTATACTCGCTTTGAGGCTTTCCTGTAGAGACTGTTCAATACTTGATGTGACTATATACACGTTTATGGCCCCTGTTGTATTGGTGAGAGATTCAATTACGACCCAACGCTGATTTTGGGCACGAAGCCACGCAGTCAGGTCCGAAGATTCATAAAGGACGAAGACCTCGGGATTTGTTTGCAGCGATTGAGACAATGAAACCGTACAATTCATATATTGAACCACAGTGTACCAGCATATATAGTTCAAAGTAACCAAGCCCCTCACCTCTGAGTTGAAACAGTCTTCTTTGTTACATATAAAGCAAGGCCAATGCATTCATTAAACTTGAAAGCCTGCCTGTACAGCGCATTTTGCTGTGTGGTTGGAGCCCAAAAAGGTTAATTGTGAGAAAAAGAGACCCAACTAGGGTTATAGAGCCAGCGCCTCCCTCTTTTGCCTTTTGCCCTCCCATTCTTACACGAAATGACTACACGTCTTTGGTATAGACAAGCAATAATGTCATACTCCGAGCTGTATTTGAAACCGCCTATTTTTTCGGGCTCAATGGGAGTTTTGCCCAGGTGTGGGGACAGAGCCTCAGACAGTACAGTAAGGGAGCGATGTGCAGCGTTTCATAGTTAGATGTGGAAATGGCATCCATGGTTTCGAAGGCGGCCCCAGTTTCCGAACATTGTTGATCCACGGATACGATCTACATCAAATTCAATTCAACTTCGGCTTCAACTTCATTGAAACTCCATTGAAACTTCATCTCTAATGCCCGAGGCAAGGTAAGTCCTGGGGCGAGCTAACGGCTTAACCGGCAATGACCGACCGTTTTGTCAGCGCCCAACCCACTTTTGCGTCATTGTTCATCCACACTCCATTTTCATTTTCAATCTCCTGAATCCCTTCGACTTCGTCCGAGCTTGTTAGTTTTTTTGTGTTGGGCAGTGTCGGGCTCCACCTCGTGTCGGTTTCCAGCTGCCCCTCTAATTTCCTCAGCTTTTTATCTCTTGCTCGCCGGAATCCTCACCTCCGATCCCATCGATCTTGTGTTTCGGCACTCCTACAAGAAGCGAAGCCTGAAGCCCTATCATATTATCTGACATCGAAATTTCGCCCGGACCACGAGATCTGAGACCGCCACACCCGATTCTTACTCCCACATAAGCGTGATCTACCGAGCCCAACCTCCAATTTGCATCTGTGCCGCTGGAAGGCCTCATGATGACAAGCCATTACCGCAACCTTTCCCCTGGCCGAGCACGGCATTCCATGGTTGATCCCATGCGAGCGTCCACTGGAATGGTACACTCGTCTTACGACCCCTATGAAGCGACCCGGCACTACAATTACGACGACTACCCCTCCGATGCTGGCTACGCCAGTGCTTACGGGTATCGCTCGAGTCGTCCGTCGAAACTGGAAGCCCATCCTGTGTCTTCCCATCGAGTCCATGATTCGCCTTCATCCACCAAAAAAAGGACCGAATACACTGTCTCGACTCCCAGACACAGAAGCAATACTACTTCAGCAGCGGACCCCTACGAGACTCCATTGCGACTGGCTGTGCCATCGACATCGCGCCAGCGTCTTTCGCCCGTGCTTCAATCAAGTCATGGCCATACCTCGAGTCCTCTCGTTTCGGAATCGGGCCACCACCTGGTCCCGGCTCCATCTCTGCACCCTGGGCATCGTCGAATCTACAGCACTGATTATGCGAGCGATACTGGTCATCTGGGGCCGCGGGATAAGATAAACTACCGAAGCCACGATGCCCACCGACCACATGCACCACCCCATCCACGACGCTACCCAGCGTACAAAGCATTGAGGAAAGGCGACGATATCGATGATTTCGATGCCTACTCATACACTACACCTCGTGAGCAATTTGATCGGGATTACCCAGTCAAGTCCCGATCTCGTGGGTCGAGATATTCGCTCGATCGGCCTCTCAGCATCACTGGAGTGGAAGATAACCCCCAGTGGCTGGCACGGAGGGACCGACCCCACGGTCCGCCTCCAACTTCCTGGGGCTTTGACAAATTGAGCCGCGACCGACCGAGAGGTTCTATGCGGACAAGAGATGACCTTCGTGATCCCCACAGATCAAAAGATGGGCTTCATGACCAGGCCCTGGTTCCAGTGGCACACGACTCCGAGGATGAATATCCATCTCGGCATAGTGACCATCGCCGCCGTCGTCATCACAGATCACATCGTGACAGTAGTCGGGACCCCCACTACCTTGAGGACCGCTATGCAAAGCCACACGATGGCGAGCGGGCAATGGTCGGCCTTGGAACAGCAGCCCTGGGGGGTGGATACTCTGACATGTCAGACTATGAGCCCCGTCCGTCAAGGCGCAGACAAAGGCACCACGATGACCGTGACAAGCGCGACCACGGTGCAGTCCAGGCCCCATCATCTCGAGAGATAGTACAAGCATCTCCTGGCGCTGAAAGAAGCAAGCAGTCCTACCTGGACCCAGCCGATGCTCATCGTCACGGTCGATCGCGGAGACATTCTCGACGCCGTGCACACAGCGATGATGGCGAAACATCTGACGAAGATCTGCGAAAATACAGACGTGAGCCTTCCGCTTCAGCACTCCGCAAACACAGCAGCGAAGACACCTCCGAGAGCGACCGGGACCGCTCCCTTCGGCACAGACGAGATCACTCGCGCGGACACCGCTCCTCTCGTTCTCGTCCTCGCATGCTAGAGGATGGCCATGCTAGTGAGACCCGACGGTCGCCACCAGTTGAGCACACCAAAGATGACTCGAGAAGACCCGTCACAGTTGATCCTCCCATGGCGCCAAAAGAGCCCGAGGCTCCTCCCAAGGGAATCCTCAAAGCCCCTCGTCCAGCATTCCCAGAGGAACCCAACCCGGTCAGAGAAGGAGTTGCACCCCTCAAAGATGCTCACAAACAGGGCATCCCGCCCGGAGCTCGATGGACTAAGATCGACCGGCGGCTGGTAAACCCTGAGGCATTGGAAGCAGGAAACGAACGATTCGAGGAGCGCTCAGATTATGTGATTGTACTGAGAGTCCTGGCAAAGGAAGAGATTCAGGAATATGCTATCAAGACACAAGAAATCAGAGGTAAGTCACGCTGTTGTCTGTCTGTCCCTCCGGAGAGGAAGGGTTTCAATTATGGTCCCAGAATACTAACATTGAATGGCCTAGAAACCCGCCACAAGGAATATCTGCGCGACAAGCGTCAGCACAGAGATGAAACTCAACGTCACGGCCGCCGAGGCGAAGACTCCTCGAGCGATGACGAAGACGAGGGCGACGACGAGCCCCCGAAGAAGCTCGAAGCACCCCCGGCATCAGACCCGCAGAAGCTGTCTCTACCCATGCGCCCGCACGCTTCAAGCCACTCCCTGCCGGAGCCCGACAGGCCCGGTATGAGTCCGTCCGTTGCGCCGGCGTAAATCACTCATCCACCTACTGTTACGATGATCTGCTTCAATCTAGCGAAAGCAGTCCAATGAGAGTCAATTGTTTATGTCCATAGTACCCCCTGAATGATTTATTTCCTTCCCGCCAAGAACCACGGAGCAAAAATGGACCGTTGGTCGTCATATTGGCTCTAGTGAATGCAACTAATGCATCCTTCCTCGACGGCTACAACCACGCTGCATGATGAGTCCCTGCAGTCGGCGAGGACCGGCTCACTTTTCTCTCACTCTCCTATCTCCTGAATATCCGAGGTCCTTCCGCAAGTCAGTACCAAGTATTCATCCTTTTCCATGCTATTTTCTTTTCTTTTCTTTTCTTTTTTTATTTTTATTTTCGGTGTCCGGCTCCACCGCTTTACATAACTATCTGTGTCAGCTGGATGCACATATATGTTATATTTTGTTTGATAGACGCCTAAATCAACGCGTCTCGCATACTGGCAGCACCATGACGCGCCGCAAAGGAATCTTTCCGAGCCAATCATCCAAGTCTACGCTTGTCCTTCAGCCCCAGAATTGCAGGAGAGGCGACCTGTCTCTGTCTCTTGTCTCCAGGCACTAGGCATCCGCGTCCGCAGCTGCGGCTGCGTCTGCCCACGTACCGTAGAGCCTAGTAGAATCAACATGGGACCAACTCCGTGTCCTGCTTTATTGGTCCTGTTATATTGGGTATATCGGCATTGGCGTGGGCATGGCATGTTTCCGCGAATCAAGACAGCTGGCACTGCCCTTCAGCTTTTGTGTGACGTTTGAAGGACCTCTCACGGCACTTAAATAGGTATGGGCGTTTAGTACTTCTGCAGATTGAGTCATTGCATCGCATTTTATTTTATCTTTTGCATTTACCCTTTTCAGAAAGAAAAATGAAGAAAGACGTTACTAGTACGGAGTAGACTGGACCTATCTACTCTATGTTGATTGTTGACCGTTGGGTATGTGTGTACAGCCCACGGCGATAGACACAGCCAAATAATCAGTCTAACTCGATACACAAGCGCCCCCAAAAAGAGGACAGCAAATAAAATAGAGCTGAGAAAACAAACGGAAGGGGGAACTTCGAAATGCCACCCCCCAAAATGCAATTGGCTTGAACAAACAATGATTTTTCCTTTTTTCTATTTACTTAATTTCTTTTCCTTATTTCCATTTCGTTTGCTATAACCGCCATCCCGGAAATTATCCAACAGCGCCTAAGTCCTGGTGTCCATCCCAAGCCCAAGCCCCGTGATCACGCGTGATCGACCCGGAACCCAAAAGGGAAAAAAAGCATAGAGCCCATGACTCAAAAGAAGCAGAAAATAAAAAGAGGAAAAGGGGTGGAAATCACACACTGGCGTGTCCTGTATGGTAGTTGCATAGTGGCTGCAGGATCTAGACACACGCCACGCCCAGCAAACATTTTGGAAATCTGTCTCGTCGGTTCGACAGTATTCACCGGTGCTTCTCTTGCGGAATATCAGGCATGAAAATGGAACAGTGCGAGATATTACATAAGAAATAAAGAAATATAAGATGTGACGAGATAGGGTGATATTAGAGGCATGCAAATGCAGTACACGTATATACCGGACTCCGTCCTCTGCACCCTATCAAAAGCTCTCTCTAACTTGTCACTTGTACAGTAACTTTATACATGTACATGGAGATGCCCGGAATGGGATGGGCTCTCTCGCTAACTAGTACTGCTTACTGTACAGCGTGCAATATACGAGAACTTACCCCCCTGCTCGAGGCTTGTACGACACACTTTTCATGTGTGAGCACCGCCCCTGCTACCACCTCGCAATTTGCCCGCGTGAATTATTTTCTATATATTTTATATTATCTATTTGAGCATATGTTGGACATAAATTGTGCGTGGAGGATCGCATGATACATGTCCACGTACATGCACAGAAGCCTTGGCTTTTTGGCACTTGTGACGTCTGGATAAGCGCTCGTCCCCTGGCGACAGACGCTATAACATGTTTATTTTATCCCAGCACCCACCCTGAAAGTCTCATGGGTACGTGTATGGGTGTTCTGTAAGGAGTAGTCGTGGTTGTGGTAAGTTAGTAGGGTTACAAGGGTATCAGCTCCTAATGCATATAATGCAGCAGCACTATTGACTTAATAGGGAATAGGCAATATCGGGCCAGACCGATGATGTATGGAAAAGTAAAGGTTTGGCTTTCCCTACTTCCCCCGCCCCCTCTTCGTCTCGTCTCGGCTTGGGGACTAGTTGCTATGCGGCATTTAATTGACTGCGCCGCGTGTATACAAGAGACCAGAGACTAGAGACTACATCAAGAAACGAGAAACAAGAAACAAGTCTAGACAGCCCGTCCCGAAATCCGGTAGAGGTGATAGACTTTATGTTGACTATCACTGCAAGTATCCATGGTTGGTGATGACATCTCGATCTGTGATCTACGGTAGGTTTGATTTGATTTGAGGGGTTGACCCAAGGTATGATGTAGATACTTGGGTAAGGTGGATGTGAGTGGACGGGTATAATACATGTACACAAGTAGTGTTGCAATCAAGAACTGTTGAATTGTAACTCAAGAGATTGCGCGAGTCATGTCCAAGTCCTGGTCTGATGTCTGTGGCGAGGGCTGGAACGGCTGAATTTCACTGGGGGGAATAAGCCAACGAAGATCCAGAGAGATCTCCCGAACAAGGCCTTTGGCCACTGAGATAGATTGAATGGATGGAGAGCTTGTCTCTCGGTCCGGATCCACGTATGGGGCTGGTGGACTGGTGGGTGGGTGAGCTTGGAGCTTGGGGATTTCCGCTCGCTTGTCGGGATTGATCCGTGTCCTCTTGATCCATGGATGTTTAGCCTGTAAGCCATGGATAGTAGAGCCTACCAGTAAAACTCCGTATAGCATGGGTATTGGGATATAGTGCTGACAGTGGACAAGCAAGAAACTCGCCGATCATGACGAAATAAGCGATATTCGACGCAATTGAATCTTCTCAGCTGCCATACGAGATACGAAGGGGAGAAAAAAAATAATAAAATCAAGTTTCTTTGTTTCTAATGTGCGACTATCCCAAACATGTCTATGATCGCCGTGGCACATGGGGGCAAACGCAAACGCGCGACCCCCTGCTTCCGCCTCTTTGACACATTTAGTCTCCGTCCGATGGTGTCATTGCCAATGGGCCCGAGATGAGCACCGATTCATATGGGCTAGGATTATGGTGGCTATTAACTAGGGACTAGGCGTGTTTTGCTCAGGTGGTCTGACGTAGGGTACGGGACTGCAGAGCAGACAATTGGATAATTCCAGTACAACAATGTACATGTATGTACATGTCAATTTCCCTATGCGATCGGTATCAAGGACACGAGGCTACGATCACCCGTTTCACGTTCGGCTCGGGTTTTAGAACCTAGGTCAACGGGCTGCATTATAATTCCCTAAGTATAGGAACGGTGTGTTTGTCTCCCCACCTTCTCTGCAGCGATCATCATCTCATCTTTCCACTTTGCCCCATATTCCGGAGGGGAAGCACGCTCTTGGACAGACCTGGACCTTAGGTCGGGGGAAATAACAGCCCCTCCCAATCTGGTCGCGATTCTGAAACAATTTTAACTAACTCCGGCCACGCGACACGCTACTGCGCCCGTACTGCAGCCTAACACTGTTTCGCGTGGATGGCTCACAAAGTTTCTCTACGGTGAGAAGCAAGTTAGGTTTACATAGGTTTTGGGTTTGCTTTAGAAGATTCGGTGTGAGAGGCCTGAAACCCATATACTGTGACCATATACCGTATACGCTATCACGACGGATTCCATTGGACGGGATCTACCTTCGGCTCTAGTAACGCTAGTAATGCGACTATCATTTCCACACTTGCAACGGCCTTTAGGCATCCACTTCGCTCTGGACTGTTCGCCTAAAAATATCGGGCTCGGTAGTCGACTCCACGTTCGAAGCTCCATCCTCGGATCCGGGTGGTGGGGCCGTTCTCAATGTTGCTTCCCATGGCTCTTGAATGTTTTACTCGTAGGCAAAGGAGGGTCGGAGACGGCCGTTGAAGGTATTTGCCCCGGTTAATCATTGCCCCTCGGAGGGATCTCCCGTGAATCGAAACGCATCCCTCTTAGGGCGATCCGGAGTGCGGAGAATGTTGGTTTTGGTTTCTTTCTTTCCCCAATAGGATCGAGTCCGAGGGATGGAATGACAGGCTTACAAAAGGGATATATTACAGTATATAGGATCCCTACAGTAAACATTGCTTAAGTGGGTGATTCGTCAGGGAAGAACCGTTGAACAGCCCTGGGGTCGATCATCGCAAACTAAGCACGGTGGCCGATATCCGCATGGGTGAGAGACAAGGGTATGACAACTTTAATTTGGTGGCAAATCCTGGAAGATCAGATCATCAGAGTATATATGCGAATATGTAACAGAGAAATCAGGTATATTCTTGATTCATTTTAGCCTTTCCGTGGACGCGACATCTGCCAAGAAGCTACCACATCAATTTACCTTGCGCCTTTTAAGTCCGCGGACTATAGGGACGATCGTCTAGATTGTGGCTTTCACCCGTCCCCCTCCCCTCGTGCCATTGGCGCCTAGTGGCACAACGGGCGCGGGGCCGAGCGTCGCTTGATATTGTCTTAATTGTGAACGGAGCACGGAGGGCGATTTGTCGATAGTGAGTTCCGTAGGTACTCAGGCTTCAGAATCCTACGAATAAGCTCGGGGAACAAGAAAGCTAGTTCTGGAGGTGAAGAGACAGGCTGCAGGAAGCAAGGGGTGCCGCAGGCCAACGTGGCAATGCCATCTGCAACTCTTTTACCATGGTGAACGTGACTCCCGAACGAGTAACTAGTCGGCTGATTGTGCTCCGAGGTAATTTACTATGACTATCGACTATGGCCGCGTTTGAAGGGTGATTATGCTTCACGAAAAGTCACAGTGCTGTTACTTCATCGGGTTTAGCCTGCATGGAAAACTGAAAATGACCAGCCCAAATCACAACGGTGTTACATCGAGCCAAAGGATCCAGGGGGAAGTGGTTCGTATATCTCCACGGCACACTTTCCGACCAAAATTACAAGGGAACTACGGGTACGGCTTGACGGAATACCGCGGACCCCCCAGCACCCTGCATCGATCACATTCTACGCCAATAAAGAGAGATACAGTGAAGACCCACGTACAGAAAGGGGGTTCCAAGCACCGTGCACGGGTTTTAGCCCCAACCTTCAAGGCTGAGTTTCTCATGTTCCTCATATGTCGCTTTCATTGGCATTTCAGCTCTACTGTCGAGTTCAGCTGCCGCAGACTCCGGAACTAGCCTGCTTCTGGAAGCAACCTTTTGACATTCTTATTAATCCAAACTTGAATCCCCCGAAGTGGGAAGGACGTAATTTCCCTTTATGCAAAGTGACTGCGCAATCGACACTAGCCTAATCTCTTTTTGTCTGTCAATGAGAGCGGTAGCCGGTTATCCGTTCCTGAGCCGTTATACTACACACAATTTATTACCCGGCCTTACTGTAAGAATTCAAATGCATATGCCTAGGCGCGACGTTAGTCGGGTATTTCACATGGCGAAGGACTGGGGGGAGGGGTGGAAATGCTTAGGAGTGTTATGCATCGGCCGGTTTCACGGAGAAAAAGGGAGGGGAAATTGGGGCTTATCCTCATCTGCTTTTTTCCCACCAATTTTTAAATGCTGTTTCAATCGCCAAGATCGACTAAGATGCGCTAAAATTCATGCGGGATAGAGCGAACCCGGGTGGAGGCCATCGAGGTTTAGGATGCTGGCCCTAGCCGCCTACCGAATACCTAGCTTTGTGCTGTAGTATACAGTATACAGTATACAGAAGAGTATAGTGGATGTTTAATCTCGGGATACTAAGGACAGGTAAGAACGATGGGCGTTAGGCTGTTTCGAGTTTATTTAGATGGAGTCAAATGTACTACAATTGGGCCGTGGAAACAGGTGAGAGATCGGTGTAACTTACAGTACGCGTCCCCAAAGGATTCTTTGTTTCCGCCGATCCTCTTTATACTCCGAAGGGAATTTCCGTACCTGAAACTGGCCTCTGCACGATCCGACGTCAGCTTTAGCCTCGAGGCCCCAGAGGTCCACCCAATCTTCATTCTAGACTTGATCTCAACGGAGTTTCCCGTATAACTTACTTACAGTAGTCCAACACTAGGACTCTTTTTATTTATTGCTATTTATTTTACTTCCCTTCTAACGGCGCTTGTTTAGCATGCGCAATCAGAATCCTGATCAGGTCTCACCTTTTATTTTATTTTAATATTTTGACGTATCATGATCCCTCCACCCCCTCCGAGCTTCAGCAATTACATCGTGAATCTTTAGATTCGCTCCCCACTCCCCACCTTCTTTGTCTAACTGCATGCTGCATATCATCCCCCCGTTGAAATACCTTTCGGATCTTTACAGGGCTTCGAGTAATCTCCTTTGAAAGACCTATTTCTCGCCTTTCCTTTTTCGGCTTTTTCTTTTTTTTTTTTTACTCTCTTTCTTTCTTCTCCTCTTTTTTTTTTCTTTTTTACTCTTTTTTTATCAAGATTTGCCTCCCTGAGAATGGGTCTCGCGGGTGCTAAATAACCCTGGACCCTCCATCTTGAACCCCTAGTGTCGCGCAGCTTCTGTTTAGCCTCACGGGATCGCCCTCTTACCTTTCCCTGCCCCCACGCGCGGTCTTACGCCAAAAGAAAGCCGAATCCCAGTTTTCTTTTCCGTCCTCGACAATTCTATCCTGGCCTGTAAGAGTTGTCGTTTACCGGCATGGTACAGCCTGACCTTGGGACGAAATACAAGGAAGATCCTATTGATGATTCCGTGAGTATCATTTCCAGTCTCTGTACCTCTCCCCGTTTCATTATAGCTTTTTGTGAGATCTTTCCTACTTCAATATTATTTCGATCTTCTTGATTCTTTTTCATATGCGGTTATATGTGTGGATTTTCTCTCGCGCTTGGACGCCTTTCCCTTTCTCTCGCGCTCGATATTCGCATGGACTACCTTCAAAGCATGGCCGATTCAGAACGGATGAGCCCCTGGAACAGGCCGGCATACGCTGAACATGGAGCTCAATTCCATTTGTATTCATTTTGGGAGCCCTCGAAGGACTACATGAGCTATGCGCAATGGAGGCGCAACGAGCTTGCCTAAAGCTTTGTGTAGCTTTGGAACCATCTACATGGCCTCGGAAGAAAAGAAAACTCGCAAATATCGTCAGCGCTACACAGATCCATGCTTTTATTTTCCTTTGGACGGACAATCCTGGTTCCACCCTGGCCATTCGGTATGCACCTAAGGCAATCCCTGCTCGAGGTTTCCATGGCCCAAGCCATCCACTGAGCCTCTGATGCGAATCCCCATAGAGGCTGTCGTCACTCCGCTCCGGAATCTGGCTGTGTCCCCAAGACTTTTCTTTTTCTTTCTCTTCATCCACGTTCTCTGGTTGTGTCACCAGTCTCGTCACATCGTTCTGGGAGGGCTAAGTTTCAGTCACTGATGCGTGCTTCTACTACAGCTTCGACACCCTGGACATTCGAGTTCTCATTCCCAGGCATTAAAGTCTTCGATTCTAGCTCAGAAGGACCCTGCGTCGCCTGTTCAGCCGTCTTCTATCTCGACGTACCCTCCTCACACCCTAGGGAACGGAATTAACTACGGCCCTCAAGAAGCGCCTTACTATACCACCCATTCTTCTTACACGACTCCCTCGGCGCATTACGCTTCTAGCGGTAAGCCCGTCTCGGCTGTCAGCAATCTTACTTGCCAAAGCTTGCATTTAGCTTATGAACACCACTGATCCCAAGAGTTAGGGCCACCCGACCTCATGGCATCCACCGCCCAAATGCAGAGACCATATCCCCCCATCTATCACACTCCCCAATCAACCTCACCGGCCTCTGTAGCTTCTCAGCCGCACGACCAACATGGCCGCAACATCTACGCCCACTCTCCTCAAATGCCACAGATGTTCTACCCGCCCTACTCGTCCATGAACCCTGTACAGCCGCCGTACGCGGCGCACCATTCTCCCCAGCAACACCCTCTCACAACACAATCCATGATGATGCCACCGCAGAAAGCGCCAGCGCAATTACCACCACATCAGTCACCACACATCCCCACAACGGCCATGTCAAGCAGCCCTATCATGAAACTCGACACCTCCCAGCAACCTACTCCACCACAGCAAGCAATGCACAACCCACCTCTTTCCGCAACAAGCAACCACCCAATGTCCGCCAGCAATATCCACTCCAGCCCACCACTAGGCGGGAGCTCCAGTGCAGCACCAGGCCCCATCCCAGCCACGACCCCGCTAGTCGTGCGCCAAGACAGCAACGGCGTGCAGTGGATCGCCTTCGAATACTCACGAGACCGCGTCAAAATGGAATACACTATTCGCTGCGACGTGGAATCCGTCAACGTCGACACTCTCGACCAAAACTTCAAGACCGAGAACTGCGTATACCCGCGCGCATGCTGCAGCAAGGATCAATACCGCGGCAACAGACTCGTCTACGAGACCGAGTGCAACGCCGTAGGCTGGGCCCTTGCAGAGCTTAATCCCGCCCTGAGAAGCAAGCGCGGTCTCATCCAGCGCGCCGTCGACAGCTGGCGCAACAGTAACCAGGATCCCAGACTGCGCAGTCGTCGTGTGCGCCGCATGGCCAAGATCAATCGCAGACAATCCGTTCCTACTGTTCCTGCCAGCCACATGCCTGGCTCTGGTCCTGTTGGTCCCGGTCTTCCCGGTCCTCTCGGTGCCATGCCGGCTCCCGCACCCCGGCCAAATCTAGGCCCTATGTCGATGGGCCCACCCCAGCTCCAGCATCATCACCACCAACCTGATGGCAGTCCTAATGAGGAAGTTAGCGGTATGTTTCACCATATGTGATGTGTTTTTGGATTCCTTTGCACCGTGATGGGGTCCCTTCCCAATCATGTCCATGTATTTCCTGTTTCTTTTATTTTTCTTCTCCTGGGGCCTTTTCGTTGGACCGGATACGTCTCTTGCGTGTATGTGTATATGTGGGAGTTTTGTGTCTGTTTTACGCAGGATATGTGTATGTGTGTATGTGTGTACGTGTTGTACATGTGGAACGTGTGTGTGAATGGATGTATGAGATGGAACCTACCATGTATCCCTACCTGGACATGCTCCCTCACCTTGGCCTTGTGTTATTCCATACCCTGTTCGATTTGCCCTCCTGTCATCGTGATCGTCATTGTCGTCTTATATTTGATATTGCCGCGCTCCTTGTGCTTTGGCTCTTGTTCTGCTTCAGAGTTTCCTCCTCATACCTTTTGTACAGCGTAGGCTAATTCCCTTCTTCTCCTCGCTTGATAGGCACAGATTACACCACCTCCAACACAAACACAAACGCCAGCAACACCAACACCAACACCAGCAATACCGCCACCCACCACCGGTCCACCGTCGATAGCACCCGTCTCCCAACAGCCCCAATGACAGACATCAGACCCGCCCACCTCTTCCACAATGCCCCAACAACCCTAACACCCTCCAGTGCAACAGCCGGCCCATCGATGCCCCCACTCCTCCACGCCACAGGAATGGCCTCCCTAAACCGCCACCCAACAATCGCAACCTCCACTCGGATGGACGACCGCCCTTCCTCCTCAACCCACGACATCGAAGAACAAGCCCCCACAAACGAAGACCTCTTCAGCCACCTCCCAGATGGCAAACGACGCAAATTCATTCTAGTCGACGACCCCCAGCGCGGCTGCCGCGTCCGCGTCAAAGTCGTCCTGGATAAAGTCAACATGGACGAGATCCCGGACTCATACCGTGAATCCAACGCCGTCTATCCGCGCACTTACTTCCCCATCCAGATGCGCGATGAGAACCGCGTCGTGCTGGGTAATCGGTTCTTCAGGGATGAGGCTGAGCATGCTGATGCCGGTGCTGATCCGCATTCTGATGCTACTCTTGGTCGCACGACTGTTCCTGTGCCATCGCTTGAGGCTGAGGCTGGGAATGGGGGTGAGGTGGAGGTTCCGAGATTGTCGAGGAAGAGGCATACTAAGGAGCTTTTGTTGAATGATTTGGGGTATCGGATGAGTTGGAGTCAGAGTCGGGTTTTTGCGGGGAGGATGTTGTTTTTGCAGAAGTCTTGTGAGTTTCCCTTTTTCTTGTTTCTTTTTTTTTTTTTTTTCACTATCACGTTGTCATCTCTTGTTCTTTTTTTTTGAGGAATTTGTGGTTGGGTATGTGTCAGTTGGATGTGGCTTTTGTCTTATCTTTACCTTTTGCCTCCACTTCACATGTACCCCGGATCGCATCTGAGACATGTACCCGGCTAACACGTTTCCGTCTCTAGTGGATGCTTACCGCAATAAGATGCGCAGCAGTATGCTCGCTGCTGGCCAGGATCCGATGGATATCCCGGATCATTTTGATACTCGTCGTGGCAAGAGACGGTTCTTGGAGCGTGGTCATTTGGAGAATGCTGCCCAGAGGAGTGCTGAGGAGGTTGCGCCGTAGATGATTTCTATTTGTTTGTTCCTTTTGCATTTTTCTTTATTTAGTTTAGTGTTCTTCTCTTTGGCGTGTTTCTTTGTGTCTTATGCTTATGCTTATGTGTCAAGGGCGTTGGGATCTGCGCAAAACAACCAAAAACAATGTAGGGTTGGTATGGAGGGATTGGCGCTGAGATACGATATATTGGATTTAGCCCGGATGATACCATATGATTTATGACTGAATATGAGTATGAAATGAATATGAGTATGATTTGAGTGCGGGTTGTGGGATATAAGCAGTGGCTCGCTGTGTAGCCAAAAATAGAACAGGGACCAAAAGGGTCAAGGGTCTTTTTCCCCACTCGGTCCATACCAGAGAGATTTACAGTAGGGCAGATTCAAAGGATGGATGGAAAGGACAGATCAATTAATTAATTTCCGAAGTATTGAGGTATTGCTCTTCTAATCCTCCTTTCTTTCCTTCCTTTTCTTCTTTTCTTGTCTTTCCCGCTCATCTCGACTCAACCCGTGGTTGTCCGGCCCACCAGTGTTTTGACATCCCGCTTTCGTCGCTTTCGTCGGCTCACTTGTCTGTTCGAGGAATCCAACACTGTCTCACTTCCTATTGCAGTAACTCGGTTGTTTTCAGTGATGAGATAATTTCATCTCACCTAACCCAACACTTAACTCCCTCCGCACCTTCCATCTCACCACCTCATCTCATCTCATCCAAGCGTGTCCCGCCGGAGGACCAATCTACACAAAACACCCAAAATGGCCGACGAAACGGACATCCCAGCCCCCCCACCACACAGATACTCCCACAACACCCGCGAAAACCACACAGTAACACCAGGCGTGGATAACCTCGGACCCGCCTCAGCAGGCGGCGGAATAAGCGGCATCGCACTAGGAATCGCAAACACGCACGACCGCCAAAGCGGCCTGGACGCCTCACGCGGCATCACCGACCACACCTACACCTATCCCGCAGAACGAGACTACAACACCTCCGGCTCAGACAACCCCTACGTGCCCTCGGCCGGCTACACCAGCGCCGATACTCTCCACCACAACTCCTACGGCTCTGGCATGGCGCTAGGCGGCGCGGCTGCCTCGCCGGGCTTCCAGACTCCTACCCAGTCATCGTCGCACCTGAGTGAGTCGCGCGTTATGGGCGACCAATATCCCGCAGCGTATCAGAGTATCAGTGATGGGCCGTACCAGCGTCATTCTGGGTATGGGGGATCTGAGATGTCGAATATTAATCCGGATGATATTGCCGATGATGGCGATGAGGATTTCGGGCCAAGGGGGCGGAATAATCGTGGTCTGCCTGCTGCTGCTGCTGGAGCTGGTGGAGGCGCTGCGGCTGGAGGGCTTTTGACTGGGTTCTTTGGGCGGGAGAAGAATGCGGATGTGGCATACGATGCTGTGCCTGGGGGTGGACTTGAGAGCGGGGATAGCGAGGGGAAGACGCCGGGTAAGGGGATGGATGGGCGCAAGAAGATGGGGTGGATTGTTGGGCTTGTGCTTGGGTTTGTGATTCTCGGGGCTATTGTCGGTGGTGCTGTTGGTGGTACTATTGGCAGTCGGCACAAGGAGGATAAATCCACCAGTGCACAGACTGCCACAGATGATTCCAAAAACAATGGGGATCTTGACAAGGATTCTTCTGAGATCAAGGCTCTGCTGAACAATGATGAGCTGCACAAGGTCTTCCCTGGTGTGGACTATACGCCTTGGGGTGTTCAGTATCCCGATTGCCTCAAGTGGCCGCCATCGCAGAACAATGTCACTCGTGACATGGCTGTTCTGTCGCAGCTGACAAACACTGTTCGTTTGTACGGTACGGATTGCAATCAGACCGAGATGGTTCTGCATGCGATTGACCGACTGGAGCTCAAGGATATGAAGCTCTGGCTTGGTGTGTGGATCGACTCGAACACCACCAGCACCGAGCGTCAACTGAATCATCTCTACAAGATCCTCGATGACACCAAAGACACATCCTTGTACAAGGGTATTATCGTCGGAAACGAAGCACTCTATCGCGCCGGTCCAGACAAACAAACTGCCGAGAAGACCCTGATCTCGTACATTGAAGACGTCACAAGCGAGGTCAAGAAGCGCAGCCTCAAACTGCCAATTGCCACCTCTGATCTCGGCGATAACTGGAACTCCCAACTGGTGGATGCTGTCGACGTGGTCATGTCCAATGTGCACCCCTTCTTCGCGGGCGTGAGTGTCGACGTGGCTGCGGCCTGGACCTGGGACTTCTGGCAGACTCACGATGTCTCCTTGACAAGCGGCACCAGCAAGAAGCAAATTATCTCCGAAGTTGGATGGCCCAGCGGTGGAGGCAAGGACTGCGGTGAAAGCCCAGAGTGCGATGATACCACACCTGGCTCTGTTGCCAGTGTTGACAACATGAACTCGTTCATGTTAGACTGGGTTTGCCAGGCACTGGATAATGGAACCGATTACTTCTGGTACGTCTCCCTGTTTGGTCAAGTGTGTCAGAGTACTAACAATCTACTAGGTTCGAGGCTTTTGATGAACCCTGGAAAATCCAATTCAACGAAAAGGGCAAAGAATGGGAAGACAAATGGGGTCTCATGGACTCCGCCCGCAAAATCAAACCGGGCCTCAAGATCCCCGATTGCGGCGGCAAGACTGCGTCTTAATTTTGATATCCGACCCACCTCACTTTACCGTACAGCGTGGCTCTTCGTTATGGGATCATGATCGTGAAACATTTCACTTTGTGTATACTTTGTACTGTTTGCTCTGGCGTTGTCTGCTTTCTGTTTTCTATTCTCCTATTGAACCACTTTCATAACGGCGGAAACTTTAGATATCCAAACTCCTTCACTCCTTTTACCCTTGCATGTCTTCTATTCTGCTGTCAGCCCTTTACTCGTTATCCATGACTTTCCCTCTAGCGTTTCACCATCCATCTTGTTACTGGTTGTGCAGATTGTTCTCTTACGCGTCTTTGGGACTGTACATGCTACGTTCTATTTCTTGCCGGTGGTCAACCTTGTCTGTTTGTTTCTCAATTGGAACATTTTGTTTGCATAAGCTAACTTCCGCTTTGTGTTCGCTTCATCCATGGTTGATGGTCTTGCGTTCGTCTTCTTAGTGTTTTATGTATATACTGAACTCAACTGAAGTCATCCATTTTAGAAAGAGTTCTCTATTGCTGTAGATGCTGTAGATTCTGTAGATATTGTAGGCTTTGATGGGGCCTTCTGTTACCTTGCATACTCTGGTGGTACTAGGGTATACAGGACCGTGGCAATAGTAGACAAGTGTGCATACCGTCTGGTGAGATATCTGTATGACCTTCACCCAAAGAAGTAGATGTTGCATCGGATGTACTATCCCCAGATACGTACATGACAGTGTTACCTTCGTGTAAAAACCAGATAAATCCATGCTATCTATGGCAATTATTTGCTAGGATGACAAATTATCTGATCTAAGTTGAGCATTACATACCATGCACAATGAGTCGGTGGCCTTGTCTTGTCTTGGCTCTTTCCAGATTATCCTAGTTTAAACATATGAAACGGAAAGACATACAGTCATAGTTCATAAGCCCTTTCACATCCTCCCTTTACATAATCTACATGATTAACCCATTAAACAACTACACCCTAATGCACTCGGAAATGGACAAAAAGGGTGAAAAGGGAGAGGCCAAAGTAGGGCAAAAAAAGGCATGAAATTGTATACTCGCTTCGATACTTCCGTGTAGAGACTGTCCAATACTTCATCAAGGCACTGTACACACATTTATGACCCCTGTTTCTCTCTCCAAAATTAGGTATCCACTACGTATAAGAAAGGGCAGACTAAGACGCCGATCTTTATGGAATGGGACAGCCAAGAATTTAATGTTTCAAGTTGTTATCATAAGTGGAATGAGCAAGTACATGTAGTTTTCGGAATATGAGGATTGATCGCCAGCTTCTCAATCAACTATATCCGGGTTATCTACAGCACCATCTTCAAATTTGAATGTTGCTAGTATGATGAACCTCAATAGAATGCTTCCTAGCGGTATCAATAAGATGGCGTGCATAACACTGCATAGCACTGGATAAACCAATCATGAGAAGTTGGCAAAGACATGACTTGACTTTTGTAGACTCAAATCGGAAACGTTCTCAGCCTATGGGGCATTTGTAAGCGGAAGCGGAGATAAACCTCGTTGCTCACTGCCTATTGCTCCTTCAGAATTAACTTCACTATTGCAGATGAGGGCTGGGGATCCAGCGACTTCCTTGGGGGTGGAATATCGGAGTGAACAGTCAGTCAATTATACCATGACTTCGAATTTTGGACGGAAGTCTTCATATAAAGCAAGTTCCTGATGCCCGGGACTATGAAGAAGTGATTCCCTAGAGAAAGGAGCTAAAATAGACGTATAGATTGATTGCTCCTTACAATGAGGTGGGGATAGCAGGAAAAGCGCCAATCAGAGAGAGGCTTGGCGTTAGTTTGGCGATCGAGACTTTGGCAGTAAGTCACGTGGACAAGTACATATGCGATTCCCGGAAATGATCGGCACTTACAGTTGATTTGATCATAATGAACCTGACCCTAAACCAAATGGTTGCTTTTTCTTTTAGGACCAGTATAAGATGACACCAAACTTGTTTGTGTTTGTTCGCTGGCTTGCACGCAGGCTATCTGCGCACACCTGCGAAATCACCATATCGACAGTTAACAGGCAGAATTCGCTGGAAAGTCATTATTATTATGCAGTAATTCATGCTAGCAACCCCTTTGAACTTTTATGAATACAGTACATGTAATTGCTTCGTGATTGCGGGTCTGCTCAGGTGGCTTCGAAGCACGAGCACTTGATGAAAATGAGATACATGTACCGAGTCGGTGGCTTGGAGTTTTTAGTATTATCACCAATCGTACGACTCGTAATTAAGTTCTCAGATACTTTTGCTCCCCGCAGGAACTATAGTCGTATGGGCTACAAACTGATAGTATAGAGGCTAGACACAGTCTAACCTTGATGCATGAGTAGTATGTATCAACATGACCAAACAATACCATCAGAACAAAGGCTATTCGCCAAGCTCCCTCCACCTTCCTTCCGAGTCAACAATAACATCAATAGTTAACCCATGACGTCCTCCGAATAAGTGAGTACTCGCATGTCCACAAGCATAATGTATTTGTTATGTCTTATGCATCAGGCCACAATTGTTTGTCCTTCATTCCCATTCTTGGTCTACCCAGTTTTTAGCTTATTCCCCACTATCCTAGTCGGATGGTTTTAGTTTTGTTCCGGATGCTGGCTTTCTGGCAGGTGGATGTATGTGCCAATAATGTCTCAGCAAACAGCCCCGACTGACACGGGCTGGCAGCTGTACTTTAACTATACCGAGCTTAGGGCGACCCACGTCTCGGGGCGTTGTTGATCCTACGAAAACGAAGCCAATCCTAACCAAAGGAACTCCACAAAACGGTCAACTGGAGATCAATATCTGAGTTAGGGCGAAATCCGAGGCATCTCCGTGCACTACTGGAACTTTGTCGGGATTCAGTAACATTTCCAGATGCACGTACATGTCCGTGTTAGTGGGGTTGTACATACGTGGAGGAAAATCCAGGGGCGAACTCGGCTAACCCCCGAGGTGTGAGGCGGCATATCTTCCCGCGAAAGTACGAGATAAATCGCAAACCATTCATCTCAACGAAAAGACGAGACTATTGATTATTACGGAATGGCTGCCACTCAAACTATCACAGTCCCCCACCTGGGCGGCATCAAGGTCGGATACGCCTTCGCTAAGAACCAATACGATCCTTCCAAGCCGACGTGCGTGCTCATTAATTCGATGTGCATGACCGTGTCTCTCTACCATGAACAGTTCAACAACGAAGCTCTGAATGATGCCATGAACCTCCTGGCCATCGAGCCTTTAGGCCATGGCTCGACCAGTTCTCCCTCTGAACATTTTACATATTGGGATTCCGCCCACATGGCCTTGCAGGTTATGGACCACTTTGGGATTCAGAAATCCTTCGCCCTAGGCACAAGCCAGGGTGGGTGGATCGTGACTAGGATGGCCCTTCTAGCCCCGGACCGAGTAGGTCCCCCTTGTTCATGCACTGCCGATTAAGCTCAAAAAAATTAACCTCGTATATTGCTAGATCCTCGGTCTCATGCCTCTCGGAACCTCCATGGATTATGAATCTGAGGAGTCCCGGTCCAAGGGCTGTTGGGACCCTGCTGCCAATCTCACGGTATTTTATGAGAAATGGACTAGCCCCTCGGCTACGCCCGATTTCGTTGTGGATGATGTCTGGTGTGGATTGGTGGGCGGTATTGGCTTTGGTGCCGCTGCCACCGCCGAGAGGTCTGCGTTCTGGACTCAGACCTTGAAGGACGTATATAAGGGTGATGAGGGCCGGAAAAAGGTCCGGATGGCGCTCAATTGCCTACTGGAGAGGGACGGGCTGCTTCTCCGGATCGGGGATATCAAATGTCCTGTTCATTGGCTACAGGTGAGTCTTATTATTCCCGATATAGAGGATCTACGCATTGACAAATCGACCAGGGTACCGAAGATGTTCCGTTTGGGACGATCGTGCCTCCGGAGCACATTAAACGTTTCACTTCTTCTGTGGATGCTAAACTTGTGATGATTGAGGGGGTGCGCATTATCTGAATGCTACTAACCCCAAAGAGGTGAATGAGGCCCTTTTGGAGATGGTGAAGAAGTACAACGCTACTGCGTAGACTCGGTAAATATAGTTGACCGTTCTATAAAACCGTTAAATGAACCATGGTTCCAAAAATCAGTTAAAGTATTAAAGTATTTGCTAAGTTACCACGTCTGAGAACCATGTGAGAAGATGGAATGACACTGGCTCGGCACGACGGGCCTGGATTTGATGTTGTGGGTCATATTCTTTTGAAATTTTCTGCTTTTGTTGTTATGGAGTGGTTTTTTCATAGTTTCTGCTAAACGCCCCCTTTTGAGAACCAACTTACGACGTACACGCCCTGCACCACGCCAATATCGATAATCTATCAGGTACGGAGTATTTGAGTACTGGTCGCCGGTTCCTGAAATTTGAATCAGTGCTGGAAAAAGGAGCAAATGCTCAAGCCGGGTGTTCGGATGTTCGGGTGTGGGTTGGCAGCTGCTAATAAAGTTCAGACCTGAGACGCCAAGCTTGTCAATCGTCAGAAGTACGGGAAACTTTTACGAGTTGATGCCGCGTACATGCCGTGATCCACAAAAAAAAAACGATCTAACAGAGAAAAGAATATCTCCCTTAACCAATGAGCAACATGCAAGGGGATTTTTTAGCGTACTATTATCGTACTGAAGGTCGGGGGCAACATACTGTCCCCCCCCGCGAAATTTAAAGCCGGTCATCTCAGTCTATATTAAATTTTATTGACTCCCAGCATTTGCTGTACCCGTTCTATGCTTGCCTCACGCCATGGAAAGTGATCAGGGCAGTTTGCAGCCATGGACCATAGCTACCGTGGCCTCGGTCACAGTGCTGGCATTCGTGACTGTGTGTCTTCGACTACTCGCTCGTTATGAAAGAGGGCAAAAGCTATGGTGGGATGACTATATGATCATTTTCTCTATGGTTCGTTCGATCTTCTCGCTCCGGTCTCAATTGCATGAATACTGACAGTCTACCAAGCTATGGAACTTCATTGTTGTTGGGTTCATCTACGCCATGGTCCACAAGGGAATGGGACTCCACGCAGATACTTTGCCAACGGGGGACGTGGTGATGATTGCAAAGTACCTTGTCGTGGCCGAGGTTCTCTATGTGTTCAACCTCGTTTGGACCAAACTGAGCATTCTGCTCATGTACTACCGGATTTTCCGCTTCCCTTACTTCAAGACATGGGCATACATCATCGGAACCTTCGTCGTCCTTTGGGTTATCTGTATCACCTTCCTTTTCATCTTCATTTGCGTGCCCGTCCAGAAGCTATGGTATCCCCAGACCCCAGGGCGGTGCATCAACCAAGTTGGCACATGGGTTGCAAACGCCGTCTCAACGATCGCAACCGACGTTGCCATTCTAATCCTTCCAATCCCACAAGTGTGGAAGCTGCAACTTCGAATCTCGGAAAAGATAGCCGTGTTAATTGCCTTCAGCCTGGGATTCTTGTGAGTCACTAACATTTTCCGAAAAGAAAAAGACCACCGCATATCTAACCTCACCAGCGTGGTCTTCGCCTCCGCCTATCGTTTCTCCGTCCTTTTCAGCTACAGCGCGTTAGATTCATCCTACACTCTCGCCCCAACAGTTGGCTGGACCGCTATCGAAATGTCCGCCGGCATCATTTCAGCCAATCTCCCAACCCTCCGCCCTGCCCTCCGCTTCATAGCACGCATGCTGGGTGTCGACGGCAGTGTCATGGGTCTCTTTAGAAGCACAAATGGAACAAGGACCAAAACCACGAACGGGGTCACCGAGCCTTCACAGACCGTGGAGAGTACAGCCGCTATCATCCAACACTCAAAGCATTCGAATCGTCATTCTTTCTATCACTTACCAGATGATTCGGACTCGGTGTCTGAACAGACTCGTATGGATGCTGCGTTCAGGCCTAGCTATGATCGCGCGAAAACGTACACTAATGTGAAGGGTCAGAAGGTTAGTGGTCGTCGCTCTGATGAGGATCAGATTCCCCTCTCTGAGATCAGAGTGGATAAGGAGTTTACGCAGACTACTACTGGCTGAGGGGAGCTGCCCTTTGTATTAAAATTTGTAATATATATTTTCGGTTAACGCCATATGGTGTTCCCTTTCTTTCGTCGATTACTGGCGGGCCGGGATTGAACGGAAAGGGAAAGGCTTCGACTACCTGATATTATCTAGTACATATGTTGCAATATGTATACATTAATCGTTTCTCTACGCCTTAAACCTCGAGGGCAAGGAAATGGCCCCGTGGGTTGGGCGCACACAATATGCACGTAGACGTAGCGTCAACAAGGAAAATTCAGCCCTACAGGGCTGGGCACAGCAGAGGGCCAATGATATTCACAAAGCAGCCCAGTAAATATAATGCGGTCTAAGAATCTAAGCATACAGCAGAGACCAATGTCCCATTTAAAAGAAATTATGCAAATGCATCCAAGCGCTAAGCTGACCAAAAAATGGTGGACTCCCAGTCCCACCTACGTAGCAGACTGTGTAGTGGCGCCATTTCCATTCTCATGCGGGACAAGACCAGCCTCCTGCTTTAATCGGGTGACAACGGGTCCCAGGGCAAAGTCGCTCTCCATACTACTGTGGTCGGCGCAGGGGCTCTGCTTGATGGGGAGGAACCAATCAGCAATGCTGTATCCCATGACCTGTTGGACGTTTTTGAATGGGCTGCCGAGGTCGAAGGGGTTTTCGCCTGGTAGGGTGTGGAGAATTGCGAAGACGTGTTTTTCGCCGGTGGATGCGTCGGCTTGGGGTCTGTCCGGTGTTGAGGGGGTTGCTGGGGGGTAGGAGACCATTCGGAAGGTTGGGGCCCACGGAGAGTCTGTTGTCCAGAGTCTGTTGGTTAGATGTTCTGGGACTCGGACGGCTAGGGTCCAGACGACTGAGTGGCGGTTTAGGTTTTCGATTGTTGTGACGTTGAATAGGGCCATTTGGACTGAGCTGAGGGTCATTCCTGCTGCAAAAAAGCCGAATAGGGCAGCCCTGGGCCACGTTAGCTTTGTAAAATTCAACGGGTAGATATCGATGCTACTTACAGTCCGATGCAAACACACCAATGAGGGTTTGCTCCTCCGGTCTGGATAGTGTTAGGATTAGAACAGAAGGCCCAGTTAATTCCATAAATATGCTTACCTGACGCCGTAACTCTGCTGTGAAATATGCAAGCACAATGAGGGTAAAGCTGCAGTATAGGGTAGTGTAAAAGACAAATTGAATGAAAAATTTGAACGATGTTTCCGATACCACGCCTCCAACCCTAGAGTAAGTTAGCAAGAAATTCATACCCACAGCAAGAAGACATATGTACCAAGGGCAGAAGTGATCCATTTTGCGCACACAACGACCCAGTTCACGGCAGTGGTGCGACCTGTCTGGTTTGAATATGCAGCATGTAGTACACCACGGAGGCCGGCCATCCTCCTGACAGACAAAAACATCTTTTGAGTAGAACTTCTCCAGCCCGGAGAAGTCTAGCTGATATGGATCATTTCCAGCACTGGCAAGCACCCCTCTTTCCACATCTTCCTCGGGTTGCTGCGTCTTCTCAGGGTCCGGAGCTTTGCGCGAGCTGCCTCTCCGGCGACGGCGCTTCGGATGGGAGCGCTTCGAGTGCTTCTCATTTTCGTCATCCTGTAATCGCTGTGCGCCTAGCGGTAGGTACCCAGGGTTCCATAAGACATAGTAATAGAGGCGTAGATAAGTGACGACCATCGGTATTAGGAGGACGTAATAGATCGCGAGAATCGCAGCGCCAGCGCCGACTCGCGAGCCTCGGTTGTAGGATGGTAATGGATGTATTAAGTAGTCAACTTGAATCCGCAACGTTAGCTCTCTCTCTCCTTTGTCCCCCAGGCAGCTGTCAAGCGCGTTACTCACTGCATAACGGTTTCGTGACAGCGTAAGAAGCGTAGATGGTCACGCCGAGTAACAGGGGCGGAATGAGCCTGGAAACAACGGCATTAACGCGCTTCTGCGCTTGAGATGCCATCGAATATCTGATACAGTAACATATATAAGCGCAAGATTGGCCCGGAGTCGAACATCAGGAACGTAACTCGCAAACGGTGCAAACATCTGACGTAATCTCTGTTCCGAGTTCAGGGCGGCTCAAATAGAGCCATGGTTCGAGGGACAACCAGTTACCCTTGTTTTCTCTCTATACATCTAGACTTGGCCCTGATCTTAGATGCCGGTTTACCGATTACTCACTCTCACTTGTTCAGATCCCAGCTGCGACCGTCAGATATAGCTGAATGGCTGAATGTCGGAACACCCGCTCTACAAATAGACGATCTAGTAGAACTATGAGGTCAGAGTGCACGCGATGTGAGATTTTAGAATTAGAAATCAGCCTTGACCCGCGGACGTTTCGCGGCGCGTTGCTTCGTAATCTAGAATAGTCATCAAGAATACCTCCAAAAGCCGATGAAACGGTATTAGAGGCATGTTAGAGGTTAGAGATATCCTTAGGCAACAGAGGGCTTAGCGGAGCGCCTGACTCGACTATGACTCTTTTCATTTTTGGCGCAAGCGCTGCCTGGAAAAACAGGACCGGTGGAGAACAACAACACCAATTGAAGCTCGCGAGAACAAGGCATCTAACGAACCCGAATTCTAGACGGACGATTGTAGACCGTTCTTTCGGCTGCGCCGAGTCAGCCAGAATGCCCCGAAGCTCATAGATTCTCTAGGGTGAGAGTGCCTATAGGAGACGGTGTGCAAGCCTTTGCTTGGCCCTGAAGTGGATACAGCGGGGACCCGTTGAGTCAAAACGCCGGGCATCTATGATTCACTTCCTCACCCGGTATCTAGGCACAGGCTGGCCCTGGGCAAATAGCAGCCCTAGATTCTCACCCTAAGCCACTCGGGCGATCTTTTGGGAAGGCCCATCACCCCGGATGATGTGCAACTAGAACAGCCTCAATACCCATGGCCCCCAAATGACTGCCCGGGGGTTTAACGCCCTTTTTTCCCCTAATCCACCTTTCCTAATACGGCGACAAGGCTGCCTGGGGCTGTTGACTATTGCTGGACACTGCCTTGCGCTTCTAACTGATACTTTAAGTATTCTATTCTTCACGTCAGATTCCTATATAGCTTCCTTCGTTCCCATGCTTAAAATCTAATTCATCCTCAAACTCAATCCCATCCAAACCAAGTCTTGTATAACTCCAACGATCCAAGCCATACATCCCGCTCTACTATATAGAGTCCACTTGAATCTTCAAAGCTCCCAAAGCTCAAAGAAATCCAATCTGCCTCTGATCAACAACCAAATCATCAAGCCTATAACCACCATGGCTTCTTTATGGTACTGCTGTGGCTGCAACTTCGGCCCTCACAACTCCTCGCTCTACGACGCCTGCATTCAGTGTGGAACACGCCGCTGCGCTCGCTGCACCGACGAGAAGATCTCCCTCAGCATGAACATGGACTTGGACACGTCCTCTCACTCGCATTCCCATTCCCACTCGCACAGCTGTGACCCAACATCACCATACCCGGCCGCCGTACCTATGAACTCTCCTCTCACAACAGCCCTCGACACCAAGGCTATGCTGCCTCAAGTACCAGAGCTGCCAAGGGTACGGCCATTACTCCGCGCAGACTACACAGACACGTCGCCGGCTTCACTAGCGGGTGTTCGAGTCCACGGCGAAACATACATGTACATCTGTTGCCAATGCAATGATGGACCTAAGATCTACAACCATCAACCTAAGTGCATCAACTGCAACCATACTGCCTGCTCTTACTGCACCTATGTTAAGTGAGATTGAGGTATTCTGCAAGGATTGACGACTACGATTACAATGGTGAGCCTATTCCTCATACTCAGCTGGTTATGTTTCTTGAAGCTGACTCTCGCGCTAGTGTTTCCGACATTTCTATATTTCTATTTCTATATCTCTGCTTATTTTTGGAATGGTCCCATCTATGTTTACAGCGTCAGCATATTCCAGGTGTATCTTGTTTGGGGATAGATTGTATACTTGGCTGGATTTGGTTTAGCGTATGGGGCTGGATCCCTGTATGCCTTGGGTGTTCGATTTTTTGCTATTTACTCTAGTTGAGTGTGACATATTTAGAATATATCTTATTTTTCTATCATTTTCTCCGTTTCTCCATTTCTCTACATATCTATTAATCTGGTAAGTCCCCAACTGCGCCATGTCGTATGTGGTCATAGTTGTGCCCATGGTGATCGTCACCAGGGAATATGCAAACCCCTGCTCAACCCGAGCCTCAAACCCGGGCAAGGGTAAAATTGCCATTTACCCAGCTGATCAATTTTATGGTTGGTTGGAAAGCATCTTGCGGCTCCCCGAAACAGGAGCCCGGTTCTTAGGGCGTCATGCACGCCAGGGTGTCCTAGCCCTAGACTGCGCCCGGGGCTCCCCTTGGGTTACCGCCTCTTGGGCCTGCCATCTGCAGCAAACAGCCCTACGGCCCATAGTAAAGAAGCGGTCTTGTTCTCACTGAACTATAGCGGGGACCCCGTGCCCTGGCCCTTTCTCCGCCCTTTCTTGTGTTTGCCTCAGCCTCAGTCTACAGCCTCGATGGTGTTACTTGATCATACTTTCTTCCTTACTATTCCAGATTATGAGTCGACGTCGTTGTCATTGTCGTTGTAGTTTGTCCCACTCGTTGAGGCTGTGTTGGGTGGACTGTGCGCCCCGAAGGGTCTGGCTTGGCTCTCTCTCTCTCCCTCTCTCTGCGCCTGCGCTTGTTCCGCGGAGACTAGTTTGTGTCTTTGCTTGTCATATTCCTCTCCACTTTCCGTCTAATGACATGCTCCTCGGCAGTTTCCTAAGCGAACCTGTACCCCTCGCTTTCGGGCGCGGACACGGGCGCAGGAACGGGTCCAACATTTCCCCATACTACTACAATATGATGATTCAAACAAGTTGGACAAGAAATCTTCCAGAAACACGGCGCGCCTTTTCCTTTGCGAGCAGGGGTGAACCACTGTAGCTCTCTTGGCCCCGCTATTCTGCCTCGTCCTGACTCACAAACGGTCCTGCGCTACTACAGGTCGGAGGTTATAGATCGGGATAGTGTATACATTCATTCCGATCTCGAAATAAACCATAAGCAATTTCAATATTACTTACTGTCTTTGGTATTATTTCTATGATTACTTGTAAGAGAAAGGCTAATGTTGCCATTCACCCCATATACTATTATTATCATCGATATCGTGAAACGGTCGCACGAACTATAACTCGGCCCCCAATCCCACACTATACTTAGCACTCCGTCAGCCCGGATCATCCACAGCTTATTGTTCCTTGGCTGTTATTTGGCAATCTATTCCTGTCATGAGTTCCCTCTGGGTTTGTGGTCTGGGCTGTTCTTTGCTCTCTTCTGCCCCCAATTCTCACGGCGGGGCGGTTGAGTTAGTGAAGCTGAAGATATGTATGTACCTATATGTAGGGTGTGCGGCTGGGATGAGTTGTGGGGTATTTGCTAGTCATTTGTTAGAAGCTAGTACGTTTCGATATTTTCTTTTTTTTTGGTTTTTTGTTTTAATTCTCTAGCGTCGCAGCATGAATGAGTCACTGGATTTCCATATCATAGATGTACACACGGGGACTCATCTTGAACAGGTGGTCAGATGAGGTCAGTCGATTGACTCAAACGTGCATAACCTAAACGAAGCCCAAGCTACTTGGCATACTGATTGAAATCGTACTAAAAATGAAAGACCAATGGTTGGATAGAAAATACATATTGACTGGTGCTATGAATATGTTCTGCGAAACCCGCCGAATTATAATCGTACAACCGTGCAGATTAGCGGTAACCAGAGCTCTCCCAGAGCTGAACTATCAGCAGCTGAGAAGATGCAGACGCCCCAACGCCATTTCGCTGAGCCCCTTGGACAATGCAAAGGCCCAGAGCCTAGAACAAGGAATAGAAAAAAAGACGCCGGCGTCAAAGAACGCGACCGGCCGAGAGAATGCAATTGCAATGAAGAAAAGCCGTGTCGGCTAATGATGCGGACGAAGGATGTCATGAGTGCCTTGAGGGCGGTGTCAAGGGATATCATATCGCAAGAAAAGATAGATGGAGTCATGGCCATTGGGAGGACTGAGTCCCATGTGGTGCAATGTCCCATGCCATTGAATACTTCGATGGCGGTTCACAAGACGAATGGAAGACAGCTCTCACCTTGAGGACTCTTGAAGAGTCTTCCGATGAAGGGGTTTGGAAAGTTACAGGGGCAAGACACGCGACGGGTCTTTGAGGAAGCGCCTACGGTATGCGGCTATTTCGGCGGCCACAATGTCGAAGTCTTTCACCTTATCACGCCGCATGTCGTTGATAATCTCTTTCAGCCCAGCGAGATAGTTTTCTTTTTCTTCTTCAGTCTCACCCTCTCGGACGGCACCCATCTGGACGAGAATTTTGTCGTCTGTTGAGGTTAATGGTTCTGGGGTCAGCATGCGAACAGGGCAAAAAAGCAGCAGAGGGTGAATGGAAGGAAAGGGAGGGAGTATGCAGGCAGAGAAAAAGAAAGGAGACCAAAAGGTGCAATACGCCAAAGGTGGGCTCGAGAAAAGGTGTTACACGTTGTTCATGTCGACGCACCGCTTAGAGTCATGTCCCGAAAATGCTGAAACTCGCAGGATCGGTCATTGCAGACACCCCCGGCCAATTCGTATGGGCATAGGTATTGCATCGAATCAATATTATGACTGTATGTTAGCGAACGGTGACCGCTCGAAACGTCTTCAGCATAATTGGGGTGATATCGATAAGCCTTGAAGTTTCGTAGAGGACTTTTGTATGGGGTGAATCTCTTCCCCGAGCTGGCGGATGATTCTTGAGTCTAGATAGGAGTTAGTATGGATCACCGAGATTTTCCTCTGAGAAAGATGATGTTCATACGCCAAGAACGCCAACTTGCGAGTCCGACTGGGGCAATTGGGCTGGCACCTGGTTATCGTTCGTTAGTGCTTCATCGGCTTGAGTGATATCAACCGAAGGCGCTGAGGTTGCTGTGTTTTCTACGTGAGCTGGAGGAGATGGAGGAGATGGAGGAGCTGGGCTGAACGGAGGAGGGCTGTAGCTAGAGCCTTCGGACTGAGCATCAGTCTCAGGCTCAGGCGGCTCGTAAGCATCAGATACCGCCGAAGATTCACGAACAGACCGTTCGCTATCTTCATGCTGCGAGGAGTGTTGATCGGCAGGCTCTGCATCAGAGTGGGCTGCAGCAGATGGCGAGCTCGCGGATTCGGATTCATTCGAAGAGTCAATATCCATAGGCTCTGAGAACTCAGGAACAGTTGCGGGAAGATCAGCTTGGACAGGGGAGTTAGCAGGTTCATCATCGCTAGACGAATCAGGTTCATCGCTGCTACTGTCATCAGACTCATCCATGGCTGACCCAGCAGAATCTGTCTGGTATGATGTGGACGTTTCTTGCGCAGGCACCTGGGAGCCAAGGGTATCTTCTGGCTCACGACCAGAGCCATCCGGGATAACGTTGCTGAGGGTAGGTGGAGATGACGGAGAAGCTATGGTGATGGCGAGTTAGAAACTTGACGAAAAATCCTGAGTTCCTGAATTCAAATTTCAACAGGATCTTACCTTCTGGTGCGGGGAGATGTTGCTTTTTGATTTCGGCCTGTCGCCGAAGCTCATTCAAGTCTTCTGATGACAACCCGTTGATCTCATAGCTGAGACCTTTCAACTCCTCCACGAGTTGACACCGATCTTCTCTTCCCTTGGTGATATCCGATATCAGCGCCTCAGCCTCTTGACGACAAACAGAAAGACGGGACTCGGACGAAGAAATTCCCGCGTCCAAATCAGGATGGCCAGATTCAATGTCCCTCATCCGCAGAATTTTGGACTGCATGCTGTTCAGCTGCTCCTTATCCATTGCAGCAAGGACTCTGATGGATGAATCACTGAAGGAATCGATGATATTGGAACGATCAGCGAGACAAGAGGAGGGGGAGTAGTGACTGAGGTAGGTGCGGCCGGAGTATCTGCCACCCCCACGTCAGCCGCAAAAGATTGTCCGCCAGATGACGATGTTCCAGAGTCATCCAAGGTGCGAGGTGATTGAGTGCGACTAGCAGCAAGTTTCGATTTACGTCGTAGCTCCAACTCCGCAATCTTGCGGCGCATAGCTTGGATTTCCATATCTTTGAGTCGAATGTCTCCTTGTTCACTGCTGGAGGGAACCTGTGGAGTTGATGTAGAAGCCCTGGTGATAGAGGGCTGTTGCTGGAGGGCAGCCTCATGGGCGGTGGCGCTTCCGGATGACACTGGCTCCTCTCCAGGACTCGAGTCTATGTCCATGTTGTCATCCTCATCATCGCCATAAAGCGATTCATCATCGCTGATTGCAATAACGAGTCTATCGGTGGGGGTGAAATAGCCAGATACCGGGGTGAAAGGCTTCTTTGGAGGAGCGATTGTTTCATCAAAATCGGACGCACGAGGCCGCTTGCGCTGCGAGGTTCGTGATACCGGGGTCGGGTCGACAGATACATCATGAAGGAGTTCGGGAGCGGAACTTTCATCTGGCTCTTGTGCTGATTCAGTCATGACAAGTCCCGGGAGACCACCAGGTTGATAGAGCTCGGGCACAGGAGGTCGAAGGGGAAGCGGATGCTGAATAACTGGAGCTTGAGGTGGCGATGAGACCGCGGTCTGGTCTAGTTGAGCAGCAAGTTTAGTCTTCCGCAAAGCATTGCGCCTAAGTTCCTCGATTCGTTGTCTTGCCAACTCGGTTTGAGCTTTGCTTTTTTCCTTCGCAGGCAGTTCCTTCGGTGCTGGAGGAGTCAAGTTGGACGGCGGGGTCGGTGCGGACTTTATACTACCGACTGGTGAAGGTGCAGCTTTAGCAGCTTTCGCAGCCAGCATTTGAGCAATGAGCTCCTTCCTCTCTAATGGCTTTTCTGAGCTCGGTGGAGCAGCAGCCGATGAGCCAGAAGATTGCGGGATTAGTATGTTTGCCTTCGCCAAGACACGCTTTTCGTTTGCTGTCCTCGCTGCCTCGACCTGTTGCTTAGGTGCTTCAATGGCACCTGTGACCTTGGCAGGGCTTGAGTCAGCCTGGGCCGGGGCTTGCTCTGTTGACGTGACAACCTTAATTCCAACTTCCTCGTAAAGCTGTCGTAGGACCACTGGATTTATACCCTCTGCAACCAGTTCATTGAAGCGAATGTGGTGAGGCGCCAAGCTGAGCAAAGCTCCTTGAGCTTGAATCCGAAGCTGCGCAGCTGATTTCTGGGATTGAGGGGTTTTAGTTATTGTGGCAGGCGCATCTCGCTTTTGAGACTGCATCGCGTGATGTACTGCACCAGTGTCTACAGACATTGATAGAGGAGGGTTGTATGCTGCATGAAGTCAGTAAAGCGAACACATAGTAGATAAGGATTAAAGGAGTTTTACGTGATCCACTACTTCTCCCGGAAGAGCGTGCACCAGAACTTGCGGCTTCTTCTTCTTCCATCTCAGAACCCTGGCCAGCAGCAAGAGGCTTCGGTGGGAGTGATGTTTCCTCATTCTCCTCACTGACTTCGCCTTCCTCCCTGCTGCTGTCTGCTTGGTCTATGACCCGGTTCACATTCCTGTTTGATGCAGGCGGTTGTTGCGAGCCCTGCGGGTACATACTGGGATGCGCCGCGGGAGGGTTGGAGGACCCTGTTGGAAGCAGAGGCGGGGAAATCCCATCGCTGGGTAAGGCATCTGAGGAATGGGTGGAAGTTGCGACGGGTCAAACTGGTTGAAAAATGAAAATGGAGGAGGTGGGAAGAAGAGGGCCGGGTTCGTAGAGCCTCCTGGTCCTGCGAGCTGTGCATTCGCGTTGAAAGCTGCCATATTGTTGTCGGATTTCGGAGCAGCGTTCGGAGGAGGTCCATTCGGTGTACCGTAGTCAGCGCGGTTGTAAGCGTTTGGGGTGATCATCGAGGCATATGCCGGCCACTGCTGACCATATTTCGGATGACCACCATAAGGTGGAGGTTGTTGGTCAGGCATGATGTGACCAAGTATGGAGCAAATAAATGAATTCTCTTCGGATCGCAGGAGCGATGAGTGGTGTGGAAGAGATGCGTCAATTTCCGGTCCTGAGTGTCATGACTGACTGAGGTTGCGAATATTGTGGGAGTAGCGGAGTTCGTAGGTCTCGCGAGAGGATAGTCGGAACTTGAAGAACTAAGCAGTCGGTATTAGGAGGGCAGTTTAATGACAGTCAAGTGAGACACAAAATATGTGAGACTAGAATTTGATCGCAAAAGGAGACAGGGATAGATGAAACTGGTGAACGCGCCTTCGGTTGCCCTCAGCGCCTCAAACCAAAAAAGATCGAGTCCCTCACGTGACAATGACGTGCACGGGCCATGTGAGATCGGCGGGCGCCTGAGGAACGCAGAGTAAACAAACATCATCGATATCGGGGTGCGTCACTCCACTCTTCTTCCAACTTGTATTTGACATTGCTTTCGGTTTTTACTTCTCTTTCTTGACCCAATTTCGACAATCGTGAATAAGCTTGATTATGAGAAACACTACGCTGCTTGAATAATGTGCTATTGAAACTACGACCACCATGCTTCCCTCTCAGTTAAACGGCTCGCCGAAACGCGCCAGCCTCTTTGCGCGTCCATCAGCCTCACAGACATCCCAATCACAATCAACGAGGCCTAAATCTGCCATTATCACATCTTCTAATGGATTGGAATCAGCAAGAGGTCACCTGCGGAATTCATCCGTGTCGCAGCTGTCGCCAACCTTGTCTTCAGCTGGAAACCGCGAACGATCAAATTCGGCGAAGAACAGTCCGTCCTCCGGAACATTTGCCCCAAGCTTTATCAAGTCCGAGGAGTTACGTCGCGGGGCAGATCAAATCCGTGGAATCGAAGGAGACAACGATTTCTCGGGAAACAAATATGTGTGGCTACGAGACAATGAGAAGGCTTTCGTCCGGGGCCTGGTACTAGAGGAATTGGAAGGAGGCCGCATGTTGGTGCAAAGCGACGATGGCGACGTATGGAGGCCCATGAAACACGTATGAGGACACCTACTGACATCGGTATAGCAACGTGAGGTGGACGCGGACCAGGTTGACAAAGTTAACCCAGCCAAGTTTGACAAGGCAGATGATATGGCGGAACTCACCCATCTGAACGAGGCCTCGGTGGTCCATAACCTTCACACCAGATATCAGTCAGATTTGATCTATGTTTGTTTCCCTTCCAAAGCCCATGTATACGAGGACTTGCAGCTGACATACTGGGCTTGCAGACCTACTCTGGGCTTTTTCTCGTAACAATTAACCCGTATTGTCCACTGCCTATCTACACCAATGAATACGTGAAGATGTACAAGGGCCGTGGGAGAGAGGAGACCAGACCCCACATCTTCGCCATGGCGGATGAGGCTTTCCGAAATCTCGTTGAGGAGGGTGAAAATCAAAGTATTTTGGTAACTGGAGAATCTGGTGCTGGTAAGACAGAGAACACGAAGAAGGTCATCCAATACCTCGCAGCTGTTGCCACCTCCGACACACCTTATGCCCGATCCGGAGCGAAACAAATCACTGGCCTTGCGCAACAAATCCTACGAGCCAATCCCATTCTCGAAGCCTTTGGAAACGCTCAAACTGTCAGGAACAACAACTCGTCTCGATTCGGAAAGTTCATTCGCATTGAGTTCTCTCGATCGGGTCAGATTGCTGGAGCATGGATTAATTGGTACCTGCTTGAGAAGTCAAGAGTGGTGAAGCCGAATTCCAACGAACGGAACTACCACGTTTTTTATCAGCTTCTACAGGGTGCAGATCGCAAAACCCGTGAGAAGCTCCTGCTCTCGGACCTCCAGATTGAAGATTTTGCCTACACAAGAGAAGGGAATGACTCGATCGTAGGCGTATCTGACCAAGAGGAATGGAACTCCTTGGTCGAGGCTTTCCACGTGATGAACTTCTCCGAAGGGGATCAGCTTTGTATCTTGCAAACGATCGCTGCTGTGTTGCATTTGGGCAATGTCAGTGTTGCCAAAGCGAGTGTACGTGCAGATCAAGCGGCCCTGGCTCCCGAGGGCTATTCAAGCGTGGAAAAGGCCTGCAAGCTTCTCGGCATTGAGGCAGAGCCCTTTGTCAAAGGCCTACTTCACCCACGGGTCAAGGCAGGCCGTGAATGGGTTGAAAAGGTCCAGACGCCTGAACAGGTCCGTATGGCCCTAGATGCCTTGGCCAAAGGTATCTACGAGCGCGGGTTTGGAGACCTCGTCGCTCGAATCAACAACCAGCTTGGTCGCTCGATGGCCAGTGAAGACAACTACTTCATTGGAGTCCTTGATATTGCTGGTTTTGAAATCTTCGACAATAACGGCTTCGAGCAGCTTTGCATCAACTATACGAACGAGAAGCTCCAGCAATTCTTCAACCACCACATGTTCGTTCTGGAACAAGAGGAGTACGCCAGAGAGCAAATCGAGTGGCAGTTCATCGACTTCGGAAAAGACCTGCAGCCGACAATTGATTTGATCGAGCTGTCCAATCCCATTGGTATCTTCTCTTGTCTTGATGAAGACTGTGTCATGCCCAAAGCCACAGATAAATCGTTCACCGAGAAGCTCCATGGTCTGTGGGATCGAAAGACGCCCAAGTACCGTGCATCTCGTCTCAACCAAGGTTTCATTTTGACTCATTACGCTGCTGAAGTTGAGTACTCGACAAATGACTGGCTTGAGAAGAACAAGGATCCCCTCAATGACAACATCACTCGCCTCTTAGCCACCTCCAATGAGCCACACGTCGCGAATCTCTTCTCCGACTGCGCAGACTCCGAGGAAGATGGTAGCAACCACCCTAGAAGCCGCGTGAAGAAGGGTCTATTCCGAACAGCTGCTCAAAGACACAAGGAACAGCTGTCTAACTTGATGGCAAAGCTCCACTCCACTCACCCACATTTCGTTCGTTGTATTCTTCCCAATCACAAGAAGCGACCAAAGATGTTGCATGCTCCGCTGGTGTTGGACCAGTTACGATGCAACGGTGTTCTGGAAGGCATTCGAATTGCCCGTACTGGATTCCCCAATCGTTTGCACTTTGCGGAATTCCGACAACGGTACGAAGTCCTTTGTCAAGATATACCGAAAGGATATCTGGAGGGACAGAGTGCCGCCCGCATGATGCTGGAGAAGCTTGGCATGGATCGGGCTTGGTATCGTGTTGGTCGGACGAAGGTATTCTTCCGGGCTGGTGTCCTCGCCGACTTGGAAGAGAAACGTGACCAACTCATCCGCACCATCATGACGCGTTTCCAGTCCGTCGCTCGAGGATTCGTGCAGCGACGCATTTCGAACAAACGATTGTATCGTGCCGAGGCCACTCGTATCATCCAGCAAAACTTCCATGCCTACCTTGAATTGAAGGGAAGCCCTTGGTGGCGCATGTTCTCAAGAATGAAGCCCCTATTAGGTGATACGAGGAATGCAAAGGAAGTCAAAAAGCGAGACGACAAGATCCAGGAACTCGAAGCCAAGATGAAACAAGATCTCGCGGGCCGCCAGAAGCTGGATGAAGAAAGACGTCGGACCGAGCTTGAAATCCAGAAAATCCAGCAAACCTTGGAAAGTGAGCGTGCACTCGCACTGGATAAGGAGGAAATATTCAAGCGTCTGCAAGATCGCGAAGGAGAACTTGCCGAAAAACTTGCTGGTGCGATCGCCGACCAGGAAAGTCTCGAAGAGCAACTAGACGAAATCGTTGATGCAAAGAAGAAGACCGACGAGGAGCTGCAACTTCGAATTACACAGTTGGAGCAGGCAGGACTGATCATCCAAACACTAGAGTCTGAGAAGAACAACTTGCAATCTCGACTGGAAGAATTGGAGGGCAAACTTTCCGAAACCGAAACCCAGTTTTCAGGAAAGAATGATCAGATCCAAGGATTAGACCAGGAGATTAAGATGCTTCAAAGTCATCTCAGCTTGAAAGACCGCAAACTGCAAGACCTGGAAGCCAAATTATTGAAGACCGATCAAGACCTCGAGGTCAAGTTCGCAACTACCTCCAAAGAACTCGAAAAGTCCCAAAAGCAAGTTCGTGATATTTCAGAGGAAAATCGATCTATTCGTGAACAGATTGCCGAACTATCAACAACTTCTACCGGATATGAAGATCTTCTCCGCCGCAAGGAGAGCGAGATGGCCGTTCTTCGAAACGATGTGAAGAAGCACGAAGAGGAAAAGAAGAGCATCGAATCCGAGAAGGCTTCTCTGTCAACGCGTCATGACAACATGCAAAGTCGTCTTCGAGAGGTGCAAGCCGAAAGAGATGCCATGCGCTCCGAAAAGACCCAGCTTCAGCGCGAGGCCGCCGATCTAAAACGCTTGCTCGATGACAAGCGATCAGAAGATGCCGAGGCTGGAGAGAGCAGGAAGCTGCTGGAGGAACAGGTACACGATCTCAAGGGTCAGCTTTTCCGGGCTCAAGCCGATCTCAGTCGCGAACGCCAATCACGAGACGACGTCCAGATGCTCTCTGAGCACAACCTTAAACAATTGACCCACAAGTACGACGAGCTCAACGAGTCCAAAATCACCATTGAAAAGGAGATGTACCTTCAGCAAGACAGTCTACGTCGAGCCACTGAGGCAAGGATCGCGGCGGAGACGACACGGAAAGAATTGCAAGGGGAATTGATCAAGCTTCGTGAGAGATTCACCGACGCTGAAACTGCCCGCATGAATGCCGAAGCCGAGATTGAGCGCAAGATCATGAAACAGGCCGAAGAGCGCATGACGAGCTCGCGCAAGGACCTCGAGGAAAAGGCACGCCAGCTTGAGGAAGTAGAGTCAGAGCGGTCTCAGCTGTCGGTCCAAATTCAAGAGCTCATGCAAACAATATCAGAATCCGACAACTTCCGCCTCCGTCATGACCAACACAAGGAGCGTCTAGAGCGAGAGCTTGTGACCCTTCGGGGCAGACTGACCGCGTCTGAGAATGATAACAGATCTCTTTTGACTAAGATCCAGCAAAAGAACCTCGACATCGCCCGGTCAAACTCGAAGGCCAGCGATAGCAACAGACTCCGGTTGACAAATCTACAAAAGGAGAAGGCCAGGTTGGAAGAAGAAACCAAGAAATTGAGTCGCCAGCTGGAAGAGTCTCAGGTCATGATCACATCTATGGAAAAGCAGAAGGAGAAGTTGTCGTTGAGCCTGGAGGATCTTAACCACGAGGTCAACCGCGAGCACAAGACCAGCCGCAATGCTGAAAAGGCCGCCTCTACTGCCAACCTCCAACTCGCCGAGGCCAATCGCAAACTTGAGACGGAACGCCAACTTCGCACTCAAGCCCAAGCTAACACTCGTCAAACTCAGGGCACTCTGGATCGGGCGAACAGGGAGATTGAGGACTTGCACCGCCAATTGATCCTCTTGCACAAGGTCTTCGAGCCCGAAGCTAGTGAGCCCACGCAATCCTGGGAGGCAGTCCAGCCACACCTGTCGAAGCAGGTTGACTTGGCGCAAGTCCTTGAGACTGTTCAGAACAAGCTTGGCGTCACCGAAGAGAAGTACATGAGAGCCGAAAGCCAGCTCGCTGAAATGCGCCGACGCCACGCGGATGAGATGAGGGACCTCGACACCAAATACTCATCTTCTAAGCGTGCCTTGCTCGAGGAGATCGACCAGAATGAAGTAGCCAACACGCGTACCCCCGCTCACTTCAGGAAGAATTCTGAAAACGCCCTCAAAAGATTTTCCAATCCCACCACGCCCAACCGGCGTTACAACGTCCACGAAGCGACAAACGACTCTGCACGCTCCGATCGGACGGTTGATACACAGGGCTACCAGAGGCGCATGGATACAGCCGCTGAACTGGAAGAGCTTCAGAATAAGCTCCAGATGACTGAGATGCAGAACAAGCATCTCCAGAGCCAGATTGAACGATCCACGCCCGGCCGTGATATCTGGCAGGATGAGAGCCCGTCGGTCCGTCGTATGCAGCTCCTCGAGCGTGAGAACGGTCGTCTCCATGACCAACTCGATGACTCTTCCAAGAAGGTCTCGTCTTTGGAGCGTAGTATTCGCTCTGGGGAGTTGTCACTTCGTGATGTCCAGGCCAAATCGCACGAAGAACTCTACGATCTCATCAACTCACAGGAGCAATCTCGCCGCTCCCTTTTGAAAGTCCACAATGACACTATGGCTGAGTTTGGTGATGCCAAGGCCCACTTCGAAAAGCTGAAGCGTGCTCGGGCAACACTGGAGGTTGAACTTCGTGATGCCCGGTCTGAGGCCCAAGAATTGCAAGTCGGCAGAGACCAAGACGCTGTGAGCCGCAACCAGCTTCTTCAGGAGTTCTCGGATCTACAGATTCGTCTGGATGCCGAGTCATCCCGCTCAGCTGATCTCGAGTCAAGCCTCATGTTGTACAAGAGCCGCTCGGATGAGTACTTCAACAAGCTTGAGCAGGCCGAGATTGCTGTCATGAAAGCTTCGCGTGCCGAGCAATTTGCCAAGTCACAAAGCCAGGAGGCTGAAGAGACCTGTGCCCAGATCATGTCTGAGCGTAAGGAAATGGATGCTCTCGTTGAAGACTTGCAGCGGCAGGCGCAGTCACTTGAGGCCCGGATGGAAGACCAAGCTGCCGAGCTTCAAGGCGCCTTGCAGGCTAAGCAGCGTCTCCAGAATGAGCTTGAGGACTACAGAAACCAGCGAGCCATCGATCTCGAGGATAAAGAGACATCAATGGAACAGACCAGGCAAAAGTACCAGAGAGAGTTCTCTACCCTCAACAACGAACTCGAGATGGAGCGTGAGCGTGTTCTCAATGGCCGTGGAGAGACTGCTCGTCTCCGCGAGGAGCTGGAAGACCTCCGCAGCAAATGGGATAATGAGGTTCTCAACAGCTCGACATGGGCTAAGGAGAAATCCCGCATGGATGTTGTCTTGCAGGATGTTACCAACTCTCGTGACGAGGCTGTAAATGCCCACAACGAAGCCCAGAGCAAGGTTGTTTCGCTCCTGTCTCAAGTCCGCACTCTTCGGACCTCGGTTGAGGATGTTACTGCCGAGCGTGACTTGCTCTTGAAAGACAAGAAGATGCTCGAGGGTCGTCTGGCTGAAGCTGGCGAGCGACTCGAAGATCTCGCCAGGGGCGAAAGCCCATCCATGCGCAACGCTGCAAGCATGGACCGTGAACTGCTTGAGCTCAAGTCCAGAATTGCTCAGCAGGAAGACGTCTCTGCCGCTGCAGTTGGCAAGATGCGCCGCGCCGATGCTTTGGCCACTGAAATGCAGAAGGAAGTTACTGCTGAGCGGGAGGCCAATGCCCAACTCTTTAAGGAGAAGGCGGCTCTCGAGAAGTCGCTGAAGGAGGCGCAACTCCGTTGTGTTGATCTGGAAACCAAGAGCTACTCCTCTGGTAGCCAGGATGTTCGCTTCTTGCACAAGCGAATCAAGGAGGTAAGATACTATCCCTAGACTCGTTTTTGGTTTTAATACTAACATGCTCGTGTAGCTGGAAACCCACCTCGAAGACCAGGAGAGCAAGCACAGTTCTGAGCAGCGCTCTCTTCGCAATGTCGATCGCACGGTCAAGGACCTTCAGTCTCAGATCGACCGGCGCGATAAGATGAATGCCCAGCTCAATGACGACATCAACAGAGCTCGGGACAAGATCGAACGACTCCTCCGCAATATCGAGGAACTCCAGCACAATGACTCAGACGCACAGCTACTGGCTCGTCGCGCTGAGCGGGAGCTCCGCGAGGAGCGAGAGAAGGCACTACGGTTAGAGCGCGAGCTGGATGGCTGGAAGGCCATACGCGCTGAGCGAGGCAGCACCATTGGCCGCAATGTCACTTTCAGCGAAACCGGCAGCCGTCGCGGTAGTGGTGTCTATGGATCTAATGACATTCCCCAACGGCAACCCAGCAACACCAAGGGGTTCTTGTGAATAGCGGTTAATTGATGTTTGACAGGCTTATCTTGTCTGGAGTTGCAACCATGATTAGGGATGGGATGATTTTGTGTTACCGTTAACGGCGTATTGCGTGCATTTGGGGAAGGGATGTCTCAGTCTTCTGAGCTGGCCTCGGCCTTGTTCATATTGTTTGAAAGGCCATGCTTATCCCTTGAATGATTTCTGCTCTGGGTGTTTCTGTACTGGATGGTTGTTTTGTTGCATGTTTTGTCTATGCGTGCTTAAGAGTAAATACGCTCTATGACTTGACTAGGCTATCTATGACGATGAGAATGTAATGAGTCACCAACGTATATTCAGTCTTTGACCAATCTTTCTTCAAACTTCGTAGCATCCGTGTATGTAGCATCCGATCATTTCTACTAAACCACGTACCCGAATGTCAACGACTCTATCTGGTCAACTCCTCGTCCTCTGTCTTCTTGAACCTTAATAAAGTATCTTCCTAATCAGTCCGTGCGTTTTGACTACCATACTGGTTGAAAAGGACACCAACAAAAATATGGCCCTAGGTCTTGTGGGGTGTAATGTATGTTTTATATACTCACGGATTTGCATGTCAGAATTTCGAAAGAATGCTAACATCGAATCTTAGCTTAATTGTTTATAGGATGGACGATATAAGGAGACACATAAAAAAGGATGAATGCTTATATTGCCATAGGTTAATATAGCAAATGAAATGGCTGCATATTCGAGGTGAGGAGGAGGGCACGTGATATCCGCGCGGCAAGCGGCAATTAGCGCGTGACTTCACCTCCAAGCTTCAAGCTTATGATTTCCTCTTCGGATTCTTCCCTGCCAACGCCCCCCGATACCCGACTTCTTTCGGGTCGCTGACTTGGTCAATACTTTATCATGGTGAGAAGTGCCCCTGACAACCAAATTGCACCAGGAAAAGTCCATGTGCAACCCGGGTCACATTTTGCTAACCCAACCCCCGCTATGTAATAGGCACGAAACAGCGAGAAGGCACAGTCTATGCTGTTCCGCTTCCGAGCGCAGCAAGCAGCAGACCTTGGAATCATTGACATTTCACGCACACGACGCCCTAAGGCCATCACAACCATCGATTCAGTCCCAACATGCGAGCGTTGGCGCGGTCAGGTCGTCAAAGAGATTTCCCGCAAAGTATCGCGCATCCACGAACAAAGCCTAAGCGACTACCAGATCCGCGATCTCAACGATGAAATCAACAAGCTCATGAGAGAGAAATGGGCCTGGGAAATGCAGATCCGTAATCTCGGCGGACCGAACTACATGCGCGGATCCAATCGGGTCTATGACGATGAAGGGCGCGAGATCCCGGGCGGAGGAAAAGGGTACAAATATTACGGTCGTGCTCGGGAGCTACCCGGTGTCAAGGAAATGATTGAGGCTGCGGTCCGTCGCGCGAAGGGTCCTGCCGAGGAAGAAGAGTCTACTGGCAGAGGCGGAGATATTGCTACGAGGAAGGTTGATGCCAATTACTTTGGTTATGGTCTCGACGAGGAAGATGGGACGCTGCTGGAATATGAAAAGCAGCGGGAGAAAGAGGCTGTTGAGCACTTGCGTGGCCAAGGGGAGGATGATGCTGAAGATGGCTGGCAATCTCTACCTGGTGATGCCGGTGATGGAGTGGAATGGAGGCTTCCGACACTAGAAGAGGTGCAAGAAGAGCTTGTGGATAGACGACGGCGCCGTCTCCTAGATAAGATCTCTTGATCTAGACACTCCGGGTGTTCGAGCTTCTCACATTTCATTTGTCTGTTTTACGTTGGGTTGGGCGTTACGGGTGCTTCTGCAAAATATTTACAACACAAGCATTTGTTTTCTGTTCGTAATGATACTCCTTTACTTTTTCTAACGATTCGTTCCTACCCCGAAGAGGGATTTATTATGTTCAGTATGTTACAGACTACTAGTTACATCGGGTTTATTCTTTCGAGTCACCCGTTCGACCTTCAAGGCCTGTGTCATGCTCAAGCGCGATACCTGCTCAGGATCTTCCCGTCGTCGTTCCTCCGCCTCTAGGTCATCCACCAAGAATCGACCTAGATCTCCTTGCCTCCATTTTTGAATGAAATGGATGGCTGCTCCGTCCATATTTGGCACACCTCCCTTGCTAAGCAGACCAGTCTGGCGCGCAAAGCTTTCAAGTAAAGGAACGACTTCGTTGGTCGGCTCTGACCAACGTTTATAAACCTGCGGGTCATGCAAGTTGATATGATACAGTAGATAGTCCACAAGTGTGACTGGCGATATGACGTTATCCTTGACACAGCCACAGAGTGCCAACTTCAGCATACTTTCTGCCTCGGGGACATACGGCATGAAGACTCCCGGTGTGTCAAGGACGTAGACATGAGATCCGCTCTCACGTTCAATGATTTTGACCTGGGTTGCTATCTTGCGTGTGATACCAGGCTGCTGTCCAGTCTTCAGTGCCTTAGCTTTGCCGACGCCTGCGTTGCGTAGGTTGTTGATCAGAGTGGATTTGCCGACATTGGGCATTCCGACAACCAATAATCGACAGCTGACAAGCTTATCGGGAGCTTCGGCATCGTTTCGGAGGTGTTTGATGATCTGGCTGACATCCTGGCGGGAGGATGAGCTTGTGAAGAAGACGGCGCTCTTTGGATCGAAACTTTGCAGCTTTCGCTCTGTCTGAAGACGTGTCAGCGATCAACCGATTTGATAATGTGAGAATACATCAAGCACAACTGACTTGTTTCTGAGCAGATGATTTGGGAATCCCGCCCAGATCTCTCTTAGTATAAACAACTAGTCGCCTCATCTTGCCCAAAGCTTCCTCGAACATTGGGTTTATTGAGGTGACCGGGGCCCGGTAATCACGACATTCGACAACATAGTCAATGCTTGCCAGCATGTTCTTCATCTTGGTCAGACCAGCCCGATGATGTCCTAAGAAATAGGACCTGGGGATAGCCCCATAATGGGGAAAGACACTGCGCGGCACGAACTGGGCCATTGTGGCGCGTTAAGGGTGGATAGTGGTTCAGTCCGGTAACATGCGATTCATTTTAGTCAGACCGGTTGACGATCGGTCTCAAGGGACTGATTATTTGGACAGTTGAGATGGCCGGTTAAAGTTGGAATAGAAAAACCCGTCAAAATGTCTAGGGCGGAAGGATTGGCGGTGAGGAAGATCGAATATCAACTACGTACTGGAGTTACCCCCAAGGCGAAATGACAATCTAGATAAAAAGCTCATTTCGAGAGAGTCCCAACTCATAATTGTTATGAAAATGGACTATCTAGGGTTTACGGCGAAAATACGACGATCGACGGGGTATTTAGATAGGTAAATCGCGGATTTGTGGTGTTTCCGCCGCGTACGAAGTTCGAGTTAGGTATCATCATGACCGTCAGTCTCTGATAATCCTGTTATACCTTAAAAAACATGATAAAGCGTCTTGTAATCTCTTGATATTTATGGTAACAATGTTAACCTAAGCAACACTGTTGCTGACTCGGCTTCAGTAGACCAACCACTGCCTCCAAAGTGCAATCATCCCTTTGTCGCACATACTGCTCACCATATTGGCTGTTTGATGGAGGAAACAAAGATCTAAGCCTCGCGCTGTTCCCAACATCAATTAATTCCCCATTGAAAGTGCCGATATCTTTGCAGTAAATGACCCCTTCAGTGTCGTCTTGACCAAGCCCACAAAGCCATTAGAAGATCGCCCGAGCTTAATCTCCAAAGACATGTCTGTGCGGCCGAAGAGTTCTGAAATCGACACAAGGCTGACCGGTTTCGTCGAAATCATAGGGAAGGAGACCCGGACCATGATGGCGGCGTGGTTCAAAAAACACTTGATACCAGTCATCCTCGTCTATTGCTCGAACATGTTCCAAGCAGTGCCGAACCAGAAGAAACAATAATTCCAGCCATATGCATAGCCATACATCGCTTTGTGACAGTGCCAATAGATAAATTCTCCATGTCTGCGATGGGAGGACCATTGGACGGACCCTCGGTGAATTTCTTGTTCGAAACTTGCCGTAAGAATGTACGAGGCGCCCATCGGAGTCCATCGATCTCGAGGCGCTCACCAGCTTCATACACGAGGGATAAGGTACGCGTGGCATCATACGCCAGAGCCTTTCCATTCGCGCCTTGGGCTCAGTCTGCGCCAGTCCAAGATTGTCCAGGCCTAAAAAGACTCCCAAACACAAAGTCTCGTTAAAAGCCACACTGGTGGTCCGATCAAGCAAAGCAGATGTTACCGCGAGTAATCTACCTTCCACACTAAGGGTAGACTGAGCTTGGAACGGAGGTGATTATGCAGATTCAATAAGCGTGGCAAACAGGTCAGTTTTTCAACATTATTAGATGACTTCCATAGTTGGTTTATTTCATCATCAATATCATATGCCCGATCGAAGAATTGAGAATTTAAAGCCTTGGCTAAAGAGTCCTCTTGGAACGTCCAAAGTCAGCGAGTACAGCACGTCTTGTTTATAGATGCGTAACAAGTAGCTCCAATATATTAGATTCAAAACTTCAAGCCGGGGGTACTGCCCCCTTGGGGATAAGAGAATATGCCGTGAGAAAACTCTTCTGGTATTGATTTTGCACAGTCGTACGATGGCCCTAAAAGAGCTTCCCTATTTCAATGTGGATTATAAGAGTCTGTAGCCGCTTATTGATTTCAAGGAGGTTGCAAAAGATAGCAAAGTATTCGCTGTCTTAGTAAGGTTTAAGTGGATTTGAAGCCTTGTTTGTGAGGCGAACATCAATAACTAACTGGGACATTCTTGGTCGTCAGTCATCTTCCTCCATTTCACAAAACCCTCCTTTATTTTTATTTCTTCTTAGAGATTGCAATGTCATCGGATTAAGGCCAATCATGTCACTAATGTCAGCCTTCCGACCGCCCTCCACAAGAGTCTCCTCTATTCGAGACACAACCCGTGTCCGACGACGTAGGCGGCCAAGCAGACAGGAGCCCTCGGAATTTGATTCAGAAGGCCATCTCCAAGATCCAGATGCCCACTCCATCATAACACCCTCAAAGCATACGCCGAAACCTTTACGGGTGTTACGAGGCTCAGTGGCCGCTGGTGGTCCGCTTCGTCCATTCCGTCTAGTCAAACAGGACATCGCCAACCTCCGCCAGCGGTATGTGTCTGACTGGACAGTGTTCAATCAATTGGTATTTGCTAGCGCAGTCTATGTTTTCTTTACAAATCTTCTGCCGGGAATCACATTTGCGAGTGATCTATACGTTCTGACTGGTAAGAGTTGGGGAACTATTGAGGTTGTCTTGAGCACTGGGTTGTGTGGAACTATCTTCTCCCTGTATGTTACTTTGACAGACTTAAAGCCACACAGCGAGTGACTCACAACCATATGCAGATTCTCAATCCAACCCCTCACAATCCTTGGCGTTACCGGCCCTTTCTCGGTCTTGGCTGAGAATATCTACTCATTATGTGAAGAGGTTTTCAAAGTACGCGATATATGATCATATGCTCTTACCTTTGCGAGATCATCTTTTCTTATCATGACCACCAGATCCCTTTCCTTCCATTCATGGCATGGTCCTTGATACATTCCGGTTGGATGCACTATGTCCTGGCGATCATCAATGCCCATGACTGGACAATGCGCTATGTGACGACGTTTGCAACAGAGATTTTCTCCCTCCTAAACAGCATTATCTACTTCCACAAGGCAATCCAAGAGCTCGAAAGGGCACACGACAGTCTATCTTTCGCGGCGTTTCTTTATGCCGTCATTGGCGCAGTCGGAACAATGCTCCTTGCCATCTTCCTATCCACGGCAGAGAGTTGGAAGCCACTATTCCACCGATATATCAGATTATGTCTGACTGAATACGCCGCTGCGATCTCCATCATTGTTTTCATCGGTTTACCCTATGTGGGCGAGTTAGCCCATCTCGATAAAATGACTTTACCCGTCAGCACATCATTTCGGCCAACATCCCCAGAGCGGGATATCTTCTTTGTCGAGTTTTGGAAACTACCAGTCTCATGGATCTTTGCTTCAATGATCCCCGGTCTCATCATTACGGTATTATTCTTCTTTGACCATGAAGTCAGCTCAATAATCTGCACCATTGATCGATATGGCACGCGCAAGCCAGGCGGATTTGCTTGGGATGTCATTTTACTTGGCACAACTACAGCTCTTTGTGGTATGTTGGGAATACCGCCTTCCAATGGTCTTCTCCCACAAGCCCCGTTGCATTCTGAATCCCTTATGCACGAAGAAACAGAGACAGTAAGTGTCATCGTCGACGGGGAAGAGAAGATAGAAACAAGGCAAGTCCGACAAGTTTATGAACAGCGCTGGTCGGCACTTCTCCATTCAGGGGCTATTTTGCTGTTTGTGAGCCCGCCGTTTATGAAACTCCTTGGCTTAACACCGACCAGTGTTCTGGCTGGGCTGTTCCTTTTTATGGGGGAGCAGAGCTTATCGGTGAAGTATGAAGAACTTCAATAAAGGCACCAAATGGCATTAAGCGCTAATCTTTATCTAGCCCAATTCTATATCGCACCTTCTATGTTCTTACTCCACCATCTGAGCTACCACCACTCCCGCAGTCCCTGCACAAAGTAATGGAGCCAAGCTCAGCGAATAGCCAAGAGACACCATCTCGCAACCCATCTTATCTCCCAATACACCTCTATACCATCTTGCAAATCTGCGTCACAGTCGTGATATTCATCCTCACACTGACAAGAGGAGCTCCCGCATTCCCAGTGTTGATTATCGCCCTTGTGCCTTTCCGTCTCCTGGTTATGAAACGTTGGTGGCCGCGTGAAGTGCTCCGATTTGTGGATGCTTGGGCATGTCGCGGAGGGACGCCAGAAGACGAAGAGGACGAAAAGTTGAATAAGAACTTCGCAACAGATGAAGACTACGGTGGCGACCACCTAACTGGCGAAGGTACTCGTCACAGCCACTCTGGGACTCGTAATGCAACACCACTTGCCGAATCATCTACGATGTCACAACAACGAAATGACATTCATATGGACCTTGCAGAGCAGAGGGCGTGGCGCGTGAATGACGACGATACGAATCACGAATGGATCGAGCTTGGTGATCAAGCCTTCCCAGATGAAGAGCTAGGACGACAAAGATAGATTAGACTTGTTTCAACAGTAAGCCGGGCGACACGTCTTACCTTGGAAGGGAACTTTGTTTTTTGTTTTCTATACCAGTCTTATAAAATGATCATACCTCCTTCGTCTTTGCCCGGTGAGCGTGAACGATAGGTGACCAGGGGAAATGGCCCAGAGGTACAGTAAAGAAGCCATTGCTAGTATCCGCGATACCAGCGAAGGCATTCCACCAGGCGGCAAACGCAGCAAAGATACCACACAGTCCACCAGCTTTTTGAACTGCAATCAGAACCTCGCCGTGGGAGCTGCACTGGATATGTGCAATGCCAAGTAGGAGGTAGTTCATGTCCAGGAAGAAGAACAGGAGAAACATCGCAAGACTGGACCTCAGAGTGCAGAGGAGCATTAGGGTAGTGAAGATGAACCAGGCCTATTCACAAAATCATCAGAACTGTCTCGAATCTATCCATAAGGATCTACTTACCAGCATGAATAAACCCATTAATGTTTCATTCTGACAAGTTCCACCCGTATCCTTCGCAGAATCGACAGGATCAAAGTCCGAGATCAGAGCAAACGTAATCCAATAGGCGCCATAGGAGCAGAAAGACGTAGCACCAAAGGTATTCCCAACAGCCATTTCCCTAAAATTGTTACTCCAAACCCCGAAAGAAAAAAAGGAAAACGACATCAAATATAATATCAAGAAATGCACTGAACATACCACATGCCAGCCAAAACCTGAGCAATACCCCCATAATTCAAAGCCAGAGAGACACTAATCCCAGAAGCCTGTATACCACCCACATTAAGATTAATGCAATTCGAAAGAAAAGACGTAAGTGCAAAAGCACACAGGCCCAACGGTGCCGGATTGGCGAATTTCCGCACATCGACAACGGGAGCTGCCTGGATATCATGTTTACAATCGGAAATGCGAGCCTCAGGCGTACTCGACTGTATCAAGGAATAGTCATGACTGAGTTGTGAGACGGCCGGTGACCCCATTTTATCTTGTGTGCATGGTTCGCTGTGGTGGGTTGGTGTAGCTTTTGGTTGTTGGGCCTCTGTGACATTGATTATATGCTCCATTTATGAGACTTCGGACACCCAGGAGGGATTGTTTGCGTCGGAGTGTATAGTTATTAGAGGTAATATGAGTAGGTAGCCCCGGGGGCAGGAATCATGGAACAATAGAAATACGAACCTTCCACTAACGAGTATATAGTCCGAGGGTTGAAAGATAAATATCTTTTTTATTCCCACCAGGCTAACCAAATCCCGAATATAATTTCTCCACTACCCAAAGAACGCGAGGGAAACCCCTACACGCCACTAAGGCCTCCCTGAGTCCGGGAAAATAAGTGGAAGCCCCGCGGATTTCATCATGTGAGTATGTTATGGCTGGGTGCCGGGCCAGTCAGTGAGAGGATTTTCCGACTATGATTCATGCTTGGTGTGTTATGCGGAGGAATCCGTTAAACAGGATTGGAAGGGAGGAGGCTAGATCACGGGTAGTGCCGCGTGAATTAGGAAGTTAATCGTTGCTTAGGGGGTAGTCAGGTCTGGGCTAGAGCTTGGTGGAATATTGTGCTTGATCATGGGACATGAGTATTATTTTTGGAAATTCTGAGACTTATGCTTGCTCTTTTATTTTAATACGGTTTAGTTGCTACCGCTTTAGGTGGCGTTCAATCGCTCCTTAGTCGAGGTAGAGTAAGAAGGTTACTTGTAACGTTAGTATGAAGACAGGAGGTATACTTCCCCCCATACAAACCTATTTCTTCAACGTAATCCACCTTCAATTTCCCGACCCCTTCAGTCTGAGAGTAGCCACTAAGATCGCCGTCTCGTATAGTTCTATATTGATGTCAGTCTGACCAGACACCGGGGCTTACTTACTCACCTACCGTGATCCAGACTAGGGGAGAACAGCATAAAATCCGTGCAATGCACATCTTTTCGTCAATCGATCTATACATCATAACAGAATTATTGCGCATCGGCAGTGTACTTCAACGGAGTGCGGCGGCTTCCGCAAAACGTAATATCTGTGACTAACAGTCTTCCTATTCGGGACAACCTCGGGAGGCTTGGCCAGTTAGGGTATTTGCAGGCTATGAACTATGGCCTCTCGTATATCCCTCTCCAGTTTCCGTATGTCACCTGCTCTATAATATGGAAGTTTAGCCCTGGGTCTCGTAAGGAAAAGTCTAGACCTTTGACTAGGGCCATCGTGAAGAAAACTAGCTTTTTGTTTTCTAGCTGATTGCGACTAAATGATAAATTATTGCTTGGGTATCCTGGTTTGTAAATGCACCGTGTTGCGCCATGTTACATAAAAAGGAAAATTCACCAGCCCGCATAACTCCATATGCATCTCAACGCTGTCCGCTTGGAAAGCAACGGTGTAAACCAGGCAAGATCAGCGGAATGGGCTTTCCGAAAACCTGTCACAGGTATCTATTAGAGACAAAATTGAAGATCATAGATGTGAGTCTACGCCCGCCAGCCTTGCACAAAGTCATGCAGACGGTCAATGACAACGCCGAAGATGGCGTTCACGCTATCAGCGATGAGTTGTTCGAAGTGACGAATGGCCTCTTCCTCCGTCATCTCGAGGTGAAAACGCTCCTTGACTTTCAAGACGGCCTTGTCGGGCTCAACTCGAATATCCGGGATGTTGGCATCGACCATCAGACTGAACAAGTTCAGGATCAGGTTGGCAGATTTGCGTAGGGTAGTGTAAGCAGTGTAGCAGTATTGTTTGAACTGCAGGTAGTGCGGCGAAGATGTACCGCCCATGCCCTCAACCATTTCTTTGCAAAGTTTCATCATAGGTGCGAAAGGCTTTGGGTCGCGGCCGAGAATGAAACCAAAGTCGGCGTGGAAGAAATGACCATCTGGTGCAAGAAGTAGGTTCTCGAGATGACGATCGCCAACGCCAAGTAGGTACGTTATGACACAATATCCGGCACATGATTTGATATATGTATCCATAGTCTCCTTGCGAACGCCCAAGTGCTCGTTCTCATCCGGGTTGTTGATTTTCAAGTAAGCGAGAATGGATTTGTACTTAGAGGATGCCGCAGAGAGAGAAATGGAGGGGATGAATTGTACCGCACCGGCTGTCGGACTGGTGGCAAGGATGCGATAAGGGGTCAACTTCAGATCGAGGTTTTCTTTTTGCAGAAGACGGTCCATCAAGATAATGATCTGGATGACCAATTGATCCTGGCGAAGATCATCGCCGACTTTGAAGAGCATAGGATAACGAAGACCATCCGAAGTTTTAAACGTCATAAGCAAAGGGGAAAGCGTGGACTTGAAGACGTTAGATTCCTCGGGGTAGCATCCAACAACTGAAACCTCAGGATTCAATGGTAATGGCAATGGGGGATCGATAGTGATCAGGTCATTCTCAGGATCACGAATGAACTTTTTCAACATGTCGATCTTAACAGGTCTGTTCTCCCGCGAAAGTCGGACATCTTTGGCAACCTTCGAAAGAACGGTCACCATTTCCGCTTGACGCAGTAGTGTCTTTTTGTGCTCTGGATGAACTCTCTCTAGTTCGGCCATGAAGTAGTATGCAACCCGTACGAACAGCTGACGTTGAGCGGGAAGAATGTTTGAGCCGGCATCATCGATCTCCACTGTTAGATACCAGAACAGGTAGTTACCAAGTTTGAAGTTATTGGCCGCTCGCGAAATCAGGAAGTTGGCAAGTGAGAAGTCGTGATCAGCATCTTCCGCTTTGTACTCGGGAGATTCCTCATACTTCAAAGCCTGCACTAGCTGAAGTAGATATAGAAGTAGCTCTTCATCATCAGCCTTTCGGAGTGTTTCAACAGCATATGATCGAACATCAGGATGATCAAAAGTGGGCCCGAGGATTTCCAGAGCATCATCAACATCAATCTCGGTCCACTTCGGAAGAATTTCGATGGCTTGCCGCGACTCCCCAACGTCTCTCCAGTTGACTGACTTGACGAATTTGGTTAAAGCTTTCTTCTCGCGCGTAAGATGGTATCGGAATCTCCACACAAGATCCTTCTCCTCGGCTGTGAGCTCCTGTGTGGGTTCATACGAGATGATCATGCTGAGGTCGTCCCTAATCTTGGGGTTCGGCTTCAGGTCTCGATCCAGGATGCCCGTCCGATGACTACGAATCAGACGTCGGTGCTTGTCCTCACAGGGATTCGCGACTTGACCACACTCCGGATCATATATTCGAATGACACTGTAAGGGTCAGCGCGTTGAATACCAGGTCCGAAATGGACCTCCGGGACAGGCTTCAGAGTCGAATTGGGATGGGAAGGTCCGTTCTGAGGATAAGATGAAATTGGCGGAGGAGGGTATTCATGATCAGCCCAGACGATCGGGTGATCGAAGCGTGGAAATTCGACGTAAATATCGAAATATTCTTCATCGGGCTTTTCCTCGTCAGAATCGTCGTTCCTGTCTTGTCTTTTGGGATCCTTCTTCATAAGAGCCTCAAGTTCAAGAGCACGTTTTTGAGCCGCATCTTCCGCATTAAGCTTCAGCTTCTCTAGCTCACGGAAAAGTAGTTGATCCATCCAGTCAACACGTGGGATCTCGCCCATTTCGTGTTTCTTGATCAGGACTTCGACTCGTTCTAGCTCTTTCTCTTCAGCTGACGGCTCAGAAGGATCGCGGGCTCTCATTTTCCGGCGCTTGGGCGCTGGAGTGAACGGGGTAGACGTAAAGACATCGCCATCTGCTTCCCGTCGAAGATAGACCTTGCACTTTTGTTTCCCCATTTTCAGCTTCCCATCTTTGTCGAACAGTGGGATCGTGGTACCGCCAAACGGGACATGGCGTACACCATCAGCAGCCAATGGCGACAGATCCCATAGCGTTATCGCCAGCTGAGAGTTGCGTTGGGCGTCCTTAATGGACATGGGCATCTTCAACCATTCATTCCATACTCGTTGGGTTTTGAAGGACTTGTATTTGGTCTGCATTGGCACACCCATAGGCTTTGAGTCCGACCATATCTGAACCGTTGCGTATAAGTCGGAGGCGGGGTCCTGATTGGAAGCGATAAACTGCAGTTCGGGGTTCTCGTTGAGGACTGAATCCAGGATCTTTTTCTGCTTTCCCTCCAACGAGCCACTGCGAGCTTGTTAATATGTGAACCATTCAAACAGCAGGAAGTAGCATACATCTTGACATGAATTGGAATATCCACGTCAGTGGATATGGCAAAGGTGAAGGCCTCCATCTTGCATCTGGAGACAGCAAGTGGGTGCGTCATGGTAGATAAGATCCGCGGGGAGACGACGGGTCACGTGATGGAACGCGACGCGCCTCGCCAAAGTCAATGGTCGCGACCTTATCATTTCCAAGTGTTTGAAGGCTTTGATATTGTCGTCAGAATACCGTGATCTTCATTCATAATTTACATCGAGCCTCATAATCCCTCTCTACTTTTTTTCTTTGTCATCTCATTTGGTACTATAGAGTGCTGATTGAGTATGGCTCGTTTTGCTCTACATCGGGACGAAGCAACTTCTCTCACGCCTAATCCACCTTCATCACCAACATCAGCCTCGGACAAAGAAAATCGGCGACAAAGTACCAACAAGCGGACGCAAGCCGCGATGGCACCCTCGCGTCTGAGCAAACGACCTCGACTCACAGACCGCGATTCTAATATTCAGTCGCGAGGACCCCCGCCATCTCAACGCAACGGGGATACCAGATACTATGATCCAGATCAAGATGCCGACGAACGGCGACGCGTGCGGAGAGAGCTGAGGGATTTAAACAGAGCACTGAACGGTAAGCTTTATCTGATCCCTGACTCGAGGCAAGGTATTCTGACCCGTTCTACATAGACTCACGAGGCGAGTTCATGCAATCTGGAAATGACGGTCTTTTCAAGACGGTTGAAAAGGCAAATGAGATTTTCGTCCAAGTGAAGCAGACCTCTGACGCTACGATCGATTCTCGCCTCCTGGTTAACGCTGCAGACCTATCGCACAAGAAAACCGCCCAGCTTGCCCTTGGCGACGCCTCCGCTGGAATCGACGTCGATGAGTTTGTCTCGAAGTGTATATCATTCATGCGCCGCGAACCTACCAGCGAAACGAGTACACCACGCGGGACGCAAGGGCGTCGAGGACGACCTCGCCAAAGCCAGCGCGACCCATATGCGAGCGATGAAGACGAAGGCGATGCAATGAACTGGGACTACCTGGGTCAGATGGCCTGCTTCCCACATAATGCCAGGCCAGTCGTGTCAGGGTGGTTATTGGGCCCGCTCTCGGTGCAGAAACGTGTGCGTGCAATAACCCAGCGTCAAGCACGAGAAGCGATCGATCCGGAATTGGCAGTGAAACCCACAGAATTGCAACAGCATGATCTCGGTCAGCAGGATAGCGTCAATCTGACAACGACATGTTCATATATCAACAAGCTGCTAGGAGACACCCAGCAAGAACGTGAAAGGGAAGCCGAGAGAAAGCTGACGGATGTCGGAAATCCCACCGAGGACCAGATCCAACTGGTGTTCGACGAGTGTGGTATTGCTGACGACGGCGGAATCCCCTTGTTCGCCTTCTGCATCGACCCAGATTCATTTGGACAAAGTGTCGAAAACCTGTTCTACGTGAGTTTCTTGGTTCGTGATGGGACCGTCGGTATATCCACAGATAGTCGCCAGTTGCCGACGCTTCGTGAGTGGCCTTGCTTGTAGAACCATGTGATGAGAAACTAACCCAGCTCGATAGACCCCGCGAAACCCTATGCGCCTAGTGAAGCCCAAAGGCATGGAATTCAAAAACACCAGGCTGTGTTCAGCTTGGATTACGAAACGTGGGAACAACTCATCAAGGTGTTTAATATCAAGAAGCCAATCATCCCTCATCGCGAAGAGATCGAGGGAGAAACCGGCATGAGCTGGGTCTAGGCACGAGCAATGATCTCATGAGTTAGAATTTGTTGATACCCCTTTTTGCGTTCTATAGACCAATGCATTAATCAAGTGAACATAAATATGAAATAATCCAATATAAAATTAGTAATCAGTTGCTGAACAATTCGACCTGGCGGGCTCCCAAGTGGAGCCTTGGCAAATAAGTTGACATAACGTCATCATTGAGGTCTGGCCACAGCTTGCCTCGTACTTTTTATACATCTTACCATTTCTCTGATCAGTATTTTACATCCGAGATCTACTCTCTACGAAGACATCACTGAGACACCAACGCCAGGGAGCAAAGCTCTCGAGCTAAGAAAGCAGAACCCCACGCGCATACAGTTCATAATGCCGCAGCTCTTCCCAGCCAATCCAGCAGCGACTATGGTGATCCGCCATGTGACGCCAGACATAGTTACAATGAGCCTGCCATTCGCGCGATTCGGCCGCCTGCAATTCGGCGGACGAGGCACACTGGGTAAGTTCACCCTTGCAGAACCAGCGCTCCTGCCCCCACACACATACCACATCCAGACCCGGGAGATAGACACGAGCAAGAGTGGACCATTTCAAAGCACAGGCACAGTATGTCTCGATCAAAGATCAGCGGCTAACAACTCCTTACCTATTAGTCAAGCTCTCCACCGGTTCCCTCGCAGTCTTCTCGCCCGTCAGCCTCACACCCGAAGTCCGCGAGACAGTCGAATCCCTCGGTGGCAATGTGAAGTACATTGCCGCCCCAGACCTCGAGCACCACCTCCACCTCACCCCCTGGAAGAAGGCATACCCGCAAGCGGAGATCCTAGCACCAGAAGGCCTCTTCGAGAAGCGCCAGTCGAACCCCGAGTACACGGATACCGAGTTCCAGCATATCTTCAAGAAGGAGGATAAGCTGCCGCGGTCTATCTCGAATGAGTTCGATGCGGAGTTTGACACCGAGTATGTGCACGGCCATGGCTCGCGCGAGCTGGTGTTTTTGCATAAGCCTTCGCGCACGGTCATCGAGGCCGATATGCTGTTTAACTTGCCTGCCACTGAGCAGTACTCGAAGATTCCTGAGGGGCCGAAGTTGAATTTTTTAACCAAGTTGTTGTTGCCGTTGATGTCTACTGCGCCGCCTGCTACTTGGCAGAGACGGTTTGCTTGGTATATTCTTTCTTCGAAGAACCGGCCTGCTTTCAATGAGTCTGTAAGGCGTATTGAGAAGTGGGATTTTGATCGCTTGATTCCGTGTCATGGTGATACTATCGAGACTGGTGCCAAGGGTGTGTGGCGCGATGTCATGGCATGGCATTTGCCCGATCAGAAGAATGTCTAAGGTTTTCTATTAGTTTGTGTTGCGAAGTGATGATGTTAGTTTGACTCAGGTGTGGGGGATGTCATTATGCGTGGGCGGTCTGTACTAATTTTCTTTCTAATTTTTTCGAGGGACCTTGCAGGCAGCATCATTCTGATGATCTTCTCTCTTGGCTTCTCCATTGTGGGGATACCTTTCCTGCTGCGGCCGTTGCTATTCATAGTAATAAACTTTCAAGCGTACATTCAAAATTTGAATCGAGTCTGCATGTTTCTAATATCATTCTGTGCCTACCTCTCTAGAGTATGTCTGCCTAGAGCCTCGACACATTTGGATCCGTATGCCGAGCGTAGCTAGAAAGAACGGCTAATCGGCATAACAGTCCTATCTCAATCAAATCCTAAGTAATATTCAGTAATAGCTCCGGACCATAACCATGTGAAGAACATCATACTGTAATATGGAGATCGCCCCCACGTCATAGGGCTGAAAGTTGAAGGTCATATGACCTAATATAAGTTAATGTCGTCAGAGGTGCAAGGTCTCGAAACCGGATACAGTACCCTCAAGTACAAACTAACAGCAAGAAACCACTGTAATTACCGAAGGAACGTCTATGTACCTGTCAAAGGCTGCAACGATCGCCCAAGTGGAACCCGACCCAAACCCTGGACCAAATCAGGACTATCACCAATAGCACAATGATCGGCAGTGTTTTGTGTTTTGTTTTGGGCTGCCCATCCCACCCTTAAAGCGAGAGAAAAAAAGCCACTGACAGAATGCCACACCCCTGCTCATCTCGTATGCCAGCTCATATCCCATACACAGATACACTCCGTCATCCTGTCGGGTGGAAGGCTGGTCCTGGGGAAGACAGGGATGCCCAGCATAGCCTGCCAAGAGTCTGAAGGGCGATGCATACAGTACAGAGTATGTAGTCTAAGCCGTACAGTGGGCACCCTCCTTGCGGATCGTTAGACTCGTTAGACTGCTACATGTATTTTCAGCCACAGTCCGCAGCGGTCAGTCCACAGGTCTGGAAATTGGTTGGGCACGTTTTCACGATATGTTTGTTTGGACCAATGACCTCAGGTTGAGCGTGTCTCTATCTGGTATTGATCTGACATCACAGCCTTGGATCGGCTCTACACTAGGTCGTGCCTGAAGCTGTGCTTTTTTTTAGGTACTTTTTGGGTTTACTTTATTGGGTTTTTTTTGTTGCGCTTTTTTTTTTTTTTTTTTTTTTTTTACACCTTTGGCCCTTGCTTTAAAGACGCTGTCTCTCTCCCTCTTTCTGGGAGTTTGCTTGTCTGTGCGACACCCTCGTGAACGCGTTATATAGCTTCTCGGTTTCCCCCACATACTTCTCTGCCCACGCTACAGTTGTCAGAGCTTGACACATTACAACCCTTGATTCGATCATATCATATCATATTTACTGATCCTAAGATCTTCATCGCACGCTTTGCTTGACAGCTCATCATGCCTGTCATCTCCCGCCTCGTGTCTATCATCCTCCGCGTCGCGGAAATTGCATTTGCGGCTGTATATACCCCTAACTCTTCCCCCAACCATATAACCATCTCTGAAAAATCATAACTAACATTCTTCAGGTTGTCGCCGGCATAATCGGCCACTACCTCGCCGACCTCAACAACTCCAATGCTGATGTCGACTGGTGGCCCCAGTCGCGATGGATCTACACCGAAGTAATCGCCGGCTTATCCATACTCTTAGGCCTGATATGGCTGATCCCATTCTCATCCGGCTTCTTCTCTTGGCCTTGTATGTGCTTCCTACCATAGTTTAATTGCTATGCAACACCCATCATCTTGAGGTCTGATACTAATGAAATATTAGTGGATGTCCTCATTTCATTCGCCTGGTTCGCTGCCTTCGGTGTCCTCGTCGATACGCTCCGTCACTTGCCTTGCGGCAGTATCTGGTCCTGGCACTTTAGGGGTCAGCAGATGTGTGGACGTTGGAAGGCAGCCGAGGCTTTCAGCTTCCTTTCTGCTATTATCTGGTTGGTTTCTGGGCTTGTGGTGAGTATTTGCGTTCTATATCTTCTATTAAACAGTGGATGCTAACAATCAATCCAGGGTATCTGGTTTACCTTCCGTGTTCGCCCTTCTACCACTGATGGAACGTAAGTGGATTCATGTCTTTCACTGGTGTGCCTATACCAGTACTAACATATCCAATAGTCGCCGCCGTCGCTGGGGTCGCTCTGCCGTCTAATTAAACTCGCATGAGATATGAGGTCTGCGCACAGTCATTACAAGAAATGCTTTCTCTATTTGGTTGGATGCGCCAGATGCCATTGAACATCGCGATTTCCATCATTTTATGATATCCTTGCTTTTCCTTTCTCGTCGTGTTCTCCCTCATGATTTGAAGGCCAACGAATTACGACTTATGTTGATACCCGGGGTGGACTGATATTTTTTTTGGTGCTTTGCACATTTGGTTTTTGATCTCTCTTTTAAAATCTATCTACAATGCACAATCTTTATCTTTTGACCAGCTTCCTTTGGTAGCTTTGGATTTGATTAGATACGATGTCTGCCAATCATATTGTGGTCTTGTTGGCTGTTGACTTTGCAGGGTTGCCACGATGTGTTAAAAGTTTATTGGGGTTCGATACGAGGTTATTACGAGATGTTTGGAAGGATATACTTCGCGTATGATGATATAAAGTCTGCGAGAAATTGTTTGGGTATCAAGGTAAATGCCCAGCCTATGCGGCTTGTTGGACCTTGGATTTGAGTTCAATCCTAATTTTGGGAATGGTCTGTCCTTTGTGTACCGCTTTCCACAGTTTATCTACAGGCAAAGTACTAATGTTTGCGACTAAGCTTACAATGAATATCTCTCATAGGTTACCTGGGATCTATGGAGGATGTCCATGTGGTGAAGGGCCATCCTGATCGGATGACTAAAAGCCAAGAAATCGGACCCAACTCCGACAAAATGAGACAGGGGAATTCCACACGTTCTGGCTGTTTTGATGTTTGAACACTAAGAAAAATAGACTCATAATGCAGTCGCAACCAGAGCCTGACTACTCTGATAGAGCCGGGGCAGGCGAGGCAATTGCAACTGCACTGGAGTCTCCCTTACAGGAGATCGGACCATTCAAAGACGAACATGACGCACGCGACAGCGAGGAGTTGAGCCTCGATTTAGAATTGGGCGACATCCCACTCCTGCCCGCCGATCGCCAAGGCATGGAAATACCGACGGGAAAAGGCGCGTACGATCCATCATTTTCTTGTACGCCCTCGGGGTTTTGCGCCTGGCTCCGCGGCCCGAAGCCACCGCATGTGTATCACATCAACCCTTGGTTCCCACGGTTACAGGCTGCGCCGGGGCTTCTGATAGATCGCAAATTTCCGAAAAGAGGTTCGAAGATCGCGTTGCTTTTTGGTGGGCTTGCTTTTTGGATTGTTGTGTTCTTTTTCTCGCTCAAGGCCTCTATTGCTGGTCAGGATGTTTTGGGGTATGGGCAGCCTGTTAAGCTGTCGTGTCACCATCGGCTATGGTGTGTTTCTATTCTTATTTGTTGAGTGAGATTGGTTTGTGTGGCTTACCTTGATATAGGAATAATGCTACAAATTGTGGCATGAATGGGGACCTTTGTCGTCCTTTTGAGGATCAGTCTTTCGCTTTCCGCTGTCCCTCGGGTTGTGCGCAGGCTATTCTCTTGGAGCCATATGTTGTCGGTGCGGAGGAGTATAACTACCGCCCGTTGGTCATTGGTGGCATGCCTTTCAAGCTGGATGGCCACAATAGTGGCATCTACCGTGGCGACTCGTCGATTTGCGCGTCGGCTCTGCATGCTGGTGTCATCGATGATGCGACTGGTGGATGTGGTATCCTGCACCGCACCGGCGAGCAGCGGAATTTCCGGTCGGTGGTCCAGAATGGCATCGAGAGTATCAACTTTCTTTCGAGCTTCCCAATGTCGTTCCGGCTCACTAGGGAGGCAACCTCGTCAGGCTCAAGCGAGGCAAAGCTGGTAAAGTGCTCGGATGTTCGCTGGTCGCTGTTCGCCTTCACACTGATCTGGACTACTCTCTTGTCATTGGTTGTGACTTCTGCCCCGGCCTTCTACTGCGCGATCTATTTCATTGTATGGTTTGAAGTCGCCATGGCATCCGACCCGCCCTCGAACGGGAGCTTATACGACCTGATATCAATCGGGCTCGGTCGTTTCCTACCGGGCGCATTTGTGGGCTTCGTGATCTATCACTTCTGCGTTCGACACACCTTGCGCAATCTAGATGCGCACTGGGACAAGACCGTCCTATGGCTGGGTGGCTGCTGGGTCGGTGCCTTGAACACCGACACCTTCGACAGGATTCCCATCTCCCGCCTGACACCCCACGATATCCAGCAACAGCCAGGCGCACTGACTGCCCTGATCATCATCGTTGGATCCCTCGTCGCGATCGCCTTCGGCCAAGCGCATTGTTTCCGTCGCGAAGGCCGCTTCTTCCCCACCCTAAGCATCTATGGCGTCCTCGCCGCAGTTATCCTCATGCTCGTTGCCGTCCCGCACATGAACCTACGCATCCATCATTACATCCTTTCCCTCGTTTTCCTCCCTGGCACAACTCTTCAAACCCGTCCTAGTCTTCTATACCAGGGTATCCTCGTCGGCCTGTTCATCAACGGCATCGCCCGCTGGGGCTTCGACTCCATCCTCCAGACCCCAGGCGCCCTCCTCGACGGCGCAAAATTGGGTACTATCCCACCGAAAATCTATCCCCCATCCATTGTCGACCAAAACAGCCTTGTGTTCGCATTCCCGGATATCGAATCCAATGCCGACGGTCTCAGCGTTCTGGTGAATGACGTCGAGCGCTTCCAAGCGTTCCGCTCTAAAGATGGTGAGCCAATGCCTGACTTTTCTTGGTCTCGCTCCTATCCAAATGAGTTGGAATACTTCCGTTTTGGTTATGTTCATACGAATGCCTTGGGTGGCCTTTGGTACGAGGACTTTTCGCCGCCGGCTGTGTGGAATGCTGATGGGGTCTTTTCTTTCCCTGACCCTGAGATTCCTGAACCTGAGGAGTAGCGCTTTGGTTTTGGGATGCCTTGCACATAGACTTTTTTTATCGTTTAGCGACACTTGCCTACCTGACATTGTTATTATCCTTATATTTTGGACTCTTCACTTAGACATCGTAGTATTCGTGGAACTTCAGTCAAACACGGTCACCTGCCTGGTTGTCTCTCCTTGCTTTTGATAATTTTTCGAAATCGCAAATGTGGGATCGGCATCCAACTGGAAATTCAATGGCATAGCAGTCAATTCCATACCAATAGGAGTGCAAATCCCTGACAAAATGCGGTCGATACCTTCGATTTGCTTGTTTTACGGGGAACCAAGCAGACCCCGTCATTGCTCCAACACACATCAAGTGGGCCATCTCCACAACTCCAACCCTCGAGACGGGGGAACCACCATCACTTCCCTGCAACCGGAAGCCCGAAAGCTCCCTTGACTCACATGGACACACAGAAACAGACACAAGCATGGCAACAGAATCCGCCTCCGCAAAACGCGCACGCACACGCAAGTCGCGAGGCCGCGGCCTACGCACAACAAATGGATGGTAAGCCAGCCTCTACCAGAGACAATCCCCACTCCTCAGGTGCTCAACCCCCGTGCCGTGCCCGAGATACTGTACATGTTAATTGCCCAGTGTGCGGTATTGTATTAATGCAAATGCGCTCACAGTTTTACATGTCGCAAGCGTCACATCAAATGCGATGAGGTGAGACCGATTTGTGGGGCTTGTGGAAAGAATAATCGCTCGTGTGATTATGCAACGACGCCTGTCCCTCGTCGCAATTTCTTGGATACTGTTATTGATGGGTCAATTTCGCCCTCTCGATCGAGGGTGCAGAGTGCACAGAGTCGTGCGAGGCAGGATACACAAAGTCCGCTGCGTAGTGGTGGGGATTTGTCCCCCCGGACATTACCTCCACAGGAGCTACAGCCTCAGGAGGCAACATCTCAGGAACTGTCTGCTCCCCAGGCACCAACTCCCCATGCAAGGCATGGCCACCTGGCGGGTGTTGACTTGACTACCCACCAAAGTCCTGTCGCACTGTATCCAAACGACCTTTCTCCTTCAAATGCCTCGTACATCTTACAGTCCGTGACCGGGTCATTCTCCTCTCCTGGACCAACTGTGAATGCGGCAGCGAGTTGGTGGTTTGATCTGTTGGCAAACGATGCTGCCAGATATCACCAGCAAGTACCAGCTATACCGACTGGATATGGGAATGACAATCTCCCATTTGAGTGCCCGCAAACTGGTGATCAAGTAGAGATCACTTCCCTGCAACGAGCTACACAAGTACTTGACCTCCCTCGTGTAAATGGGATTGTGGGCCAGGGCTCCATTGTTTCACCTTCGCAGTCCAGCAATGCGGGTGAAGAGGAGCACATCTGGCAGTCCCGCGAGCCGATTGAGCTTCTGCCTCGGGGAAAATTTTCTGTTTGAACATTTTGTACAACATGTTAGTCAATGGGTAGGTGGTAACTTCTTGCGAATCTTAACTTATCTGCTATTCTAACTCAACTATTAGATCGATCTGTTTGACCCGACCAGCCAATTCTCCACGCTCGTTGCACATCTGGCAGTAAGTCGACCATGATTTTCAAAAGAGTGATAGACTGAATCCCGATCACTAGATACGGAATGCCGGACTATTAAACGCCATTCTCGCCCTAGCCTGTCGACATCTGTCCCTAAATCCCCGCCTGGATAATGAGGATCTACCAAACAAAGAAGCAGCCCTCCAATACTACTACCAAACCCTCCACTATGTGCAGAGAGCAATGCAGAAATCCAGTTACATGACTAGTTGGGAACTCCTCTCAACAGCCCTTATTATCTCAGCATATGAAATGCTAGACAATTCCTCCAACGATTGGGAACGACATCTCGAAGGTGTATTCCTAATTCAAAGATCTCAAGTCATCCACGGCGAATCAGGCGGATTACAAGCCGCTGTCTGGTGGGCATGGCTCTGCCAGGATGTCTGGGCTGCTTTCCGAGAGAAGCGCAAGACTTTGACGTTCTGGACTCCTCATAAGCCCCTCTCGGCATTGTCACCACACGAACTGGCTGCGCGCGCCGTGTATATCACTGCTAAAGTAATCAATTATTGTGCTGAGGAGGGCCCACATGTTGAAGGATATATTCAGCGTCGGCTGGATAAGGCTAAGTATCTTCGAGATATGCTTGATGACTGGCGGGATCATTTGACCATTGAGTTCTCGCCTTTGCCTACCAGCTCTCGTGAGAAGACGGGGAGTTTCCGTCCTGTCTGGATTCGCCCGCCTGCATTCGGTATGTATTGACCTTGGAGATATCTGCCTCACTATTAGCTCTCGAAGCTAACCTTCTTTATAGCTGTTGCCATGCAGTTTTATTCTGCTGCGCGTATTCTCTTGATCGCCCACGAACCAAGTCTTGGAGGGCTCACACAATATCTGGAGCGACAGATTATCGTCCAGCGTTGTGTGGAGAGGATTTGTGGTATTGCTATGACTTTGAAAGACGACGCCTCTAGTCTCATGTCATCACAAGCTTTATTCATTGGTATGTCCATCCCAGTACGGGCAGAAAGATCGAACGCTAATCTTAACGCAGCTGGAATATTTACACAAGAACCCCACGCCCGAGAGGCTATATTAGAACTACTGGAATCATGCAGGAAAAGAACCGGCTGGCCGGTTCGGTCCTTAGGAGATGAGCTACAGCAAATCTGGGGTCTGCACGAACCTACAAGGTCTTAGGGTTAACGTTATAATGATACTCAACTCATTCCTTAATTTGGGAACAGAGTTACGTCAAAATCAAGTATATACAATAGTTTCTCTCAAAACCATCACTCATGCCTTTCCAGCAGATCCACAAATCTCCATCCATCTCACAGTCAAATCTGCCACCTTCCGAATCCCCTCCTCAATCAACTGAGTGTGTGGCATCTTACCCACATTCGCGCGAAGGTGATCATAGTAGTCATCCAGAACAAGCCTGTTAACATTAATCTTGGTGACACCAGCCGCAACACAATACTTCAACGTCTCCTGCGAGAAGCCATTGGTACCGTGAAGCGCAAGATGAACCCGTCCACGAGCCTGTTGACGAATTTGTTCGAACCTAGCAACAATCAGCATCAGCATCAGCATCAGCATCAGCATCAGCATCAGCATCAGCATCCTACTCAATTATTCCAATAACCAAGGGAAAGAAAAAAGAACCAAGAGCCAAAAACTCACCTCTCATAATCCAACTGCGGGCCAGCGGGCCCATACTCCCCATGCACATTCCCAAAAGCAGGCGCCAACGCATCAACCCCAGTCCCAACAAACTCATCAACTTCCTCAGCAGTAGTCATACAAGCCTTTAAGCCCGCAGTATCCATAACCCCATCCTCACTCCCTTCAATCCGTCCCGGCTCAGCCTCAGTCACTATCTGCCGCGCATTGCAATACTCAACAAGAGCCCGGGTTTTGGCGAGATTCTCCTCCTTCTCATAGTGCGACATGTCGACCATGATACTGTCGAAGGGTAGTGTATCAGCCGCGCGCTTGATGATGGCTTCGGATTGTGCATGGTCTAGGTGGATGCTGATGGGCACGCTTGCGCGCTTGGCGGCTTCTGCTGCTGTGCGCACTAGTAGGCCGTCTGTTGCTGTTATTGCCCATGGGAAGAATTGGATGATTAAGGGGGATTTGGCGGTTTCGGCGGCTTGGACTAGACCCAGGATTTGTTCGATATTGTAGGCTATTGCTGCTATCACGCCGTATTTGCCGGCTTCGGCGGCGCGCAGGATGGTTTTGTGGCGGTTTGTTTCTTGCCAGGTCATTATGAGGATTGGATATTTTGTAGATATGTAGTTTGGGGAATGTGGTTTCGGTTGTAGGTGCGGCCAACGGTCTCTATAAATTGCCAACTTGACTATCTTACGAAGTGAGAGGGGGAGTGGGGGTGGATATGGATATGCCTCGAGACGAGTACACCCCAGAACCCCCCTTTAACCGGATATCCTCCTCTTTCTCCCTTAGCACATACAGTACTCTATATAGAGAGCATCATGTCTGAAACTACCTTCCAAGTTCACAACGACAAATTCCACTCCATCCTGGGCCACTCCCCAACCCTCCAACTCTTATCTCAAAATGACACATACCCCTTCGCCCACGAAGCAGGCATCTACATCCCAACCACAAATCACCTCTTCATAACCAGCAACCGATACAACGACAGCAACAACAACCAAAAGATCCAAATCACCCGCATCGACCTATCAACCACCCCAGTAACATGCGAAGAACTCGAAACCCCAATCCCAATGGGTAACGGCGGCGTAAACTACAGCCCCAACGAAATCCTAATATGCGGCCAAGGAACCCTAACCGAGCCAAGCGGATTGTACACCATGTCAACAACAGCGCCGTACATGTCCAAGTTACTCGTAGGTGATTTCTTAGGCCGGCCGTTCAACTCGGTCAATGATGTCGTCGTGCATTCCGACGGGTCGATCTGGTTTACGGATCCAATTTATGGATTCGAGCAGGGGTATAGGCCTGCGCCCGCGTTGCCGTGTCAGGTCTATCGCTTTGATCCGGTTGATCGTAGTATTCGCGCTGTTGCTGATGGGTTTGGGAGGCCGAATGGGGTTTGTTTTTCGCCTGATGAGTGCACCGTTTATGTTACTGATACCGATCGGCACCATGGTGATGGGACGGATGATCCGCATCGAGTTTCTTCTATGTTTGTGCTTCCTATGAGATCTATTTGGGTGGGTGTGTGCTGATGTTGAACAGTTATGCTTTTGATCTGTCGGTTTATCATCGCCAGCCGTTCCTTACTAATCGTCGGTTGTTTGCTATGACTGATAATGGCATTCCCGATGGGATTAAGTGTGATCTTGAGGGGAATGTTTATAGTGGGTGTGGGGATGGAATTCATGTTTGGTCGCCTGGTGGCGTTCTCCTTGGGCGCATTAGGATTGATGGTGGGTGTGCCAACTTTTGTTTTGGCAAGGATGGTGAGATCTTTGCTTTGAATGAGCATCGGCTGTGGAGGGTTCAGTTGGGGAGTCATGTTAAAGGTGCGTTGCTTGGGATTTAAACTTGGGTTAATAGGGCACAGAACTAGAAGTATTCAATGGATTTGTCTTATGGTACACTGCGCTCACTTTCTGTTTGGAAATAAACAGGGTAATGAGTCCCTAGCCATAACTGTAAATATGTATTTCAAGTTTTCTTGGTGTTTATATGTTTTTGTCAGCTTCATCCGGCTTTTTTGATAAGATGCCACAACTTCACAAATCTCCTTATGCGGGAATAAGACATTAGTCAATTCGGCTATATCTAAAAGTTTGATACGCAAGGCGTGAATATCCTTCTAGGTATCCGATGTTTCTCCAGGGGGCTAACCAACAAAACAAAGTCTATATACTCACTTCACAGCGACCCCCAAGATCACTGCAAGTTACTAAACATACCCCCGTCGGCCAACAGCCCAGAAGCATTAACATAACGACTCATCTCCTCGCAAGCCAAAAACACAGCTGGCCCAGCCATATCCTCGGGACTCCCAATTCGACCAAGCGGAATTCGCGCCTCAAGCGCAGCCTTCTTTGTCGGATTCTTCATATCGTGATCGGCGAGCTGCGTATTGATCGTGCCAGGCATCAACGCATTGCACCGAATCTGATCCTTACCCAGCGAGATAGCCATAGACTGCATCATGGACAAGATCGCCGCTTTAGTAGGTGTGTAATGTGTCTGCAGGCCACCGCCTACCAGGGCACTGACGGAGGAAATTCCGATGATTGAGCCGCCGTGGCCTTGCTTTACCATCTGGCGTGCTGCGGCTTGGCAGGAGTAGAAGGCTCCTTTGATATTCACGTCGACACTGTGGTTTAGAAGAGCGGGTTCAATTCTGGTATTCTTAGCATATGTTTCCGTTGAGAGCTCTGCTGGTTGTAGCTCACTTCAGGAACTCTGCTTGTTTGAAGACTCCCGCGTTCGCAACGAAGATGTCTAGTTTGCCCCATTGGCTGACGGCTTCGGAAATGAGCTTGCTGCTGGTCTCTGGGGATGTGACGTCGCCTGCGAGCTCGAGCACTTTGCCTGCATTGATTCCTTGTTTCTCAATGGCTTTCACTTCTTCGAGGAGGCTGTGGGTGTGTGAGTCGTCTAAGGCGAGATGGTTAACTGCGACGTTGCATCCCTGACGGACAAATTCCAAGACAATTGCTCGACCAATGCCCGTTGTGCCACCGGTGATGGCGGCGGTCTTTCCTTTGAGTAGGTTCCATGCGGGGAGAGCCATTGTGAACAAGGGAGACAGTTTGTGAAGTAGAAAAGTGATATGGATATGAAAAGAGTTTGAACGGGATACAGAAGAGTTCTCCTACATTATTTGGGTCTCGATAGCTTTCATATGCAAGAAGACCCCGCGCCTCGACGGAAACCCTCGTTTTGGCCCCGAAAGGGGACGATCGTGGCTCTCGTCTCGGGGGTCTCCCACCCCAAACCCCGCCTCCCCCGAGCCGGGGATTTTGCGCGACAGTACAGGTCTTTTGCGTTGATCTTAATGTAGGAGAATAGCTATAACTAAGGCGGATCCCACCTCCTTTCGAGGTAAGCTGCATTAAAAGTAATTCTCCTTTTCATATCATAATCCTCATCATGACTTCAGACTCTACCCCCTCCGCGGTTGTCCCGCAGACCCAGGTCACCCTCGGCTCCAAGGTCATCGCAAGTAAGTACCAATATACTATCCTCAAGTCCAGCCAAGTGTCTAACCTCTAAACGAAACAGTCACCGGAGCCAACCGAGGCATCGGCCTCGGCATCGCCGAATGCTGCCTCGTCAACGGAGCCGCAAAGGTATACTCAATCGACATTGGTGAAACTGGCGATGACTTCGCCGCCCTGTCAAAGCGATTCCCGGGTCAGCTATTTGCTGTGAATGCAAACGTCACACAAGAAGAAACAATCACAGCAGCCGTCAACCAGATCATAGCCGAAGCCGGTGCATTGCACGGCATGGTCGTCAATGCCGGCCGAACCCACCACAAAGCTGCTCTCGACTTTACCAAGGAAGAGATCGAGAACCTGTTCAATGTCAACCTCTTCGGGGCTTTTTATACCGCACGGGCTGCTGCCCGTGCCTTTATCAAGTTGGGAATTAAGGGCTCTATTGTTTTCACTGCTTCTATGGCTTCTTACCGGCCTAACAAGGTATACATATACATCCCGGCTTCTTTGAGCCACTCTTCCTTTTTACTGATATCCTTTTTTAGCGTGTCCCCTCTACACCATACGGTGCATCCAAAGCCGGAATCCGTAACATGACACACACCCTCGCTATGGAGTGGGCTCAGTACGGTATCCGTGTTAACAGTGTCTCCCCAGGTCTGGTTAATACCGCTATGACTTACTGGGTGCCCCAGCAGCCGGACTGGGAGCAGCAGCTTAAGTATTACGGAGGTTTTCCTCGTCTCGCCGAGGTGCAGGAGCTTGGTGGTGCTTATGTTTATCTCCTCAGTGAAGCTGCTAGCTACACCACTTCTATTGATATCCCCGTTAACGGTGTTATTGGCAGTAAGTTATATCTTGGTTCGGTTTTGAGAGTTTCTGCTAACTATTGTAGTCTGTTGAAATCTGTATGAAGTGTATTGAAGTTGGTTTTGTTACTTTATAGATGTTTGGAATTGCAGTGGTTCCGTATCGTTACTGTCCAGTGAAAGGTTGAACCTGCTCAACAACCTGTGCACTGCGTCTTCTATTTCAATGTGTACTTTGACATACTACAAGTTTGCGAGATACTGCGCAGCGCAGCGGATAAAGCCCACGATGCTTTTCAGCATTGCGATTTAATAGTTCCCTGAAAGGCTTGGGTACACCAAGCGAAGTATTTCGCTGTATGCTATTGTGTCATTATATATCAGGAAACCCTAAATCAACTCCGAGAATGCACTATACAACCAAGCAAAGCGGACATGAAACCTATTTTTCCTTGAGGTAATCCTTACACTTTACCTTTACAATGTTTTGTTTCCCGCCATCCTCAACGACCAACGCTGTCAGCTTGCCACCCTTCACACACCCAGAGTCTAGACCCTTGGTAAAAGTGCGGATAGAAAGGGAAGAAGACGCATCATGGCCATAGACGACAGTCATGGTGCCCGAGAGACGGTCTTCAATTGAGGACTCGAGATTCGAGTATAACAAAGATTGATGCTTATCAAACATCTAGAACATGTCAGTTAGACCCCCTAAGGAATAAAGTCGAAGAGAAACATACCTTCGCCCAGTTCATGCCTTTCTTCTTCGGGCTAGGCACATGCGTATCCAAATCAATGGTACGCATGGTCATCACACTAGATGGATCTTGTTTCTCAAGCTCGACGCCCGGTACCAATCCCGCATGGACGACAACCACCTGTCCAATACCTGGCACGGGGCCAACGTCCAAAATAACTGGACAGCTGCTCAGCCATTTGGCTTGCTCGTCACTCAACGAACGTGCAAGTGCACGCTCCCGGGTCTCCCGAGATGATAGATATGACTCTTCGTCGTCCTCGGGGGTTGCAAGAGCGTTGGTCTTCACCAGCTCCTGTCGAACAAGCAAGATCCGATCCTCGTGGTTTCCGCGCACACAAGAGGCCGAGTACCCACGAGCTAAGTCTACAACTCCTGTACTATCCGGTCCCTTGTTGATGAGGTCACCAGTGAGTATGAGGTGATCGCCACTGTTGGGTTTGAAGGAGACTTTTTCGAGGAGTTCTTCCACTATTAAGCTAGTCAGTATTGGGGGATATGCACCAAGACCGATATATGACTTACACTCCGCTTTGCAGCCATGTACATCGCCCACAAAGATTAACCGTTTCCGACTTGACGAGTCTGCCTCTACTTCAGCTGAGCCCGAGGGCACAAGCTCCGGATCCAATGTGCGAATGTGAACTATGTCGTCGAACTGAGGCATGGCATTCGACCCGAACCACCCACCGGCCTCAGTCTTCGTGCTTGGATCAAGTGAATGCAGTAATGAGCTTCGCTCTTGGAGTCGTGGATAAAGCAGCATCCGCCAGCTAACCCAGCCCACCAAGAACAAGCCAAGGTATATAAGCACGTAGCGCCGGAACCGTGGCGCAGAAACCACTGAGCGGGTCATTTCAATCCATCGCGGGGGCTTCGTATCGTCCAATGATCTGGATGCGGCGTTGTAGCTGCCGCCAGGTCGCGATTGCCGTGCATTTCTAGCAGAGTATATGAGAGGACGGGATTGGGACCAGTGAGCGGCGTAGGAGGGAGGACTCTCGGATAATTCGAAGTCGTCGTCTGCGTCGGACTGGACGCCCATTGCATCGGGGTCGCGGAGCACCATTTTGTTGGGAATTGGGTCCTGTTGAGTAGGATATGATGTGAGAAGGGTAGTCCGTCTACCTCGGGAGGTAAATGTCCTATCTCATGGTTGTGTGAGAGTGGGAGTGAAGATGATATTTTTAGGCAGAAAGGCATCCCTTTCCGGTCTGACGTCTACCCCAGACCCACTCGGGAGATCATTGCGTACGCATACGCATACACATGCTCATACAGTACTCATATTCATTACATTCATTGCCTATTTAATTTGGCTATTTTATCCCCGGTACTGCTCGTACTCTTCCGCTTCCCTTTTCCGGAGGTTCACGCGATGGAGGACAGTCGCATCGTAGACCTCTTCCACTGGCTTGCCACCTTTGAGCACCTCCTTCTCGTGGTGAGAAGCTTCTTCCTTGGTCATGCAGACCAATTCATTGATGTTGACCGGGATGAGCTTCTGGCCCTCATGTTCCAGGCTCAAATCCATCTTCCATCCATGGGTAGGATTTTGCCAGGGAATGAGAACCAGCCTGTTCGGCAAGCCGCTGACTGCACTCTTTCCCCGATAGACTTCCTCTACAAGGAATGCAATGTCATCCTTGCTGATGGGAGTGCGAAGCCCGATTGTGTCCCCGCCGGTGGCATGTTTGATCATTCGCTCGTGCAAGGCTAGCATAGCGGCCAGAATGCCATCGTAGAGCTTCTCACGGCCCTTGGCGCCCATGTTGTAGTCGAGCGGGTATCCAGTAATGCTGCAGATAACGTGGTTGGCTACCGTGTAACCGAAGACAGCAGGCATGGTTCCCAGAACAGGGAGAATGCGAACTCGGAAGTCGGGAAGGACTCCGAGCTCACCCACTTGACCCTTCTTATATTCCTCCTCGGGAAGAGGAAGTAGGCTTGCTTTACCAGGACCAGGCTTCTCTGTCGAAAACACAGCTGCAACACCTGAAGTGACGCCCAAGGCCTTCAGCTTACGCCGTGTACTGCGAGACAGAGGGTCATCAGTACTGAGCGAGATGTCGCCGACCACAACGCGAGTCGGGTCTGACTTGCATCCTGCACCCATGGATGAGATCACGGGTAGGGAATTCGAGTGGCAGTAGTGTAGCAAGTCCACCTTGGACGTAATGTTATCAATGCAATCCAACACAAAGTCCGGACGGCGTCCCTCTCCGTCCTTTGTCAGAGTCCAATGACTGATAAGGTCGTCAGCTGCCGACTTTCCAAACAGTTCGTTCCTGCAATCGAATGTGACCCATGGGGCGATTTGCTCCAATCGTCTCCGAATACAGTGAACCTTGGATGTTCCAACATCGGCCAATGTCGCAAGGGCGTGTCGGTTCAGCGAGGATAGTGTGACTTGGTCGAAATCGATGAGTCGGATCTTAGATACGCCCGATCGAGCGAGCGAGGCAGCGGCATGGGAGCCGACACCACCACATCCAACCACGACGACAAACGAAGAGCGAAGCTTGGCAAGACCTTCGTCACCGAGGAACACGCGGTTGCGGGCAAGTTGTTCAAGGATCAAGTCTGGGCAAAGACAGGTCTTGTTAGATAGGTTCGCGAAAGATGGCGAGGACATAAGGGCGCATACCATCATCATAGTCTCCCTGTTGTGCCCTGCGAGCCAAAGCTGCACTGCGCTCATCTTCCTTGCTCAATGGGATTTCGGGTGCAGCGGCACCGAAGTCGGTAAGCTGTGGTCATGCGATTAACTTTCATGGTTTTGTCGATTTCTAGCTTGCCGGGCATTCGACAAAGCTTGACGAGAGCAGTTTACCTTTTCAGCGGGATGAAGATCATCAATATTTGGGATCGAAGCTTTCAAGTCATGAACAGCCTCCTTCCGCTTGTATGATTGGTATCCAAAGATAGCACCTGCGACAGCTGCACCGGACAAAACAGCGGTAGTCGCAAGCTGGCCGTGCGACGAACCAGCCTGACGCTGGAGCCAAGAAGACATATTTTCAAGCACTCCCTTCTCGTCTGTATCCTGGGGTTCTCGTTCTTTCAATTCGGTCTGTTTTCGAGGGTTCGTGTGGCGATCAGGCCCGTATCTATTATCAGGTTCGTCAGAATCGAATCCGTAGTCGAGGTCGGCATCGGTAGGTGTTTCCCACCACGTGGAAGCTAGGGGAGCCATGGCGTATAAGGGGAGATGGTACGTACCATCACAAGTAGCCGATCGGTGCAGGCAATGGCCTTATATAACGGAATGTCAATCTGCAGATGCGATCATCACTGGAACCACGATTGCTATCACGTGCGTTCTGCGGACTTTAGCCGAGACTCCGACCTGGAAACTCCAACACATCTCGCGTCGGTTCCCACGCGCCATCCTGCTCATGCATCTTCTCATGCGATAATGTGTCGCTGTTGGCCCGCCTGTTGGAGATGCTGGTTCCAATATCGCGCCAAGGCCCACGGTGCGAGGAAGTTCCAGAGCCAGGCTGCGCGACATTGAATCTGTTTACTCTGCGTTAGGTCACACCAACATCTACTCACTATCGCATGTCAAGATGCGTGACCTTCGACCAACCCACATGTCTGATATGCTTGCGCGGCAGCTCGTCACATCACAACAGGTACGTTACCCATTGAGGGTTTTGCTTGTACCATCATTTGTGCATCCAGAGCACCCCATTGCTAGTCGTGATGAAGATACAAAATTCACATATGAGCTTTTCATGACATGGCGGTTGGTGGACTTCATCCCCAGTACATCTGAGTGGAAGAAGACATCGGTCTTATGGGTGATTGAGAATGAACAGAGATCTGAGCGACTGTCATTTGAAGCTTTATTCTATCTGTGCTCTTCGCGCCGTGGCCATCTTTAAATTAGACATACTGACATTGACTATGGCCTCTAGATTCAAGCAACTTTCACTTATGTTAGCCGAATGTGTTCCCCTCTGTCTCAATGCACCAAGCATGGCCCGATGAAGACAGATTCGTCATATACTCTGAGGCCATGTATATGCTCTGTCTGTACACCTTATAAAGGAAACGACGAGTACGCCAGTGAAGAGTGACAAAAAGGTAGTTTTCAATCTGAGGGTCTGCTAAGCATATGGAAATTAATGGTTGGATATTACTACAATTCTTCCTTTGTTCATGATCAATGTTGTTCATTTTAATGCGTCTCCCTTGATATGGCATTCTTGGAAAGCTCATATATTACTATAGTTCATTGATCGAGTTTGATACTCCATCGAATAATACCTGTCTTGACCTCATACTCCCATACTCCTGTTAAGGGAAGTCGTAAAATAGGTAAGAATAAGTTGGTGTGTGTATGGTTTATACACTTAGTGAGAGTAGATAGTAGTGGTTAGGGAAGGCGTATACAGAACAACATAAATATAATAGCTCTTATTCTTGTTATTTTCTTCCCTTCTTTCAGCCCCTAATATCTTTAAAAGTACGTGATACCCTTATCCCCTACTCTCCCTATGGCCAAAAGCAAATATTCTATATCGCCTGGCAGAATCGTTATCATGGATGAACCTACCGGCGGATTTGATGAACACACGGAGAAACTGGCCTCAAAACTTCTTGGTTAACGGTTGAAGGGGCGGACTATCATCTCATTGCTCCTCAGGTTGAAACTGGCATGGACTCGGATTTGCTCATGGTTTTGGATAATGGCACGATATCTGAAATTGGACCATGACGAGAACTTTTGAGTAGGAAACGAATGTTTTCGCAGTTGTACTTGGACGAGGACAACATAGAAGACTCGAACCCGGCTTGACGGATAACGAACTTCTAGGTTCTAAGGATTCATTTCCTACTGTTGATGGCCATAAGCCGCGGGCGTAATTCTCTATCCAAAATAGTCCTTAAGCCCCAGACTTAGGCTAAAATTTCATTGCAGAAAGACTCGATCGAATCTTAAATTTACTGATTCGATTTATTGATACACGCGTAGGCCATAACACCTTTCACACTCCACCTTTCTATAATCTATATGCTTAACCCACTATCTTTAAAAAACTACAAGAGGCAGTCCAAAATCGGCAAAAATGAGCCGAAAAAAAGATGTAAAAGTACGACGAAAACGATGCACGAAACGGTATACTCGCTTCGAGGCTTTCGTGTAGAGACTGTCTAATATTTCCTCAGTGGTTCTGTATGCACATTTATGACCCCTGTTGTATGTTTATGCTGCTAGTAGACTTGTACTAATCTGAGCCAAAGCACTACCAACTGTTCAGCGATTCCACCTAAGTACCTTATACCAAGACTTCTTTCATTGTCAACTTAGACAGTTCACTCAACAATCGACATAGCAACCGCAAAGCAAGCCCACGCAGCAAAATCAACCGTCCAGGTACGCACACGATGAATAGTCAACCACCCCTCAAGATCCTCCGTCGACCGGCCCTTAGACGAATCCTCAACCACAGCTTGGATCTTAGGCGCAACAGCCGGCACAAAGAGAAGATGACTAGCGGCTAACAGCGTACCTGCCGTATACCAAGGCAAGGATGCCGAGCTCCCAGATACCGACCGTCGGGTCAAGATATTGTATCCGCCTCCTGTCAAGGTCAGGGCGAGAAGGCCAAGTACGCGCACGGTACCAGGGACGAAGAAGACCCCGAAATAGGATGGCAGAGTTTCATTGCTGCGGGTGCGGTGGCTGGGGTGGAGGAAGATGTTTAGGAAGAATTCCTGGTCGAGCGAATACCATAATGTGCAAGTTGAGGTTATGAGTGGGGCGGTGCGCAGGAGAGCGTGGGGATCGAAGATGAGTCCAGAGGCCATGATTAGGAGAGGGATAGCGAAGAAAATGTCAAAGAAGAAGAGAGAATAAAAGGGACTGGCAAAGTATTAAGGATGTCATACGATCCGTAGTAGTGCCACTTTTGGGGGCCTTTTCACCTGCAGGGATAGATGTATTTGTGCTGTTAAAGTGTAGTAAGCTGCTGCCTGGGGGTGTTTGGCTATTATATAGTTATCTTTAATACCTCAAGAGTAGATGTGTATTTACAATTGGAGTCGCATATTACCGCTATGATTATCACCTACATCAGGATTGAAGTACTGCTCCTTGGTCCCCAATTACGACGGACGCTAGTCCCTATCTCTGTCGCCAGACCTACTCGCAATACCCAAGCATCGAGAGATAAATGATGCCCCGAAAACTACAATCCGGCTGCAAGGAGCTCCCTGCGTCTAAGATGGATGGGCTCGGCCTCCAGGATGAGATGCATGAACCGGTCCGTTTCATCGCGTCCGCATCGACCCCTGCCGTGCCGGCCATCGTCCGAAGCCTGTCACGTCTCCCAGGGCTGAACGAGTACGAACTGCGAATTTTGCGTAAAAAGCAGAATCGACTGCGACAATCGGCTTTTCTGACCGCAGAAGCTACCTTTGGACGTGAGCCACCACGCAACACGGGCACTGACATCAACGCTGATCTTTGCTCAGCACGAAGCTGGCACCGCCGTATGTATCGACTCGCGCGGCTGGATTTTGACCTGTGCGCACTGTTTTGGCGAGACGCCTGAAGAGTGGAAAGCCGAGCGCCTAAAATGGCTTTTCTATTACAATGGACTCGCCGTTCAGGTCGAATGTCGGGCGTGGGATGAGCGCCGTGATCTGGCTTTGGCTAAAATCGTTCGTATCGAGATCTTCGACGAACGGTGTAGACGCTCGGTAACCCCTATTTTTGCCTGTGTCCCTATCGCTGAATCAATGTCTACCTCCTCTTCAATATTCTGTATCGGGCAACCGGGGGCAGATGACCTAGAGTCGGTCTCTCCGCGCAAGACTGCCTACGATTTGGTCGAACTCTCTCAGGGTCGTCTATGTGGCATGGTTGCCGGTGCAGACCCACAGGACAACTCAGATATCGGCGCTCTGAAACATAACGCCTGGACCTACTGGGGCCACTCAGGCGCACCGCTCCTAGGAGATCGGACGGTGCTTTGCTGGGCCTACATTCCTCATGGGACGATGCCACGGCGATGCGTCATGGAGTGCCCCTGATTGCTGTCAGGGCATTTCTCAGAGAACATCTCCCGACTGAGCCAATCGATCTCACGGTGCCCGAGGCTCGCGAGGACGTACCGGGAAACCTGGATATCATTGTGATTGATAGTTCAGATTGATATGTTGACAAGTCTTTAGGTGATCCTCAGGTTGCCCCCGGGCCAGTTATTAGTGATTATATAATACTCCGGACCTGCTCAGTTTTACTCAGCGATCAAAAGGTGGCAAGGGGTGACCACTAAAGCGGAAAGGAAAAGCCGTGAAGCGCGATCTGGATCCGGGGTATATGCTTATTCGTACGAGCTTTAAAGGTCTAAACGCAATTCTCGTAATTGATCCAGCAAATAACAATGTGATAAGTAAGTCATAGCTTTTTTCCCGCCTAAATTGTCGATGACAGGTGACAGTCATATTCGCCACGGACTGGACTACATGCAGACTAAAGGGAGCGTTTGGCTCAACCACACGAGCCACGAACATCCGTGATTCTGCATACCATGGTCTAACGGAGGTCCAGCAATTCGAAAGAGATAATGATAGGCATTCTGGGGGCAGTGTTTGTGGTGGTCGTATAGTAGTGACATCATGTGCATCTAAATGGACAGATGAACACTTGACGACACAATATAAGATACGAGTCCTCCCTCAAGAAGAAATCATACATCTTGAATCAAATTAATATCTGACTATACTGTCTGATCAGTATGTGTGGCTCTACTCTTTCAAGTGGAAGGAGCGATTAAATACACACACAGACTAACAAATGATATAGACAGCCATGAAACTTTCTCTACTCTCTACTTCTTTCCTTGCTCTCCTTGCGAGCACCACCTCAGCTTGGGAACTCCGAGCAAACAATCAAGTATACACCGAAACTACACCCACTCAAGGTTGCAAGCCCATCTACATTCCCCGAGGCTCCAGAATCAGCTGGACTGGATCCAGTGGCGCCCGAACACTCCAATTGTTCAATGTGCAAGGACAGTGTAACCAAGTCTATCGAACTGTGATGGGCGTTGGAGAGATCAACGCTTCGAATACTATTTATGGGTATATGGTAAAGCGCTGAAAACGGATCTTGTGCGCTTCAGAGGCGGATGCGGGCATGCGTTTAGTTACTTCGCGGCTTCAATGATTTCTTGTTTCATCGTGTTATGAGGACAAAATAAGCAATCTTATTAATAGGTAACCCTAATCTAGCCTTATCTATAAATGTCTTGCACATTCACAGCGTAACTGTCGTCGGACTCCGCAGCCATTCTCCCTCCAGATAGAACAAAATCAACACAGGCGCAAATGCCAGTGCCAGGTCCCAACAGCGTGTTGCCCCATCCGTAGTTGACGGTCGAATACATGTGCGACACAATCAGGCAAGAAGGCCCCGAACATCGAGCGGAGGAGAATATTGGCCCCTAGGGCAGATGCCGCCGCTTCTGATCCAAACAGATCCACCAGGTATAGCTGGGAGGGCATGATCGCGAAGAAGGTCCCAAACCCAACGATGAACGTCCCAAAGATCGGAGCCAACCTCGCATGGCAATGGCAGTTTGTTACAACTCCGATCTTGTACAGAATGTCACTCATTAGCCCGTAGTCGCCTTTAGATATCAGTCTAACTAGTGTATAACTAGCGCTCCGTCGGGCTGTATTATTTGCAAACTAAGGAACTAAACTCCTCAAGGCACAATGGGGCGGCGTTTGGTACATACAGCCTACCGTGGATGGGGAAATGATAAACAGAAAGCCCAACATCGAAGGTTTTTCACTATAAAGTCTAATATAATGAATACTTTTAAAGGGGAAATCTGTCTCTAAATCACTGAGCCTCATTCGGAAGTTCATCCTCATCTATCTCATGGTACTTAGTCGAAGCCACGGGCTGCGCATGGCGGAGTCTTCTCCCAAAGTATTGGATTGATCCATCATTTTGCCTTCGTCCTCGGCTGAATCATGAGTTGTTAATCACCAAGCTACTATCATATATGGGAGTGCTGACGAGGAACAAAGACTTGCTAAGTGTCTCATCAGAATCTGCGTATTCAGATTGAATAGGATCGACCACCTGATCGTCTTCTACTGCACCGCTGGACATTCTAGACAGAGTACTGGCTTCAACGGCGTGTATAACTAAGTTACAAAGAATATGAGTAGCTATGAGAAGGAAGGTAGGAATTTTTAAGTCCATTCTGAAGTAGAGATAACGTTAATATGCAAAGGATCCGGGCGTACCTTATGCCACATGGCTATGTAATTGTGACAGGTACTTATTCCTACAATCCTCATGCTTTATCCTCTATGATCGTAGAACTACGCAATTGATGTGGCTATTGGCTACTTGTAGGCCTTTGCCGAGCAGCTGAGATTTATTGCAGAGTATACCTTTATCATGTTTTCATAAGGTGTCTGCAGCTTTTTGTGCAGTGAAATAACCCGGAAAGTGTTTGTCGATACCAGTGAGAACCATGGATAACGCAAGGCTTTAAGTTTGTGTGGGACCTAAGATAATCGTACTAAAAAATAATTCGTAGGCATCTCCACTCCCCAAGTAAAAAAATATCGAATCACGTAGTTATTGATAAGACTGGAATTTGAATATTTCGGTGTTAGGACGTAGAAAACCACTTTATGCCCCAGGCATCAATATATCGTGCCCCGGAAAAACAGTTAATCCTGAAGCTTTAGAACCACCTTTACATTTCAAGTCCATTTTATATCCCTGATATAACACCCACCAAGCTCTTCAGAGCCTCACCAACTGGCAATTCTTGCATCGAACAATATGGCTATATATTGAATACCCCGCAACTCAAATGACGAGTTTGAGCGGATCGCCATAAATCAGTGTTTACGAACGCGATGAACATGCCCACAAAACAATTACCCAAACTCGAAGCTAACCAAGCTCAGCTCTTCTGAGATGACAGACCAATGTTGTTGGTAGAGCCCGAACAACTTTCATTATAGGTCTTGTGATTGATCTAAGGAATGGGAGGAAGTCAATCGTTACTTGGCTATTACGATGTCGTTGATGATTGACGCGTTGGCTCATGCATCGATGCAGTCAATGCACTCAATACTCGCTTTGTCTAAAGATAAACACAGCTTTGGGATTTGTTTGCTTGCTTCAGATTGCAAACGTATAAATATCCTCTTCCTTCCATTTCAACTTCCTCTTCTTTCCTCCTTCTCCATCCTTCCTGTCTTCTGCTGTTTTGTCCCCCTTTTGGTCCCTCCCCCGCCCCTCTCTCTCTATTTGTGTTTCCTGCTTTTTGTACCCGCTGTGTCTTTTACTAAACATCCTCGCCTACCTAGATTTAGCTGTGGGCTTCTGCTGGATCGTGGTTCTCTGCTAGAGATGGGTTTTTGTCGTCAGGCATCGGTACGTGGGCTTGGGTTGGATGTGGATATGGGTGTGGGTGTGGGCGTCCCTTTATTCTTTGGTATCGCCCTGTGATGAGTTCGTTCAAAGACGAACATAAGCCAATACTGCATGCATCCGCGGTACATGACGTGCCAGCTACTTCGGTGGACTGGAGGCCACTGTACTGCTGGAAGCCAATGCTGAATACTGAGAGCATATCTGAGGGCTGGCTTTTTTGTACTTTTTCTTTTTCTCTTTTGATATTTGCACGAGGGGCGTAAAAGAAGAGATAACTATTTACAACAGCTACTTGTAGACATAGACTGACACATACTGGTCTTTGTTAAGATACTCCAACTGAATAGAGAAGAGGTATTTCATTTCAACATGTATGAACGCCTGCTAATGCACAATTTTTAGTCACACGCTTCACGAATTTACAGAATAAACCACCTATACACAGCCATCATCACACTGAATCTTCCACATACTAAGCCTAGCGCAAGAACTTGCCCAGCGCACCACCAATGTTCTTAAGATCCAGCAAGAAAGTATCATGACCGAACAGGGAAACATCATCACCAAGCTCGATATGCTCCACATTCTTGTTTCCGCCAGCGCGAAGAGTCTCCGCAATCTCACGCTGCTGCCAAGCAGGGAACAGGATGTCACTGGCAACACCCATGACAAGAACGGGGTGGTCCTTCAGAGGCGCCAGACCAGCGACAAGATCGCGCGGTGGGCCTTCGGCTTGATCAGATGAGACGGACTTGTCCAAAGGCGGCACGGAGGAAGTCGAGCTGGGCTGTTCTTCATATGGTTTCTCGGGGAGAGTAAGACTGCATGAAGGATCAGACACACCCGGCAAGATACCACCGTGAGCAATACGATCCTCAGACTCAGCGCGCCGACGCAAAGTCTCGGACTGGTGTGCATGACCCAGATCAAACAGATCCATAGCCTTAGAAACATAAAGCAGACTGTTCGGGTCATACTCTAGACAAAACTTCTCGCCGGCATGGTCGAGGTAGGTCTCGATAAGGAAATCGGGACACAGCGCAGGCTGCTTACTAGGATCAGCGCGGCGCCGACCAAAGCGCATCTCCCACTCTGGACCACTGCGGTACGTGACGGTAGCGATTTCGCGCGCGAGCTTCATACCCGAGTGCGGCGGGATCGCGTCGTAGTAGAATCCGCGCGCCCAGTTCGGATCCATCATCAGGACCTGGCGCTGTGTGTGCCGCATTGCAATGCTGTATGGGTGGCTGCGTGCGCAGCCACTGATGCTGACGATCTTGCCGACGCGTTCTGGGAAGAGGACGCCGGCTGCAAGACTCTGCATGCCGCCCATGCTGGAGCCGACGGAGGCGGCCAGCTTTTGGATTCCTAGGCCGTCGAGGAGTCGGAATTGTGCGCGGACCATGTCGTCTAGGGTGAGGATTGGGAAGCGGGTTGCGTAACGCTTTCCGTCAGATGGGTCGACTGATGACGGGCCAGTGCTGCCGTAGCAGCCTCCTAAGACATTGGTGCAGATTACGAAGTACTTGTCGGTATCCAGGGGGAGACCTGGGCCTATGAACTTCTCCCACCAGCCAGGCTTGGGGTTGGAGGCCGTGCTGTGGGCATGGCTTGAGGCCGACAGGCCGGTATGTAGGAGGATGGCATTGCTCTTGTCGCTGTTCAGCTGGCCCCATGTTTCATATGCGACATCAAACTCTGGGAGTACACCACCCCAGTCGAGGAGCAGCGGTTGGTCGCAGTGGAAGGATTCGTGTTGGCCGGTGGTGTATGAGGGTTCGGGGCCGGATTCTAGCGACCGCGCGGAGAGCTGTGCGGACCTGGCTTCTTGGGCATCGAGGCAGGGGAATGACATAGCCGGGTTAGAGGAGTCCTTTCCTGTTGACTCCGGGGAGGCGGATGCTGCCTTTCGTGGTGGCACCGTGTGCAATAGTCGAGCAGTTGTCCATTGCGCCGATAAAGTCCGATGCGGTCCCGCGGGATTGATCTTGGGTTGGCCTTGTCGCAATGGTGAGGCTCGGAGTGAGCGCGAAGCGACACGAGCTGCACTCTGAATTGAGCGCATGATGACCTGAATATTAAAAGAAGTAGGAGTTGGGGAGGGGAGCTGTTCAGATATGGAGTCATGTATTGACCGGAGAACTTATGTGGATGCCTCAGGCGCTGATCAGTGGCGTCATCTGTAGGAGCGGTGATTGGCGGAGAAGTATACAGAGCTCCGATATCCAAGTACGAAGGCAATTTACAGTACTACTGATAGAGGGATATAAAAAATAGTATTGATTCAGATCTTTAAATGCTAGATAATTGCTTGCTCATAACGCCAATCCCATGCCGATTCTGGTGAAAGAACCATCCGGGTATCAAATAGTGGCTCCAATAAAATAGAGAAAACGAAGCCAAAACCGTAGTGCTTAAACGCTGAATAAATGCAAACCATCAAATAACATAGAACAGATATATCATATCGCCTCTAGAGATTCCCGTGTATCAAATGGGTGGTCCTGACCATGCCAATCCAGCTCACCGAGAAATGACAGTAGAGTTCGTCGAGGTCAACGACTTGCTGCCCAGGAGACTTGACATAACAACCGTGTTGTCGGCTTTAATATCGATAGCGCCGGCGTACATACAGCGGTGGGAACCACAGTTGGCGTGGAAAACGATCTTTTTCCCGTCGGCGGAAACAGTGGCACCTCCCGGCCCCAGGAGATCCCAGTCCGCAGTCTGCAGCAGAGGCCGATTAGCCCTCTTGTACGGGCCCTCGATGGAAGTCGAGTGGGCATATTTCACATTATAGCCCAGTGAGGTATAGCAGTGAGAAGAGAAGAACAGGTAGTAGACACCATCATCGGTGCGCATGAGGTCTGGAGCTTCAACGAGAGGACCGTCGGTATCGTCGATATCGAGGATCTTCTTTGGCTTTCCAACAGTAGTCACACCGTCGCTCTTGAGCTCTTGCAGGAGGATGGGTACAGACACGATTGGCTTCTTTCCGTTGTTGCAATTTCCACCGTGACCAATGCTGTTTCCATCGCCTTTGTAGACAACGTAGAGAGTGCCGTCAGCGTCCCTGAATGGCGAAGGGTCAATCGCGCCACCTAGGTCGTGGGGACATGCCAGTGGCTTGTCCTCGGGGATGTATGGCCCCAGTGGATCTGTGCCGTTCGATACTGCAACGCCGACGCAGTGGAAGCTCCCCCAGTTCTTTACCTCTCCTGAGTAGTACATCACAAATTTGCCGTCATCCTGGATTTTGTATGTTAGGAACTCACTCCTTTTCAAAGACAGGAAACACTCCAAGTACACTTACACGCTGGATCACATCGGGAGCCCAGTGGTTAACCTTCTTCTCCCAACCACCGAGAGTGGGCAGTGCATCATAACCTTCATGGAGTGTCCAATTGACAAAGTTGGTTGATGTAGCGACAGGCACATGGATGGTATCGGCATTCTTCTTTTTAGGGTTTGTTCCGTAGGCAAACCACGTCCCGTTGTGCTCAATGAGCCCCGGGTCCGGGAAATTCATGAGAGCGAAGACAGGCCGGTTCGCCTCGCTGCGGTAACTCGAATCCTCATTTGGTTGAGAGATTTGCCAGTACCAATCAGTATCCTTTGCAAAGCCGTAGGTTTTGGTAAAGTAAATCGGGAGAGCGATGGTCAAAGCAATCAGGGTGATCCACACGAAGCCAATTGCACCCACGGCGACTTTCTGACGGGGTCCCCATGGTCGCGCAAAGAAACGCTTTTTAGGTTCTTTTTCGAGGATGATCACCGCCTTCGCTTCCAATGAAGGCTGGCTAGTATGGCCTGAGGTCTCACTCCTTGGCACTGACTGGATAGAGGGAGTGAGGCGTTTCTCAATCACCACGGGGAGGATTGTGCTCTTGTTCTCCATCGCGAGGGTTTCCCGGGTAAAAGAAGAGTCGTTCAGAGATACTTTCAGCAGACGGAAGAGAGTGTGATTCTAAATCCTATTCCTGTGGTTGTGCGGCGGTGAGCTGGGCACTGAGTCGAACAAGGTAGGTGTAGATGTTATTCTATAATGGGTTTTGGGTGGATGACGGGCAAATAGTGAAATTAAGAGACGGCAAAAATTCAAAGAACGTCGAGTCCATGGGCTTCTTTATAGTGGAAGGGGAATCTAGCGCCTAAATGAGGTGACATGGAAATAATAAGCCGAGATGCGGCCGATGTAGACCCTGACAGAACCCTGTCACTAACAGAAAGCAGCCTAACCCAAATTGCAGTGGCAACACCCATAATACCTTGGATTACTTGACTACAACCCCTCTTTTATCGTAAAAAACAAAGGAAATACCGAATGACAAGCTTTTGCGGGTGTGAACAGGAACAGGTCTAACCAATCAACATTGTTAGACAGTCAACGACTCGGTTATCACTTGCCATATTGGGGTTAGCTCGGACTTTGTCTCCTGTTGATCCACAATGTCGCCTTTCTTGTCCGTATCAGCCACGTCTAGATCTTCTTGGACGACTGTCTTATACTTCCTTGGCTTTTGTTCCACGTTCAACGTAGGTCTCACAGAAGTGTGGGGTAATCAAGTCTACACAGGTTCAGTATTGCTGATTCACCCTATTGTCGCGTAGCTGACCTTATCGGCATATTCAGGCGGCACAATTCTCTTCAATGTCAAGTATTGAAGCAATGGAAAATTTTGCCGAGGATGCCTAGACTGAGAAAGAAAAAGTCAAAGCAGCCGCCTGACACTTTTATCGCGTGTCTTAGATCCCGGGATTTTTGTCCCCCACGTGCGCATGGATCGCCCGGGAGGTGTGCCGCTTTGATCGGATGTATGAATTTTTATACCAGGGTCCGCAAGTTCCAGCCTAATTGTCGATGCCCGTTCTTGCCACCCAAGATCTCCTACATGGAAAGTGTAACTCAAAATCGCCCTAGTAAAGAAACTTGTCCTTTTTTGAAGAAACCCCGATATACGCCAAGGCGTACGAGTGGCGCAGTCCCGCGTCTTGGCTCTGATAGTCAATCATGGCTTACTATTTTGCTATGTTTTTGATTTGTATCTACGGAGGTTGGGGTTGATTCCGGCGTGCCTGTAAAGCAGGTATGCTATGAATCTGGTGTATGTTAAAATCTCTAAATGCGTTCTCCTACTTTGCCAACTATTTTATATTTATTGTAATCGTGGCTTCGGGACAAAACTGCAGAGAGGATTTGAACAAATGCTCAAGTACTGACCATTGCTGCTTTTTGAAAAATGGGCATATTCATGCACGGCTAATGTGGCTGTATTTAAGGTTCTTCTCGTTGGCGTTAATCCCGGGTAAACCGCTAAGGCTGTTGAAGTACCTCTTACCAGCTACCATAATTTCAGGTTTAATCGTTATAAGTCAAAAGTTTATTGCACCTTCTTCCTTCAGCGGTGTATTCATATCTATGTGTAAAGTTCGCTCTCTGATATTAAGCTTAACGCAAATTGGCCCCACCAATCCACCGTGAGTAATAGTGACTCACCGGGATTGGATAACTTACTAGTTATCGACATGGATGACTTGCTTGATATATCTGGGTGACAGCCATTCTTAACAATCAACACGCAGATATGATTCTGCTTTCCGTCACGGGGTTCTTCAAACACGGCTATTCTGGAGACTCTAGCAAATGGGTTCCACCGACTGTACACAATCTTCCCATGGATAGCGTGCGAGGCAGTCAATGAGGCTCAGGCGAAGAAAACACGGGAATCTACAGGTTCCAGAAGCCCCTTGCGTTATTATGAAAGATCTCACACATGACAACTCAATGTCAACAATGGAGCTCATTTAGCACGACAACTTCCCCATGAGAATGCTAGACGAAAACATCATTGCACCGCGCAAAACTTTTATAGTCCAACTCCGGTCCAGCGCAGTATTCCTCATCCAGACCAATATCATCACCGGAGGACTCATTCTCACTTTCGTCGCGCAACACAACGCCATGAGTATGACAGGCCAAGCGCATATCATTCATCTGTTCTCCAAAGCCTGCCGAGGTGAGTTCTATATTTGTGGACCATGCCAGAAGATAAGCCACTGTATCATCTGGGATTGCTCCTTGCTAATGGAAAAGCTGAAGGGGTGATCTTTATCCACCGTCTCGACAATATATAGTAGCTCTGCTGATGACCTCAGGACGGAGAAAGGCTTTTGTCCGGTGTTACCAATGAAAACGGGGATTCTCCCTATGAAATGGAGTAATATGTAAGAAATCAGGAAATCATACACTTTCAAAGACGTTCTACATACATGGAAAACCCTTATCTTCTTTGCCAACAACATCAAGAAGAACAAGAAAATACATTACCACCGAACCCCAGACTTCGCAAGTTGAAGGTGGATTATCCTAAACCTGCGAAGCTACCAGCTGTCTAGGAGGGAAACTCGTAACTTCCCGGGTCGCAGCCCTCACATACAATAGAGCCAATATTCTTGATAAGAATAAAAGGAAGAAGAGCGAGAAAGGGTAGACTAGGAGTAGTAATGTCCGATCTTCTTGAATGCCTCTAAGAAAGCACGTGGATTCCTCCTCACTACCTTATCATAAGCGACTCGGTTCCCCTGCCATGCCTTATAGATGAATCGGTACCACGCCTTTTTCTTGCCGGCTATAGCCTTCACCTGCCACTCGATTGTTTCCTAGGACTGAAAGGTTTCCACCGGGGCAAGTGCAAGGTACTGCAGAGACTTGATGTAAGGTCGGCGGATCCCAATATGAGTTGTATTGATGTCGTACATGAGAAGCAATGACCACGTTTTCATGATCAAAATGTTTGTTGGACATTTTAGTAGGTGCCTGACTTAGGTCAGTATTGAAGATTGACGGAAACTCGAGCCTTATTTGCTCTCTTAAGTACTCGGCCTCATACATAGCTGGGCGTAGTAAATTGACCACTTTGTAAGAAACACCAAAATTATGACTTCCTTAAGAGTCGGTTATACCGAGCTGATTCCCCCTGGCAAACTAAGTGTGTGCCTGTTGCGAGTAGAAAGATGGCCGTTTCTGGCCACGAAAGCGGTCATTCAATTTCACATGTCCTCAGATTGCAAGTTATGTGTTAACTTCAGCTTTGTTTTGTAGTTCGCCGTAGTAAAGTGGAAAAATGACAGAAATTATGATCAATTTGATGATCCCGTTTCATCAGAATCCAGGATATCCATCTGTCTGCGTATGTAGATATAGTCTCAGGTCTAAGAATGAGTCTGGAGGTGGCGCTTCAACCGGCTCTATCTCTAGAAGCCAAATGCAGAAGAAGATATTCGTGAAACGAAGAAAAATTAGTTTGCAGCGCGATGAATCATGAAGAATATCAGTATCTAGCAGCTAAAGCCGATCTATTGGGCGGGGATTGTTTCAGTTTGATTGCGCTCTTTTGATAACAGTTGCATATCAGGCAAGGCCCTCTATAACAGCTACGTTTATACATATTTGCCTTGGGTCTAAGGCCAGTCATAACTTAGGATGAACTCAAGAACGAGTTCAAAACGATGAGATTCATCCGGGACGATCATAACCCAGTCTGGAGAGTGGAAAGAACAGATGTGGGGGTGATAACAGCCTTGTGTATACGATTGTGTATAACTCAAAGAAATCATTAAGAGAGTATTTACTTAGAAGAAAGGAATTGTCCAACAAAGTGGCAATGGTCGCAAACTGACTAGTCTAGTGTAAAGTTAGGTAGCACGTTGCAGGCCACGTGAGCGACTCCACTCAAAGAGGTTACAAGCTGCTTCCGGCATACGCAAGCCTCAAGTCCCCAGCCATAAGTCACTCGCTGCTAGTCAGCGTGGCCTAATTTCACTGGATTACCTCGTTCACTGCTGTGTTTTTGGTGAAATAATTGATCAAAAACACTCTGGGTTCCTTTTTCGGCGCGCCTCCTATTCTCCGGATCGAACCCATCTCCAGCAATCCGGGTCACATCTTGGTCCATGCAACAGCACCTCAAGTCCCGAAATGTCACCCTCTCAATTCCCCTAAATTAGACTCCTGAATCTCCCCCAAAATCGACCGTCCCACCCCCCAAGACGAATCGTGCACCAACAATCTCCAAATCCTCCGAGCTCGCGCGCACCACAAAACCCAAAAGCCCCAAAGCCTCGAAACACAGGCTACCGGCCCTTCCGCGGCCGTCGCAAGTCTCGGACAATTACCATCCGAACGCACCGAGCCCATTGCCCGCAATGTTCACACAGCGCAAGGCCCTCCTCACCCTCATCGGCGTGGTGACATTATTCCTCGTCCTCCGCTCGTTCCGAGAACCCGAGATCCCCGGCGCGCCAGGGTATAGACCCGTGAAGGGGATATCACAAGAAGAAGCAGATCGACGTGCAAACCCGTCGCGGAAGCTTCCGCCCCAGGGTCGGGCTCAACGGCCTCTCGGCGCATCGCCGAGTGCGCCGCTGATCGAGCGTCTTCGTTATCAATTCCCCTATGACCTTGAACCGAAGTTCCCTGCGTATATCTGGCAGACGTGGAAATATGCCCCGAGTTCGTACTGGTTCGAGGAGGACTTGCGGGGTCTCGAGGCTTCCTGGACGGAGTTGCACCCCAAGTTTACCCATGAGGTTATCTCGGACGAAAATCAGCGCCATCTCATTCAGTACCTGTATGGTTCTGTCCCGGATGTTTTCGAGGCATATGACTCCTTGCCGCTGGGTGTTATGAAGGCCGATTTCTTTCGTTACTTGGTTCTTCTGGCGCGCGGGGGCATTTACAGTGACATCGATACCACGGCATTGAAACCTGCGCATTCATGGCTTCCCGAGGAACTCGACCGATCGACTATCGGCTTCATTGTCGGTATTGAGGCTGATCCTGATCGCGATGACTGGCATGACTGGTACTCGCGCCGGCTTCAGTTCTGTCAATGGACTATTGTGTCGAAGCCTGGACATCCTATTCTTCGCGATATGGTGGCAACAGTTACTGAGCAAGCGCTGCGCATGAAGAGGGCTGGGATCCTCAAAGTTGGACATATGGATAAGACTATTATGGAGTTTACCGGGCCTGGTGCCTGGACCGATGCTGTTTTCCGGTACTTCAATAACCCTTCTTATTTCAATATCCAGCCTGGGGATAAGAATATCACATACGAGGACTTCAGTCACCAGACTACTCACCGCAAGGTCGGTGATGTGGTTGTCTTGCCTATCACTAGCTTTAGTCCTGGTGTGGGACAGATGGGTGCTGGTGATACGGATGATGCCATGGCTTTTGTGAAGCATAACTTCGAAGGTATGTCTATCGTGCTTGGTAATAGGTTATTTTGGTGGTGTTGTTGCTAACCTATTTGTTACAGGTACATGGAAGACAGATCCAGCTCTATAAAAGCATCGAAGATCCCTTTGTCCGAACATTATCCGTCATGCCCAAAAATATATGAACGGCCCTTGCCCTTTCCGTATCCTCATAATCACCCTCTCCACATATACCTTTTCCATCAATAGAATCCCGATTGTCTCTGTCCCCGTCAACGTGTCAAACCGCCGACATCTACATGCCGGCACTCCTACCTCATGGGAAATGCTCCATCCAGGCGCAAACACCAGTTCTGTTCCCTGTTTTATGCTAACTGCACATATGATTCCCCCTTTGTCTTTCGTGCCATATAAGTTATCCCGCTAGATATGTTTCTCGGGTGGTTTTCCGACTGCTAGCTGATAGATTTCAATTCAATATTCGCAGATACCAAGTTGACCATTTCCAAATCCAAGCGTGATTGCCACGCGTATGTTATGTTGTTCCCGGTGTAGTTTCCTCGCACCATAAACTCGAGTCTGCTTATGCTTCGTTGACATTTGTCAAATAATTTTGGAAGCCCTAAAGTAGTGTCTACTCTCACTCGAATATCAAAATCCAAATATGTACTTGGTATTATCCTAATAGAGAATATTGACCAACTGTAATTGCGACCACCAATTTGTACGATAAAGAAACCCCTGTATGAAAATAGAAAGCCCGCCGCCCAATCTTCGAGCCATGTCGTGCGTGTTGAACAGGTTACAATGAATAGCAAAACCCAATAGTTGAAAAGGGAAAGGAGGGAGAAGAACGCACAGCGTCTGCAAAAGAAACGACATTTGAAAACAGGGCTGGGAGGGGGCAGGAGGTATCAGTCAGGATTGTATGGAGTTCAGGCAATCAGCGCTCATGATCGAAGCCAGGAAGTTCTGGGGTAGGGAAAGAATAGAGTAATCCAAGGAGGGAGGGAGTGGGAAGAAAGGACCTAAGATTGCTGGGCACGGTCAAGATACTGAGACTGTCGTGTGAGTGTGTGTAGAAGGCCGAATGATAGTTGGCCGTGGTGAGACAGGCTTGGGTGGCATGGAGAAATGTACTCCGTAAGGTAAGCGCTGGAGTGATATCCTCCGATACCAGGCTCGCCACATACCAAAGGCAGTCATGGGATCCAACATGAAAGCAGAAGAAAACGCAAAGATGGCCACGAGAGGTTGTAGACTCGGGAGGGCCTGTCGCTCACATGGTGTCCGTGGGGTATGTGGCCGTGCTCCCGTCATTTGACTTCTCTAAGGTTTGGTAAATGCTTGGTTGGCCATACTGGCAGAAATGAATCGCTCAGAAATCACTGAATAACGCCTCATATTTCTTCTTTAGGTCATCAGTGTAAATGTTCGCGTGCCTGGAGTCGGGGGGATCCGGGTATTCCTCAAAGTTGCCGGTGTCGGCGGGATGGGACAGGCGGGGAATGATAGGTCCCTTTACCCGGCGATAGAAAAGATCATCCCAGATGACATCTTGGAAGAATGGGTGGGACTTGACTCGGGTTGAGCCGCCGGAGATGTGGCCGAGTCGTTCTGACGGGTTTGTCTTGCAAAGCAGAGTAATGATGTTCTGCGCTGCGGGTGGCATATTTGCTGGGAAACGTAGGCGGCCTTCGACGATCTGCTCATAGATGCGTAGAGGATTTGAGTCCCAGAATGGGGGCTGGCCAATCAGGAACTCGTAGATTAGAATTCCCAACGCCCACCAGTCCACTGCAAGACCATGTCCACTGTTGTGAATAACCTCTGGTGCTAGGTATTCCGGTGTGCCACATAACGTGTATGTCTCGCGGTTGTCGACTTGTTTCGCAAACCCGAAATCAACGAGCTTAATATGACCATCAGCGTCCAGCAAGATGTTCTCCGGTTTGAGGTCACGGTAGGCAATGCCATGTATGTCGTGTAGGAATTCGATGGTCATTGTAATCTCGGCGGCGTAGAATCTGGAAGTCTCTTCGCTGAAGCGTCGTTGGCGTCGTAGGTAGCTGAAGATCTCGCCCCCAGGGCAATAATCCAGCTTGAACTGCGTTAGCATTCGGAAATCTCCAGGTCATGCTCCAAGTTCAACCATACCAGCATGTAAAGGCTCTTCTCATCAGAGAATGATGCGACCAAGTTCGTGATAAAAGGGTAATCAAGAACCGCTGCGAGGGCTTTGCGCTCATTGCGCACATGTTCGACTTGCTTGAGTTTGATCACTATCCAGGCGCAACCGATCCACGTTAGCTCTCACATTACGCAACCTCGGATAGAGTGGCGCTCACCATCGGCCTTTCGAAGAATTTTCAGCGCATAGACTTTGCTCTTGTCCTTTTGGTCCTTCAGCCTTGTAAGCCACACCCGAGCAAACGTGCCTAGACATTGAGAGAAAAATCAACAGTCAGATGGGACCTGCGCAAAGGAAATCTGTGTCTGACCGAGTGCTTACCGGTACCGAGAGTCTTTACGAGCACGAAATCACTCACGCGCAGAGTTCTTGAGGAGATACATAGCTGCTTTTCGTCTTGGCGCTCGGTGATGAGGAACGGGTTGGATCGTGGAGAGTGGCGGAGTGACTCGACGAGCTGCTTTCCTCGGTGGTGCAAGTCGCTTTTGTGAGGAAGCATGGTGCCTGGCGCCTCAGGCGAGTGTTGCACTGTACCGGTCGCCATTGGAATGGCCAAAGGTCATCGCAAAAGCAGAGTGGGAAAAATATATGAGATCCGGCCCGTTAGCGCGCCACCAATCGGCAACACAGCTTATTCAGGCGGGTCTATCGAAAAGAACATCGAGAGAGACTCCCCAAAAAGTCTGGGGTTTAGGAGGTGGGGGATATGGAGGAGGAAGTTCTGACGTAGGAACTTCGGGGCGGGGCAAGACGGAACTACGGTGATAAATCGGAGGCTCAAATCTATATCTCTTATTGCCTTATTATACACTCCCTGTCTCGATTTCCTTCCTGAATGTCTGTTCTTTTTTCCCCGACAGATATCTCTTCGAAAACAGTCGCAGTATGTGAGAGGAACAGTAGATACGGGTTCGGTTCAGGACTTTGAGTTCAGGATCAAGCCAACAATCAAGCTAACCAGGATTAGTAGGAGCAGTCTGATCCGGGATAGAGTCACTTACCCATAGAGTCCAAGCACCTCACCGAAAATCAGAATCAGAATCATTCCCACGTAGACCCGAGATTGTTGCATGTATGCTCGAACACCCTATATAGCAGTCAGAGCTCCGTCGTCCACAAACTCTTGAGGTAGTCCTTACCGCATCGCCCACAATTCCGATTGTATAACCAGCAGCCACACCTGTAAGTCCCACAGACGTGCCGGCAGCGAGGTGCATGAATCCCCTGTGCAGTGTCAGCCTGTGCCAAGCTCCCAGCTTTCGAAACATACGTGTACAAGCTCATGTTGGTGTCGGGGCCAACTGCTTGCGCAATGAGAACTGCGATAACGAGACCGTAGACCGCGATAATACCGGACATGACGACGGGGATTAGGGACTGCAGACATCGGTTGGGTTAGCCACCTTTGCATTTGGTGTACCCATCATTTCTTACCTTCATGATCAGGTCAGACCGGAAGGTTCCCACACCGGCGATACCGATGCCTGACTTCGCTGTGCCATAAGCTGCTCCTGCTGCTGTGAGATTGTAAGCTGTCCGTGTCTCGATACCTCGCATCTAGCTCCATTCCCGTGAGGGCTTCCACGTACACCCGAAGATCATCTTCAGGAAGTTATTAGTACTTTATTAAAGAGGAATATGAATACGGTAATCGACTCACTGCAGCGGCAATGCCGGCCTGATATAAGCAACATGGTTAGTCGACCAATTCCACTGTCTGCGCGGGACCACTCACAAAGGAGAAGAAGGGAGCGAACTTGGGGGCGAGTTCACTTTCCGACATGGTGAATTTAAAGCAAGACCGAAGCTTGCAAAGATCAAAGATAGTGGAAAAGGGAGCTTCCCAGAAGACAAGCAGAGAGAAGAGGCCAAGACTGTTGATGGGTGTTCCACATGGGCACTTCGCCCACCGTAGTCCCGTACTGCCCTTCCCGCCTGGTGACAATACCATACACGGCTATTGACCCGTCAACACGGCCAGTTTGGGCCTTCGTGTATAACAATTACCCCAATACCGGGCTCGCCGTCACCTCGCCATCCTCCTCTCTCCTGCTTCCCCCCCCCAGTTTATTACTTTTTCAACCAACTTCCCCCTCCACTCTCTACTTCCTTCTTAGAGGATGCTGAGGGTATGAAATTAAAAGGAGCCCTGATTTTGTTGCGCTCACGGCTCCTGGCGCTTCCCAAGATTTGATATCGTCAATCCCCCCAACTGAGGGGAGTTATGACATATTGACATCTCCACCATTTACTCTTTCTTTCACTGAGATTGCATACCGGGGACTCTTGTCTTACTACCTTCGTTGCCTCCGTTGCCTCCGTTGCCTACGATCTTGAACAGAACTCTTGCGACGCCCTGAACGCTCTCCACGATCACGGATACCCCCTGTCGCCTTCTTTGCATATCGGAATAGATATCACTTCCATATTTCATCGATCTACTGCTTCTGCTTCCTATCCTCGATCGCTGATTTTTCGACAATATGGCGGATTTGGGGGGCCAGCGTAACCGGAATTACCGGCCTCACGGGCCTGCCTCGTCAACGCAGCGGGATGCTGCGTATTCTGACATCTTTGGAGGCGCACCCCTCCGGGGCGCTCCCAGACGATGAATTCGCAGACTCCACAGTTCAATCAGGGCCGCGCTCACACCATGTCGTCGCATGTTGCACAACCCCAATTCCAGAGACCACCGCCGCCGCCGACGCGGCAAGTGCCAAATGGATACGGACCGCCATCAGCACCACCAAACGGATACCCTCCACCTCCGCCATCAGGACAATACCAAGCATATAATCCGGGGGCTGCCGCCACAATGTCCTCCCATCAACCCCCTCGGCCATACCCGGGTGCTCAACGCTTTGCTGCCTATCCGCGACCCCAACGCCTCGATTCGAGACCAAGTCCTACCGCGCAATACGCAGAAGCCAGGGATTTCAATCGCCCGATGCCGCCTCCTGCGCTAAACTCCGATGCTTCCCGATCAAGATCAATGGCAAAACTAAGCGGGCCACCGTACCAAAACCCGCCCAGCAACTTCAATCACACATCCGCCATCGCTTCTCGCCGCGAGCAGTATCATGCTGGAGCCCCGGTGACTCAGCTCGGGCGTCCTGTGCCGGAAAAGCATACCAATGAGCGAGCCATGTCTATGTCTTCGTGGTCATCGGATCGAGATGCGCATATTATGAACAGCGGACGGTCCATTCCCAGTCGCAGGCCTCCGTCGGGCCATGATCAACAACCATTGCCGAGACAGGACACAATGCCGCAGACCAGCCCAGATGGCCTTCCTAGCTCTCGTCAGCCGAGCGATGCATCAACGAGGTCTCGTACAATGTCAATGGCATCGACTGCGACTGCGACTGCGACTCCTATGTCTGATCGGACCATGAGTGTCCAGAGTCAATTCACGCAAAAGTCTGGTCCGGTAAAACTGGTTGCTAGGGATTCACAACGCAAGGTTCCGGTGGTCTATCCTGCTTTACTTTCTCGGGTTGCAGATATCTTCAGGGAGAAGATTTCACTCGGCGAACGGCAGAAGAACGGTCTGTCATACCAGAATGCATTTTCGGGTACTGACTCGGTGGATTTGATTGGGAACATCATTCGGACCAACGATCGCAACCTCGCTCTTCTGCTGGGTCGAGCGCTGGATGCTCAGAAATTCTTCCATGATGTCACCTATGACCACCGTCTCCGAGACGCTCCCGGTGAGGTATATCAATTTAAGGAAACGTTAGGAGAGGACAAATCTACCACCGAGGTCAATGGAGTTTTCACCCTCCTGACTGAATGTTATTCTCCAACCTGCAACCGAGACAGTCTTTGTTATTCAATTGCTTGCCCGCGACGACTGGAACAGCAAGCCAGGTTGAATCTGAAACCTCAGCCGGTTCTGGGAGCTACGGACACCAAACTTGGGGGCACCATTCCAATCGACGATGACGATGACAACGACAATCAAAAGTTGTGGATCAGCACGGTGCCTAAGGAGGTCTCGGATTCCGTGGACGACCATGAGAAGAAACGACAGGAGATTATCTTTGAGATCATGTACACGGAACGTGATTTCGTGAAGGACCTGGAATATTTGCGCGATTTCTGGATGCGACCATTACGCGCTGCGGGCACCACAACGCACTCGCCCATCCCAGAACACCGACGGGAGAAGTTCATTCGAACCGTGTTTGGAAACTGCTTGGAGGTTCTCAAAGTCAACAGTGCTCTGTGCGAAGCTTTGAACGGTCGACAAAAAGAGAGCCAGGTCGTCCAGACAGTTGGTGATATCTTCTTGCAACATGTGCCTCGCTTTGATCCATTCATCAAGTATGGTGCCAACCAACTGTACGGAAAGTACGAATTTGAGAAGGAGAAAGCTTCTAACCCGGCTTTTGCCAAATTCGTTGAAGACACGGAACGCCTGAAGGAGTCTCGAAAGCTTGAACTTAACGGTTACTTGACAAAGCCCACCACCCGTCTTGCAAGATACCCCCTTCTGCTAGAAGGAGTCTTGAAGAACACTGCAGACGGCAACCCCGACAAGGAAGATATCCCGAAGGCTATCAAGTTGATCAAGGACTTCCTCTCGCGTGTCAATACCGAGAGTGGTAAAGCAGAGAACCATTTCAACTTGGTCCAGTTGAACGCTGCGTTGAAGTTCAATCCTGCGGACTATGTCGATTTGAAACTTACAGAAGAAAACCGGCAAATGCTCATGAAGATGGCGTTCAAGAAGACAACCGCCGACAGTTCTGATGTCACCGCTTATCTCTTTGATCACGCCGTCTTGCTTGTTCGAATCAAGGTGGTTAACAAGCGTGAAGAGTTCCGAGTCTATAAGAAGCCCATTCCTCTGGAGTTGCTAGTTATCGCTCAGATGGACGAAGTCATCCCTCGACTGGGAATTGCCAAGAGGCCTTCATCCAGTCTCCTGTCCAACAAGGCTCCGATCAACCCCCCACCTGCTAAAGATGGTGGTCTCCCAATTACATTCAGACATCTCGGAAAGGGTGGTTATGAGCAGACTCTTTACGCCACCAATGTCGCCACACGCCGCAAGTTCATTGAAGCGGTGGAGCAACAACAACAGAAGCTGTGGGAACGGAACAGCAACTTCTACAACAAGACTATTCTGTGTGAAGGTGCCTTCGGCAACTTGAACCGTGTGAACTGTCTCGTTCCAATCGACGGTGGTCGGAAATTGGTTTATGGTACAGACAGCGGTATCTATGTCTCTGAGCGTTGGCCCAAAGATAAGTCGGTCAAACCAAAGCGAGTTCTCGATGCTACCCAGGTCACGCAAATCGACACCCTGGAAGAGTACCAGCTAGTTTTGGTTCTGGCAAACAAGACACTTTCTTCTTACCCTATGGATGCTCTTGACCTCGGAGAGGGCCAAAACGCAATGGCAAAGCGCCCAAAGAAAATTCAAGGTCATGCCAACTTCTTCAAGGCAGGCATTGGTCTTGGTCGTCATCTGGTTTGCTCGGTTAAGACATCGGCGCTCTCAAGTACCATCAAGGTGTACGAGCCGATGGACAATCTCGCCAAGGGAAAGAAGAAGTCTGCTGTCAGCAAGATGTTCCAGAGTGGCCAAGACACACTCAAACCATTCAAGGTTCGTTTTCTCTTTTTCGGTTTGACAATACATAACTTACCAACCTTTTACTTTAGGAATACTACATCCCTGCCGAATCTTCTTCAATTCACTTCCTTCGTTCTACTTTGTGTGTTGGATGTGCACGTGGCTTTGAAGTTGTCAGTCTGGAAACGACAGAAACCCAGTCTCTCCTCGACCAAGCAGACACCTCCCTTGATTTCGTGGCACGGAAGGAGAACGTTAAGCCTATCCATATCGAGCGTATGAATGGGGAGTTCCTCCTCAATTACAGTGACTTCTCATTCTTTGTCAACCGCAATGGCTGGCGAGCCCGTCCAGACTGGAAGATCGCCTGGGAGGGCAACCCGAACGCATTCGCCCTCTCATACCCCTACATCCTGGCATTTGAACCGAACTTCGTTGAGATCCGACACGTGGAGACAAGTGAACTGACGCATCTGATGACCGGGAAAAACATTCGCATGCTGCACTCTTCCACTCGAGAGGTATGTCACATCTACAACTGCTATCCTAATAATCAAGCGCTGACGTCTCTAGATCATCTATGCCTACGAAGACGAAGGTGGTTATGACGTGATTGCCAGTCTCGACTTTTGGACCAATAAACCCCAACAGCAAAGCGTTTAATCGCCCAAGCTGCATGGGAATCACGAATAACTCGTCACTCAGCGGAGGAACAAAAACCGCCTACCATAGACAACCAAACCACCACCTCAACCTCCAATCCCTCCCACCCTACAAATGAACAGGATTGACCTGTCTTCTCATTTTTACGCAATGTACAATGGAGCGCAAATACCACTTCTTGCGTGTCTGCTTTCCTGCTTTCGACCGCCCTTCTACCCTTTTCTTCACTTCTTGCTGATTGCATTTTTCTCCCACTTTTCCCTCTAGATATCTTCATCCCTTTTCCACCCTTTAAAATCTTCATCTTTCTAAGCTCGTTCTATTTACCTGATGCTTGTCTCCTTTCCTCCACATGGCCGTGTTTCCAGAGACCTCTTTCTTACTTGTTTGTGTCGGTTAAGTTTGAGGTATCTTGTCTGTTATACTAAGCAATGTCATTGATGTGGATGGAAGTGTTGCGTTTCGGGCGGAGAGAGTTTTGTTGTAGGCTTGCGGCTAGAATGTGTTAATGTATGTGGGAATACACTATCGGCTGTTGTCTGTAAACATATTCATTTCATTTATGCGTACGGAGATTGAGTGAGAGACTTCACAAAATATGTATCTGCTCAAGGAATAAGTAATGATCATGTCTGAGCACTCGGGCACATCCTGGATATATATTTTCTTTGCCACGCTACTTTTTCTACAAAAAGGACAATAGAGTAAGGATCACAGCACAAGCCAAGTACTCAAATACTTTTTCTTCCTCTATTACTATCAGGACTGGGAAGACAGGCGAGGGTAAAAAGGATAGATAATGGACAGGACGTGAGCCACGAACACAAAAAAAACAACAGAGAAGAGGGAATATTGCTGCGCTGCGGACTTTCGATAAGAACAGATGAAGGAGGGGAAGGAGAAAAGAGAAAAGATGCAGTCACAGGACCCCCGGCCGCAGCTGGTGATGTGATAGAAGAAAAGACAGGATGAGAATCTCTGCCCCAAACACAGCGGAAGACAACGGTGCCAAGGAGAGCAGTCCCCGGATGGAACGCGAGCAGGTCATACCGAGGGAGGAAATCCAGCTCGGCATAACGCATGTTTGAGGGTGTCTGCGTTGCGCGCCCACCGTTCGTAACCGAAGCGCCGCAGTCTATGATGGGTCGGTCCATCCCCAGAGATAGAAGAAGAGAAAAAAAAAGCTATTAACGTGAATAAACTGTCAATATTATCCCCATGAACAAAAACCAACTTGGTGCCATGAAGTCCAGGCTGGCACAAACGGTATCACGTTGCGAACCGGGCCCCCGCTGAATGAGCCGCATCTTCGACAGGGTATATCTAGGCCTCTCCAGCCGCCTCGCTGATATTGCCCTGGCTCTGCTGTTCGCGCTGCATGCGGGCCTCGATCTCTCTGAGCTGGCTCTCGCGAGCCAGCAGCTCCTGCCGCTTCTCGGCGATCTCGCGCTGTACTTTGAGCTCAATCTCACGCAGCTTCTCCTCCTCACGGCGGAGCTGCTCCTCCTTGAGGCGGACTGACTGAGATGCAAGGTCCTCGGGGTTCATGGTAGAGTCTTGGGGACTGTTTACGAATGTGTTAGCAATGTCGAGATATGAAACCCCGGGACCAGAAACATACGGAGTAGCACCGTCGACGCTCTTGCTGAGTTTCTCGGTACGGTAGTTCTCATAGAGGAAGTCGTGGGTGATCTCCTTCAGATCAGCCAGGTGGCTGTGCAGCAGGGCGCTGCGGATAGCCAAGAAATCAGAGTGACGAGGGTTCTCAACCTCGACAACACCCCATGGGTACTGTCGTGCGCGCACTTTCTTGTTATCAATCTCCACGAAATCCTCCGAGCCAACAATGGCAAAAGGCATCAGTCCACGGAGCTCGGCATTCTCCTCCACGGTGTCCTCGTCATCCTCCTCGATGTCATAGGGGAAGTTGTAGACGGGGATGCGGTAGTGTTCGATGTCCTCCATAATCAGCTTCTTAGATTCGGCCAATTCTGCGGGGGTGAGGGAGTCGGCCTTTCCGATGACGGGAATGACGTTGACACGGGGAGAGAGGCGCTTCATCAATTCGATATCAAGTTCACGGAGACCGTGACCGGTGGGTGTGATGAAGTAGAGCAGAACGTGGACTCGGTTATCCCTGAAGCGGGGGTTACGCTTAATCCGGGACTCCTCTGCAAGAATATCATCGTATTGGCGCTCGAGGTAGCCGACAATCTCACCGAAGCTGTTCGAAAGTTAGCCACAGAACTGACCAGTGTTTTCCGCGGTGTACCTGCCTGGCCTCGTTGTCGATCTGGTCACCGAACCCAGGGGTATCGACGATGGTCAAGGAGATACGGGTTCCCTCCTCATCGAGTTCAAGCTCTGCAATCTCCAGTCAGTATTCTCAGCCCACCACTGGCGCTATGCGGGGAATGGTTCAACTCACCGACGGTAACGGGCTTAATACGGACACCCTCCTCGAGGTGAGCGTTGGCAGCATCGTCGGCGTCCTTGCCCTCCAGAACCTGCTTTCCGCAGAGAGTGTTGACAAAAGTTGTGCGTCCTGCGAAAAGGAGATGGGTCAATCACCATTCTGACTTGACCAAGTGTCGAGAAAGTTACCTGTTCCACTGGCACCGCACACCATCAGGCAGAACTGGATTCCCTTCTTGACATTCTTCTTGCGACGGATCTTAATCTACCCGGACCAAGCGCGGGCATGCAATTAGCTCGGGAAACTTTTTGGAGGTACGGGAAGCGATCAAGGAAAGGGGAATGCACATACCGCGTTGAGGGCCGACGACATAGTGGACTAGAGAGGAATGAAACAAAGATACAGAGAAAAGAAGACGGCTAAAGCAAGTAATATGAAGATGGGTGAAACTTGCTCTCCTGAGTCTGGAGAGAGTAGGGGGGAGGAAAGACAGTTCGTGTTTCCCCCTTTCCCTAACAGGCGGCCAATCACGGGACGTGCTTCTTCTCCAGTCTACTTTACTTCTACAACAGAGCTCTTGATCTGTCACAATTGATACGTGAAATAGCTAGGAAAAAGAAGAGAGAACTATTGGGATTTGTACATTGAATGTCTGAGCTATTTTCATCTACATATCAACAGCTTGACTGCTGAACTGAAGATACGCAGCACTCAGGGGTTGAAGGAATGGTGGGTCGCTGTTGGCCACCGTATGATTAGGTAAGTTAGTGCCTGAGGTAGCTCGCCCGCCATCATCTTATCGTCTCCGGGGAACCCTATACTGTACTTGTACATCAACCTCTATTGTTAACTGAAGGGTTGAAGGGCCTTCTTGAGCTGTTTAGTCTCTTGCTACAGCTATGCTTGGTGGGCACCTCAGCTATGAACACTCGCCAGGTTATCGATGAGTCCATCGGGCCATACTCACTGTCCGCCACCTTCAACCATGACAGTAGCTGTTTCTCCGTGGGCTTGGACACTGGGTTTTGTGGTAAGAGATACTTAAGCCAGCTCGTAGCTCCACACAGGAGCTGTGATTCCAACGAAAATCATGAAACCGAGGCTAAACATATACTGCGCAGTATTCAATGCCAACCCGTGCGAGCTTAAAGTATCACGAGGTGAGTACTTGCCCTTTGGTTCAGCGTATGTTCGGATCACATCCCCACTCACCCCTTTGGACCTCAGATTTCAATGCAGGAATCGGTGTAGCAGAAATGCTGGGCCAGTCAAACTACCTAGCAATCGTCGGGGGTGGGAAGAACCCCAAGTTCCCGCAGAATAAGGTGCGCCTTCTCTAGCAATATGGACGAAGCATAGAGAACTCACGGAATTGCCCTGCAGTTGATCATATGGGACGATGCAAAGCAGAAAGCGGCCATAACGCTCGAATTCCGCACCTCGGTTCTCGGCGTGCGTCTATCAAAATCAAAGATCATCGTCGTGCTACTAAATAGCGTCCATGTTTTTGCATTCTCGAATCCCCCGCAAAAGCAGTCAGTCTTCGAGACCTCAGACAACCCTCTTGGGTTGGCCTGTCTTGATCAAAAGGTGCTCGCCTTTCCAGGCCGGTCTCCGGGGCAGGTTCAGATGATAGAGCTAGAGACTGGCAACATCAGCATTATCCCGGCACATAGTACGCCGCTACGAGCGATGGCCTTAAGCCCAGATGGAAAATTGCTGGCAACAGCGAGTGAAGCGGTAAGGTCTTGTAGGCTGCGATCATCTACGGGTGGTCATTGACATATGCATAGGGAACATTGATTCGGATTTTCGCTACTGGGAACTGTACAAAAATGGGAGAACTGCGACGGGGTGTTGACCATGCAGTGATATTCTCCGTTTGTTTCTCGCCATCCAATAACTTGCTGGCAGTGACATCCGACAAATCGACACTTCACATCTTTGATCTCTCCCACCAGCAACATATCACAAGGCGCAGCCAGTCGCCGGCACCAGCGTCTGAGGAACCAGCTACTAGCCACAAGTGGGGGTTCCTCGGCAGGATTCCCCTTCTGCCTCGAGTCTTCTCGGATGAATACTCATTTGCCAATGCGCATTTCGAGATGGGTGGAGAAGCCACCCCAGGATCGCCATATGTGCCACCAATTGGGTCTTCAATAGGACGACCTCAGAAAGGCCTGATAGGCTGGTGCGATGATCAGACCATCTTGGTTATTGGGTCTGGAAGAGACGGTCGCTGGGAGAAGTTTGTGATTCGAGAGGGCGAGGAAGGCAAGAGATATTGTGTGCGGGATGGTTGGAAGAGATATCTTGGTGGCGGTTGAGATATGGAAAACATCCCAGTTGATCTCAAACCCCCGATGTGATCCACCCCAAACCCAAGCATTGCGACACCTTGTCTGCAGCCGGACAAAGCGTCATCAGCACCAAGCTCGAGTTCCGGCCTGCGCTTTGGGAGAGAGCGACCGAAGCTGCAGTAAGGATACCAGGGCGACGAACATGAATGCAGCGATGTACATGATACCACAAACTCGAGAGTGAATAGCAAAGAATAGTAATGATATCTCATGTTTCAACGACGACGATCATGTCTATCCCGATCACTTCGGTGTCTTCGTGACTCTGGCGAGCGCGACTTTCCCGATGACCGATCCCCCCGTGGGCGTTCCTCTCTTTCTGATGATCTGTAGCGTGAGCGCCTCTCCTTTTCGGGGGAGCGCTCATCCCGATGCCGTCGTTCATGCGGAGAACGAGAACGATGACGGCGATGATGCCGGCTGGAGCGTTCCTTACTGTTGTGGCGTCGCCTAGAAGACTTTTGGCTGCTGTTCCATGCCTCGATTGCGCGCGCAATCTCTTCTTTCTTCTCCTCAATAAGGAACTCCTTCATCGGATCTTCCTCATCATGGTTTCGGATCAACTCGTCTAGCTCCTTCTCTTCCTTCAAGACTGGTCGTCTTTCTTCTTTCTCGGTGATCCTCCTCCGGCTGCGGTCATCATCCCTACCCTTATTCTCGGTGGCAGTTGAATCTCCCATCAACTTAGCGACATTGTTCTCCTCCTCTTCGTCGTCGTCCCGTCGCTTGTAACGGGCATGATCAACACGAAGCAAGCGTCCCAGCACACTCGCACCGCCGAGGTTATCTACGGCTAGATCTGTGCTGCGCTGGTCTTCGTACTTGAGCCAGGCGAATCCTCTGCTCTTGCCGGTTTCCTTGTCGCGAGCTAGTTTGATATGTACTGGTTCTCCGTACTGCGAGAAGATAGCGACGACATCTCCTTCAGATAGATCGAATGGAAGCCCGCCGATGTAGATATAAGCTGTGTCTCGGTAATCCGCGTGCCATGATGCCTCTGGAGGTCTGCACGTCCAGGCAGGGTTAGCCAAGAAAACAGCTCCAACAAGCTAAGCAGGACTTACATGGCATTTTCAAGCTCGCGCTTATTGAGCGCCTGAACCTGGCGAATGGAATTCATGGTGAGGTGGGAGAGGGAAAGTTGGAGCGCAGAAGTTGGAGAGAGGAAATGTGGAGCCGCGGAACCGTAATAATTGTTTACGCTGCAAACTAACCCCCTGCTCGATCGAAGACGACGTGCACAACCACAGACTCCTCTTGTGTGCGCTTTCTTCAAGGGTCTTCGCGAGCGGGCTTGCTACTAGCTGGACCGCCTACAATTCGTTCCCCCACACCTCTCGGATCCCCCTGACACTTTCATCTTGCACCTCCACCTCGACTCAACCTTTCCACGCGCATATCTCCCTGTGCTTCGACATAGACAGACACCTGGGTGAATGCCCTCTGAGGCATGGTGGGACGAGACCAAACGATGTCCTCCAGTCCGCACGGGTCGAAGGCGGCCGGAACAAACAGTCGACCGACCAGCAAAGATGGCTCCAAGAAGAACATTTGGTCCTCTCTATTAGACAGCGTTGCCAATGGAAAGCGCTTGCCTGAGAAGAATTTGCTAGTGCTAGGTACGTTACCGCCTCCTTGGGGCATTCCATGCCTACTCGCGCTCGTTACTGGTCCAGTGTTTCAATTGTTGGACATGCCACTAACAGTTCAACGATAGGCGGCACACCGGAAAGCCAACGGGAATTCCTAGAGTCTTTCTCTGCAGATACCTCCGATGGCTCTGGCTTAGTGAACGAGAAGCGCAAAGCTAAAGGGAAAACACCACCGATTGCCAATCAGTTTGCGCTTGGTTACACATATCGAGATGTCCTCGATGCCGATCAAGAAGGTACATGAGCAATGCAGTCTCTGTATTGCAGTTTCCATGTTAACAATTCCACTGCAGATACCCTGGCACGCGTTTCAGCTTACCTCCTGTCCGAACCCTCGCTATCATTCGCACCCCTCCTCAAACCACTCCTGACCCCACAGTCCGTCCCGGAAACGCTGGTTGTGATCCTTATGGACTGGTCTGACCCATGGACATGGATCCGAAAACTTAGAGAATGGGTCCGTCTTTTACGTACAGTGCTTGTTTCACTCGACGATGAAACCAAAATCGTTATGGAAGAGACAATGACGGAGTGGCGCGATCGCAAAAGGGGACTGGATGCCAATTCTGCGGCTGCAGGCGGCTTGTCGACTTCGGGTGGTCAGGTCACGATACCTCTAGGACCTGGTGAATGGGATGAGGGCCTTGGTGTCCCAATGTGTGTTGTTTGCCAAGGGGTATGTCATTCCAGCTTTGAATCCGGCTACCGGGGGTTGTTTGCTAATATGGACTTTTAATATATCTAGGCGGACAAGATCGAGAAATTAGAGAAGGAACACGGATGGCATGAAGAGCAGTTCGACTTCATTCTTCAGTTCCTCCGAACCATTCTCCTGAAGCGTAAGAGCACTTTTATACATCGCCTCTGGCCAAGCTATTTTCTAACGCCATACAGACGGCGCATCGCTAGTCTACACCACTCCATTCCTTGCCAACTCACTTCAGAGTCTGATTCACTCTTCACTGGGCATACACTCTCTTCTGAAGAGACAATCATTAAAACATAATGTGATTGACCGCGACAAGATCCTGGTACCAGCTAACTGGGACTCATGGGGTAAGATCCGAATCATTCGGGAAGGATTCGACATGGAAGGAGTGTCAACAGCGTGGTCAATCGAGATCCAAGACCCCCCTGAGCCAATTGACCAACCCCCAGAGAGCGATAACGGCCCCGGAGAAGACGGTACAAGCGCCGTAAGAGTCTTCGAACAAACAATCAATGACCCCAAACGAGACACAACCATCGCCCACCCCAACAGCAACAGCAACGGAACCAAGATCGAAATCGAAACCTCTGACATCCAAGCCTTCCTCTCAAGCCAAGTGGAAATCCTAGATAAGCTCAAAGCCGAAGACGAAAAGGACCGTGCAAACCAAGCAACCCCCCAACTGGAAATGTCCCCAATGGACGACGAAGGCAAAGTCAACGAGCACATCGGCCCTGTGCAGTTTAATATGGGAGGAATCCAAGTTGACGCCGATGACATGCTTAAGAAACTTCGGGTAAGACATCCACTAATACGACACCCTCGCCCGCCTAGACGTTAAGCTAAATTACTTTACTTACCCAGGATCGCGAAGCCAGTCGGACCCAAAAGAAGGAAAGCCCCGTGCCAAACACTGGCGATGAGAAAGCTCACAATCAAGCCCTGGCTAACTTCTTTGCTGGCCTGGTCAAGAAAGGCGGCGCCAGTCCCCGTGGGAGTCCTTCTGCCTAATGATTTCGTTTCTCGCTGTTATTTTAGTTCTTTGCGCGTACATAATCTGGAGGCCTAGTCTCATCCTGTGCACTAGGCGCGGTGGTTCCATAGTGGAGGCAGTAGTACTGGTCTTAGATGTTCTTTGGCTGTGGAGGATGCCGGTCGTTGTGATTTCCCCGGGTGTGGAGGTTCTATGGCTTTTCGGCAGGTGTTAGATAATGATACCAATATGAAGACTTCGTGATTTCTGATTTCAGCTGTTTCGTTTTCCTTTACCACTTCTTAGTTTTCCCTTCCTACGCTTATTCCTTTGATATCGCAGGATAAATGGAAGATTCAGTGCCATTCATCCTTATACTAGCAGTAACAGAAATCATACGTAGAGGCTAGAGACCCGTGAAATTATCACCGGGAAAATGACCGCTTTCGGAGCAGTAACTCTTGATTTATTGTCGTGATCGGCCTGCTCATAGTGAATCGCACAAAATCCTTAGTATGCTATATATACAGAATCAAGATATGCCTCATGGGTAGTAAGCTGTCCTGAGAAGTTTCTTTTTATAACACATAGCTTATGTTTGTAAGATTATCACAGACTGCATTTTTTTGGACAAGACTCAAGGACTCAAGACAAAGTACATATTTTCTCGCGCCTCTTAGCCCCCTTTACCATATTCTGCCAAACTTATTTCTGCCACATCTCATTCTGCCCCTGGGGGTTTTACACATTCAACAGAACATAACTAAATCACAGTAACCAAAAACCCAAAAACAAACCTAGTATCCACCCCGCTGATTGCCAACATTAGCTTGCCCACTCGAGCGGGTAACTCTAGGATCAAGCTTGTTTATGGGGTCATCTTTTTGAGCACCAGATGGCTGTTGCTCGCCTGAGGCGTAGCTACTACCACCAGCCGCATTACCGCCGAAATTTGGCTCGCCGCGGTTTTCAAAGCCCTCCTCGTTTTGCAAATTTGTCTGGCAGGGCATGGCGTGGCTAGTAGCGGAGTGGGATTTATGCTCCTGCGTCGAGGTGCTATGGCTTTCCTCGTTGGCCATTGGGTTGTTGCCGTAGCTGCCAGGCTGGGGTTGGGATTTGGCTGTCTTTTCCTGCGTGGCTTTGTTATAGTCATCTTCGCTAGTTTCATGGTTGTCGACGCCTGTGGATGGGTTGCTAGGGGCGTTGCTGGACTGTTGGGGGTTCGTATTTCCAGTTCCGCGTGCAGCGCGGTTGTCTATACTCTTTAGCTTCACTTTTTTTTGGGTTTTAGAGCTCGGATTGGCTTACCCATATCACTATCGACGCGAGGATCCATCTTGTTAGCCATCTTTGAATCATGCGGACCAGCATTGAAGTTGGAACGATCTCCGCCCATTGCTGTCGATCCATAGTCGCCAGAACGGCCGCCTTGATTGCCCATCCCAGTACGGGTTGAATCAGTTGGATCCTGGGTGTCTACATATCCGATCAGCTTATCGAAAAAGCTTAGGTGAAGTCTTTGGGGGACTAACCGTTGAAGTTAGGGTCGCCAGAGCGTGACCCAGAGTCGTAAGGGTTGTTAGAACCCATGCCAGAAGATCTGTTCTGGTTCATATCATTGTCTGAGGCTGGGGCATTGGAGGATCCCTGGTTATCTTGAGCCCTGAAGCCGCGGGATGTATCCTTGTCATGATCAGTCATGGCGTCCTTGACTTTGTGCATGAAGTTCGACATGGTAAATATTTTGTTGGGATAGAATAATGAGTAAGTGATTCGAAATATAGATATTTCCGGGTTGTTCCTGTGAACACGAGTCCAGTAACAGGCTTATATATCTCTTAGCCATGTTTTGGCTCAATGTAACTCGTATTAGATTGGATAGTACAGATATCCAGTGACGACATGATGAGGAGTTCATATGGAGGAAAAACCAGCTAATATTGATAATGACCTATTAGTGGCTTTTTTTTGCTATTGTTGTGGCGTGCCAGACAGATTCGATGATTGTTTGGGCGAAAGGTTAGCAGAGCTGTGAATGTCATCTGCTCGGGTGTCGTCATGTGCTCTCTATATCAAGAGATCTGGGGAATACGAACCTGGGCTCCCGTTCCGTGGTTCTTTGTCTTTCAGGGTACTATATTCAGGTTTTCAGAGAGTTAACACGCTAAAGGAATAAAGGGTTGGAATTTATGATCCTGACTTTGAGCATTTTCATAAAAGTGGCAGCTGAGATAGGAAACCTCACCCGGTAGAGGAAATATGGTACGTAGAGTGACCTCGGTACTTACTGGCATCGCCACTGTGAACGACTGTCACCAATTTGTGCTTTATTGTACTGGGATATCTTGTTATTCCACTTGCTATATACGGGGTAGAAGTGGTCTGAGACCGTCAATTCCTTAATATATAGATATACAGTATAGGAACAAACACAGTTCCCGCCTTCAAATTTTATCCAAAAGCCGCGAACGAATAGCTCACCAATTTTCCCAAACAGCATCAGGCAAAACCTTCCTCATAATCCCCCAGTGCTCCAAAGCACTACGGTCCTGATACTTATGCAATCTACCCACCTCCTTCTCCCACAAGAGGGCCCTACCATTCTTGGGGTAAGAGGCAAAGATAGCAGGGTCAAGCTCATGCTTAGGAACGAGATAACTTTCACGAGACTTGCTGCGCAAGAAGTCCGCCTGGACAGGGTCACGGAAGCGAAGCGGGGTCCCGGCGCTCTTCTTGCAGAACAGGACCATGTTGGTGAAGTCGGTGTTCTCGTCGGATCCGACGGGTGCTTGTTCGCGGAAGATACGGCATGTTGGGAAGACGGCTTGGATGGTGCGGACTACCAGGCCAGTTGGGTACAGGGTTAGGTCTCCGGCGTAGTTCTGGTTTTGATTCGTTAGTATGCTTGTCTGGTGGGATGCATGGCTCGGTTGGACTTACAATGGCAATGACACCGTCCTCCTTGAGAAGCGCTTCAAGGCCTTTGAGGAATTCGTAAGTGAATAGCTCGGCTGGCTCGGCACCGCCAGTGAATACATCGTGGACGATGTAGTCGTACTGAATTGGCTTAGAGGAAGATTGGGCTTTCTTGACGTATTTGACGGCATCCTGGATGACAGGGATGTGGTTCGGTGGCAGATTGAAATATTGAATTGCGTACTTGTGCACGGTAGGGTCGATTTCGACGATAGTGGTCTCAATACCGTGCTTGATGAGTGCAGCAGGCGTTGTGCCAATACCAAGTCCACTATTTGTCTGTCAGTAAATAGCTTCTAATATTTGCTAGGAGATTCTTACATGACCAGCGCCTTGCTATCGGCATCAACGCGGGAAACGCCATGGTCCGGCTCAACCAAACGGACGGCCTCGAGCATGGCAAAGATAGCGTAGATGGGATCTTCCACCTCGGGCCGGTAGCCGGAAGGTAACTTGGTCCACTGCCCACCGAGCAGACTGTGGTCGCAGCGCATAACTCGGAATCCATCGTTGTGATTATCCAACACAGAAATGTAGCCAGTGGTGGATTCATGACGTGCCACAAGGGAGTATCCTTCGTGCTCAATAGCAGAGTTCACGCCACTAATTCCAGCAAAGTGAACATTTGAGGTGAATGAAAAGATCACGGAAGGAATGGCTAGAACCAGCAATTTGGACGGAAGGATTGCAGAGTAACAGACCGCGAGGATCATTTGCATTCCAACTCTGGTGAACAAGAAGGTGGTACCAACGATCCAGTGCAAGACCATGTTTGCAAAGTGATCGCCAATTGAATAGAAAATGTAGGTGCCCAGCATCGGAACGTGCTCAACCACCAGGTCGCCCTGCGACTCAAGCCTCAAAGCAGTCTGGATTAGCTTTCCGGCATAGGCCACTGTGAGGAGTACCAGAGGATAGTAACCACACAGCTCCGTGATGACTGGGCCGAGTGGGTTACCCAGCGAGGAGCTCTTCTGCTTCATGAAATACTGGAGAGTTGGAACCCAGAATGCCAGCACGGGGAGTAGATAGCCACCAGCACGACCCAGGCGCTTTGGGATAATGTCTTTCAGGAACCATCCGGCTCCGCCAAAGATGGCGACTCCATAGGCATGGAAGATTTCAGCAGGCAAGGATCCATATGTTGGAGATAGGATTAGCTTGGAAAGGGGCGAGTAAAAGGCGAGAATAACCAGCAAGGCCACGCCGGAGCCAAACCGCCGGCCATCGACCTGCCGTATGAACTCCTCGACAGAAGGCATGGTTTCCAGCTGATGCAGCTTTGGATATTGGTGGCAAGCGCGGAATCAGTCAAGACAGCGCATCTGCGAGCTTGTTAGCACCTGCAACTGTGGCCTGTTCTCACTACAAGAGACCTTCAAAGCTCAAGAAGCTTCACACAATTCAAAACAGATCATTGACTTACATGTTCAGACCAGACAAAACACAGTACCGAGATAAAAAAAGTTACGGAGAGAAGCTCTTTTGCCGCCGAATTCCGCGTTCCCAACTTCATCTCCCCTCCACTTTCTGAAACACACCAAGATGCCACTTTTCCCTATGGATTCGGGGTTTGCAGATAAAGGCGAACCCAGTACACATAACCATGCGATCACAGTCAAAAACCGTCGCAAGCGGTATCTGGACCTGCACCCAGAATACTTCTCGGCGGAGCTCGAGCTAGCCGGTCCGCCTGCTCTTCCCATTGCCAACTGACACACACTTATGGCCTGATCTATCGCGGGCTCTAGCTGGCCAAGCATACAAAAGAAACAAAAACACAGTACTAATCTTGCCCGACTTCTCTACAGACCCGTTACTATACGATCGCCTGATCCGCCGATTCCAGACACCGCAGGAAAGAGAGGACGCAGGGCGAGCGAAGGGCTTCTCAGGTGTCCTACAGGCGGACCTCTTACGGTCTGAAGCCAGAATCGATGCGATCGCACACCCAAATCCCAACGCCGAGATGAGCTACACCCGTGGCCCGGATGGGGAGATCCTTGCCGAGGATCGTGATGAAATACCCCCCAACAAGGAAGAAGGCGAGCGGCGCTGGCAGTGGGAGATGAGCTTGCGCTTTGTGCAGGGGAACGACTCTGATTTTGATTATACGACTGTCGGTGAGAATGATGAGCTCGATGATTGGTCTGATAAGCAGAATGAGTATTTCGAGGACGAGGAGCCTGAGTGGGTTGTTGATAATACTCGCGGGGAAGATGCCCGCTCGAGACTTCAGGGTGAAACGGGCATTCAGGATTTCTAGCTCCACAGGAACCGGTGACCTTGCTCCTAGGCCAAACGCCGAGTAATGCTCCTTCGCTTTGGATGCCAGTCATGACCACTTACAGAATATACCCGCACGGCGCATTGTTTTCGCATCCCTGAATTGCCGAATCCACCCGTTTCTCCTTCTCAAAGGGCCTCTTTCAAGAAGGACACCGCCACCTTCCATATTCCTCGTCCGTCGACAGCCCTTCTTCTAGATGGGATGGCAAGACACAGTCTGTTTGCTGTGGTAATGCGTCTCTGAAAGTTGCTTTTATAAATTGAAGCGGGGCCATGGCACAATCATGTTGGACATGTTCCTGTCTGTCAGAATCTTTCTGCCATGCCTTTGAAGTTGTGGCCATGGCTAGGCCTCGGGAGCCCTATCCCGATTATTGTAGGTCTTAAAGATTAAATACAACCTAGGAATTATCTGGCCCTTTCAAATTTGTCGTTTTTTTTAAACAAAAATTACAGACCTTTGCATCACACTGTCTCCGAGAGTAACACGTTCCCATTCCGGAAATTATCTACGAAGTTGCCCTCGCGCCTAGTCCTCGTATAATTGTCTGAGATATACTAAAATATATACTATCTATAGGTTACGAGGGGTGCCTTGCTTGTATATCTATTGATTGGTTTGATATATACGGTAGTACGGATCTACAATAGGTACTCAGTACTGGCGTGATCAATCCATCGCCTTACATCACTCTAGAGGTCATATCTACGCCCGGCACCAACACACCGAAAATAGCTTCATGTATTCAATACATCTATGCATTTGCCGCCTTGTAGGCCAGAAGCTCAAGAGCCTTCTGCCTGAGCTTGAATTTCTGGATCTTACCACTTGCCGTCTTAGGGAAAGGCTCTAAAGGACCCAAGAAGAAGACATACTTCGGAACTAAATTATATCGCATTTTCAAATTAGTTTTGAGAGGCTGGCAATGATATATTATCAAGGAGTCGACTCACCGAGATGATTACTGAGCTTATCACGCACCCATTGCTGTATATCCTCGACCCCAATTTTGTTGATGCTATGATCACGAGCAATCACAAAGGCAGCCACAGCCTCACCATATCGCGCATCGGGAACACCAACAACCGATACATCGGCCACATCGGAGTTGGCAAGCAAACAGTTTTCGATCTCTAGAGGGTGTATGTTCTCGCCACCACGGATGATAAGATCTTTTATCCGGCCAGTGATGGTGATATATCCATCTGCCGACATGGAAGCTTCGTCGCCGGTCTAAAAGTATGAGGTCAGGAGAAGTAGCTTCGCCAAAAGAAGGGGATGTTGAACATACATGCATCCATACTTTCCCAGCCTCGTCCGGAACCATGACCTCTACTGTTTTCTCTGGATCGCCCCAATACTCCTTCATGAGCAAGTAACCGCTAACAACCAACTCGCCCCGAGTCTCGATAGGCTGGGTACTTAGGTGATCTCCAGGATTCACGATCTTGGCCTCAACATGCGGCATGAGTTTTCCCACAGAGGTGATTCGCTTGTCAATAGGATCATCTGTGGTCGTCATGGCCGACACGGGGCTGGTCTCGGTCATTCCATAGCAAATTGTCAACTCGGTGAGGTTCAGCACTCTGTGTAGCTTCTTCATTAATTCAGCAGGGATGCTACTTCCAGCAGCGATACCGGTCCGAAGATGCTGGAATCCCTCTTGAGAGACCTCTCCTTTCTCAATCAGACTAAGCTCTTCGAGGAACATCGTTGGTACCCCGTACAAGGCTGTGCATTTTTCTTCTTGAACTGCGTTCAATGCAGCACGTGCATTGAAGGATTCACTTGGGAAAACGATGGCTGAGCCGTGTGTTGCTGTAGCCATGTATCCCAATATACATCCGAAGCAATGGAACAGTGGTGGTGGGCAGCACACAATGTCATTTGGGGTGAGAAGCATGCGGTCACCAATCTGAGAGCCGTTGTTCAAAATAGAGTGGTGGCTGAGGCAAGCTGCCTTTGGCATCGCTGTTGTCCCTGATGTAAACTGGATATTCACGATATCATATGGTGAAAGACCTTGAGGAGGAATTGGGCGACCATCTGCTGCGATCTGGGACATAATGGATGTGTACGGCGTTATGCTTTTGTAAGAAGATATATCCACGCGGCCTTCGGAATTATCAACAAGAATGACCTGCTTCAATGAGGGGACCAAAGCAGATTCTAACTTCGAGTTGGAAAGATCCGTAATGAGTTCCTGGAGCAAGGGAATGTTGCTTCGAGGTTCTTTTCGCGGAAGATTTGACTCTGTGCTTATAATAAGGTGACTCGATTCGAGATGACCCAGTGCGGCGATTACTTGTGTGGCATTGAATGACGGATTGAGGGGGACCTGGCAGGTTATCAGACTTGCTATTCGCGTGTGATGACAGGTTGACCTACCAAAATGGCACCGAGTTTGAATAATGCGTATGTTGCCTGTCCAAGGAGATGAGTATTTGCCTTTCAAACACTATCCTGAATAGCCATACCACCGCGTATTCCATCGAGTTGCCAAGCATGACTCCAACCCGCTCTCCCTTGCGCACGCCCACTGACTCTAGCCCTCGAGCAAGCGCATTGCTCCTGGTGTCCAGAGAAGCATAGGTAGCGCGGTCATTCTGATGCTTTGAAATGACACTGGGAGAAATAATTATTAATTTCGAGTCTCAATGGATTCCTCAAGCTTGTAGAGCAATGCTCACGCTGTTTTATCCCCGCATTCTGCCACAACCCTGGCGAAGTGTTCTCCGACTGTAGACTCGATCAAGGGAGGCTATATTAAGAGCAGTTAGTTAGAGATGGCAATTATTTAGAGATGAGCTGGTATAAATTGAGGTTTAGGATAAATCCCAAGCTGTGGTGACATACACCGGATGGGCCTCGAGCATAGCTCTCGGTCAGTAGTCCCCTCTTGACTAAAGACACAGGGTAAAGGGTTCTCTTTCCCCCGAAGCAAGCTGTCCGGCAGTTGACGCGAGCCCTGGAGCCTAAGCGCACGAGAGCCCTGGTGTATCCCATGTTCATATCCCGGTTCTAGCTTGTGATCGCCGCAGCTGCATAATTCGCAGGGATGATGCGCTCAGTAAATGTATGACGATGTTGATTTGGCAACCTGTACAATGGAAAGTAGTGCCAGGTCGGATCAAACTAAAGTGAGAATCGGACCAAAACAGTGAATTGGAGGAACTTCGAAGATGGGAAGTGAAGCTTTCCCCGCATGAGTGAACTGCGGGGAGTCGGGTCCAGCCGAGGTGACGTCCAACCTGGGAAGTATTCAACTATGCAACTCCAATAAAATATCGTGATCCTGCATTCAAACAGTCGGGCGTTAAAATTGAACCTATTAAATGCCATGATCAAGATAGCTGACAAGACCACGACCAATTATTTCCACTGTCGATCGTTTCCGTTCCTCAAACATGCTTAAGACGACTATATAAGCGTGTTGTTTTCTGATCATTTGACTGCCGAAGCGCCTTTTTGCGAAAATATAGCTACAAGCCACCATAATAATGCCTATGGTTGACTAGGAACTGCCGGAGATGCTTTTTCTGCCAAACTCCCATTCTATTAAAGCTGCTAAACAAGGACCCACTTCTTCTATATCAACAATGTGTGAAACGGACACAAGCATTCAGCACCTCCTTCCTCGCAGAGTCTCAGAGTGCTGATACATCTGATTTCTCAAGAATCGCATTTGAATACTGGGCTGTGGATACAAAAGATGTTATAGCGGGGAAATTAAGAGACAAGGAAGGTTATGAAAACGAGCTATATCTGTGTTTCAAGATGGTTCTGAGGGTATGTGAGCTGCCATGATGGAAGCAGATAATATTCTATGTATTTAACAACCTTGGTTGTTTACCAAAACCCAAACTCCAAGCTGAAACAAAACCTCAGATGCCAGGTTTATTTCAAACCCTAGAGATACAATTCCAATGCTTGCATTGACACTCTCTGTCTTCTCCCATCCAATAACTATCACCATAATTGATAGTAAGCTCTTCAAAGACCGAGATGTGGCGAATGGCTTCTACTGTTGTTACCACTCGGTCTCCAACATGGCGAGTCATGAAACACGTTGAAGGCTGGCACGAGTGATTGATGAACCGAGTCCAATTGCCCTTGAAATGGGGAAGAATCTCTGCAACACCAGGATCACGCTCGTTGGGGAATTGAGTGAGAGCATAAGCCTGATCCGGGTCATCATCACAAATCTCCTCGGATGGATATATTTCACCGACAAACACGTCGAGAATGTCATCCCTTTTAAAATTGGCTAGCGTACGAACGCCAATACCCTTCAGTGGGTATTCCCTTAGCTCAACCATACCTCCTGCTAGGGGCACCAAGCGACAGGCGCAGGGCTCTTTACTCAAGCAGAAGATACAATCCACAACATTGGTGAGTGATGTTCGGAGCGTTGGATCTGGGGAACTCCATTTCGCAGAATTCCAGAAATTCTCGTAGATGACGGTTCGGGGTTTACCCTTGAAGTATGTATTTTGCACCTCGCCATTGAGTGTAATGGCAACGTCGTGCGGGTGAGTGATCTGAGATCCCCAATTAGACTGCTCGGAAAGCGCCTCCATCAAGGATGGCAAGCCGTTAAGTTTCTTGATTGTCACACGAACATACTCGAGAGGGTCACGCCACTGAAGTTGACGGGAAATTGCAAAAACTTCGAGACTGAGCTGGTTCTCACCAATAAACGAGAACAGTGTATTCCAGACCCTATCTTTAGTATTTCTGAATGCTCGACGGAAAGATTCGGCATGGAGACAAATTGAAAGGAGCCTCCATCCATATGCCTCCACAAACTGATGCAGTCTGTTAATTCCGTGGCCTTCGTCTGCGGGTGCATTCTCGAGCTTTTCATATTTTTCGATGTAGTTTAATACTTCAAGGTGAACGGAATTTTTTGCTTCGTCCATCTGGTTCTGCCAGGGTGTGATGACCGCAACATCGTTCTCTGTTTGTACAATTATCTGGAGACTGCACAGACTATTGATGTCAAAGTACATGGCTGAGAGGATCTCGAGCGCGTCGGAGTTTGCCCGCGATTGTAGCGCGGCTCCGGCTTAGTTAGGCCTCCAGTGCTCCGTGACCAAGTGCTCCGTGACCAAGCCCTCTGCTTGGCCTTCCTCGCGGCCGCTGTCTTCATGACCTTAGCTCCAGTAGCCTTAGGCCTGGGAGTGGCCTTGACCTTGAGGATAGCCTTGCCTTGGGGGCGGCTTTGGGCTTAGGGGCGGCCTTTGGTTTGGGGGCGGCCTTTGGGCTTAGGGGCGGCCTTTGGTTTGGGGGCGGCCTTTGGTTTGGGGGCGGCCTTTGGTTTGGGGGTGGCCTTTGGTTTGGGGGTGGCCTTTGGTTTGGGGGTGGCCTTTGGGTTAACCACGGCAGTGACCTTGGGGCCGGCAAGCTGTCTAGCCCCTGATCTGAGGACCCTGTCAGTCACAGGGATCTTGACGGCCATCTTTGAACCAAGCTGGATTTATAGATGACAGAAACTTGATACAAGTATAGAAAAATTCATGATTGCCGTGGGACTGAAATGGAGTCAATGACGGATTTTCCTTGGACATAGGACAGTATTTATAATCCGTAATTTTGACTCTTTTACAGCACACGTCGAATGAGCTAGGAGGCATTGCTTTGTCCTGAATCCAAGACGACCGTGGCCTCGATAAGGCCATTATGGTTGAAAAGGGTGGTGAAGCGCATAAATTTTTGGATGCGAACTAGCGATGCGACCAGTAGTATATTTGAAGTGCGGCTCATAGCTGAATGAAAATGGTGGAGGTTGTTGAAAGAAGAAGACATCTATAAAGAGAGAGGGTCAAAGGGACAAAAATAGCGGAACGCTTGGCGTCATGTGGTGGGGAAGCTCCGATGCGACAGTCTTCCCTCCTCTCGACCTTTCTTTGTTTTCATTGTCCCCGTCTTGATTCCTCATTGCAAAATGGCTTCCGAACCCACCGAGGACGCCATCGCGAACTTTGTCAGCTTCACGAGCACGACGCGCGAGCAAGCTGTCAACTTTCTGAAGGTCAGAGCTTAGACTCGGCTTACACTCGACACCTTGCCAGCTAACACGGTCTTAGGCTAATAACCTCGACTCACAAAAAGCCATCAACGCCTATTTCGAAGAACTGGCCGGTCCTCAGCCGAAGGTGAACTTGGATCGCGATGGCGCATCGTCTGGGTACAATCTGACATTTTAAATAGGCAGACAACTACTACAATGACAAAAGAGCTAGCTGTAAGCTTGCACCTCTTTCATGAGTTGAGACGGAGAACTGAAAAACCTCGCCTCAGCGTGGGATTTTACCCAGCAGGACAATGCGCCCCCAATACCTGCAACAGCACCGCCGTCGCGTCCTCCCTCCCGAATGAATATGAACGATACGGATAAAAAGACTGCACCGGGAGCAACGGCTCCACAAGGTATGACTGGAAATTCAGCCGTGATTGGCACAGACAAATACTGATTCAAGGGCATAGCAGGTACCGGGCAGGGTCTAAGCCTGGCGGAACGCGAAGAAAAGGAGCTACAACAGGCAGTCGCCATGTCGTTAAACTCAGGCTTGGGACAGCAGGAAATCGGTGTTACATCGAGTAGCCAGCCGCAATTCAGCAAGGCAACTCGGGATCACTATGAGGAAGGTGATTGGGCAATGACTTTATTCAATACATCCTCCGAAGAGGTCACGATTGGACCCGAACCGGAAGATCGCAGGAGAGGAGAGGGTGAGCCTGCGTTCATCCGCCCGACCCAGGATGGTCTTTACCTAGGAGGATTCTTGACCATTATCCACGAGATTCCTCTCGCCCGAGAAGCGCTACTTCTGCGAAACAAACCGCTTTTTGACTACGGACATGAGCCACACTGGTGGAATGGGCAGTCTATCAACCTACCCAAGATCGTCACAGTTAATGATAGCAATCGAGACGCCGACTGGGACGATGTTATCCATGAAGCGCAGCGTCTCATGGCCTTTATGGATTCCACGAAACGATCCTTTGGAAGTAGCGACAGCTTAGCAAGGATACGAAGTCTCTCGATGTTCTCCTCCGACTCAGAGGAGATAGTCACCCGGTTTCTGGAAGCATGGCATGGCGCCGCCATTCGGGCTGACCCCGACAATCAGCTAGCAGCTATTTTCACGTCACATGCCTACAAGCAACAATCTCATGACTACGATGAGCCCGTTACCAAAGATCTTTTCACATTTGAAATTCCCGTTGAACCAGATCATGGCCAGAGTCTATATGAGGTCATAGATAGAGCTTTATGGAACGAGGGACCGGAGGAAGAGCTCGAGAATATTTGGATCGAAAGCATAGCAGAGGTACTATGCATCAAACTCGACTGTCTACAAAGGCCAAACCCCGTGGATGTGAAGATTCCTCCTGTGTTTTACCCAGATCGTTACCTCAGCAGCTGTCGTGATCTCGCTCGCGAACTTCGCCTGAAGCGACAGCAAATACAGGGCGACATTTGGAATCTTGAGAAACTCATCCGCCACTACACTTTCCCACGGAACCCCGTGGGCAAGCTCACTGTCAAAGAGCTGCTTGAGAGAGCAGCAGAAGCAGCTCCCGTGGTTGTTCCAGAGAAGCCAGACAATGCCGATTCCTCCAGCGAGGCGACTGTGAATGTGAAGCAAGTTGCTGAGCAATTGCGAGCGATTGCCGCAAAGATCGAAGAAAAAATCCAAGGTAAACCCGCTAGCACCATCATGCAATCAATCTTATCTAATCGAGAACAGAGCTTGAGGTTAGCAAGGAGAACGCCGTAAAATCGCTCCGCGAGATTTCCAAGACACTCACTGAACCTTCTGAATCGCCCTCCGAGCCCCCCACCTATAAGTACACACTACGAGGTGTGTGCACTCAACCACACATTACTTATGTTTTATCCAATGCAAAGGCAGGCTCCCCCGACCTAATGGATATGGAAGATGAGAGCGGGGACCAGTGGTGGCGTATCAGCTATTCCACCGAGGATGGAAAGACCCGACAAGCGGAGAAACGGAAAGCCCAGGGAGACAACACAACGACACAGAATGGAGATGTTGTCGGCTACAGCGCCTCGAAGGTCCGGGAGGATGAAGTGCTCCAAGCTGCCCGCGACGAGTGGAGATCCGTATTACTTGTTTATGCAAGCGAGAATGCCATGAAGGCGCCGGTGGACCCTGCGCCAGCACAACTTCGGGTAAGCTGCGCAAGATCACATATCTGATCTCTAGCTAACCGAGAACAGGGCTTCGTGAACAGAGACAATGCCGCCTTTGAGGCTGAGTTCGACCAGACTGCCACCATCATCAACAGTGACCAAGAGGAATCCTGGGCCCCGACCAGCAGTACAGAAACCCAGCAAAGCGAGCAGCCAGAGATGACCGAGAAGCGTCAGCAAGTTAATGTTTTTGACTATGAGGTCTCCGGTTTCGACGACGAGCCAGGTCCAAGGCAAGAGATGCAGCAGAGGGATGGTGGAAGCCTCTTGAGCAAGGGCACTGCCAACAACTCTCCGCCGAAGACATTGCAAGTTGAATCGGAGGGGAAGTCTTCGCACGATGAGGAAATGGTTGACCATGCTGAGCATGTATAGCCACATTGAACATTCGGAAATTTTACGTGAATGATAAATCTATGGAGACAGACAGCTGCATTAGCTTGAGCCACATATCCTCAAGTTATCTATGGACATAGCAATAAGACTAAGGTACAGGATCTTTTACCCTTTTAAATGTAAACATTACGAGATTCCTCAGGCATCAACTCACGCACGGTGAGTTGTATTCAGATGATGTGTATTATACAGAAGCAAATTCATGTCATAGTAAGATTCTAGAGTAAATAAACATGCGAGAAAGATATCAGAGCGACGGCATAGATCGACGTTTATCATGTCCCCACATTTTGCTGTGTTTGCACCAACTCCAGCAAGCTCCAACGTTTACTCAACCAGCTCCCATGTCAATCCACCCATTGCTTTTTACACACAATGACACTCGAAAGCGACGCAGTAGCAGGAGCGACCATTGAACTCCTCGAGGCGCGCCTGCGCCGCCTCACCTACCTCCTCACCGGCGCCACAGACTGGACAGGCGTCCCAACCGCGCCCGAGAAACCCACGTCACTCGACGAGACAGTCTCCCGCAAACTCGCGCGTCTAGAAAGGGAACTGGAAAGGCTGAGCCGGAGCGTTCCAGCTGTGCGAGATGTGCTACAACTCCGTATGTGCCGGGCAGTGGGGATGTTATCCATCCCCATCACGAACCCAATACCTCCCTACACCACACGACATCTACACACCTTCTCCACCCCATCCTCCAGCATCCAATCTCCCCCAATCCAATCAAATTCTACAAAAGTCCACACTAACACCCAAACCCCAAAACCAGACGACCAAAACCCAGACCTCTTCCAAAAAACCCCAACAACCGAAATCCCCCAGGGCCTAACAACCCAAACCCTCACCTCAATAATCCTCTCCTACGCAACCGCCTTCCCAGAAACCGCCTCGCGCCTCACGTCCCTAAACGACCTCCCCGTTCCAGACGCAGCAAGCTCCGCAGCCCTCATCGAGCTACAGCCGCAGCTGGACCGACTTGCGCGGACGCAGGCTGAGCAGGCGGCTACGATCTCCGAGTTGCGGGTGCGTAGTGCGCGTGTGCTACAGCGTTGGTATGACGTTGGTCTTGTTGGGAGTGGTGAGTGTTGGGCGGAGTGGGAGGGGAGACTTGAGGATGTTGAGAGGGAGGTTAGGAGGAGGGAGGTTTTTAAGGAGAGGAGGGAGGGGGAGGTTTAGATCTGGGCTTATCTGGGGATGTGACTAGCTGGCTGGTTTCCTGCTGTTTTTATAGGTAGCAGGTAGGGCCAGGTGATCATAGTTATGGTAGTGGTGGTGGTGGTGGTGGAGGGAGGGAGTGTTGTTTGTTGTTATTGTTGTTTTCTATGATATCCTCTGATTTGGCGTAGGACATGCTGTTATTACATAGGGAAATTCCAATATCCCTCAATCCTTGAGTCTACATGTACCTGCATACATGCACATATCTCGATAAAACATGATGCAATCCACAAATCTAGCCCAAGAAATCTATCTGATACCGGCTCACCCCAGCCGAGAATATGATATGTCCGACATAAATTACATTTAAATCAGACATATCTCCTAGATCATGCGCGTCATTCTCGCGTGGAAAGATCGTCCGTATGACTAGTCCCTCATTCCATTGGGGTCACTAGAATGTGCAAATTTACCCCAGATCCTTCGCCCCGCTTCTACAGTACACTAGACACGAACTACATCTTATATGTGTAGAAACCACAATTGACTTTGTAGAGAAACTCTGGATTTATGTAGGTCTCATATCACATTCCATACCTTACACCTCATACGGCGACGTTGAGAACGGGCCACTCTACAGTCAAGTACTCCGTACGCACATATGACGCAGATGCCGAGCGGGTCGACACGTGAGTGTATTGCGAGGACTTTATGTACCTATGTGTGCTTGTTATTAGGAAATGGTAGTTATGGATACCCAAACACGTATAGGTAGGACAGGGTAGGGTACAGGAAATGAGTAAGAGCCCCATCGTGAAATGACGATCGGGTCGAGCCAACTCCATGGTGGGTCGTGGAGCAAGTTTTGCGGGAAATTAGGGAGTGAGGTCCAGAACACAATGGGTCACTGTCAAAAATTGAAGCCCTAAATCAGCCTTAATATTAGCGTTAGTGTATAGACATGGACATGTATATGTATATGTAAGGTTAATCTGAAGATGAAGATGTTAGGGGAGAGAACACGGAGGCCTCGTCATCCCGATCAACATAGCGGGTGACTAATACGATATTTATAGATCAAGACGAGATCGAGTCCTTACTCTTGGGAAATCCTCTGTAGATGAGATTTAAATATTGATTTCCAGTACATCCATGTTCTTAATTCTTATTTTCCCGAATAAAATCAATCGGTAGTAAGCCAAGTCTCGACTCCAGGGGCGCGTCTGTGTGTTGGGGCTCCACACTTGTACCTGGCACTTTTCCTCCTTTTCACTTCTCCTCTTTCTTTCATTCCCGTCATTTTTCATTCCCGTCACTCTTTTCATCTCGGTTTCTTCACATTTACTTCCCTTTTTTACCAGCCTGGTGCTGTTTTCCCGCCTCTCTCACTGTAAGGGGTTTTCTGTTCTACCTCTTCCGTCTCTGGCGTGAACCCACTTGGTCTTTGTGTCAAAGGTACCTTCCTCCCTTGACATCGGATCGCGACTTCCACCCTTTCATTGTAGTTTGACATTCGCTAACCAAGACAGTCGCTCTTTCAACATATACCAAACGATCACCTTGCCCTCTACATATATACAATTACCCTGTCATTTCATCAATAGACATCTTTCATGGTCACTCCATCAACTCCCTCGTTCCACAAGCCCCCGAATACACACAAGATGGGCAAATTCCGCCCCAGCAACATCCTTGGCGATCCTTTCGCCCTCGCCACCGTCTCCATCTCCATCGTATGTCCTTGTCCTCCGATGCGACCGATCCACACTAATGTTCAGTCTAGCTGGCATGGCTGATCGCATTCATTTCATCAATTATTGCCGATGTGCAAGATACTAAGTATCCCAACTACTCATGGTGGGCCAATAGTTATATGTTCTGTGTCATCATTGGTCTGATTGTGACCTTTGGCACCGACACCGGCCACGTCTACGGCGTCGCGGTATGATTGTCTCTAAATTGTGGCTTGCGTGGCCATGCTGACATTGTTCTAGATCGTGGGATATCTTGGCTGTGGCCTTGTTCTGACTTCGCTGAGCGCAAACAACACCATCTATGAATCCCAAGGCTCAATGCAAGCCGCGGGAGCCGGTTTCATCCTGCTCTCCATGATCATCATCGTCTGGATCTTCTACTTCGGCTCCTCGCCTCAAGCCTCGCACCGCGGATTCATCGACTCATTCGCCCTCAACAAGGAGCAGCCCCCAGAGCCATCCTACCGCGGCAGCCGCCCCATGTCCAGCGCATTCGGCGCCCGTCCGGAGACCGTGGCCACCAGCAACACCCCGCAGATGTACACCTCTGCCCAACTAGGTGGCTTTGAGACCTCTTCCCCCGTTTCCGGCTACCCCGGCGGTGCGCCCGGCGCCGAGCGAAACTCCTCCGCGCCTCGCTTCGGCACCCCAAGCGGTGCCCCTGGCAATGGCGAACAAGAAACCGGCGAAGTGCCCCAGCCAACCGATTACCCGTACCGCGCGAAAGCAATCTACTCGTACGATGCCAACCCGGAAGATGCGAACGAGATCAGTTTCGCCAAGCACGAGATCCTCGAGGTATCGGATGTCAGCGGCCGATGGTGGCAGGCTCGGAAGTCCAACGGAGACACCGGCATTGCACCCTCCAACTATTTGATCCTTCTGTGATCGGAGTTTGTACGGTTGATGTCTGTCTTCTTTTCTCGAGCTTCCCCTTTCGCAAAACCTGTTTCCCTTGATACCCTTTGGATCCTCTCTCCACCTGTGTGTGTATTTTTTTGGTTCCCCTAACGTGATGTCTTGATGGCCTCCTTTGTTACATGTCTATTTTCTTTTCTTGGAACGTATTTGTTGATCTGGGTTTTTTTTTTGGATTTCTTTTTTGTTCTTGTTTTGTTTTTTACAGCGGGTGGTTATCCCGAGTCTTTCTTTATGCTCCTTTTTGTGGTTTCTGGTGCTATCTCGTTCTCATGTTGGATACATTGGCAAGGATTGACAGATCTTGATGCCATGCTTATTTCTGCATGAACGAAAAGTAACATGTTAGGATATATGGTCAGCACTTTGTGCGAGCATAATACAGTACTTTTCGATAATTCTACGTGCACAGCAGATTTGATCTAGACCAACCGTGGATACATTCGAAATCCAGTCCCTGATTCGGGGAAAACCGTGGCTCGACTGTCCTCAACCTCGGTTCAGCTGATCCACTGTGTACCGTGTCGAACCATAGAACGAACCACAGGCATCTATCAAGTATGAAATCAGTGACTTCAAGCACGAAATAGACATGTCAAGTCTAAGCGGGTAGCCACGTGCGGGGTGGTATGTGCGCCGGAGAATTACAACGAACTCAAGCACAATCTCAACTACATAATCTCCGTCTAATTTTCGAAGTTATATAATGAACCAAACCATATACCCTCCGGAGTATACCTAAGAGGCTAAATTACAAGCTAAGCTAAAGCCATCTGAAACGAACCTTCTAACAAACCCCTGATCTTTCACCATCCTACAAAGCCCCTCCTACCCCACCGCAGCTCCACTCAAAACCGTTAGTAGAATCAATTGGCAGCCAAGAGAGCGAGACAAGACCAGACAAGACAAGATAACACAAGCAAGACAAGACAGACCTGGTATAACCTTGTAAACCGAAAAGTCAACCCTACACTAACACTAACCGCTGCACATGCAGCCACCTCTTTCTCCGTCTATTACCCCCTCTAGTGCTAGCCCGTGAGCCCGGATCTCTCCCTTTCTTCCAATAAGCATCATTGGAAGATTCGAGGGTTTGTCCTGGGGAAGCTCTGGTTTGGATAGTTCGAGGGTGAATGAATCCATATCTCATATCTTAATATATACTCTACCCTCCTCTGTGTCTCTCTTGTCTCTTCTTCGTCTACCTTAAAGACAAACCCAAGATAACACCCATAATCACACACCTGGTACTAATGCACCACCGATGATCACCGAATAACAGTTCAACACCGACTGGGTCCGGCGTCTAGACATTCACCGCTGCATTGCTTGCTTTCAAGCTTTCGTTTTCTTTTCCTGTTCTTTTCCTCGTTACTTGTCTCTTTCTATTCCTAATCCTATTCCTGGTCTCTTTCCTATACGGTTCTTCTGCACAATCATCTCTATACTTCCAACCTGCTGCATACTGTATACCCATCCTGCCCAAAGACGGCAATCCTCTGGTTTCCTCCCATCGTGACAAACCTAGACCCAAATCAGAACCAGGACATTCTGTCAACGCCACGCCTGCATCTCGTCACGGAGTGTGACTGGTTACCCCGAGGTCAGGTGTTCACGCGAGACGCTTGCAGGTGAGGGAAAGAGAGTCGATTGGATTGGATTAGATTGTGTCTCTTGCTGATCTATTTGGTCCTGCGTGGCTTAAGTCTCCGGTTGTGCATCTGCCTCTGTTGCTTTTTGGGAAGATACTCGGTTCCATTCTGGAAGTCTGTCTCGCTGTTGGTGTGTGAGTTCAGGTGATTATAAGTATCGTCTCATCGCTGGCTTGTGGTAGATATTGACATTTCAAAGGTCTTCGTTGTATATACGGTCAGTCTTTTTATATTCTATTCTACGGCTCTCAAGTAGGGTCCGGGTTGCTATCTCACGATATCCTCAATATTCCTCTCCACTCGATATCCATACCTGCCATACCAACCAACAATGTCAACCTCGAATATAACCCTATCATCCAACATCCTCGGCACAATCGGTACAGTCCTCTGGTGCATCCAATTAATCCCTCAAATATGGCACAACTGGCGCCGCAAGAACACAGATGGATTTCCTGCTTCGATGATGTTTCTCTGGGCATGCTGTAAGTAATGGATCTTTCCTAATCTGCCTCTAATTTAGCTCTGGTTCCTCCTCCGTGGGTATCAACGGAGATATGTCTAAAAAGCACAATTTGAAAAATAAATATACCCTCAATGTAGCATTGCCTTTTACTCATTGTGATCCATGCAGGTTCCGTACCAATGGGAGCATATCTGATTCTGCAGGTGAGTCTTGTCTACATTCTTTGGGGAAAGGTGCTGAAACAGTACTTATGGTACATTGTTTGCTTATTTATGCCATCTCGTTGCATAGCAAGTCAATATCCCATTACAGATCCAACCTCAGATCTTTGGGTTCTTTTCGCTTGTTAGTTGGGGTCAGATTCTTTACTATAATCAGTAAGTGGGGTTTTTTTTGGGCTTGTTTGGTTTCGGTGCGTTTTTGAATTTATTGCATGGGTGGTTGCTGATCTTTGGTTTTAATAGTGACTATAGCAAGACCAGGGCTGTTTTGGTTTGCTCGGGGATGATTGTTTTGTTTGGAGGGTTGGAGGCTCTTCTGATTCTTACTTTGAGGGTATGGTTGCTGCTTCTAATGTCCTTTTTATTTTCTTCTGTGGAGGTCTAACTTTGGATGATAGATTCCATATAATAATGGTGTGACATGGCCTGATATTGTGGTTGGGGTTGTGGCTACTCTCTTTCTCAGTGCGGGTCTGTTGCCGCCGTACTTTGAGCTGTGGAAGAGAGATGGGCGCGTTATTGGGTTCAGTGAGTTATTTCTGCTCTTACAGTTCTTGAGATAGACATTTATTTTGATAGATTGGGTCTTTTTGTCGATTGATACGTTAGGTGGACTGTTTTCTCTCTTCGCATTAGGTACGATCAACCCGAGTCTGAGGACATTCAACAAGATGCTAATGTGGATACAGCGGCTCAAGGCTCATTTGATATCTTGGGAGGGATTATGTATATCTTGGTGTAACTTTTCACCTAACTTAATTTTTCGTTCAATACTAAGAAACCTGCAGGGTTCTTCTCGAAGCGGGAATATATATCAGCCATATTATCTGGCGCATTCGATACCGCAAGCTGCGCAAAGAGGCAAAAGCTACAGGCATGAGCATTGATGAACTACTTTCCATGGATGGAAACAATATTCGAGACACGCAGGACCTAGAGAAAGGGGCTATCCCTGGTTCTGAGGTGACTGAGAATCAGACACGTACGCATGTGAAACGAGGAACATCAGATGATGAACGAAATGATCCTATTGCAAAGTGTTGATTGCTAAAGAGAGTTTTGTGATCTATCATATAGTTAGATTGTGAATAGATACTGTTTCATGACTCGCGTTTTTATGCCATAAGGCCGAAGAGTAGGAAGTTGGGGCCCAAATTCTAGTGCCCATTGATAAACACTAGTGAGCCTACCGTGTATGAAACACAGGTATGCAGGCTATCTATGTCAATCCTTATTGCCTGGCTTTATCTATGACCCGAAAGTGACTCGACAATTCATCAAAGTTACTAGACACTTTGGCGTCCTACAGGTCCTTATAGTAGTGAGTTCTCTCGGTGTGCGGATATACTGGATTAAGTAAAAGGCGTCATAGGGGAAAATGCTACTGTATTGTCAAGATCGGGGGAATTGATATTAGCGAGAGTGAAACTGGAGCAACAGAAGTGCTCATTGCAGCCCCTTAGCTTGATTGTAGGGGATGGAAACCACCTATATAGCGTATTTTGTATTACATTAACTTGAATGTAATCAGGCTAAAGTGTAAGTGTTGGGCAGAAAGACAATTGAAGCTGTACACAAGCGGTGAATCCCCAAATAAGTTAGTTGAAGCAAATCACAGGTGTCTCAGTGGCCATAGCTTGATTGAACGCTAACTTTAGTTCCTGTGTGACTTGCACTGACCCCCTCTCCTCTCCAGACCTCGGTGAGTGCACATAATTACCTCTATTCAGAGCAACAATTCCCCTGTTTTCATCCTCAAGAATGGCTTGAGAACTGTCACGATGCCAGACAGGTTGTCGCGTCTGAAGGCGAAGCTGTTACGACGATCACCAATCCCAAAAGCGGACGGGGCGGATCCGGTCCACCCTATCTCAAACTCTCCCTCTGCTCCGCAGCTTGTCGACTCCAACAAATCCCCGGCATATAGCATCGTCTCCTCGCCAGATTGTTCCGATGCCATCGGCCCTTCGAGCGAACGCCAACCCCTATCGCTAGGACCGAACGAACCGGATTCTGCGCCTTATTCGGACCGACAGCCAACGCCCGAGAGACGTACCTGTACATCGTCACCTGAAGCGCATACCTCTTCGCTACATACTCCCCTCTCGGACCCTTCATCCCCCCTCGAAACACCTCCGTTTCCAACCCCTCAGCATTCCGACAGTACCTCCTTCCAGTCCACCCACAAGGTTCAAGCCTCAACGCCAGCTGGGAACCAGTTGACACCCACCCTCAACACCGTTGTTGAGTGGCCTGCATACGACCGTAGACCTTCTGCGCCCTATTACACTCCTTCGTCGAGCAAGCGGCCTAGCCTTGCGATCCGCCGTCAGTCTCTTCTGCCAGCGTCACATCAACATTTGATTGGTGGGCTGTTGGAGGCGAACATCTTCTCTGCACTAGGAGACCAAATTAGCGATTTTGCTCCCGCCCCTCCACGCGAGATGGTACAACGTCGGGTTTGGGTCAAACGGCCTGGTGGCTCGGCCACCTTGGTGCCGTGCACGGAGGACGCGGTGGTGGATGAGCTCCGCGACCAGGTGATCATGAAATATGTCAATTCGCTAGGGAGAAGCTTTGACTCGCCGGATATCGTGATCAGAATAGTGCCACGAGAAGGATCAAATCGACAAACCCACCCGGAACGTCTCTTGAGCCCGGAGGAAGTTCTGTCATCTCTACTCGATGCTTACTATCCAGGAGGGCAGAAAATCGAGGAAGCGTTGATGATTGATGCGCCGACGCGCCGAACACCAAAGCCATCACCGCGTCATTCAATTTACACCCATCATCACTCTGAACCTGGCGAGCATGGCGATTACTTCCCCCTCATGCCCGTCAACCCGTCCTCCAGCAGCCCGGCCGCACATCCGCATCCAGTTCCGGCGGCAGCAGCGAGTGCACCCTCAATATCCGTACTCAGTACCGGGGTTGTCCCTCCGCTGCCATCTCCGGGAAATCGCAGACGGCATCACCAACGGCCTCCGCTGACGCGACACGCAACGAACTCACCTACGATCCATGGCCATATCCCCGTCGTTACAGGTATGTTATACAGTATCTCTTTGCTTGGAATAGTGATTGACATCCATAGAAACCGGCGTTTCCCCTCACTCTCAGCCTCCTCCAACAACAACAACCGCTCCTGCTGGTTCAACCCCCCCAGTACCCGCAGCAGAGTCCCCGCAAGTTAAATCACACACTCCCCCAGCTGTATCATCACCACGCTCTGTCCGCAAAGCTAAAGCGGTAACCTCCCCTGGTGCAGTCTTTGGCGGATTGATTGACGGTACCGTTCCCCCAATTAACGTCCTCATTGTGGAAGACAACATCATCAACCAGAAGCTCCTGGAGGCCTTCATGAAAAGATTGAAAGTGCGCTGGAAGTGTGCGGCAAACGGCGAGGAAGCCGTACGGAAATGGCGACAAGGCGGTTTTCATTTAGTGTTGATGGATATCCAGCTTCCTGTCATGAACGGACTAGACGCAACCAAGGAAATCCGTCGTCTTGAACGCCTCAATGGCATTGGTGTCTTCCCCAAGACAGCCTCTGGACGCTCTAGTGTGTCTAGTACAGCTTTGCTGGATAGAAGACCCGGTCTCCAGCGAACTCTCAGTGAAGGTGACGCTTTGCCAGATTTATCACTTTTCCGGAGTCCGGTCATTATCGTCGCTCTGACAGCCAGCAGCTTGCAAAGTGATCGACACGAGGCCTTGGCCGCTGGTTGCAACGATTTCTTGACCAAACCTGTTGGTTTCCCTTGGCTAGAGCAGAAGGTGACAGAATGGGGCTGCATGCAAGCCCTCATTGACTTTGAGGGCTGGCGGAAATGGCGAGGCTTCATGGATTCCCCTCGATCCACCTCCCCAGCCATTGAAACCACGGCCAGCCCAATGCAAGGTGGTTACCGCGCCGAACCTGCCCAAGAGAACCCTGTCTCACCTTCCAGCGCTCGCACAGCTTTCAAGAAACAAAACTCAGATCAGCTCGAACCCAGAGGCGGCCTTCCAGATTCCGCACAAATTATGCGGGAAGATTCATGGGGAAGTGGCAGTCCTGATAGTATAGATTCGCCCGCGAGCCCACAAACCGCACCTGGAGACCCTGCGCCAATAAGCGAGGACAGTAGCGCTCCCGAATAAACTATTATTCAAAGAGTCCCAGGCCTCAGCTCCGGACTTGTTCCCTATACTCTTGCAACGATCCTTCCAATATGTTTGACTCTATCTGTCTCTTCTTTTGGATACCCCGCATAGCAACGTCTTTCTAACTCCTTCTCACCAACCCTCTTGTCGTGTGGTAGCATAGGCGCACTTCGAGCTTCTCGGGTTCAATCGCCATTTCTTGCCACCTGCCTTGTCTGTTGCATGCAAATATCTAGCCACTTTTGGCTGCATACGCATCTGCCTGCGCATCTTTTCTTTGTTATGTTTTGCTTTTTGTCTGTTTGTCTTACGGTGTCCTATTCACGGGTCTTGCATCCATTTACCTGCTGTGGGCATACTCATGTACACGAACGAGATGTCCTAATGCTTCGATTTCATTTCCTCTTTCATTGTATAGTTTTCTACTATTTCTTTTTTAACCCCCCCCCCCAAGTTGATGGCGGTAGGCTTGGTGATGGCTTCTGTCTTATATTCAGTTCATTATATGCTCCAGGGTGCTGTGAGTCCTTTGCTTATTAGTTCATTCATCTATCCGAGGCCGGACCGCACAACCACATCGGGTACAGTAGCGACCCGATTCTATATACAAAATGGATCGAAATCAGTTTCACCACTTTGCTCTCATAGAATCTTTCTTGAACCCTAGTCCGAAACGCGCTAATCTAGTTTTGTCTTAGCTCGGTTTCGAATATTGAATCGTACTGGAAGACATTATCACGTGATATTAAGGTCTATAAAGTACTTATAATACTGGTGACGCGCGCTTCGCACGCTGTGGCCCTGAAACGTGAATTGGATTTGAAGAGATAACCTGAAGCTGAACGCTTCTTGTTTCCCTTCATCTTCAGCCTGCTTCTATCTCTGTGTCTTTTTGCGTTGCGCCATGGATTTGTCCAGTCGAAGTGTTCAAAATCGGAGGATCAGGTGGAAATGCGTTCATTTATGTTGTGCTTCTCACATGGTTCCATATAAAAATTCCAGGACGAGTAGAAGCTTGCCAAAAAAAAGAATACATATTTACTTTGGTGAATAGAGAGGTAGTTATCAGATTACATAGAAGCTGAGCCAATCCTGCATCGGAAAGCTTGAGGCGAAGCTACATTCTCCAGAATCTTAGCAATGCCAATCTCCTCCGAACAATCTTTTGCCCCTTTAATGCATAACTTGAGGTAGCTTAGGAGCTACAATAATGCTGCTCATTTATAACGTTGAATATCTTCTCGATTTCCACCCTCTCATGCTTCCTTAGAGACCACTGAAGCCACCAATTCCCAGAGCAGTCCTTTCCAAAAATAAGCCCACCACCTTGCCAGTATATATTCGTCGGACTAGTGTTAAGGAAGCAGGAAGGAACACCCAGCCCATTATTCCTCTGACCCCGAGAATCAGGCACCTTGCGGACGGCTGGTGAGAAGTCGAGACGAAAGAAATGTGCTTTACTCCAATTAGACGACATATTCATGAACATGTCTCGCGTCCCAATCATTGGGGAAGACCCAGTTTTATCGTGAGAGATCTTCGATAGTGCTAGCAGAGCTTCGATCTGTTCGATATTCCGCTGCTTTTCAAGCGACTTGCGGATTTGAGCTGTCAAGAAGCTAAGAGGCTGGGTGCAGACCTGGGAGACCGATAGTATGGTGTATGCGGACGTGACCGCGTTCAGTATATAGGCGATTTTGGGGGGAAGTACAGTTGAACGAATATCGAAGACATTCATCAGTACAAGTGGTTTGCGCTCCGATGGGTTGGCGACGTCATTCGACACATGGATGTAACGTGGTGGTTTCCTTCGACCACGTCTGGGAGGTCTTGGAGGACCAGACGGACATTGCGTGCGGGAAGCCTTTGCCTGAAAGCATCCAACACGATACCTGAGCTGGCACCAACATCAGCTATTGTGAACTTATGAGGGCTGTCCTCCTCAGCTGGGACAATGCCAGTGATCCACTTCTCAGGGATAAGGTCTGTCCACATATGCCCATGGTGGCTTGCTTTAGCAGCCATCATCTGATGCAACGCGTCCATTTCGACGATTTTGTTTTCGGCAAGCCAGCCAAACATATGTAATTCGGTGCTATGGGTGTCTTGAAAAGCTCCTTTGTTGGCATTTTCCGGGGACTGTATTTCCATTTGGTTTCAGATATTCAAGGAGCCTGATGAGAGATGTGCCAAATACAGAACTATTGCCATTGATAATGAGTTTAGTAAGATACCATGAAGGGATTCCATTTTCAGGCGCATAGATATCAATCTGTACCTGAATGTTATGATCAGCGCATGGGCCACAGTCCCAGGCTGAACACTCTTGGTGATGCTATTAGCCCTGCACTTGCCCTCAGGTGTGACGCCGACTATATGAGCCGCGATAAGAAACCTCATAACACGGCCTAGTAATTGTACATCAGTATAGTGCGCCATTTGAGCAAGAGCACTCGGAGGTATCAAATTCTCGGTCGGACTCATTTCCTTAGTTGAAAAGATCGAAGATTCCAAGATCGATTGCGATCCTGAAGACGATAGGGATTACGAACTATAGTATTTTTGGAAGAATGAGCACTGCGCGACTAGGTATTGAAGGTCATTGGGGGAATTATATCGGACACGGACTTATTCACTCGATAAATCGGGGTCTCTATACATATAGAGAGCTTTTCACATGCCTGGTAAAGATCTCGGCGCTGAGTTTTTGTGGTGCGTGCCGGGTTTGAATGTTGGGAGAAAAGGCAGCTTGGCTCAGAGTGTTGAGAAGATTGGTGATATCCATTTTGTCCGGTGGTCGGGAGGAAGACGCGAAATCCTAGTAACATAATAGTCTCAGAGAAAGGGCAGTTGGAGGCAAACGGCGGGTAACGATTATCTCTAACTGTGTATATATAAGAAAATATTTAAGATAGATCCGTTGTACAATAGGTATTACGGCTAGTTGAACAGTGCAGGGCGCATGGTGCATATTCCGAATCAGGAACTGTAAGGGGGATTTCTTCCTTGGAAAAATGCAATTTCACAGCTAATTTCAACGCCGTAGGTTCAAAAAAATTCTACAGCAGCTCATGAATATTGGCGGTGGAATATTATTCAGGGAATCTGGAAGATCACATTCGGCTAGGGCACAGACGTGATCTAGTGGTATGTGGAAATAATCCAGTTTCTTGGGCGCTTCAAATTACTGTCACACCCACAATATGACTATGCTATAGTATAATATTTGCATTGCATAATCTCGGGCGCTGGGCACGAGTACTTGCTTCAGTTGGATGAATCACCTGCATATTCATACGCAACTAGTTGTACTGCAACAGGTGAATTGAACTTTGATTGATTCATGTTTAATATGTGGCTTTTTTGCTAGCAGCATTTTTTGAGAAGGAGGTTTGCTGATAGGCCTAGACCATGTTTGGTCCTTGACTTAAGAATGCGACAAAATAGCGGTCCGAATGGACCATAGGATAGTTCTACATTTATCGGCAACGCATGTGAGAAATGCACGGCTGTAATCCATTTTGGACCCTCAAATGAAGCAATTCTGGTGAACGTTTACCGAGTTTATTGGAAGTTGAGGCCCAGAACACCTTCCTTATTATTTTGGCTTGTTAATCTGCCGACTATCACGTCTGCTGCAACGTCTTTCTTTGAGATCGTTCAGCAGTTGAAGCCGGAACTAGGTCCACTCAATCCTTTCTCGCTCGATGATCCCGTCTCTCAGGTGCTTGACGGTACAGCAGCTGAGACCAAGGCCGATGTTGACTCAAAATCGATTTTGAGCTGCTGGAACGGGGACCACAGACAGCAGAAACTGGAACAACAGAGAGTATGAAAGCGCAATCAATGGAACGACCATGTCGAGCTAACCAAAAGAATAGGTCATATCCGCGCCATTAGACTATCTTGCGAGCCTGCCGGGCAAGGGATTTCGTGGAGCTTATGTCTCCGTTCAATCAGTGGTTCAAGATTCCCGAGGAAAAGCTGGAAATTATCAAGAATATAGTAGGGCTGCTACACACGGCCTCGCTTCTGTAGGTGTTTTGAGCAATGCTTTATCTATTCTGTTCTCTTCTCGTCTTTGCGCCATGAAACTGACCAACTTTCAGCATTGATGATATCCAGGATTCATCCAAGTAGCTGGATTGTGTCTTGGCCTGCTAGACGGATGGTGGCTACTTGAGGATGGGCGGGAACATGTTCTTGCCAACGAGAACTTCTGGAAACAAACTCTTCTCACGGCTGGCTTTGGGCATGTGGATTGGTCAAAGGATAGTAGTAGGGAGTCGGATGTTTTCAGATTGATTGTATCGCAGAAGGACTAGCATGTAAAGCCAATTGAAGTGGTCCCAACGATGCATCCCAGTAACTCCAATAAATCTCCTCTATAAGCATTGACAAATGAACGAGTCTTAGATTTCCAGAGAGGATGCTACATATCAATGGGGTAATGCTTATCGAGGAGTTGTATTCTGCCTGACTACCTAAGCAAGCGCTCCCCATTGGAACAATGAACAGCCAGTCTAAGCATTTAACCCTATGTACCTCACCTGTCAGGGGTGATCTACAAACTGATAGTCTTAGCCTAGTAGGACTATAAGAGGATATATATGATCATCGATGGCAGCGCAGCTTGGCGTATTCCATCTGCCCTCCAAGGGCTTCCATCATTTCTACACTTACTTGGTCTCTATTTCGTTCCAGAGAGTCCTCGTTGGCTTATATCCAAAGATCGAAGCGATGAAGTCCTTGCAATTCTGGCTAAATATCATGGAGAAGGCGACGATACCGATAAGCTGGTTGTTTTCGAATTCAATAAAATTCAAGACGCTCTCGCTTATGAACGCAGCCTTGAAAAAATTAGCTGGATCCAAAGTTATCTGTAATTCGACCGGACGAAAGGAAATCCGAAGCGGTTGTTTATTTTATTCTGGAGTGCATGCTTTGCTCAGGTATGACCCGTCATTCAAGTCCATTGTCTGAATATTGAATCTTACATTGGATCGGATAAAATTGTTAAGATGTCAGTGCGTTTAACTCCTACTATCTCTCGCCGGTTCTCACGGGTGTGGGATTAACATCAAGCCTGCAACAGACCCTGATTAATGCAACCCAGCAGATGCTTTCTTGGTTCCCTTCTTTATACTTCGCCACGTTCCCCGACAAACTCGGACCTCGAGTATTGTTCCTCGGTTCATGCGTTGGTATCTTTCTCTGTCTGATCGGTATCACTACTGGCAGTGCTATTTTTGCGAAAGATTCTTCAAATAAGGCCGCAGGAGGCGCTCTGGTCGCCCTCTATCTATTCTCCCCGGTTACAATTTCGGCATCAATGGCAATCTAGGCCTATATATTGCCGAGACTCTCCCGTTCCATCTTCGCATGCGAGGCCAGGCTTTCTTTCAGTTATTCTCAACCTGCTTTACCCTCGTCTCTACCTATGCGTTTCCTATTGTTCTTCAGAATATGGCGTGGAAATTCTATCTCATCTTCATTCCATGGGTTGCCATCAAGTTCATCGTCGTTTATTTCGTTTATCCGGAAACTAAAGGATACGCACTCGAAGAGATCGCGCTCAATTTTGATGGAGAAGACACAATTCCATTCGGAGGCCACGGTCTTGCAAATAGAAGGAGGCTGGTGTTGAACCCTCCGAAATCGTCAACAACTAGTCCCCTTGTTTTGAAAGCAAATTTTGTTATGATGCTTTGTACAGATTTTCGGGATCTTTCATAGCTAATTATCATAACAACATCTATGGCAAACGCTGTATGTACTATGAGCCAAATCTACGCAGAGTGAAAAGTATGTAGTCTCAATTAGGTAAAGTGCTTTTTGTGATGATTCCAAACAAGAAGAGAAAAAGCAAAGAGAAGACAGGACAATTCCCCTGCTTCTAAAACCGAAGGTCCGAGCCTCGTTCCTCTGCGGTCGCTGCTTGCTCGGAGATCGACGATAAACCGCGAAGATCGACGCAGCACGCGGCGGAGATCGACAATGAAACCTCTAAGTCCGAGTGTCGGATCTCCGGTATAGATCCGAATGCCATGACGATTGCCAGGATGTTACTACGCGCTAAGCTTCTCGTGAATCGGAGTCTGTGCGCTAGTGAGACGTCAGACATAAGCATTGATACTATTTGCTGTCTTTGATGACGCCAAAATCATACGTTGCCGGCTTATGGCCCCCAACTATGCATATGCTCAGCCTCGGGGACTGGCTCGGACCCCTCAGCAGCAGGCAAGGCTGGCTTACGAGACTGATATACGAGAGGCTCGCATAGCCCAGCATATAAAGAAGGCCCATCTTCCTGACCTTGGAGGTTCATTCACTCAACACAAAACCACAAGCTCTTAAAACCATTAACTACCACCCACCACCCACCCATCATGTCCGACATGAAGCCAGCAACCTCAGCTCTAGAAACATTCCTAAAAGCCAACTCGATAAAATATATCCTCCCATTCTCAGATGAATACACCGAAGCACGCAAAGTCTTCAGTGCAAGCCGCCCCGACAACCCACTAGCAATTTTGTATCCCCAAACCGCAAGCGAGATATCAACCTTGATAAAATATGCCAAAGCCAACTCCCTCCTCTTCACCCTCCGCACAGGAGGCCACAACCTAGAAGGCCGAACTCTAGTCGAAAACGCCTTGTTGATCGACCTCCGGGCCCTAAACAAAATCACCATATCCGAGGACCGACAATCCGCAACCATCCAAGGCGGAACCCTCCAAGAGGAAGTAGCCAACTACCTTTGGACCGACGGCCTTGGCACACCCATCGGCGCAGTCCCATCAGTCGGCTACGTCGGCTGGGCCACGTACGGCGGGTACGGACCCTTCTCCTCGAACTGGGGTCTAGGTGTGGACCAGATCCTAGGCGCGACGATCATAAACCCAGACGGGGAAATTGTCACAGCAGACAAAACAATCCTGCAGGGAATCCGCGGCGCGGGTGGTCTTTTCGGCGTCATTCTCGATCTCACGGTTAAGGTCTACCCACTGCCCAATCTTCTAGCCGGCGGCATCTTCTTTGAATCAAGTGACATCGAGAAGACTTTCGTTGATTTCAATGCAGCGTATCAATCACTCCTCAGTACAGAGGGTCTGCCTCCACAACTGACACTCCAACAAATGGTCGTCAACGCCCCGCCTGGTCGTATGTACGGTGTGAGCTTTGTTTGGAGTGGAAGTGACGTGCAGGAGGGTCAGCGCTGGAGTGACAAGATAGCGACCCTGGTTCCTCTTATGGTGAATACAGTTGCTGCTACGACGATGCCAGAATGGCTTGCTGGCAATGGGCACTTGGTTCCTGCGACTGTGTATGGCTCAGGTAACTTTACGCATAGTGTGCATTCTATCTCGCCGGCCGTGGCTAGAGTTATTGGACGGCGTTTGCGGGATATGCCGCAGGATCCGGGGACTATGTTGTCTATTCATCAGTTGAGGGGGCCTTCGGCTAAGCCCCAGGACCAAGCCTCTGTTTTTGTTGCGCGGGAGCCGCATTTCATGTTGGAAATTCTGGGGTATGCCACGGTTCAAGAGGTTAAGGTTGAGGCGGAACGTTGGGCGGAAGGGGTTCTTGGTGAGATGGGGACTGTTGAGCCTGAGAATTTGTTGGCTACAGCTTATGTTTCATTGTTTAATACTCGGGGGAAGGAGGCGGATGAGGTACTCGAGAAAGTCTATGGGTCTATGGCGACTGTGGTGAAGGACCTTAAGCTTGGCTTCGATCGAGATAATGTGTTTAGTTTGACGGTGCCGGCGTTGGAATAATCAGTTCGAGTGATATATCCAGGACATGTGGGATATTGCCAGCTTCTTCTCACATTGGTAATTACCTTGTGGACTATGCTAGGCCTATCAACATTCAATTGTTATACATTTGAGCACTGTGTTATCATCAAGTATCCACGCTTCTCTTGTTGGTATTCTAAGACTGCAGTGCATAAATGGACTATTCGTGATATAAAGCGGAGGTTTGACGTAGAGAAGCGATTGCTATAAACTTTGACTCCAAAGAGAACGCGGAGTATGAATTCAGTCTCTCGGTGTCAGGAACCGGGAAAGCATTCGTCGATGGCAAATGCGTTGTCGACAACGAAACCGTGGAAACTCCCGGAGACAGCTTCTTCGGCTCTGGAACAATCGAAGAAATCGACAGTATGAGACCGGAGCAGGGAAAGTCATACCACATCCAAATCACATTTGGTACACTTCCAACCTGAACCTTCACCGTGGCAGGAGCAACAGCCTCTGGAGCAGATGGACTCCGAGCCGGAGGCGTTCAGAAGATCGAAATAGAAACCGAGATCCAGAAAGCAGTTACATTGGCCAATCAGGTTGACCAATACATCCTATGCGCCGGACTGAACAGTGACTGGGAAAGTGAAGGGTACGACCGCAGTACCATGAACCAACCCCCGGGGACAGACAAGCTCATGAGTGCAGTGGTAGCGGCGAATCCCGACACAGCTGTGATCATACAGTCCGGCACCCCTGTTACCATGCCCTAGCTTGATGAGGTTCCGGCTTTGTTCATGCCTGGTATGGTGGCAATGAAACCGGAAGTGCTATCGCGGATGTTGTCTACGGTGCCGCAAACCCTAGCGGCAAGCTACCGCTCAGCTTCCCTCATCGCAACGAAGACAATCCTGCATTTTTTGAATTTCCGCCGTGAGTGGGGTAGCACGAGATATGGCGAAGGTGTCTATATCGGATACCGCTTTCATGAGAAATGCAAGAGAGAAGTGGAATTCCCCTTTGGTCATGGGCTGAGCTATACCACGTTCACTTTGACCTCGCTTTATCTTGAGACTACCGACGAGGATCTTGTTGTCAGTGTCGATGTTCAAAACACTGGCAAGGCCCAGCCAACCAACCCATAACAATTGAAAATATGCGCAACTACACATCAGCAACAAAAAAAGGGAAAACAAACCTTGTCTCAGCCATAAAGAACGACACGCATGACGGTAACACAAAGAACCCTCGACCCCTAAAAAGAACAAAAGAACAAAACGATCACCAAGTGACCTCCAGCCGCTAAGAATAGCCCAAAACACACAACCCTGCAGAAGAGCGTAGATCAGCCCCTCCACCTAACCAATACCTATAACCCTAAGTGAAAGGATCCAAATCATTCGCAGACAAGCATGCTAGTCGAGTGCAAAGAATACCATATTGGGTATCAGTACATGTGATCCAGCCCCCATCGTTATTCTTCATTTCTTTTTTTTCCCACCGAATTCCGCTCTTTTCAGACCGAGTTGGATGGCGTCGTCTGATAGGGTCATTTCATTATCCCAAGAGGGGGGAATGCATGTACATGGAATTCCAGCTGCATGTGATTGTTTATCGTGGTTATTTAATGCTGTATCACGTATTCGGGTTCATTCAGTCTTTGATTTTCTTTGGTCACAACTTGCTCTTGCTCTTGCTTTTGACCGTGATCTTGATCTACGAGTGATATCCATATTCGATACTACATACAGTCTATATCTTATATCTCATATCCCAACGCTAAGCAGAATAATCGAACCTGCTATCGTTGATGTCCCTCCAAGCTCACAACGACAAGCTTATCCATAACCCCGCGTCACCAACGCCAACACCAACGATGCAACCTACATCCTCTACACCTTCCAAGTCAAATAACGGCTGGCTCCGTAGTGTCCTAGCATCCATCGGGAACCTCTTCCAGGGTCCGAATTCCCACTTCGAGTCGGAGTCGGAGTCCGATGCTGTCTCGGGTTGGGTTGGGATGAGGAGGGGTGGGAGATGTCGGTCTGTTGGGGAGGCTCATTGATTATTGATAGATATGGGTATTGATATGGATCTTTGGGCTTGTACTGCTTCAAATTTGGCTTTTGTTTCCATTTCAACTTCGATTACGAGTCCTACTTTTGGACTTTGGGAATTGGACGTCTTGCATGAGAGCAGAGATATGCCGCTACATCGGCTGGGGTTGATGTCCTGATGGGTTCAGTTCGATTACCCAGAATGGATTCCGCATTTTGGCTCTTTCTTCTTTTTCATCTCACTTTTGGCAAGGCGCTGGGTATTGTGTTTTTATTCATATTTCGGGGTTTATTTGCTTCTCTGATGAAGATATCGACATTGGGTTACCATTCCATTCCATCTGTATCTCGTGGTTTGATCGGAGAGTCTACTATGACAAACTATATCTACTTAGTGCTAGATCTGGCAATATAAATGAATATCCAGACAGTGAGAGTCAAATAGTTTGGTATAGATACATAGCGATTAGACAGCCCATCATCAAGTGTATGCATACAATTGCATAAAATAAAAGTACAAATGCCCGACACAGCCGGGACGATGCTCAAAAATGAGAAGTATACAATCGACAATCGACAATCAACCGCTCAAGCGTCAACACGAGTCGGGATCTTGACAGTGCCACGAGTGCGGTCGTTGTGTGGCACACCATAGCGACGACCAACCGCCCACGGAGCACGGCCATTAGCACCAGTGGTCTCCTTCGTAAACTTCGTATCCTGGATACGGTAATCGAAGCGCGAGTCAGCCGGAGACACTGTCGTCTGGCTAGCGTCGCGACGAGCCTGGGCGCGCTGGCGAGCCTCCTGCTCGAGACTCTCCTGGCGGGCGAGTCGCTCAGCGTGACGGTGTTGAACGGTGTGGCGCTCGTTCGGGTGGGCGATGCGGTCGCGCTCGAGGCCGATCATGTGTGGGTGCGGGATACGCACGTCGGCGGGCTGAAGGATCTGGCGGGCCTTTTCGCCCTTGCCGACCCACCCGATTGACTTGGGGTCTTCGATCACTTTCTGAGCTAGGTCGTATGGGTGTTGAATCTCGGCGGCTTCTTCGTGGGTTAGGGCAGGGGCGCCTGAGAAGACGCGGCCGGCTTCGACTCGGTTGAAGGAGCGAGATTCAGGGACGGGGTAGAAGATTTGAGTTCCTGTTAGGGGGTGGGCGGGGAGGTCGTTGATGGACTCGTGGTATTGTTGGCGCTCGCCCCTGTCGGCGAGGGGGGTAACGGGGACCATTTCGTGGATTGCCCGTGCGTATGGAAGTGCTAGAGGTTTGCCCTGGTTTGGTTTGTCAGTTATGGTTCGGGCCAAGAGTGACAGATATCCAAAAGTATAGTCGTAGCGCAATTCAGTTAAAAAAGGTAAGTTGTAACCATGTCGGTGTCTTCAAGACTAATCGAATTTTTTTGACTCATCATATGCGAGGGCGAAGGAAGGTCCAAAAGGAAAAGAGGCAAAGAGAAAGGCATTCTTACCTGTGAGCGTTGCCTCTTCTCCAATTCCACCAGTCTCACGACGGCAGCAATACGCTTCATATCAATTCCAAGCTCCACGCTGACAGCACGAAGACTCTGCTTCTGGGTCACGACGCGTTTATAGATTTCTTCGCGGAGACCCTCACTGAGGATACTCTCACTAATGAAGTTTGGGTTGTTGGGGAATGGCCGATTTGAATCATCATGACCACCCTGTTTTAAGCGGGTTAGATAATTGGTCTCTCCGGGGACATGGTGCTTCAATCCAGCACCGGCGGTGCTAAGCCATTCGAACATCTGCCGACGGAGCTTTGTTTGAGAAGCTGTCGTGGCAGAGAACTGACGGAGGCATTGTGAGGAGGATGAAGGAAGGGAGGAGGTTGTGGAGGATGAGGTGGAGGTGAGGTAGGGGAGGAGGGTATTGGACACACGCCCGGTCTGTACCCGGGGTGGCATCTTGAGGGAAGTGAGAAAAATGAAGGAAAATATGAGAAGGGGAATCAAGGAATAGAATAGGAAACGCTGTTAAACAAGAAAGGAAACACTGTTGCAATTGAATGCAATTGGAAGATGGGAAGTCGGACAGCACCGGGAGTGTTTGGTGAGAAGAAACTTTTCGGTAGTGCTATCACGTGACTATCTCCACGCGGAGCTCCGATCAACAGACTAGACAGTACATCCGGGAGGTATATGCCTACTTTTTTATTATTATTGGCCATTGCTGGAACCAGTTCATTGTATGAAGTACATTGAAGCAAACTTATCAATATCATACCACCAAGCAAGACGGGTAAATAAACATAGACAATGCGACTGCCCATGATTTCTTCATATCCCGCAAAGAGCATGGGTAATCAAAAGCGAATGACTGTGCAAGAGCCGTCAAGAATGCATCAAAGATCAACGTGAGCAAGACATCCACCGCTAAGAGAGAAACCGCAAAGAAATATCATAACCAACGCCGGGGACAGTATGTAGACAGCGTGAGCCGATGTCATGTCCTTCCATAGCTCATGCCATTGAGTAGAGAGATATTAGAAAGAGAGCTAAAGAAAGCCACATAAGACCCTTCTTTTTCATACTTGCATAGAAATAGAACGCATTGCAGGGTAAATCAGCAAAATCCATTCCGATCCTCGCACGACGATGCATCGAAAAAGATCCAGGGATAGATGAAAACAAAACAGGGGGAATCACGTCAAATAAAATAGATAACAACTCGGAGAGACCCTGGTCAGACAGATCCAACCCAAGATGAGCGAGATAAAGACAAATTCAGCAAGAAAAACTAGGGTATGGTGTGGATGAAACGAAAGTGGCAGAAACAAACGCGCTACTTGAGCGCCTCGCACCGACCAAATAAGAATACAAGTGTGGCAATGACCTGAAATGCAATCCTCCCAATGAAATGAATGAAGACAAATAAGGAATGTAAGAGCGCCCGGGTTCCCATGCAATAAGAAGCAAAAGCCAGAAAGGGGGAAATCAAGAAAAAAGAAAGAAGAAATCAGAAAAGCAAATCCGAAACAATACTCCCGAGAGTTATGCAGCCGCCGAATGCTGATCTAGCTCACGAAATGAAAGTAATCACCAATGCGCCAGATACCCCAATTCGTTCAAACATGCCGGACATTATCTCAATATAATGCTTGGTCTTAACGACCCATCATGTAATCGGGGTAGAAGGAATTATAGCCGTTCAGATTTGGCCCATTGTTGCTGCCGGCACTTCCAGGAGGTGGCGGGGACATCATCATGGAATTGGCTCCGTTTCGGATTCCCAGGCCCGAGTTGGGATTATATGAACCATTGTTCATCAAGCCAGCATGCGGGTTCGGGGTGTGCATGTTATTGCCATTGCGCATGGGCGTGGGCAAGGCCATACCGAGGCCCGGAGGTGCTGCCAGGCCAGGAGGAGGTCCATTGACAGCTGAGAACATGTTGTTGTGCATGCCGCCTAAGCTGCTACCTCCAGACGATGCGCCCTGTCCAGAGATTGAATTGGACGAGCTCATGCTGCCGGGCTGACCAGAGCGCACACCCAAGGGGTTCTTGGAGAAACTGAGACGGATGCCGGTTTTGACGCTGTTTGACAGCTTGTAACCGTACAGCTCATTGAGCGCCTTGCTGGCCATGGCAACCTCGTCAAATTCGACAAAGCACATGGGACCATTCTGCTTGTTCCGGAAACAGAGTCGCTTGTATCCACGTTGCTTCGAGAAGAGCGCCTTGAGCTCTTCCTCCGATGTGTCCGGAGGCAAGTTACCCACGTACAGTGTGTTGCAGGGAGGGTTGAGATCATTCGGGTTGGCAGCAGGAAGGCTGTGTCGCGGCGTATGCTGGGCGCTGTATGGGAAACCATGGCCTTGGTTCGGGTAGGCAGATGCTGGCGCTCCACCGCCCATGCGCTGTCCAACACCTCCGGAGTAGTTCGGCAGAGGAGGAGAGGACATGTTTGTCGAGAGAGACAGGTTGGCAAAGCGACCGGTCGGAATTTGAGGGTTCGTAGAACGGCGGGAAGGCGCAACGGAGTGTCCATTCTCCGCGTAACCCACTGGATCCTTCAACAACTCGCCAGTCTCCTCGTCTGGATCCTCATCGATCATAGACTTCCCGGTTATGCGTGGGAGGTTATCGATGCCGTTTCCGATCGGAGAATGTGGGGAGAAGAGGCTATGCATACGCGAGCCAGATTCAGAGGTTTGGGGAAGCCCCTCACCAATGACTTGGTTGGGGTTGCCGGCCGAAATTCTCTCCAAACTCTGGAAGGTGTTGTTGAAACGCGAAGATTGACGCGCCAGGGGTCCATTCGAGGAAACACCACCCAGCAATGCACGGCTCGCGGTGTGATCGATCGTATTGCGACGCGCGTTGGATAGAGCCGATCCCATGGGGCCCGGGTACATTTCCACAATCATGTTGGCGTCGTTCTTGGAGTTAGGCTTGCCATCGAGCAGGGCCCTGGCTTCCTCTGCGGCCGGCAAAGTATGGAATCGCGCGATCGCGGTTAAGAACCCGTCATCCTCCGGCAAGTCCAAGGTCACAAAGTCGGCATCCACTAGTTCCTTGGCGAATAGCAGCATGCTGCGCAGGGCTTCGCGACTGGTGTTTCGGGGCAGTTTGCGCATCAAAATTGCGCCTCCACTGCGACCCAGGCCGTTCAGGCCCTGGAGGTTACGGTCGGTATCGCCCAAGCGCATGTTGTTATCGAACGAAGCCGAGGTACCGATCGGGGAGAAAGGGTAGGAGAAAGTGTTGTTCAAAGAGGGCGCTTGCGACGCATTCGGGCTATACACGTCGGTCGACATCGCATGCTGAGCCGTCGAAGGCGCCGAAGAGAGAGACTGCTGTGGTGGCGACGAACCAGACGACACGGACTCTGTCAGCTGTGTGGTTCCAAAAGAGCCTGGACTCGTACGAGTGGACTGGCTAGAGCTGCCGCTCATCCCTCCACGAGTGTTGAAGTTTCGATTTTTTTTCGCCTTTGTCGCGACCCCAGCTGAGAGAGATGGATCGGAGTCGCGAGTTGGAAATGTCGCGATGAGTCGCGCGCAAAGTGAATGCGACAGAAGTGCGATGCAGATAGGTCGAAATATCAGATCGGGAATTGTAATGCGACAAGGCGACAGAGAATAAAGATGGATGGAGAATGCAAGAGGAGGGGGGGGAGGGAGCAGGGGGAGGAAGAAGGGGGGGAGAGAAAAGAAGTCCGGAACGGTCGAGTGCAGTCCACAGGTGCCAGATCCATGGATCTGCTCTCACGACGCGACTCATTGGGGAACCGGTATGTGACAGCAGGAGTACATGTGGTACTACGTAGATCCCCATACTACCATAAGTACCACAGAGTAGATGACAGTACGTCGTCACTGTTTTACAACGTGACCCTGTAACTTGTCCGCTTGCAGTGATCCAAGTGCGTGTCCCGAATGGAATGTGAAGATGTTTCCCTTTATAGTTCCCCTAGTAGTGGGCCTTAGTAGATGGAGTCTCTGCTTTTCTAGAATGTATGCATGTTTGAATGTTCCATGTGGCTTGCCCTCAGCTCTACAACGTTTGGGGCTCTATCGAAAGATATACTATACAGGGGGTATCTACCGGGAACAAAGCAAAGCATGAATACATACTGTATACATAGGTCAGACTCTATTACATCCCGGCCTATAAATCAAGCCTATCCCTCAAGCCTATACGTCAAGCACTTTATAAGACAATAACGCACTTGCATATCCCGTCCAAACCAGAATCTACAAGTCAGGTCCAAAGAAAGTCAAAACTCGACGATCCTCCACAGCGGACCAATTGCCACGGGGTGAACCCTGGCAACACATGGGATTGGCTGCCACGGGGAAATGACTCGACGTTATCGAGGGGGCGATATCTCGTATGGTTGGGCCGTGGAGAGAAGACATCGCTTGGCTGATCTTAGTGCCTGGAGCGGTCATAAGCGCGTCAACAGAACTGCATCTACTCTACATTAAGATTTTCTTATGGGAATGTCTTGGTCTGACCTGGCGTAAATACCGCACTTTAAAACCTTGGTCTACGCGTAACCTGAGGCTTATTACACTTGCTAAGCCGCTAGCTAAATAGGTACCAGGTCGGTGCCTAGTAGATACCGAGGTAGGGGAGTACGGAGCACAAAGTAGTCATGTTGACTACCACATTCCTGACAGTGAAGTTGTAGAATTTCATGCTCGATTTAGAGCCAACGCAGCTAGGCTGCCATAATATACAGAGATGTTCCCAGGCAACTCAATAAACGCCAAAAATGCCAACACGATCAAAATAAAACAGAGAACTGACCCTCTCACCACTAGTCCACTGATTCCTCCCAGGGAACGATCTTCCCATGTCATAACGGCCCCGCTCGGCCGAAGCCCTAAGAATGCGAGAAAGCTAGATATGACTCGAACAACAGCAAGGAATTCAGGGTGACGGCGGTACCCAGTCAGACCGCCTTGAACAGTCACACACACATCGAGAAATCAGGCCTTGTGGAAGGTACTAGGTTTAGGAACCACGAGGCCACCCTAAAAAACACATTCATAGTTAGCACCCGTCCAACACCTAAGAATGACGGCGTGATCGTGTGGAACGGTATGACCTGAGAATGATGGAACCGACAATAGCAACAGCCGTGTATACTCATCATCCTCGAACACCCGTCACCGCTTTGAAAGAGTGGAATCTGGCTTACCATGCCCAACAGCTTCCAGACAGGATCACTAGGCTGCGCCCCAACACCGAGCCAGTACTGTGCGCGCGAGCGGTCAAGAGCTACCTCCTTGTATGGGCGAGCATTGGCATTCTCATTGTACAAGTTCGTGGGACGTTTCGGGATGGGGTTGTAGGTGCCGATGACTTCGAGGGGCTTGGCGCCACGGGCGGAGCTGTTCAAACAAGAGTCAGTTGTAGTTCTGGACGCTGTTTCCATGGTATATCTTGATTGTATTCCACCTGGCAATGCTGTAGTCTTGCGCTGGCCGTGTGGTCGGGATACTCGGCCGTTGACAGGGGAGGAAAATATGGGCACGTACCGGGCTTGTGCGACGACGATGTTGTAGAAGGGATTGTGCTTGTTGCCAAAGCGAGCAAGTCTGATCCGGAGAACCATTGTGTTGGTTATGCGATTCTTTTGCAATGAGCGCGCGAGACAGTTCTTTTGGTCGCGATGTCCTCCACAAAAGTTCTGGATGTTCCGGAGGAATAGTTGTTCCGGGTTGGCCTAATGGGGATTAGCGTGGTGATGTAATGCGAAGACCTGTAGATCTACCTCTGAGGTGATGCATGCTTTCTCTCTCTTTAACTGTTTCACTCGATTGATTTGGGTACTGACTTCTTTGTCATCATATTTGTATGTTACGCTCTACATTCAAGCGGATCTGTCTTTCTAAACCTATTCGGCACTACAGTAAATCAGCAACAATGTCGTTGAAGGTATAGTTATTTGATAGACCTACAACCAACACATAGAAGCTCACGGCTCTATCTCCAACCAGGCAATCTCATCTAAGGATGCTGCTGCCCTGGACAAAGACCTGATGGAGGTCGGTGGCTGGTCTCTAGACCAGTTGATGGAACTAGCAGGGCTCTCTGTCGCACAAGCCGGTAACCTCCAACAAGCTCAAACCACACCAATCGATATACTGATATATGAGCAATTAGTATGGAAAGTCCACCCTCCAAGCGCAGGCAAAAACATCCTGGTCGTCTGCGGACCAGGTAACAATGGTAAGCCTACTTCTATACAAACCCAAAGCCCAAGATCAAACCCATAATCCACAATCTAACACACCCCACAGGAGGAGATGGCCTCGTAGCAGCGCGCCACCTAGCACACTTCGGCTACAACCCATCAGTATACTACCCAAAACAAGGCAAAAACGAACTCTACGAAGTACGTCGAATCCATTCCAATCAATCCACCAAACCCCAAACCCCTAATCTAACAAAACTTAACCCCAGCGCCTGAAAACCCAACTCCAAAACCTGTTCATCCCATTCATAACCGACTTCCCCCCAGCCCTGCAGCAAACAGACTTCCTAGTCGATTCAATCTTCGGCTTCTCCTTCGGCGGACCACTACGCGAACCATTCGGTGATATCGTCTCACAGATTGAATCCGCCAGCGTGCCCGTGCTAAGCGTTGATGCGCCCAGTTCGTGGGATATCCAGAGTGGGCCGCCGAAGGAGGGTCCCGGTGCGAAGTTCATGCCTGGTTCGCTTATTAGTTTGACTGCGCCGAAGCCTTGTGTGCAGTTTTATCGGGGACGGCATTTTATTGGGGGGAGGTTTTTGACGAGGGGACTAGCTGACAAGTATGGGCTTGATTTGCCGGGGTATCAGGGTGTTGAGCAGGTTTTGGAGGTCGGGGTTGATGCTGAGGGGAAGTTGTAAGTTTCAGGTTATTACCGTTACGGGTTGTTAGTAGGATGTAGGGCTACTGCTGAATGAAATGGAATGGAATAGAATGAAATGATACGTGATAATTGATTTCCTGGGAATTGCGTTGTCGTCGTTAGGAAGTAATGTATCTCTCATCTATGCACACATGCACTGAATGCTTGTAAGACATCCCGCTCTTAGAGTGTCTCCCGAATCTCGCCAATGATACCTTTGATGCGGGGCTCCCTTCCTGGACCGGATGCTGAGAGTCTGGCGAGCACACCTTCAATCTCGTAGATTTCCTTGGCGGCAGTCTTGACCTCCTCTCCGAGAGCGGCGACAAGTGTGCCGAGCGAAACGAGTGCTCGGTAGACCGCTTCTGAATCCTTCTCTCCGGCAAAGATCTTGTTCAGTTCCTCGAGAAGGATGAGACCCCGTTCAGCCGATTCTGGGGTATGATTCCTGCCCTCAGAGACAAGGTAAACCGCAAAGTTGATGTACAGCGTCGTGATGGCGATGATGAGGTTGCGGTTTGGCGAGGTTCCGCTGTTGACCAGGGCCGACTTGACTCCAGCCAGGATCTGGTCGAAGGAGCTCATGGCCAGTTCGCGGCCAGCAGGGGTCTCGAACAGGTTTGCAAATGTCCGCATGGCAAGCATGGCGTTGTTGACATTAAGAGGAGATTCAAAGACACCGCTAGAGATGACCGCTGACACAACGTTCTCGTCCGCGTACTCGGCCGCTGCTGTGAGCGGTGAAGCGGCCGCTAGGAGACGAAGAATATCAAGTCCAGGGAGTCGGTTGGCGGCAGGCCAGGTAGTAACAATCTTGAGAATCAATGGTATCCCAGACTCGACCTCGGGTGAGTCCTTAAGCTGCTGGGATGATTCCAATTGACCGCACATGGCAACAACGGTTTCCACCTCTGAGGGGCTCAAGGCCGTATCCTTTGATCCATCAGAAACGAGCTTATCGTTCAACTCCTGCAACTTCTTCGTAATTACTTTGAGGTTTGCTGAGCGAATCGAGAGGTAAGTTTTCTGCGGGAGCACCTTGGGTCGCGGCTCGGGAGCAGGGGTTGGGATTCTTCAGCAGCTGATGCGTCACCAGGGCGGTATCGTCGGTCGGATCCCCAAGGGTCGGAACCTTCTGGTTCCTGGGCTGATTGTCCAATCGTGGCGCCTTGGGTGTTCTGGGTGATGAAGTTCGCAACCTGGTCGAGGTAGGTCATAGGAAGCTCGTTATCTCCAATAAACTTAGTGGCAGCCTCGTATGGGTTCTGCGAGGCGTTGTATGGTAGCTTCAACGGAGGCTTGCCGTCCTCAATATCGACATCAAAGACGTAGTCATAATCCTGTCCATGGTATTCGGTCTTCCGCCCACTGCTTCCAGCTGAGTCCACCACCGTTCCAACGGCAATCCACTCTTGTGATGCGGATGACCAGGTGTGGGCGGTAACACTGCCATCATTTTCTCTGATCATCTGAACTTGACCCTCTTTGGTGCCAGACTTTTCTTTCAGGAACTTTGGGCCCGGTAGCTCTTCCTTATTAATCTGGCCAACCTGCTGCGCCGGGATAGATGACTCCTTAACAGCCTGATCAAAAAGATTTACAGCCTCCGGGGCTGCGTGGCGGTCTGGGCTTCGGCTGAAGACACGGGCAATGCGGTCACTAGCACCGGTGACGATATCACCCGTCTGACTGCAGGCTGCAACACTCCACACCGAGATCGCAGGATGGGTGATGGTTTGCACGCATTGAGTCCCGCTCCAAATCTTCACGGTGCGATCTTCACTTGAGCTCACCAGTTCACCCGACGGGAGCGCAGCAAGCGAGTAGATGAAGCTCTCATGACCATGAAGAGATGCGACGAGTTGACCTTCAAGTGTGTAGAGACGAATTATGCCATCATTGCTAGCCGATGCAAATTGGGCACCTGTGGGGTTCGACGCTGGAAGCTTGCACAGGGCCCGAACGACGTCGTTGGAGTTCTGTACGCTCCCGAGGAGAGCTCCGGAGGTATTGAATATGCGAATCATTTTATCAGCGCAGCCTGTAACAATGTCAGTATGAGACTCCCAAAAAGTTGCGTAAGACCAATGTACCTGTGATGATTGTGTTATCGTCGTAGGCCAGCACAGCCCAGACGCTCGCCTCGTGTCCTTCCAGCACAGCTTCACACTCCCACTTGCCAACCTTCCACAGACGTGCAGTTGAATCCCAGCTACCGCTGACAACCCAACTACCGTTCGGGGATACGTCTAGAGCACAAACATTATGGCCGTGGCCTAGAAGCATAGCATCGGCATTGTCCTCGGCCCCTTTGCCCGGCTGTCTGGCTTCAATTATGGAATCTTGTCCAGCAGAAAGAACAAGGCCTTCAGGGTATTGAGATGTGGGGGGGACATAGGCTAAGCTGTTGATGAAGGCTGTGCCATGTGCAGCGATCGTGTAATCGTATGCGGGGGGAGGAGTCGCAACGAGCTTCCAGAGCCGGACTGTGGCATCTCGAGAAGCGGAGAGCACGACATTGGGGTTTGGGAAGACCACCGCGCGAACCTATTTCAAAATCAAATGAATGTGAGTACTTTGCGTGGATCGAATGCGCGATCAATGGCATAGCCAGACGCCGGGATCAGGAGCCTTACATCATCGCCGTGGCCCTCGAGGGTTGCCGAGAGCTTGAAATCAGGCATACATGTAACTTGGGGGGTATAAATGGAGAAAGAGGTAGAAGTTCGAGTAAGAATCTTTTGAGGGTATCACAGAATCAGCACTCACTTAAGCTCCCCGTTGTTGTCCTTTAGTCGTTCTGGGGCGATCCCCGCCAAAGCATCATATCACGTGGGCGGTAGCGCCATAGGAACCTGCTAGAACGCCGAGAGCTTATCAAGTTGGCATTGAGATTATTAATAGTGTCTTGTATGGAGCCCTATATCTGCTTTGCCTGGTTCTACGTAGTGACTCCTTTGGCTCGAAACTAGCAGAGTATTTAAGTGGCCCAACCCAGGGCCCATCGGGTCCTCGAGTCCACTACGCCACAACAAGGAGGTTTAGCTGCTTATCCATGACCGTGCCCATTGCGAGTGAATTAGCGGTGAAAGCAGCCCATCACATTTGCGCATCCAATGCAAGCGCAACATATAATTTCCGCTCCATAGACGCTCAGAGACGAGGTTAAGTCGTCCAACTATACGCCTCACGTGTTACTTCAATTATACCCGACTGGGACTAGCGCCTTACCTAATGGGGATTGCCCGTTATTGTTGGAAATTGAAATTCGATATTCCATCTACATCTACCAAACTGTTGTTGCTGTTTCCCCGGGGCCTGCTCTCCTTTTGAGGTGTCTGGAAGCCTCATATCTCACTCTTCTCACTCTTCTTCGATCCTTTCTGCACCTCGACCCCACGTCTGATGACTTGACGAACGTGACGAATCTCCTATGTACTTTCCTTAAGACATATCCAACCTTCTCTGGGTCTTCCTCCTGGACTTGTACTTGATATCAGCCACTCGGTTTTTGAAGCTAACGCGCATCGTGAATCTGATCTGTGATTGGCCCTGTAATACCTAACATCAAAACCACTGAAACCTACGGGGACCTGTCTCCACACCAACAAAATGACTTCCGGTGAGTGGTGTGCGTTGATTAATATCAACATCGACTACCTTGTATGTTTACTGATTGTCTGCCACAGATATCCCCAAGGTAGTCCCTCTGACTTGCCACGGACATTCTCGTCCAGTGACGCATTTGAGCTTCTCTTCAACTGTCGAAGATGAACAGTACTACTTTATCTCCTCATGCAAAGGTATGGAACATTAACAAATGCCAACCACTGCCGCCATGACTAATCTATTCTAGATAATAACCCTATGCTCCGGGATGGCATAACCGGCGACTGGTACGCTGCACGATACCTCCAAAAGCCCCACCAACTAATCAAAATCCAGGATTGGGACATTCCTCGGCCACAAAGGCGCAGTATGGCAAGCCAGACTCTCAGCCGACGCAGCCATCTCAGCCACAGCAGCAGCCGACTTCTCAGCGTAAGCCACCTCAACATCCCCCAAGACACACCATATACTAACACACCCTCTTCCCACCACCAGCAAAGTCTGGGATACCTACACAGGCGAATGCCTGCACACTCTGCAACACGCACACATCGTGCGAGCAGTAGCATTCCCAATCCAAGCCAACCCACAAGTCCTAGCAACAGGCGGCGCAGAGAAGAAACTCCGAATCTTCGATCTAACGCGCAGCGGCGGCGGTGGTAGTTCGGGCAGCAACGCCTCAACACCACCACCCCCACCTTCAAACGCAAACCCGGCAACCGAGAACGGGGTAGCAAGCTACGAGATCGGAGCCGGCGTTCACGGCGGCACGATCAAGTCCATTGTCTGGAACCAGGACTACAATGTCGTCACGACGGCCGCGGAGGACCGCAAGATCCGCTGGTGGGATTTGCGATCCCGCCATCCTGTTGTGGAGTATGCAGTTGACGGGCCGATTGGGACGTGCGAGTTGAATAGTCTTGCTACGCGGCCTAATGACTCTGGTATTTTGACTGTTGCTGCTGGGAAGAGTGTTTATTTGTTTGATGGGGTGCAACCTGGGCGGTTGCTTAAGAAGGTTGATTTTGGGTATGATGTTGCGAGTGCTGCTGTCAATAGCGAGTCTGCCCGGCTTGTTACTGGTAGTGCTAATGATACCTGGGCGCGGGTTTATGATTTGAACACGGATGAAGAGCTTGGTATGTTTCTTTTTCTTTTTCTTTTGGGTGTCGCTTTGGGATGTTGATTTTGTGCTAATCTTACTTTCTTTTGCAGAGGTTCAAAAGGGTCACCATGGACCTATTTGGTCGGTTAGCTTCTCGCCTGATGGAAAGCTCTACGGAACTGGTAGTGAGGATGGTACCGTCAAGCTCTGGAAAGCGTGCCGCGAGCCTTACGGCTTGTGGAGGTGATGCAGGGACTCCCCGTCATCACCATCATCTTTGTTACAGTGTACAGAAGAAATTAGGGGAGCTCATGTCTTCCTTAGCCTTTACCGGCTTCATTATCCATAACTGGCGGCGGCTTTTTGACTAGTTTATTCTTATCGATCTGTGCCGATCCATGTCCTGAATTTTGACACTCGATACGAACGAATTCCATGTTCTCGATGTACATGTAGGAACGTAGAAATGCAGGAGGTATGCGAGGTGCCTAGAGCAAAAGCTTGATGTATAGATGTGCATTCTGGTCTCTAGCGTGGACATAGCCATAAGATATTTGAGACCTCCCATTTCGCCCGCGCATGGGATAGAAAGGAAACAGCAAGAGCAACAACAAGAACAAGCCGGATGTGCGAAAGAACCCAAATTACAATTTCGTGGTTAAGTAAAGTACAGAATTCTAGGCCGGGTCCGTACAAACATTGACGCCAGAAGGAAGAGTGGAAACAATGTCGAGTGATCTCGATTATCTTGAAAAGGTTGACGGGATGTTGGTGATGAAGGCTTCGAATAACCGAACGGCATACATGAGCCATATCTCCTGGTAAGTTGGAATGGTGACATTTACTCGATCATGTCGATATCGTGGTCGGCGACAGGTGCGCTGGTAGCCGGAGCAGCTTGCTGGGGGGCATCCTGAACAGGGGCAGCCTCTTGGTCGCCACCACCGGCAGTACCCCAGTAGTCCTCCATCTCTTGGTCCAGCTCTTCCTGGGTCTTGCGAGGGCGAGCGTTCGAGCGACGGTTCGATCCATCGGTGGGTTGAGAGCGGGGTTCCCGCCCGTTGCGTCGGCCTCCTCCATTCCGGCGAGGGGAACGTCCAGAGCGCTGAGAGTGCTCGCCGGGGACATAGCGGTCAATGTGTTCAGGGGCAGGCTTGGTGACATCGCTGCGGTGACGGCCACCACCACGACGGCGTCGGCCACCCTCGTCGTCGGATCGGGGGCTCAAGCTGCGGCCATCACGGGGACGCTCCACGCGGTCAAAGAGGCTGGACTTGGGGTGCTGCACACTATCGAACGGGTTGCGCTCTCGGCGGCCGGGAACGAGGGAAAGACGAATTGGCTGGCCTTTGGCATTGGCACCGTCGAACTCTTGGATTGAGGTGTGCGCATCCTTCAGGCGGGCGTATGTGATGTGAGCGACGCCTTCGGAGCGTCCAGCGCGGTCGTAAGAAAGAGAGAGGTCAGAAACGGGTCCAATGCGGCCGAAGAGATCCTGAGCGGTTAAACTTGTTAGAACTGTTCTATACGCTTGGTATAAACTGGCTCAAAGACTCACCTCAAGGTCGGCCTGGGTAATGTCGTAGTGGAGGTTTTCCACACGGACTTTGGTCAATGTGGAGGTGCTAATTATTCAATCAGCATGGTCGAGCAAGTTGACGTGGGCAGGTTCCATACCGGTCAGAGCCGGGTCCATCACGGCCTCGGCGGGAGACATGGGAAGGGCGGGCTATAAAAGCTGTTAGAGAAACTCCAATAACGTCGCGAACAAGAAACATACATCGGTCATCGTCGAACTTATCATGAACCCAGTCGCTAGATAACAGACTCGTCAGTGTTGTCCACATCTCACTATCCGGGGGGTATAATCACAGGTTCAAGTCAACGCGGTCTTGAGTGTATGGCTGTTGTTATTCGAAAGACGGAATGTTAGCTCCAAGTCAGAAGAGGTACCGTGCAAAAGTTCTATTCCATGTGTTTTGCCGTGGATTGTTCGCGAACGAGTCTCTGACAATCCAGGACTGGCCACGACTTCACGGGGCAAGAGGAGAATTCGCAGGAGGAAGAGGAGGGCGGACCTAGATATCAACGAAGTTAGTATAGATGTCGTCGGAGCAGAGCCGCAGTTTCAGGTCAAGTACCTTTCTAACGCCATCACGGTCACGACGACGGCCCGGGTTGTTGTTGCGGCGGCCACCAGAGGGGCGACCGGGGTTGCGCTGCAATGGTGGCTGTTAGTAAAGGGTCGGTGACAAGGCTTAGTTGATTCACTCCTGGTGCCTTACCGTGTCTTCAGCGATGATCTCGTCCAGGCTGCGGTCCATCTTGAGAGATATTGCAGGAAACGCAATTGATCGGTTAGAAAATGGTATTAGACCGGAAAGAATCGGATAATTCAGTCCTGGTCGCGTAGGTAAAGGATTGAAGGGAGATGAGGCGGATAGAGATCACTCTCATCAGCTCCGATGATCTGATCTGGGGAGGCCTGGCACGTGACAGGCAGGATCGACCGAGCTTCCATTGTCGCCACAACTTTCTACTGACTTTTAGGGCTATTCAGGTCTATTCTACTGGAATAGAATTGAGTTATCATAATCATCTTATGGTATCCTGAGCATTACAGAAAAGCATACACAAACACAATATGCAAGAACAACCACGTAACCCTGGATGCATGACAAGAAAAAAACGAGGGAGGGAGCCGGGGTTCAAAGATAGCATGAATCCTCCCTGAAACACCAGAAACACAGCAACACCAAATCAGTGCGAAATCCCCTAGAATCACCCAAGAATCACCGGCAATGCTGTGCGAAGAACCACAATGATACACCCCTTACTGTTCGCTCCCATTCTTTTTGCCTTCTTCTCTCATTTTCTCCATGAAACTAATATAATCGTACTTGGCCAACTCTCTGTCCTCGAGGAGATCAGGTCCATCGTGCGTTGGCATTGTCTTGACCAAATGCTCGATAACCTCATCTGGGATGAGTGAGTGTCGGAGGTCAAGTTCAGTGACATAAGGCTGTGATTAATGTTAGCAATGAAACAAAATATGTCGCATGTGCTACGTACCTTGCCATCGGCTACTTCCTTGAAACTCTGGAAGACCTGCTCGGCAGTGTTTTGATCCTCTGTCACGCTGACCATAAACCGAATGAACTGTTCAAAGCTCACTCCGGCATTTTGTGATAGACGGTTGGCCCCACACACCTCAACGTACACTTGGTGCATCTCCTCTTCATCATAGACCAGACCCAGGCTGGCCAATGCTGCAGAGAACTCGAGTTCCTGGAGCGTGTTGGAGGAATCGCGGTCGAAATGGCGGAATACCGACTCGAACTCCTCCAGCTGAATGGGTGTCAGGTTGGTCATGTTACGAGCAACCATCTGGTTATCAAGGAAAGCCAGCTTCTTTGAAATGCTGGACTTGACAAGACTGAGCTCATATGCAAGCTCGTCCAGCGTGTATGTAGTGAAATCATTTTCTTCGATGTTAGCCTCGGCACACTGCTCATCTAGCTCTGCAATAGTGTCGAGGAAAGCGTCAAGGGGTGGCAAGTTGTCATTTAACCTCTTTACGTGATCTAGCTGGTCTTCAACGTCGCCATCCAGTCCAGATATAGCCAACGATAAGGTCTTCAAGGTCAACGCAAAGTCATTTGCTTTGTCGGCGAAAGAGCGGCGCAGCTGGTTCTTGATATCACGAATTGTCTCGTTAATAAGCTGACTGCGCTCATGCTCATCTCGAGTAAGAATCTCCCACTCCCTGTCGCAGTTTTCCGGACTCAACTCTTGAGGTGGGTCATAAGGGCGCAGTCGATATGTGCCTAGTTTGGTTTTGATGTTGCCTAGCAAAGCAGCTAGGTCGGATTTTTCAGCCACCCATTGGCGCTTCTCATTCCGCTTGTACAGTGAGAATTGGTGTGCCTGTTCCTTGGCATCCTTGTAGGTTCCCTCGAAGGAGGCGGTTTTCCAGTGTTCGCGCTGGCCGCGGATCAGTCGCAGCAATTCCTTTACCCGGCGCTCATATGAGTTCTGCATATCCCATGCACCGTGCATATTATTGACAAACTTCTCCACTCGTCGCCCAGCGTTCTCAACTCTCTCTAGCTGCGAAAAAGCATGGAACCAATAGGCGATATAGGTCATGAGGGAGCGTTCATCGGGTCTGGGCACGTCACACACATCGTCCACGTCTAGCAGGTCTGGAATACCGATTTCGTTGGATGCGATCTCGAAGGCCAGCTTCATATTCCCACGGTGGTCGCTCTTATCCAGCGAGTCATAGTCGATCAGGTCAGGTCGGTGGATATCGAGGAGAGCGCAAAAGGCCAAGCCGTTGTTCCAGCTAGATGAGAAGTCGCGAACCTCGACATCATCGTAGCATGCCGTCTTCCGTTGACACCATAGCAGCAGACCCTCCTTTGCGGTCATGCCCTCCTCGTTGATGTCACTGATGGTGAATCGCAAAATCAGGGTCCAGATCAACCCCAGAATGATCTTCTGATTCCCATCCACAATATCCTCGGCTCCGATATTCGTCATCTGGATCCTCCTCCCCTTGATGAAATCGAGACTTTTGTTCACATTTTCGAATCTTTGTACGCGAAGTTTCGGTTTGGATGCATATCGACCTAGTGACTCCCCTCCAAGGATCTCGAGGAGGTGAATGAGAATGACCTAGAGGTTATGCGATCAGTGACTTGGCTTCGGTGGGGGACTCGAGGAACATACGCCATCGGAGAGATCAGTGACCAGGTCGTCAATGGCCAAGCTCCGTGCCTTCAGCTTGTCATTCAGCCTAATCTGGGTCAGCCTTGCATGACAATGAGGGGTTGCGCAGTTACCATTTGGTGAAGGTCTTCTGCTGCACATTAATCCACTGCTTCTCGACCGTCAACATCTTTCACGAGACATTCAGGGCCGAATGGCAATTAGTGATAGTCTGGCGGTGACAGCGATCAGGGTTGAGGAGAGGACGATCAGGCTTGGTTTCCGATTTGGGCTGGAGATCAAATGGAGCACAAAGGGGGCAATGTCGGGTGGGGTGCTGATTTCCGCACGTCGGAGTTGAAGAGTCACCCCAGCAACGCCTTTTTTATCTTTTGGACTCAACGTCGAGAATAGGAATGTAGAAGTTGAATTTCTAACAGGAGACGTTTTGACTTGACAATATTTGAAGATGCAATGCACCCCTTGCGACCCACTTTTTCTTCGGCTTCTAAGTATAGACGTCTATAATTACTCCTCATCTATTTTGTTGCTAGTCTGGCCTCCTTTTCTCTCCTTTTTGACCTTTTGGTTGACTTGGCTAGATAAAAGAGGACTTATGAAGAGGTTTCATAAGTGTTGATATCTACAAGAGCATGGTCCTCGACAGCCACTAAACTACAGGGATAAGCATAGGCTTTGGGATCTCACAAGACCATGATCTCATCAGTAAAGTAAGGAGAGTCACTATTGGGCTTGGGCCCATACCTTACGGAACCACAGCCGAGGGTCTAGATTGGTACAACATCTGATTTCCCGATTCCACCTGGGGTATATTACAAGGTAGTTCTCTTACAATGTTGTGAAGTTGTTGGTCTGTCTGCAGGCTCCACTGAGAGATTTGAGTAAGAGCTGTCTCTATGGGAGGTAGTATAGTAAGCCAGGTCTATTGTAGGGCTTGGTTGACCAAGAGGGAGTGTCGAGATATCCATGATTCTTTTGCTGCTAGTCTGATATTCAAACTTGGGTAATCATACAGTTCTACCACCATGTGATATTTTTGATCTGCCTACCAAGGTTCTTCTCTATCAACCCACACGCAAGTAGATATCCGCTCAGAGGTATCCATGGATATGGACACTAGCGCCAGAGGGTGTTTGGCTTGCTCCTGCCAGTTACTTTCTAGGGCGCTTTAGATATAAAATATGGGAACTGTGTACAATTATAGCCTGTAAACCGTTTCTCTGGCTTTGGCTGGTCATTCGGTTATGAAGTTGGGCTTGTAAAGAGTTAGCGCTAAACTATGTGTCACATCAAGGGGATGACTCCAACAAGCCGAGCGACAAATCTGTCAGAAAAGACTAGAAAAGCCCAATTATCAATAGAAAGAAAGAAAGGCCCCTAAAATGGCGCAATAGTGAAAAGTCGACAAAACTTCGCGATGGTGTTAGATCTTTTAGTCATCCCAGATGACCTCATTTCGCAAAGCGGGGCGATGAAGATTCCCTAACGTATTATTCCCAGCTCCCAGCTCCAGACACACTTCCCTTTCGCAAATCACCTCTCTATTCAAAATGTCGGCCTCATTCAAGATCACCGACACGCTCCCCCTCCCCAACACGAGCGCGCGCATTCCCCGCCTCGGCTTCGGCGTCTACCGCTCGCCAACCGACGTCTGCGTGAAATCCTGCCTGAAGGCATTGGAAGCCGGATACCGACACATCGACACGGCACAGTTTTACGCCAACGAGGCTGAAGTTGGAGAGGCTTTGCGCACTTCCACCGTGCCCCGGGAGCAGGTTTTCGTCACCACTAAGATCCTCAGCCCCGCTGCCTCGGTTGAGGCTACCTACGATAAACTGCTTGCTTCTGTGCACAAGATTAGTGGTGCGGATGGATATGTTGATTTGTTCTTGATCCACTCTTCCAGCTCGGGATCGGCCGGCCGCAAGCTTTTGTGGCAGGCGCTTGAGAAGCTGTTCTTTGAGGGGAAGACCAAGAGCATTGGTGTTAGTAACTTCGGTGTTGGGCACATCGAGGAAATGCGGTCATATGCTCAGGTTTGGCCGCCGCATGTGAATCAGATTGAGGTTCGTTGATTCTATGGCTGTCTAGGGTGATATGTTGCTGTTGCTAATCTGTCTATTTTTGCAGCTCCACCCGTGGTCCCAGCAGCGTGTCATTGATGAATACTGCCAGAAGAATGGCATTGTCGTCGAGGCCTACTCGCCCATTGTGCGAAACTACAAGGCCAATGATCCCACACTTGTGGATATCGCAAAGAAACACAACCGACCAACTCAGCAGATCTTGATCCGCTATGCGCTGCAGAAGGGATGGGTCCCCCTCCCCAAGACCGACAACCCAGAGCGAATTGTCGCCAACGCGAATGTGTTTGACTTTGACCTCAGCGCAGACGATATGTTTGTGTTGGATTCCCTGGACCAGGGCAGCGCAGGCGCCATCGTGGAGGCCGTTGACAACGAATGAGCAAGCTCCAAAGCACTGCCATTAACGACCCAAGCTCTTACGCCGGCCGGACAGGACCAATTGGTACCATGGACAGTCACATTGATCCATGTTCAATAATCTGGCGGCTGCATCAGGAAAGCATTGACAGACTGAAGTGTGGCTCGAGACGGATTCACGTCATGTTTCGACGACACGAGCCAGGCGAGACGCTGTCGAATGAACTGCTTGCCGATCGCGCGCTTGCTCAACGAGGCATCGAAGGCACCTATGAAGAAATGTAGTTAGCTGTTTATTCCCCTTCCATCCATCTAGCGTTTGAATTGAACCCCGGAGAACCATCCTCCTGGCCATTGCATACATACCATCATCATTGAAGAACAGGCAAATAATCGCCAACAGTGTCCCCGCCGAAAGATCCTTCCCAGTCTCACAAACAACCAGTAAAGAAAGCGACGAGTCCAATCCAAGCCGCGCCCCAACGAACTCATGCACTTTATCCAACGACTTCCTTAGATCGCGACTCCCCAACTTCCCAGACGCACATCCAAGATTAAGCCTCTTCCCATTCCCTTCTCCATCTCCCTCTCCCTCACCACCCGAACCCACATCCCCATTACAGTCAATAACAAGATCAAACCTCCCCTCAAAATCAACCCCAGCCCCAGCTTCCCCAATAAACAAATTCCGCGTAGGCGCAATACAAGTAACCTCCGAACTCGCATTCCCCAACTTAAACTCACCAACCAGCCTTCCAATAACATCCGGCAAATCTTCCTCAGCAGTCCCCTTCAACACAGCATGATTAGCCCAGAAAACTGGCGGTGTTAATCCATGCGCCCATCCCTCACTGTCATCGCCAGCACCTTGGATATAGCCGCCTTCGGACATTTCGGCGCCATGTACCCGCCTCGAGGCTGAACATAGCACTAGAAGGTTGTAGTCGCTGCTTCTCTGGAGGTCTGGTGGGTGGTAGTAGGATCTGTTGGCCCAGGCTATGCGGATTGGTTTGGAGAGATCTGTGCGGAGGGTTGGTAGGTCGAGTTTTAATGACTGCGGTTGGTTATTGTTAGTTACTTTTGTAGTCTTGTTTTTGTTTTTGTTTTTGTTCTTGTTTGTGTTAAAGCGTATTGTCACTTCTATGCTAGGTTCACTATCGTCCTTGGATGAAGGCGAATAGTGAATAGTCAAGAGGGGAGAAATAAATTGCAAGGAATGTAAACACATGCATGTGCATGTGCAGGTACATACCTTCAACGAATGAACAAATCCCTCAATCCGACTCTCAATCTGAGCTTCTTCCGAGGCACCGAGATAATTAGGCGGCAGTGCAACTGCATGGTATGCAGTCTCGGATGGGAATAGGGCCCGGTTCAGGACGGCACTCCAGATTGGGATGGTTTTTGATAGGGCGTCGGGCATTACTGGGCGGAATCATTTTCAGCGTCAGAATTGGGCCTTGCATGGTGTATGTTTGTGTGTATGCATGGTGAAATGCAGTAATTGTTGGTTGGTTCGTTACTTTTTTTGCCCCGAGGGTTTCGCAGGGATCGGGTGGGATGGATTTACTTACATTTGCCTCGGCGGGTTGAGTCGACTATTACACAGCTGTGGGATAGTAAGATATTGTCAGCTTGTCGTTCTTAGACAGATCTTGAGTAGTGTTAAGGGTGGCTATAGTCCATCGTGTTGACTGTCCACGGAATGAATGTAATCCATGAACAGTATAAACCAAACCCGAAAAGAATAGAATAGAATAAATACTAACCCCCCATGATCCCTGGCAAGCGGCAACAACTGCAGATTCAGCCTACGAAAGCTAAAATCCCACTGCCCAGTGTGCCCATCGGTGCTTTTAAAATAAGCACTACCAACCTTCGAAGCTGGCGGGATATACCAGCTCCCACAGCGTTCATTAGCAACAAGAGGAAGTCCATAGTGCTCGGCAACCTCATGCACAAAAGCGCCATCATCCTCAATAGACTGAAGTCTGTTTGAGACGGACAGCGCCGATCGACGCAGTGACGAGAGCGTCTGGGAGATGGACTGCTGTGCCGACGGGAAATGTAGCGACTCCAGTGTCGGGAGAGTGTCCGAAGATCCCATGTTGTCCCAGGTGGTACTGGCACTGTACTTGGTGCACGGATGGTGCCAAGTATATGGGATTCAAATGGTTCTGGGCGTTGTACTCTGAATTTGTACCAAGAGCGTTTCCGCTTGGAATGCCCTGTGCAGATGTTGGGAGTTTGACCAGCGCGGAAATTTTGCTGGTTATATGTGCTCAATTTCTTGGGGGTGGTGGTTTTTTCCGAATCAATTGTGAAAGTTGTGGAAATGGTTGATGCGTTTGTGATTTGGGTTGGGCCAATCACAGTGGAATATAAGTGGAACTGGACTGCATGTAGTTCCTGTACATCGACTGTAGCTGAGTGGGAGGCTTGCAAGGTTGGGATCGGTAGTTTTCGGCTTGGATGTGTGTACCCCACCTCCGACCTCTCAACATACCCTGATAGTAGGTGAGATATACTCCCACATGAAGCGGTTATATCAACCCGACCACTAGCCCTAGGACATCTCTAGCTCGTTTCACGATGCTAGCATTTGGCCTATAATATAAGGTCGGGACTCTGTAGTCCTTGCCAAGCATCCTGCGAACGTCCGAGTGCATACTTGATATTATCTGACTGTGCTTGTTTGACGGACAAATGGGCCAACAGGCGCAATGTCGGCCCTTTACACATTTCCCTATATCCCTCATACACATTTCGGGCTTTACGAACTAGAGGTTCAAGTCCCCGTGAGAATCGAGATATGACCGTGCGGCCTGAGTTTGGGCCCAGTGGGCTGCATGTCCAATTACACTGGCTACGTCTGGTCCGTGGCCTACATCATGTTCAAAGGTGTTCTCGTCCGGTGAGTAGGTCGACGTAGGTTGAAATAGAACGGGGACAGTTCCATATCACGAGATCTTGGTAGTTAAGAACTTTCAAACATTTTGATACTTAACTATAGAAACATATGGAAAAGTCCAAGAAAACGCGTGAAACCAGTAGAAAAGAGGAATGTGCAAGCTAAACGGTATTTGGACTAGTGGCCTGCCGGGTTTACAATGTCCCCTAGACTAATGTACTCGGTACTTGGTTATGTGTTGCGTCATGAACCAAACTGCAAGTACCCAGTACCCACGTCAGCCCCTCCCGCTCTGGCCTGGTTCCCTCAATCGTCATGGGCTCTTGCTTTAAATACCGAGTCGCCAATTCCCTCCCTTGGCCATTTCTCTGCTCTGCATTCCGCTTTCTAGATTGATTCACTCCATTGCGCATCTCGTCTCCCTTCTATAAACCAGATCTACTCCCCGCTTTTCACCATGGCTAAGGTAAGATGATCACATCTGTCAAGACCCACCGACGCTAACCAGACTGCAGATTACAGAGATCTTCTTCGACTGCGACAATACCCTGGTCCTCTCCGAGGAGCTGGCGTTCGAGGCCTGTGCCGACCTGGCAAATGAAATTCTGGCGAAGTACAAAATCCCCGTCCGCTACACCGGCGACATGCTCATCAAGGATTTTGTCGGCCAAAACTTCCGCGGCATGATGGGCTCCCTGCAGACCAAGTACGGGTTCCAGATTGAGCCGACAGAGCTGGAGCAATACGTCAAGAAGGAGGAGGACATGGTCATCGCCAAATTGGAAGCCAAGGCCAAGCCCTGCATCGGTGCTACTGAGGAGCTGGAGAAGCTGTTCGCGTCTAAGAAATACGGTCTCGCGGTTGTGTCCTCTTCTGCGCTGCGTCGCGTGCGCGCTTCCATCAAGAAGGTCAACCAGGACCGGTTCTTTGACTACGACAAGGTCTTCAGCGCGGCGAGCTCTCTCGAGAAGCCGACTTCCAAGCCTGACCCCGCTATTTACCTGCATGCTCTTGAAAAGGTTGGCAAGAAAGCCGCCGAGACTGTTGCCATTGAGGATAGCAAGTCCGGTGCTCTTTCGGCGATTCGTGCTAATATTCCTGTCATTGCCTATGTCGGCAGTTATAGCGAAGAGACACAGAAGGAGATGGCTGAGAGGTTGACTGCGCTCGGTGCAAAGACTGTCATGTACCACTGGTCTGAGTTCGAGGACCGTCTCAAGGAAGTTGAGACTGGGTCTGTTGAGGTTCACTCGACCCTTTGATTGTTGTGACACTCTTCCCACGCCCATGATTATGATAGCAAGCGTATGGTCGTTGTGGAGCTTGGTTTGTTTCTGCTACCCTTCATGTATTCTGGTTTCATGGGTCTTTTCGTCTATACTCCCAGGAGTATAGGTTCAAAAATTCCTGGCAAGAAGTCCGGGCCCAGTTTCCTTTGCCTGGCGCATTATTATTTAGTCTTATTATCGCATAGATAGCCTTGATGCGCAATGATATCGATGTTTTAATTCTCCAATAGCAGTCATCGTAGTTAATATGGGAGCCCATATTCCTGGGCTGTGGTCGTCTCCAATCTCCATATCTACTTATATACATACGTATTTTGAGTCGGTAAAAGACAATACCATCCTACGATCAGATCAATAAACACAAACGCTCCAGTGGTGCAGCATCGTTGGGAAGCAATGCATATATACTGCATATATACTGATAAGAAAGATAAGGGCTGTAACCCCACCATCCCCTCTCCAGGCTCCGTAGAAACATTGAAGCATAGCATAAGACGAATACATCTTCGATCTCACCATTTCTACCCACCCAATCATCATGCCAACCCCCTCACAAGCCAAGTCCCACCACATCTCCAGCGGTCCATTGGTAAGCCAACGTTCCTCCGAATCCCTTGGACATCACCCAAGTATATACGTCCAATCTATATCCAAACATAGACCGAAGAAACATCCACTTAAGGCGCAATACGACGCGTTCTTCTTGTTTGATGCTTGACTAACACTCCTTCCAGGATCCCAGCGAAGCCCGCTGGATCCGAATGGCCAAGATAACATACAGCGACCCCCTTGGCGTCGAACGAACATGGGAATCAGCTGAGCGTACGGTAAGATTCATCTTTTACTTGGACCTGTTTGCTTTCCGTTTGCCTTCTTCTTTGCCGTGGCTGGGGGTATATGTGCATGCATGACACCCAAAGCAGAGGTGTTGGCGTTTCCATCTCTCGAGGCTGCCACGATATAGATTTGTTTGCATGACAGATCCTGGACCCAGCCCCGGCATGGATTATGAATGGTTGCTTTGAGTGGTCAGCGCTGACATGCGCCCTCAACTTTGTAAATGCATACACCTGGGCGTTACCCGAGTCTACTGTATCCATCACAACTGGAATCATAGGTTGCCTGATGTTGTAAAGCTGTGCATCAACCATGTTGTCCATTCCAGCAATCAAGCAGCAAGCCTTATACTAAGGCAACTAATAAAAAAAAGAAAAGGAAAAAGAAGAAAAAAAGAAAAAAGAAACATACACTACTAACCCCAAACTCACTTCCTTGGTCCAATGCTAACCACATTCCATACACGCAGACCCGCCCCGCCGGCGTAGAACTCGACGGCGTCGGCATTGTCACAATCCTGAACAAAGAAACAGGCCCAGAACTACTTCTGCAAAAGCAATACAGACCCCCGATCGACAAGGTCGTCATTGAAGTTCCGGCTGGTCTTATCGATGCAGGCGAGACACCTGAGCATTGTGCTGTTCGGGAGCTCCATGAGGAGACGGGGTATGTTGGTGTGGCAGAGCAGATTAGTCCTGTGATGTATAACGGTATTATATCCCCTTTCTTTTTTTTTTTTTTGTGTTTGCCTTCCAAGGTTTTCTTGGTGCTATTTGTCATGTTATCATGGAATACCTGTACCTGACATCATCTTAGATCCCGGACTATGCAACACAAACTTGCACATGGTTCACGTCCGCGTCGACATGTCTCTGCCTGAGAACCAGAATCCCAAGCCTCAGCTTGAGGACAACGAGTTTATTGAGTGTTTTACTGTTCCGCTCAGCTCGTTGTTTGAGGAGACGAAGAAACTTGAGAAGGAGGGGTATGCTATTGATGCTCGGGTTGGAACGCTCGCCGAGGGAATTGAATTGGCCAAGAAGTGGAAGTTCTAGGGCGATAATTGCATGATATCTTGGTCTCAAATTGACCACCAGTTATCAAGCCAGACCTCTACCAATACATACAATGCACACCACGTCCACATTTACAAACCAAATCACCCAAATGACAAGAAACCCCTAACTAAATCTTCCCCTCCCCCTTCAACCCCTGATAGAGCGCCCAAGCAGCCAAAGTCTTCCCATCCCTAATCCCCTCCTTCCACAAATCCCCAAGCTCAACAACCTTAAGCGTAATCTTCTCCCCCTTCCCCCGTAATCCAGTCAACTTCCCCTGCAACGCCTTAATCTCCGTCAGAGGCATCTGCTTCTGACACAAAAACAACGGAATAAACTCATCACTGCCCCCAGCAGAAGGATAAACAGCGCGCTGCAGCCGTTCCCCGTAATCGGGTTCTTGGCCCGCCTGCAAAGCTAGCGCTGTCATGTCAATTAGCTCGCTCTGCTCGACTAGGAGACCGGTTTCTTCTTGGATTTCCTTTGCTGCGCTGCCAGCGAAGGTCCCGCTGTCGTCTAGCATTCCTGCCGGGATTTCCGGGAAGGAGAGGGATCCTGCTGGGATTCGGGGTTGGACTGTTAGGATTGTTTTTTTGTCTTTGTCGGAGGCTGAGGTGGACGGGATGTCACTTGGTTGGAGGATTAGCTGTTTATGAGTTAGAGTATGTATCAATATAAATGCTTCTTCCGCCTAGATGGATCATGCGTGTGTGTATCTCGGGTGGACTCACCAACATGCCAACACTCCCGCCCCGCAAAAATACACTGCCTGGCAAAGTCTCGCCCTGGCCATTTGATACGTCGGCCTTTAATTTGACGAACCCTAGCCGGTTCCCGCCGAATCGGTCGACAGCTTGGATGTCGATTTTACGGAGCACATATGGATCATTGTGGAATTCGTGCGAGGGGTGTTGTTGCCGGGCTAGGGATTGTTGGAGTGTCGCAATCCAGATTTTGAAGGCTGGGAATGAGAGTAAGTCTTTCTGGCTTAGGTCTGGGATGCTGTTGACGCGTAGGTCTGTATCTGGGATTGTGAATGTTGACATGGCTTTGGCTGGGCCTCTCAGACTGTGACTGGGGTTGAGACTGGACCTGAGGATGAAGCTGGGCTGTGCTGGTTTCAGGTGGAAGATATTTTGGAGCCGTTTCATTAATTGGATTCTTGGGCTCTTGGCTTGGGGTTAAGGGTTCAATTGGGTGAGTGGAGGAGATGTCGCATTTTGGAAGTTCATTGTTTTGGGGCCTATGACGTCGTGCAGTTGGGGACTTCATAACATGTACGTAGATTGCCAATGTTTATATGTGAATTATTTTGGATTATTTTCCCTTGGGCATTTGACACTTTACCATTAGGAATATAGTTGGAATAATTTAGAACACCGCTGCCTCGGTGATCAGCTTAGTTTGGCTCGCTTAATGCAGCTGTGAGCAAAGTACAGTGTTGAAGGTACAAGACTGCCCCTAGTCAGCTAATAGTAGTCCGGAGTACTACGAGCAGAAATCCTCCTCTATTTTTTCTCTTTTCTAGCAAATGAAAAGCAAACAAATAGGCTCAGTCAGACAACCCGATTTTTAATCCTACCATTCGACAAAACTACCTTGACCGTTGGAGTCTTTAACCCAAAATTCGACATCTTGTAGTAGTCGCGACCACGCTACTTCGCCAACCAAAGTTGGCCACTTGCTAGATCTTCCGCTAGCGGACCTCTCGCCGTTCATAGAATGACTCCTTTCTTAGTCCTTGCCTTTCCGCGGAAAGCCCGTGTGTTTGTAGGCGATATAGGGGTATCGGTCACCCTTCTGGTCCAAGCGGAGAAGATAGTATCAAACGCTCCGGCAGCGACTGCGTGGGCCGCTGAACCTATTCTGTAAAGAGTGGACTGAGAGGCATGGTCGTAAAACTCCCGTGACTGCGTAAGGAGTTTCTCTCCAGAATCCACGAAGCACTTCAGGAAGGAGCTTTCGTCAATGTCTATGACAAGTAAGGGTTAGACAAGCCTCCAGATTCCACATTATATCGCTTTAACTCTTGTTCAATATCCTAAGACATTGCTGGATTCCCTCGTAGTTATATCTGGATGGGTCTGCCAGCCGAAGTGCTAGGGTGACCGATCAGGTTGTAACTAACTCTCACTATTCCCGAGGCAGTTTTACCGTCACCTTTATTACGCTTCAAAGATCCAAGTATAGTGTTATGTAGGATTTGCTACTTGGGTGAAACACGTGTTTCGCAACACCTATAGATATATACTATCGGGGTCATGGATGTGTATACAGTGCCAACTATGTATTATTGGACAGTACACGAAAGCCTCGAAGCGAGTATACCGTTTCATGCATTGTTTTCGCTCTGCTTTGGCCTCTCTTCTTCCACTCCTTTTTTGTCCACTTTGGAGTGTCTCGGGTTCATCATGTAGAGTGTATGAAGGTTAGGGTGTGAAAGGAATTTGGCCTGTGACTGTATTTCTTCGCCATGACAAAGACCTAGTATTTTTAGATAGAAAACTAAGACGAGAAGGAAAAGCCGTAAAATTTGGGAGTCGAAGTAAACCCCTTATCAAGCCTGAGTCTCATACTCCGGAGGTCACATTCACCATTCTCCAACCATCCCTGTCAGAGCCGAGAGCGCAACATGCAACAACACACAATCAGATGCATACAGTAAAGTCATACCAATCGTAGGATTACCATAGCCGAGGTTACCCTAGCACAAAGAAAACGATCTTTTATGTACGCCGTACATGTACATGAAAGAGTGTGGGGGTCGCAAGTGAAGACATTCACCCGGGTAAAAGGTTGGCGTTAACCCGCAGCAAGTGTTCCCCCGCCCCATGCATAGCGCTAGCTATCGCATGGAAACATGGAAACCTGCAAGGTTATATTACCCAGACTTCTAGATGCCCAGGGCACCGCATTAGCCGAACACCTCATAGAGAGGGGGCCTGGATCGACAATTTTTTCACCCGGGTAAGTGGGAGGCACCCGCGCTCATCCGCTGTAGCTTTCGATATCACCCCATCACTCCTTGCAGTGAGATCGGGAGAGGCTGTTCCCCTTGAGAGTGGAGCGTAGTTGCCTCGTTTCTAAAATGCGACCCGGGTGAATCCGTCAATCCGTCAATCTGTCAATCTGTGTCGCAGGGTTTCTGTTTCTTTTTTTTTTTTCGGTCTGATCCTGGCTGACTTGGGTTCCCTTACTTTGTTTATATGTTTGGATAGCTACGGACTGAAACATTACGGGCGCTTGTGTTCAGGCAGATACTATACCCAACGTCATCGTGCCTGGTAATTTCAGAGTGCGGACATTTTGTTTGCGGCGGATATTGAGTATTTTCTGTGGCCTGTCCTGATTTAGTATCTGTATCCACATTCGTGTTAGGCTGATACTATACGAGTGCCAAAAAGGGCTGTTTCTAATCTTAAATTAGTATACCGAGGAAGTATAGGGGCAGTAATAATGATCAGCGCAGCAAATCCGAGTCGAAGGAATCATCTGAGCCCGGTTTTCCGTATGGCCATGTGGTCCAGTGCTCGTGGATTTACCCCTTGGTAAGCCCAGTACGTCGGCCTCGGTCCATTTACATTACCATCATGAGGCACATCACCGGATTGCCAGGAATGATATCCACTGGCAATTTGGCCGATGATGGTGTGCCAACCCCTTCCAATGAAACCTTTTGCTAGCTCATATCTACCTCGATTTAGACGATCCGAAAAAGAAAAAGCCATGTTACATACTAGTAGTCAATGTGAAGTATATTGCCCACCACGATACCCGGCTCAGCACAAAGCTCTTTGGTCGAAATCGCCATGATCATGGTCAAAGCTGTAAAGCTTGCGAGAAAAAAAGGACCGGTGAAGTCGAGCTCGGCGGCCGTGGCCAAAGAGCGGTGACGCACTCCAAAATGGCTTCCCTTGCGCGCGCTAGGGCAGACGGCCTCCTTGGCCTATCCAGATCGGGTCGCAGGTATTACTGTATGAAGATTTGGAATGGCTGTTGGGCAAGCCTGGGTTCTCCATGGGCATTGGGCAAAGGAAAAAGTGTAGGATCAGCTGTTTCAAATAGGTACAAAGTCGTATTTATATAATTAAAACACTGATTCTATCGTTCAACCAGTGATAGCCAGTCATAAAAAAACAGGTGAGGCTGTTTGGGAGTGTATATAGATCAGAACAAGGCGGCTATTGCACCAGCGCTACCAATCATGTAAGAGGGATCCGTTAAGAACATTCCCTGCAACGCGAGACAGGGGGATCGGAAAAAAAGGAGAGGTACAGCACAAATAAATACTGAAGGCAATCACAGTGATCGTCATCCTTGGAAGCACCCGGGTGTATGGGTGGCAGGCGCCTGATCTGCCTCGAATCTTTCTTTATAAAGTCCACCTTGTCCTCCCCTTCCAGACTCAAGCCTGAGCTTAGGTTCCACTTTCGGGCATCCACCACACGGGACAGGCTGAGCTCAAATGTGTTGAAATGGCCAATACGCCACCGTGCAAGGAGAGGCGTTGGTCCCGGGGCGCCAAGGCCAGATTATCGGAAGTTGTTCACACGTCACCCAGGTAAGTAAGCCCCCTCCGTTTCGCTTTCCCCGAGCTCACAATTGTAGATCTATCAAGAGATTATATTCTCAAGAGTTTGAGTCGATGACCAATCGGAGCTGCTGTTCAGACAGTCCTTCCCGACCGAAGGACAAGTGTACGGAGACATTCAGTAGCCCAGGCATGCGAGCAATCAAACGCTCACCGCGTGCCAGTGTAGCTCTCTCATCCAAACCACGTCGAGATAGCTTTCGTGTCGTGAAGGAGCGACAGCGCTTGTCAGGTTCAGCTTCTCCGGTAAACAAAATTGTGCCTCAGTGTATACAGGAACAAGCAAAGATTGACCAAAATACCCAACAAAAAGAAGAGTCAACACGCAACCATGCACCGCGTCCCGAGTTGGGCAGATCCCAATCAAGTCCTACTGCTGGTTACAGCACAATGGCTGTTGATCTCCAAGGGGCTCACGATAACCCACAGTATCAGATCCAGAAGTCACTCGAGCGTGACATGAGCAAGGTCGGAGTGATAGATCACAATTCACACATGGACTATGCGGCTATTGCTCAGGAAGCAAACCCGCAAATGATTAGGCAATTGGAGACCAACCCCATCGCCGAGGAACATCTCATTCATGAAGTGAGAGAAATCTACGCCGGGCTGGTCATAGTGGAGAAAAAGTGCATCGAAGTGATCAGGAATCTCTCGCAAATGGGCCCAAGAACGGAATTATCACAAGATCAGTGGAAAACGGTCATCTCGCTACACCGAATGCTCCTCCACGAACATCACGACTTTTTCTCGCTTCACAGCATCCCGCAGCCAGTCCGGTCGTGAAGCATCTCGCTGAGAAGTATGCTATGCCTGCTCGCATGTGGCGCTATGGGATTCATTCCTGCTTGGAACTGTTGCGCAAAAGACTGCCTGCCTCGCTAGACCACATGTTAGCCTTTATATACCTCTCGTATTCGATGATGACACTCCTTCTGGAGAGTGTCCCGCATTTCAGGGGAACCTGGATTGAGTGCCTAGGTGATCTAGCGCGGTATCGTATGGCAGTGGAAGATACAGATGTGGCGGACCGCGACATTTGGGCAGGGGTCTCGAAGTATTGGTACAATCAGGATACTGATCAATGTCCTGAAACTGGCCGGATTCAGCACCACCTAGCCGTGTTGTCTCGTCCGGATACTCTGCAGCAGTTCTTCTACTACACGAAAGCGTTGATCAGTGTGCGCCCATTTTCAAATGCGCGGGAGAGCATGGTCCAGCTGTTCAATCCTATCCTAAGTGCACCGGCTGATAGACACACTCTGATCACTTCTTTTGTGGCTGCTCATGGTGCTCTTTTCATGCATATGCCAGTTGAGCAGTTTGTTGCTCGGTCGAAGTTCTTCCTTTCCAATCTGCGCCAGGAGGTTAGCTGGCTAGGCCGAGAGGGACAGCAAGGCGTCTTTATCACATCCTGTAATATCGCTGCGATCTTTCAGTATGGCGATAAAGATGGAGCCTTTGCTACGGAGTTTACTTACGACGGAAACACCACAGCAGATGCTTATGCTCTCTCGAGGCAGTGGGCGGCTACCACAGCACCCAATGACCCAAATAACCACCCATACACCGACTTCTCATCCCAATTTGCATTTCGCGCGAGCTCTCTCGCTTTTCACACCTTGATAATCATCCTCGGTCAAGCCGGCGACCCGAACATGCTTCCAACCGTGCATGCCTCCATGGCGTTCGTGTGGTGCCTCACACTCCACCCAGCAGCTATCCAACGACTCGAGCCGCTAGTTCCATGGTCGATACTCGCAAACTACCTAAACACTTTACTCCGGCCCGACACCAACATTGCAAAAATTGAAGATGAATCGTTCCCCCGAATCGACGACACAACCTCTCAACAGCTACCGGAGGACTTTTTGATTAGAGGACAAACTTGGAGCCGGCTTTACTACCCTGCGAAATTCTTCGACGAGACGGCTGTAGAAGACGACAGATCATTGATTGAGGAGCCATCAACAATGCTCCCTAGAAGACACAGATGCTTGTGGCTTGGAGTGCGGATTGCAACTGTCTGTCTTGACCTGGGATATTTCCTAGTTCACTGTGCGCTGACAAGATCTTGATATTTAGTTCTCTCGCTGGATGACATATGACCAGACTCGACGGTTCACGCCTACCAGACTCGCACACGAATTTGCGCCAATTGCGCAATCTACTGATCACCTCAGTGGGAATATTTACTTGGCACCTAGTCCCTCGCTTGTTGACCAGGAGATGGAGGAAGTTTGAAATGCGGCCAGGGTGACCACCAGCTCTTTTTCAGGTTCCCCTGCGTGTGCGAGCGTGTGTGACATGGGACATGCACTCGGTGGGGATGACTGGCTGGTGGAATCCTGGTGTTTCCTTTCACCTTATCAGTGTTCAAGAAACCATCGACCATCTTGAGCGCTAATCCTTCCCATAGGTTCTTTCCGTGAACAACATCCGAGAGAGGATTTGCTTTTGTTTGTTTTTTGTTCGTTTCTTCGTTACTAGGCAGGAATATTCATGAGTCGGCCACGACTACACGACAGATATCAGATGCCAGATCTCAGATCTCAGATTCTTCCTGGACGAAGGCCACCACCTGGACCGTCTTTCCATGGACTCCCCACCTGAGGCCTCTAAATCCTCCAAGGATTGATCATTTTTCCCTTTGGCCTCGGATCTATAATGCTAGGATCCCCTACCGTGGACTGCTACCTTGCGTCTGCCTGTGGATTATTGAGACCTCGAAAATCTTCCCATGGGCTGAGCTATGCGCCTGCACTGACATTGGGGTTGTCATCTTTTAACTACGAGGATTACATCAATAACTCGTCGGCGTTGCATTACTGCAGTCAACCTGGAACGCCTTCTTTTCGGTACGACCAGAAAGCTCACCCCTGGAGCTTTCGCAAGGAAGTCAATCCTTGGCTTCTTGCTAGGATAGGCAGATGCATTAACATGGGAGGCCATTGCAAGGATAAATAGCTCTACACATGAGCTTCAAAAGAAGTGAGAAGACAGAAAAGAAAGGAGAGTGGAAAACAGATGTGGATAAGAAGGTGTTTATAGGGATTCATGGATGTTGTTCATAGCTTTTAGTTATCTCTTCCGTCTACTGACCCGTGGAGAGAATCTAGAGTTGAATCGCATAACTATGCATAGCCATACAGGCTCCGAGTATCGTATACTCGCATTCGCTAGCATGTTGGCGGACATCTTTCTCTCCATGGTTGCATCGCAGCCATATATAGCAAGAGCTTCGATGGTTTCGCATATTTCTGGCACTTCTACAGCACCACCCCGTTGGAATAGACTTTCACTCCTGTGTCATGTCAATTGGGGGTTACATTTTACCTCAAGTGGTAACAGATCTATGGAGGTATACGCGTAGACCAACAAATAAACGAGAATCAAACAAAGAGAAATGCAAAACACCAACAAATATCCACGAATAAGCATCTTTAGAAACCAACTAGTTTCCACTAACAAACGTAGCTCCTCCCGGCAGTGGAGTGCTGGTTATTTCGGGTGCAGCTTGCGCGTTGCCGATAAAAGGCCAAGCTGGCGATTACATGCAACATCCATTCCTCCCCTCTCTCCCCCTCTTCCCCGGAGATCCTCCATTCTACATGCACTTCCTATGAATTGAACATTTCCCCTTCGGCTGAAGTGAATGCCATTCCCTGGGCATCACCCAAGTCTCCAATCCGTCCCTTCCTCCACCTACGTCTAGCTCACCATGGCGACAGCTTGGGGTGAGGTCTGTCGCCAATGCGTCAGTACCGTCGCAGAAGTCCCAATCCAGATCCTACTCATCACAATCGCGGCTACCTTCCTCGGCCTATTCGTCCTGGTAAGTACAGTACACCTTTCCCTCCGTCCCGCTTGTACCAGCGCGCGCAGTGCAGTACCCATTCCAGACACACCCGCGCCAGACCAGACCAGAGCAGTCCCAATTGCAATTGCAAATCGCTAACGTGGCATTACAATCTACCAGTTCTCCCTTTTCATAATCCTCGTCGCGCCATCCCCACGCCTCCCCCTCCCAGAAGAAAAGAAGTATAGAACCCTAGCCAAAGATGGCTCCGTCACAAACCCCCAACCACTCCCCTGCTGGCTCGACAGCCTAAACGCGCAACTCAATAGCGATCGCAAAAGCACACCCACTCCATCTCTCGAACAGGCAGACCTCTTCATGTCCGTCGTCGTACCAGCCTACAATGAAGAAGACCGCCTAACCGGCATGCTGGAAGAAGCAGTCAACTACCTAGAACGCATGTACGGCACAGCAACAACCCGTGAAGGAAATGCCAACACCGGTAGCGAGAGCGAGACAAACGCAATGGAAACACGGTCAATGCGGAAACGCAAACCAATCACCGTCGCCAACGGAGACGCGAATGCGAACGGCCACGCCGCCGTCGCTACCTCGATTCCAGACCGCGGCTGGGAAATCATCCTCGTCTCGGATGGATCCACAGATCGCACCGAGGAAGTCGCGTTCCGCTTTGCGCGCGATCATCAGCTCTCGCTTCATCCCAAAGGTAATGCTGGGCCGTGGACACCTCAGGTTTCTGAGGGTGTGCATATCCCGCCTGGAACGATTCGGGTTGTGACCTTGACTGAGAACCGGGGCAAGGGCGGGGCTGTTACGCATGGCATGCGCCATGTTCGCGGTCAGTATGTTGTTTTTGCGGATGCAGACGGAGCGAGTAAGTTTGACGATCTGGGTAAGCTTGTTGGGGCGTGTCGCGATGTTGAGGATGTGCGTGGGCGTGGTGTGGCTGTTGGGTCGCGCGCGCATATGGTTGGGAGTGAGGCTGTTGTGAAGGTATGGAATTCGTTCGATTGTCGCATCCTTGTCGGTATGATCCTGGTATGGTACTAATGGTTTATTTGCAGCGATCTAAACTACGCAACTTCCTTATGCATTCCTTCCACTTGATCCTGTGGTTGATGACGCCTCCTAAGACTGCTACGGTTAAGGATACGCAGTGCGGGTTCAAGCTTTTTTCGCGTCCTGCGTTGCCCTATATCGTGCCATACATGCACTCCGAAGGCTGGATCTTCGATGTTGAGATGCTTATGTTGGCTGAGTTTGCCCGGATCCCCGTGGCTGAGGTTCCTGTGGGCTGGAGGGAAGTGAAGGGGAGCAAGTTGAATGTTCTTAGAGATAGCATTGGCATGGCCTGGGGTCTGGCTGTCCTGCGGGCGGCTTGGTCTCTTGGTGTGTATAGACAGCGATGAAGGTCGGGACTTGAATGCTCCGGCTATGATATTTCTTTCCATTGGCGTTTAAAGAGAATATATTGCATCTTGGACTTTTGCAGAGTTGAGTCTTTTTCTTGAACGGGTGTGGCGTAGTTGGAGATTGTCGACAAGTACAGCTGCGCAACAAGTGTGAGGTATGGCATGTCCAGCTCATCCTATCTAATATCTGCCGTGCTGGTCGCTATGTGATTATCTCTGATTCCTAGCGATCAGGCCAGCGCACTTGGAGGGCATGTCACCTCAATGATGTATAACTTGCCCGATAGGCTTCATCGTAGACGCCTCTTTGTATATTGGAATGCAATCTTCTGCATTATCAGGTTGGACATGATGTACTTATCTTATGTATGTCGTCATCGGGGTTGGATATCTGCGTAGATTTTGCGCACAGCATGTATCAAGCATGTAGCCAAAAAGGGAAGTCGACGATGTTGTGCACCCATTCTGCATGCGGGGGTAGCACTGTATGTACATATATTGCGTCAATCCTTTATCCCAGGTGAACTTCGAGTTTTGCAAACAGCTTGGATCTACTTTACAGTATTTTGGAGGTATATAGTGAAGTATTTAATGCCGCTATATCTTCAAATGCCTTTTTTCTGGTTATTTTGATGCTGTTTGTAACGCAGAACTACTATTGGAACATAGTGTTAGATCAAGTAGACTTTGACATCGAGTTCTGAAACAAAGCCAAAATGTATACAAGCTTATCGAATTGGATGTGAAGATGCGGTGGCTCCGTGTGCCGCTAAACAATCTCATAGTGGGTAATCCACGTGTGAACGAACTCTCCACCCTTGTGGACCCACAAGGGATTTCATGCTACAGAGTACAGTACAGTGGACTATCAGACTGTCCTTGAGTCTCTAATCGTTTACACCAACGTGTAGTTAAAAGGCGCCGTGTAGCCCCATACTGCAGTGTAACTACAAGTACAGGAATTGGTACACAAGCATAACTACCTATTGGTCCTGATTTCTCTCTTTTAGGGCAGCATGACCATCTGAGTCACAAATGATGAGCCCTTGAGATATCCTTACCTGAGACTCGAGAAGTATATCTGCGGCATACCTATCTCAAGTCATGCAACTATAAGAAAGTGGCAAAGCCGGAGTCTTTATCCTCGTTCCACCGATCCAATCTGTCTATAAAAGTTCTTAGGATCTTCGAAAATCCTTCCACATAACATCACTGTGGGTACACGGGTTCCTTACGGGTAGTCGGGCGATTGGTGGAGACCAAATGCCGACTCTACGGTCGAATTGGCCGAAGAACTTTCACTCAGACGTAATTCCGCCTCGGTGAAAAGTGAGCTGATTTATTCAGTGGGCGGCCATGGAGATGCCGATCAGATGTTTACGTATAAATGCTGTAATCTGCCCGGTGGCATTGTCTGATACTTGCATGCTGGGCTTCTATCGATCGTCCGACACCCTGAAAGTTTTATAACCCCTTTCTAGAACCACCTTACTTTAAGTTTGATCTATCGATCTATTCAGGGATAAAGCATTGATCTCTAATTGAACCTTTCTCGGTACCTGAAAGTTCTCATTTTCGTGTTTGGAAAAAAACTCTGACGGTGGCGACAAATATCTACATATACTCCCGAGCGGTACCACCGATTTTCGGAACATCGCCAGCGACAATCAACGAATTCGATATTTTCACTTGTTGTACTACAATCCCAGCAATTCCTGGAGAGATGGGATCATTCAAAATATCCAATCCGTCATCATTGACACCACATCTCCTCCGACTACCAGCAGAGCTCCGTCTCAAAATCTACGAATATGCCTTGGCAGTACCAAACGAGTACATGAACAAGCCATTGATAGTGGTCGACGACCGTGGCAAAGTCTTCACAGCCCGCGGCCAATACAGAGCCCTAGCAATGAGTCCAAGCTGGGTTGGCGAAGACGGCACAGCACGCAAGCTCCTCGCCGTCAACCACCAAATCCACGACGAAGCCGAAGACTACCTGTACTCACAGCACACGCTGTTCTTCCGCAACTCATTCAACCTAGATCGGCTGGGCGATTTCCTCGGCACGCTTAGCGCAACTGCGCGCTCGCGCATTCGCAGCGTTGGCTTTGAGGTCTTCTTCTTCGTTCATACGCAGACGGGCGTGCCGAAGCGTACCATCAAGCAGTATGAGCTTGCTGCCAGGCTTCTTTCCGAGAAGTTACCCGCTTGGCGGAGTGTGTTGTTTTATCTTGATCCGCGCTTTTATTATCCCTCTGCTAATGTTGGTGGGAGAGATCTCACGGCGAGGGGAGTGTTGGATCTTGCTATGCGGTTTGGGTGCTGCCGGGATATTAGTTTCTTTCCGTTGCCGAATGGTGATCAGCGCCTTTTGGAAGAAGCTCAGCAGTTTGTTTGGAGGAGTCGATCGCCGCCGAGGTCGCCTGCTTATTGTTCGCTTTCGAAGAAGTATCCGTTTGCTTCGGATTTCTCGAAGTCTTTGCCAAGTCACTGGTCCACGTCATCTGTTTTCTGATCAGAGTCTTTCTGCCTTTTTGTCTGCGTCTTCTGCGCTTGGGTGTTTTCATAGCCTGCTTTTTTGCTTTTCTTTTTGGTGGGTAGTCTCGTGGTTTGAGAGGTGCTAGTTATGCACCATGACGTCCATTGAGAAGTGCATATATCATTGGGGGCATCTTTGGCGCGACTTGCGATTATGTGTTTAGGTGTTTGATGTTTAAAGGGGATCTTTTGCTTAGTTATAGCCATGTAAAATAGATTCGTTAATATTTCTGGAATAATGGCGGATGTTAAGTTGCCTTGAATGTGGAGGTATAGAGAACTTTGACGTCATAGCCTCTGTTCACGGGAGTTCCTGTTGCAACCTCTCCCCATTTCCCCGTGTGGGGGTGATTTCCCCATACTTAAGTCTCTATGCCGCTGTCTCTTTACTTTACAAGTACACTACCTGAGTTACCTGGGTTACCTAAGCTACCTAAGCTACCTAAGGTCAGTACCCAAGCCTGCCCAACGAACTTTCACATGCGAACCTCAAATGAACTCGGCCCGTGTTAGCTGCAAACCGAATCATCGTGATTGACCGCTTCTTTCAGGCCCGGACTGGACAACGAAGCTCTGAGGTGGCCGATATCCACCCCCCAATATATGATATACCGCCTTATCGCACTTCGCTCGGAAAAACAATCTCGCCGCCATGAAGTCAACTAAGTTACCAGACGGCCACGGAAGTCTCTACAAAGAAGTGCGCTTCTCTCCGACACAAACCCCTATTCGTCGCACAAAATCGGTTTCGGCCACTATTCCTACACTCAACGGACGAGGCGCCCGATCTGTCCAAGGGACTCTGTTCACCATGGACACAGCCTACATCGACCAATCGCGGGCCCTCCTCGAGAGTCAACGATTACACTTCGAGAGTGAAAGATCACTGTTTGCGCAGGAAAGAAGGTTGTGGGATAAGGAACGGGCGCTGTTACGATCGAGAATCGCCGAGTTGGAGTCATCACTCAAGAGCCAAGGACACAAAACAGATAAATTGGGACCGGAGGCTGCCATGCTAGTGTTGGGCGCGTCGCAGTTGAACGGCAACAACTTCACGGCACAAGTGTGGGAGGGGTCAAGTCCAGGTAGTCGGCCAACAAGGGTATTCCGCGATCACTCCCCAGATCAAAGTCGCCTGTTGCCGATCTCCGAAGGGAATGGGATGAATCCGCCGTCCCTTGATCGGGCCCTTTCAGCCCAATCGCAGGTCGACGTACCGAGTCTGCCCGTGCCGATCGAGAAGCTTGACAGCACGTTGGATGGCATTACGCTCAAGTCTACTGCGTTGCCACCTGGGGTCGTCGCTCGAGTGATCACCCCGCCCTCGCCGTCGCCCCTGGTAACCTCCCCTGGAACCGCCCCTTCAACGGCTGTAAGGCCCGGCATGGAACATCGAAACAGTCTCAAACTGAAGCTGTCAGAACTCGGCCGGCCCAATGAGAATTTACTCCGCGATGCAGGTCACACTCCGATGGCGATCATCGAGGTAGATGAGAGCCGACAATCCACAAAGGAAGGGTCTCCCCTCGAGGTTCCCTTGGAGAACGAGGAAGATCCTGTCGCGCCCGTGGCAACCAATGTCCAGCAACCTGCTGAGAACAAGATGTCCTACTTTCCGGATGTACCAGACGATCCCGCTCTCAAGGGGCCCCTCGGTCTCATTAATGAGGAAGAACATGACTCCAGTTTTTTGAATGAATTAGATCAGAAACTCCTTGATCAGGCGAAGAATATCCTAGGCAACTCGGTTGAATCGGCTGATCCTAACGAAACCGACCCTGAATTGCCCAACCAAAACGAAAACGAGCCTGAGTTCAAGTTCAAGAAATCTACCAACTTTGGTACAGCATTTGGAATGTCGAATGTCGGTCAAATCTGAGGGCAATTTCCCCCACCGTCTGTGCTTTGACTTTCTTGTGATCTGTCTTCCTGTTCCTGTGGATCTTTTGTGCATGTTTTAATTTCTTGTCATCTTGGTGCATACGTGCATATCCACTTCATCTTGTTACCAATTTCTTTTCTTCTTTTGGCGACATCTCATGAGATAATGATCAATGATCTATGCCGATATGTGCAATACATGTTTCTGATTTCTTCCAAATTTGTTCTCGTTTCCAGGGCTACCTGATGAGGTCTTACTTTGACAGGCACCCGTGGCCCTAGCAAGTTGCATTTGGATTCCCCTGGGTTGGTATTGGAGTTCCTTGCGTGTGATATGTATACAATTGACTTGAATCCAATGTTCTGATTGGCCCCTTCCAAATTACTCCTGTGGAGGGGACCTTGGTGTCTTTGCTAGTATGCCTTACTCCGGGGACCCCTTGCAGCAAGTCTGCAACCTTTCTCGATTGGGCTCCACGTGGTTTTGCTGCTCTCCATACTGCCCACGCTATTCGACAGCGAAAATCTTGCAAATCCTCTCCTAGCTGAGGTAAAGCTCGGATGCTCGAGCTCGGACTCGAGGTCTTGCATAAGCTTCACGCTCGTCGCTTTGGGCTTGCCTTGGCTCTCGACAAAGCTACACCTCCCTTTCAACAAATCAGCTTGCCTATTTGCCCTAATTTCTCCCTCCTTGAGCCTAGATTTGATGTCTCTCATTGTTCCTCTCTTCGGTAACTGCCGTTGCCCTTTGGTACCTTGCTGATCACGGCCCTTGTGGCTTTTTTTAGGAGTGCCACCAAATGACTATAGTTCGTACCTTGCAGGAATCTCCCTATCTGTTCCTATCTGTTCCTGTTTAGCCCTTGACTCTCCCCACGATGCCCCTCAGTATAGGATTTGCATGGGTGTCGAAAAACTACATAAGGACCATACTTCACGCCTCATCTTGCTATTCCTCATCCTCATCCAAACAATCAGAGTCTCGACAGTCATTCGTTCTTCTGTCTCTTCATTCCAATCACTCTTTCAACTCTCTCTCTCTCTCTCTCTCTCTCTCTTATACAACTTCCAATCATTTAATCTTCGGATTTATTCCTTCGAGAACTCTCTCTATAACCACATTCTTTGTCATACCAACCAACCAACACAACCGCAACAATGGTCTCCTCCACTATCAGCTTCTCCGGCCTCATGTGCCTCGTCCTGGCTCTGGCCCCATCTACCGTCCTCTCTGCTCCTCAGATCCCGGGCCTCCCAGTTCCTGATTTGTTCAACCACCCCGCTGCTCCCACCGACAAAGGTCCCGGCAACAGCGACTCCGAAGCCGGCAGCGGTGTCCACGTTGCCATCCCCGGCGGACCCTACGTGAACGCCGGTGTCGGCTACAAGGATAGCCACCGCGGCCCCTGCGGCCCAGGCTCAGGCGATGACCACCACGCCGGAGCAGGCGTCGACGTCGGTATCCCCGGCGGTCCCTCCGTTAAGGTCGGCAACGGCGAGCACAGCCACCACGACGGTTACCCCTGCCCCGAGCCTCCTGCTCCCGCCCCGGTCGTCCCTGTCATGGCTCCCGCTCCTGCTCCCACTGCTCCAACCTACCTCCCTCCCACCTTCACCACACCAATCTTCATCCCAACCACCACCCCCGCAGCTGTCTGGTCTCCCGCTGTTCCCGTCGTTCAGCACTCCACCCCACTGATCCCCCGCCCTGCCCCATCTGCTTCTCCCGCGCCTTCCGTTATGCCCATCTTCAACGGTGCCTCCTCCATGGCACCGGGATCTTCCATCTTGGCAGTGGCTCTTCCTCTCGTCCTGGCTTTCTTCTACTAGAAGCTGCCGGTCTATAGGAATGCAGCCACGCTACCCAAGACGAAGATGGAGACGACATAACTACGGGAATGACGCCGGTATACCCCGACGGTTTTCCATGTCAGCGACAGGGACCTGGGGTTTATCTTGTGCATGCTTTTTTTCATGATTGATCACTTCGATGATTGATCGAAAACATTTTGTACCTTTTGTTCTTTTTTTTTTCTCTTCCTTGTTTACTTTTTGTGGATTGTTCCAAGATCCTTATAATGCTTTGTACCTCCCGGCTGGTGTACTCACCCTCAGATTTACCTGTATCTTCTGTGCTCGTTCATACGAGAGCTGATCTTTTACTTACTACCTACTAACTACTCACCTTTTATTTGGAACATTTCCTATCTTTTTTTATATCTCTTTATTTGTGCGTAAGCTATGCAGTTGATTCATATCTGGCGCTCGGGCGTGCGTTCGCACTATTCGGAGTTCCTTTGTTAAGATTACCTTTTGGTTTCTACTGGTGCTGTTTTGTCTTGTTTCTACTGAGTTCGAATATATTACTCTTGATATAATATCTGGTCCCTCTGTAATATTGATAACAGTAGACTTTCAGTGGAGCAATACAATGAAGTTTAAAAAATAATAGTCCAAAACAAACCATATAGAAAACTGTATGCAGCACATACATTAGACTGGTTCCATCCCTGTCGAGTCTAAACTTTTTGAGGACTCGATGATCTCCCGTGGCTGAGCGCCAAATCTTGGGGTCGACGCCAGGGGTTACTTACAGCTGTGATCTCGCAATATGATGTGTCTACATCTTCTAGAACTTTGATAGAGAACAGACTGCAATCTTTGGAATGGGACATTGCGCAAACCCAGCGGAGCTGATACGTAAGATAAGCAATCCAAATAACAAGGAAAATAGAATACAAGGAAATTGTTACTGTGCCCAGAAGTAGATCAACGCCAAAACTCATTTCATGTCATGCATATCGTATCTCGGAAATGAAACGAGCAAGTCACCGGGTCCGAATCCATGTCCAAGTCCAGGCAGTCGCATCCAATCTAGCTCGGAATACAGTTGCCTGGAAGCAAGGACTGGATCAAAACCAAGTTCTCTTGACTAAACTCGAGTTCTCATACCCCCATTGTGAAATCATGTTCAATGCCTGGCGTCACGCTGGCAATAAACTTGAGGAACACAACCAAGTACTGATCCACTCGAATGGCAACTTGCTCGTCCTCATCGTGCTGGAGCATCTCCCACTCATCCCCGCCGGGTTGTGCCTGATGTTCACCGAGCGATAGGCCCTGCGTCTCATCTACTAGGCCTTCCAACCCGCTGTTCCCGCCAGTTCGTAGAACCCGGCTCGCTTCTTCGCGTGACTGGGTCTGCTTGATCTTCTCGCGGCGCAGCTTGAGTGCTGCGTCGGCCCGGTCAAGGAGCGTCTTCATCACGGAGGCGTGGCGGCAGGGGTGCACACTGGCCATCTTGACACTTCCTTCGAACCAGGGGAAGTCCTCTAGCGTTACCGTCTTGTCCTTGTAGTCACCGACGATATCCTCCATCATTAAATGTGGTGGAAGTGGTTCTGATGGGGACAAATACCCAGATAGATATAGGCGGGGTGTGCGGTAGAAGTTAGAGTATGTGATGTAGAGTGTGTAAGTGCGGAGAGGTCTACTAAAAGGTCAGAATAATCGCGACAGTAAATGAAGAGATGTATACTCACTGCGTAGTCCCAGCCTGGCCAGCCGGCTCTCGAATAATAGCCTCCTCGTCATCGTCGTCGTCTTCCATATCCGGGATCTCATCATCATCCTCCTGCTCCCCCAGATTCCCAGATTCATCGACCGTCCGCACATCCCGGATCCTAGCTTCCTGCTTATCCTGGTCGCCAGCAGTGTCGCGCCCCCTCCAGTGCGCAACCAGCCATCCTCCCCATCCGCAGCATTTTCGCCGCCGTCACCGCCAGATAGGAAATCCCTCACGATCTCATCCTCAAGCCCCGCGTCGCCGGCGAAGTTATCGTTCAGTCGTCGGTGACAGGGCACGCCGCGGGTCACGAGGAACTGCTTGCCAGCTGGTAGATAGGAGACTCGCTTTGCTGGACTTGATGCGTCGCCCCAGGACCATGTGGGGAACTTGTAGACTAGGTAGTCGCCCGCGAGAACGAACTCCTCGGGTGTGATTTGGCCGGTGTTTCGGAAAGTCGAGGTTCGTGATACTGGCGCCAGGCGGTCCCGCCAGGTTGATAGTGTTGAGTGTAGGATATTCATGGTTTTGGATTATGTGAAGTGGTGAAGGTCTGGATGGGAGATGGAGGGGGGAAATGATAAGCGGTGGAGCACATGATCCGCCCCGCGTGAGCTTCGTCATTCCGACAACTTTACAGGTTCATATATGACATACATTCTTTGTCTATGACATGGCTGAAGGCTATAGGAGGCAAGTTTGAAGGTTCCGAAGGTAGTGCCTCTGGTTATATATATCTCACTCACTTTGGGAATTTCTTACTTTCAGGTGTTTGATCTATAGAGTAAAGGATATATATATAGTTCAGTGAACATTTGATATGTTACTGAAAATGTTATCTGGCATCATGATCTCGTGAACACAATTCTGTATCTAATCTTGAATCACAAGACATTTCAGGACATACAATAGGGGACATAAATGTGTCTATAGTGCCACTGACGAAGTCTTGGACAGTACACAAAAGCCTCGAAGCGAGTATGTTCCATGCATTGTTTCCGCCCTACTTTGGCCTCTCTTTTTTCACCCTTTCTTTCACACCTCTTTTTTGTCCACTTTCGAGTGCCTCGGGTTCATCACGTAGATTGTATAAAGTTGGTGGTGTGAAAGAACTTAACTACCGCCTACGACTATAGCTTGAAAGGCAAACGACCTACTAATCTGTTCGTATAATTTCACTTTTAGAATTACTATTCATTTGATTTCTCCATGCCTCTCTCGCTTCTCTCGATGATGAGGACAACTCAGACAATAACTTTAGTCCTAGCTATAGGAACGTACACAAGCATGGGGGATATAAAACCAGGTTACTTATCTTCGTTCCTAGTATCCATATCACTAGCCTTAAGGTGAGATAGTGGTTGGTACAATCTCTTGTTTTACACTAATAGCAATTTCTACTTCTCTTAGTCACAACGTAGTCAATGGACTAATTGACATAAGACTGCCATGGGCATAAATTGCTGGTGTTTATCTGAATGACACTAGATAGCTATATACCGAGAAAGATGTCATGGCGAGCAGGTCATAGTGGATCCTCAAGTCAAGTTAGTGCCCAAAGTCCTCAAAATGTCCTATTGGTGAGGAACAGGTGTCGAAGGGTAGGACCCAGCTCTTAAAGCCAATACTTGACCCATCAGCCAACCAGTGTTTTACTTGAACAACTGAATCTTCGGCCAGGATATCAACATCCCTCTCATAAACGGTTAGGACGTTGTGGGTGTGAGGCGGTTCACAGCAAGGATTTCTTCTGAGAGTGACCGTGATCTCACAGGAAGAGTCTGTCTGACGGGGCTTTCGAGGTGCCAGAGCTCCCTATGCCATCCGAGATATGATTTGGTAGCTCATAGCTTCTACAAGAGCTTCCCATCCAACATCACCTTTTGCCTGTGATCTAGGATTTCCAACATAATTCAACCCTCAGCTCACTCGCCTTCTTGCATCATTCGGCGTCGTTCAATCTCAGCTTCGACCTCATCCGGAACCATAGGAATGGTTTTATCCTTCCATTGACTAGCCTCGACCCGCATAAACCCTTCGGTACTTTGCAAAGCCACGACCAAGAAACCAAGCTCCTCACGATCAACATCGAAGACTTCCCACCAGTCGCCATCAACGAGCTTGACTCCTACTTCGCGCGAAGCAAGATAGATGGCAGCGACGGCTAGGGCATTGGGTTGATGTGTGACATATAGCAACTGAGGTGAGAGCAGTGCGGCGTTGAGATGCTGGATGACACGTTGAGCAACAGCGGGTTTTGCCACACCCAGAGTTTGTAGATATGTCAATGCAATAGTGTGCGGTAGGGCGACATGTGTATCGAAGCCGAGGGTGCGGAGGATGACGGACTCAATGCGAAGAAGCACCAATCGGGCGGATTGGTACCCGCCTTCCGTCAGGATGTAGGTTTCAGGAGCTGGAGGGGTCTTGGGAGCACCGTCTGGTTTCACAAACCACAAGGGCGAGGCATCCCGTGATAGAAGGAAGGTGTAGACATTGAGCACGGAGCGCGGGGAGGTGGGTAGGAAGGAAAGCTTGGCCGCTAGATAGAGAGCTGCAGCGGAGACATCCTACTCCGGTTAGTGGACACAAGGACAGAGAATTGAGGATAATTGGGGCTATATTACCTTGACTGAGTAAATTCGCAAGCTACCGCCGTCAGCTCCGAGCCAAAAACGCGTGAAGATCACAATGGCCTGGGAAATGATATCTTGCGACAAGTGCAGGAGAATGCCAGCGGTTTGGGTGAGCTGGGCACCTGCACAGCGGATCGAGGTTTCGAGATCAGCCGGGACGCCATCGATCGAGGACGAGGAGTTTGATAGCTGATCGGGGGTTGCTAGAGCGTTGGACAGGTGCTTCAACCCAGGATTGGTGGGAGCCATGACGAAGTGCAGAGAACGTGCAGTGACACAGATCCTAAACCGTACACGGGACGTAAATAGAACGACAACAATCAACACTATGTGGCGTGGCGAGAAGTCGTTATTATTTGGCAATCAGATCGCACAGGAAGAGTTGGTGGATCGTGGAGGTGGAGAGAGCTGTTCAGCCACCGCTATTTCGTTGCCCCAGCCTCTCTGTTTTCCTGCACGTCAAATCTCAAAAACATAGAGAAGATTAAACTTGACGTGAAACATTGTCACGTCTTCAATACTCCATCCTTCGTTTGACTGAGAGTATTTTCAGGGGTTGTTTCGTCTCTACTACTACTCACCGAGTCTTGAACGCGTCCCTACAAGCCCCTAAGTCTAGGCGCTGCACTCCAGCGCCACATTGGGCCGAGTTGACCAGGCATTTCCATTTGACCTGCTTGTGCTGTCATGATTCCCCCTCAGACCATGCCCCCCGATCTCTCTCACGCACCTGTCACCCTACATTCCGATGGCGCGAAGCACGAGACCATTACTTCGTCGCCCCTAAGATCGCCAGCTCCTTTAATCTCACGGAACAACACGCGCACTCTGCCTCTACACCGTCGGGCAAACACTGAATACATTGCACAACCCCCGCTCTTTGAAGAGGGACTGGAACACACGATATCAGACCGCTCGAGAAATACCCCTTGGAACGACACCTTTCCCAAGAAGAAGCTCGAAGCAAGAGCCAGGGTCCTGTCAGACTGGTTCCAGGGCAAGTCAGATCCAGTAGATTTGGGACTTAAAATGGGCCCCAACGGTGATTCACATGGCCCTGGGCTAGATAGCCGTCCGGCTTCAACATCCATGTCACATACACGAAAGAACTCGGCCCCGGTAACAAGTCGGTTCTCCTTTTTCGGCTTACGGCGACAAGAGAACAAACCTAGTTTCCCGGAACCGGCGGACGACGAGTTCCTCAACCTGGACATTACCGCGGCCCTAACATTACCCAACTCGGATACTACCGACAACGAGGCACTGGATACCCTAAGAGATCACGCCGACCAGGTGCTTCGACGAATGCAAGAGGCCTACAAGCAGCGCACATTCGCCATGCACCAGGCACTGGCCGATAAGAACGAAAAGCAAGAGGAGCTGGAAGAGACTCGCGCTAGAGTCGATCATCTAAAGATCCAGCTCGACGGCATGGCGGCCAAGGTGCTCGACCAGGAGAAAGCTATGCAGGCCATGGCCGACGAGCTGGAGCAAGAGAGGAATCTACGGAAGAGAGAGGAATCTCGAAGCCGCAGTCGCACTATGCGCGCGGTACACGAAGATGACGACGTCCCCTCCATGGCTCTCCAGACGCCCCGCCGCGGTGGTAAGCGTGCTAGTCATAGTACGTTCACCAGCGACTCTGGATTCGAGTCTGGTGACGAGAGCGTTGCCGATAGTGTCTTCTCGCAGCGTGAGGGCGTTGAGTCTCCAACCTCCACCCTCACAGCGCCATCCCCCAATATGTCTCAGATCGCCTTGTCCACGCCGACTGCCCCGACGCCTACCCCCACAATCCAGAAGAACCTGGTCGCCGTCACTAATGCACCACCACCTGCTCGTTCCTCGGCATACGACCGTGTTTTGAAGGGACTTGCTTCAACGCGTTTAGGTAGCTCTTTCGGTGGTAACTCTTCAAATTGCACCAATTGCTATGGTGTACCAGCCTCGGAGGCTTGGAGCGTCATGGGTGTTTTGAAAGACGAGAACCGGGGTCTTAAGACGCGCCTAGGCGAGCTCGAGGTGGTCATTGATGACTGTTTGGGTCTTGTTGGCCCTTGAAGCTGGATTTCCCACCTTCTTTATGCAATGTGTTGATCTTACGAGACCAGGCGTCCGGACGCAACATGGATTTACATGGAGTTTGATATGATTGGAGCTTGGATCCAAGTATATTCGTACAATAGAGAACTTCCACGCATTCGGTATATTTGGATACCCCGTAGACCCTGAACTGTTCATTAGTATCGTGGCCTCTAAAATGTGGGGATAGCTCCCTATGTTTTTTTGGGGGCGCACAACACATCGGGCTTGATTCGTGACAGGACCAAAAGCTCCGGATAATTAAATAGAAAACATTTAGCCAACTAGATCTCAAATTCGAGTTGCAATGTACTGGGTTGAGTCACTGTCAAGTGGTTGCGGCGAAGACCAAGTGGCCTTAATTAGCGCGGAAGCGAAAAGTGGCCAGCGAACCTCTTCTGTCCTCTTCTTCCCTCCTCCCCCCATCTCCCCTTCGACCTCTTCCCTTCCCCTTTTCTTTTTCTTTACTCCTCTTAATTGTCAAGACACTCCTTCAGCTGGTTTTTGACTCCAGCTTTCTCTATTTCTCTTTGACGGATTGGGAGGACGTTAGCCACCATGAGCGGCCGTGAGTCCCCGAACCCTCGTCTTGCACGCGATCGCGGCAATCCGTCTCGAATCGACTCAATGGATCATCGAATGCTGATGGAGGATTACAGTACGCTTCCTTGACTTGATCAAGCCCTTTACGCCCCTCCTCCCGGAGGTGGCAGCTCCTGAGACCAAGGTGCCCTTCAACCAGAAGTTGATGTGGACTGGTGTACGTCGCCTCGAATCTGCTACAGCGCAACATTTGGATTCTAACCAGTCTGTTACAGTTGACTCTGATGATCTTCCTGGTCATGAGTCAGATGCCTCTTTACGGCATTGTCTCCTCCGACACTTCGGACCCCCTGTACTGGCTCCGTATGATGCTGGCCAGTAACCGTGGTACTCTGATGGAGTTGGGTATCACCCCCATCATCTCCTCTGGCATGGTCTTCCAGGTATGCGATACCACGGCGCTTATTTTATGCGACAATTGTACTGACGGCTGTTTTTCTAGCTCCTTGCCGGTACCCACCTCATCGACGTCAACCTTGACCTCAAGACCGACCGCGAACTCTACCAGACCGCCCAGAAGCTGTTTGCTATCATCCTCTCCTTCGGCCAGGCTTGCGTTTACGTCCTGACTGGTCTTTACGGCCAGCCCAGCGACCTTGGCGCCGGTATCTGTGTTCTCCTGATTGTTCAGCTTGTTGTTGCTGGTCTGGTTGTCATTCTGCTGGATGAGCTCCTCCAGAAGGGCTACGGTCTGGGCAGCGGTATCTCTCTGTTCATTGCTACCAACATTTGCGAGTCCATTGTCTGGAAGGCCTTCTCCCCCACGACCATCAACACCGGCCGTGGCCCCGAGTTCGAGGGTGCCATCATCGCTCTCTTCCACCTTCTCCTGACCTGGCCCGACAAGCAGCGTGCCCTGTACGAGGCATTCTACCGCCAGAACCTGCCAAACGTCATGAACCTCTTGGCCACTCTCCTCGTTTTCGCTGCTGTCATCTACCTGCAGGGCTTCCGTGTTGAGATTCCCGTCAAGTCTTCTCGCCAGCGTGGCATGCGCGGTTCTTACCCCGTCCGGCTCTTCTACACCTCCAACATGCCCATCATGCTGCAGTCCGCTCTGTGCTCCAACATCTTCCTGATCAGTCAGATGCTGTACTCCCGCTTCTCCGACAACATCCTTGTCAAGCTCCTCGGAGTGTGGGAGCCCCGTGAGGGATCCGCCCAGCTCTACGCTGCCTCCGGTATCGCCTACTACATGTCTCCCCCTCTGAACTTCAAGGAGGCTCTCCTCGACCCCATTCACACCGCTGTCTACATCACCTTCATGCTCGTTGCCTGCGCTCTCTTCTCCAAGACCTGGATTGAGGTTTCCGGCTCCGCTCCCCGTGACGTTGCCAAGCAGCTCAAGGACCAAGGTCTCGTCATGTCTGGTCACCGTGAGCAGAGCATGTACAAGGAGCTCAAGCGTGTTATCCCCACTGCCGCTGCCTTCGGTGGTGCCTGCATTGGTGGTCTGTCCGTCGCCTCTGACCTCCTCGGTGCCTTGGGCAGTGGTACTGGTATCCTTCTTGCCGTCACGTAAGTTACCTTTTCTTCCATTTGAATTGACTCCAGCTAACATTGATACAGTATCATCTACGGCTACTTTGAAATTGCCGCCCGCGAGGGTGACATTGGCGCTGGCCTCAAGGGCCTCGTCCCCGGCAGCTAGACGGACTGCCCGTTCTTTTACGAGCAGCATGACTTGGGATCATTCCATTGTTCCTTTGCAACTCTCTGTTTAGTTTTTGTCACTTTTGTTCGTTATTTGTTATACTTTTTGGGTGAATGTATTGGCATTGCCTGTTGCGGCTGGATTGGAGCCATGTCCGTCTGATCATAGCAGACAATGGCCAATGAAATGCGCTCTACTTGAGCCCTGTAACCATATCTTCTAGAAAACCAAAACCACATATTCAATTGCCATGATCTGTTTCCTTGAACATATACTTTCTCGATCAACAGTATTCTAGTCCAGATAAACGATTCCGATATTACTGATTTAACCCGAAATCAATTCCTTTATGTATATATAACAATATCAATCCACACCCTTCTCTCAAGTCCGGTAATCACCATTAATAGTAACATACTCATGACTGAAATCACAGAACCAGTAAACAGCATCCTCTCCACCACACCCAGCATCCCCCTTCTCACCACCACCAAGATCAACAACAATCTCCAGATCCTCATTCTGCAAAATAACACTAGCCCGCTCCTCATCAACAGACTCGGGCTCCCCATTAACAAGAAGGTTCAACACAGCACTCCCATCCACAGGCCGGAAACTAACAGACGTCCGCTCGGGCACAATAGTACCCTCAGCAACACCCTGCGTATAACCAACCGCACACAGAATCCGGCCCCAGTTCGCATCCCGTCCATACAGGGCAGTCTTGACAAGCGGCGAGCGCGCAATCGTCGACGCAATCTGGCGCGCGGACTCGTAGTCAGGTGAGTTGGTAACGCGCACGGTGACGAACTTCGTCGCACCTTCGCCGTCGCGGACGACTAGCTGCGACAATTCCTGCGCGAAGTCTGTTAGGACGCTTTGCAGGGCTGTGTAGTCTGCGCTGGGGGAGGAAGTGGAAGTAGGGGCGCGGACGGTCTCGCCGCCTGCGGCGCCATTGGCCAGCACGGCGATTGTGTCGTTTGTACTTGTGTCGCCGTCGATGGAGATTGAGTTGAAGGAGCGGGAGACGGCGTGCTTGAGGAGGGGTTGAGGGCTGCGGCTTCGACGGGCGCGTCTGTGCAGACGACGCCGAGGAGGGTGGCCATGTTCGGGTGGATCATGCCGGCGCCTTTGGTCATGCCGGCCAGGCGGTAGGTGAGGTTTGGCGAGGAGGGGAGGGTGAAGGTCCGCGAGAGGAGCTTGGGGAAGGTGTCTGTTGTGCAAATTGCGCGGGCTGTCATGAGCCAGGCTTCGTGGGTTGAGGCGAGGGTTGAGTGGGCTGTTGGGATGCGGTCGAGGATCTTGGTGATTGGGAGACTATGGGGTTGTTAGTACCGGGTGTGCTTTGCTTGTTGGCTTTTTTTCGTATCTGGTAGGTTGTAGTTGACTTACCGTTGCCCAATGACACCGGTACTCATGACCAGCGAGCTATCATTCTCGACGCCGTTGCACTCATCGACCTTTCGGCCCATCTGCACTGCATCTTCCAGTCCACCCTTGCCAGTCACGGCATTGGCACATCCGGAGTTGATGACAACAGCCCGGATGCCCTCACCCTTGCGGCTATGCAGTGTCTTCTTGCTGACCTGCACTGGCGCAGCTTGGAACTTGTTGGTGGTGAACACTGCGGCGGCCGAGCACGGCGTGTCCGAGGCAATCAGGGCCAGATCCGGGAAACGCGTGTTGGAGGCCTTGACACCCACATGGGTGCCAGATACCTGGAAGCCCTGGGGGTACGAGCCGCTCGCGGGGATGTAGCGCTGCTTGGAGGCCGGAATAGCCATGTCCAGCGGTGCGGAGTAGCATCGCACTTGGCCTTTGACCATGCGGGCAAAGGATGCCATTGTGGGCTGAGTGGTTGGAACCATGACAGTGTATGAGTCCTAAATAATAGACTGGGCTCTCTCCACTATATAAGCTGGAGGAGATAAGATGGTTGAGTCACTGAGCGGAAAAAAAGTAGCCGGTCTCGGCGCTCCCGACTCGGCTTTGTCTGCACGAGATGAGCCCACCTTGAGAAAGGAACGAGATATTGTGTACTTGACTATGAGATGGCAGTTGAGTTGTTGAATTGTTGGATTCTTATAGTAGAGCTGAAGTTCAGTGCAATTCCTGCTTTATGTATTTCATTAGATGAATTGAGCGATTATTCGGGCCAAAAACGCTCCCAATACAATAAAGCGTATTACAGTCGCAAAATTGCAGATTTACCAAAGATTTTCAATCTACTAGCGAACAATCAAGCCCATTTATGGAGTACAGAGTACAGTACGCCTAGTATAGTTGGCGAGACGGAGTCGGAGAAACCCATCCGCTTCTCTTCAATATTCCCGATACCAGATTCCATTCCTCGATTTCTAATTAAGCCCTACATTCCAGTGTCAGACCTGCAGCTCCCTGTAAGCTCAGCGAAAGAACGTCCGCTATCACCCCCGGCCAGGCCATCCCTTGCGTCCCCGTCCCTGTGCACATTCTCCGGATCTGATGGTATTGTTGATTCCTTTCCCTTCGCGTCCAAATCGACTAGGTTCTGACCCGTCCACCATGAAGCGCAAGCTCTCAGATTCCGGCGAGACGCCGGCAGTGTCAACCCCTAAAAGACGACGTACAGTCCTAGAACAAGCCAATGGCGCCCTGAACGGCCACGCGCCCACGCATCCACCCCCGAACGGCGATGCCTCCTACGAGCTGCCTCCCTCACAAAGGGACCTATCAACGCCAAAAAAGGCCAACGGGATCTCTGCAACGCCGCTGAAAGAATCAGGTCTCAAGACCCCGACCCATAAGTCCAAGGCTCGTGGTCTATTCGCTACACCAACCAAGCCCAAATCTGCCACCGCGGCTACTCCGTCTCGAGTCAAGAACGCCGATCGGTCAGCGAAGAAAAAGAGCGCGCGCGTGCTTTTCGAACAGGACGAGGATGCAGCCTGGGACGGATCGGAGCGGTTAGCAGAGGAAATCCTACAGGGCGACGAGCCGGATACAGAGAAGGCGGCTCCGCCGTTGGCGGATAGCATTGAAGCTGATCCTGAAGAGGCAGCGGAGAAGGGTGCAAAACAGCCCAAGCGCCGTGCGGGACGACCCAAGGGCGCGAGGAATAAGCGTTCGCCAACGCCGGAGGGTGAACTCCCTGCGCATGAACGGTATTTCTTCCAGAACCGTGCTGGTCCTGTCAAGACGTCGAATGCCAACCTTAACAAAGTGTCGCTGTTGACGCATGAGGAGTATTTCGAGAAATTGGGACAGTATGAGGACCCCTGCAGGGACGAGAAGGAGTATCTGCTCTCTTTGCACCACCGGTCTTTCCCGCAGTGGGCATTCGAGTTCGATGAAGGGTTCAATATCTGTATATTTGGATATGGGTCGAAGCGCAAGCTTGTCGAGCAGTTTGCCGATTGGACATATAATCATAGCCTGTCGACCACTGCGCCTCCATCTATTATTATCGTCAATGGGTACACGCCGGGTATCTCTATCCGATCAATCTTCGCTACGATCGTTACGGCTGTGATGGGTGACGATGTCCCGTCCAAGCTTGGTGCACAGCCAACAGAAGTCCTGGAGTTGCTGCAATCTGTGCTCAAATCCCGCGGAGAAAATGAAGAGCCTGTTACAGTTTTGATCAACTCGATCGATGCCCCGCCTCTTCGCCGCGCAGCAAACCAGGCCCTCCTCGCCCGTCTGGCTGCTACACCGCGCATCCGCCTGCTGGTCACGGCGGATACCCCCAATTTTCCAGTGATGTGGGATATCAGTCTGCGCGACCAGCTCAACCTCGTCTTCCATGACTGCACAACCTTCCTCCCCTTCTCCGCGGAGGCAGACGTCGTCGAAGAAGTCCACTCCCTCCTTGGCCGCAAGGGTCGCCGCGTCGGCGGCAAGGAAGGTGTAGGCTTTGTGTTGAAGAGTCTTCCAGAGAATGCGCGCAACCTATACCGCCTCTTATTGACAGAACTGATCACTGTTATGGACGACGGCAACCAGTCCGACGATGAAGCACCAGCAGATGGCGGCAAGGCCGATGAAACGGGTATTGAATTCCGCCAGCTTTACCAGAAGGCAACGGAGGAGTTTGTCGCTTCTTCTGAGATGATGTTCCGTACATTGTTGAAGGAATTCCACGACCACCAGATGATCACTTCTCGCATGGATGCTAGCGGTGGTGAGATACTAGGTGTTCCTCTGTCTCGTGATGAGATGGAGGGCGTGTTAGAGGATCTGGTGCTGGGGTAGTGTAGATTTCCCCCTCTCGTTCTCTGTAGGTGTGGAATAGATCAAGACTCATGATACCCTGTATGAATAAACTGTTTACAAATTCTCTAGCGTCGGACAAGTCATAGCAGTAGATCAGATTGATCCTTGGTAGGTTACCGAGAACGATAGCTGTTTAGATGTATGTACATGTAGCTTGCTTCCAATAAAGCGCAACCCTCAGAACTGCGCGAAAGCAGCAAGCGCCATCATAGCCCCGAAACTCATCTTAAACGGCCGCTTCTCACTCATAGCCCGCTTCAAGTCGACATTCTTAACATACTTCTGCATCCGATGAAGGGGAAGGATATTGTAGCCCTTGGAAGCAGCGTACTAAACGAGCGAAAAGAAAAGAGTATTAGCATATACCATCCATATACCATCGCAAACAAAACAAAGCATAACTTATACATACCTCAACAAGAACAACCCCCAAACCAAAAATAACAACCAAAGCCCTCGAAAAAGCCCTCAACCCCACACCAGCCACAAGCCCCAAAACACACCCCAGACTAACCTGCCGCATTCCCTCCGCCGTGAGTAGACCCGTCCGCGCACTCTGTCCCTGTTTCTGCGCCATTGATTCAGATGCTCCGTTGTTAATCGTCCATCCGGACCCGGTTTCTTTATTGAAGAGGGCTTCGCTGGTGCTGGGTGCTGTGTATTGGCATTGTAATGGGGCGGCACGGAAGGGCGAGGTTGGGTGTAGGGTTGCAGCGCTGAGACCGATGCTCAGGCTTAGACCTAGGCGAAGGAGGGTGCTTGGTTGGTGGGTGAATAGTTTGAAGGACATTTTTTGTGGTTAGGGTTTAATTAGGGATTGGAGCTGGGATTGAAGTTGGTTATTGGGAGTGTAGATGTAGATGTGAGTTGGAGCTCCCTTGTTAGATGGTCGATCAGATCTGTGATGTCATAGCTTGGGGTTGGGTTACTCTTTTGGACTTTACACGTTACTTTATGTTATTGGATTATATTTTTTTATATACACTGGTCGTATACTCATTTGAGCTGAATATCAATCAATGCCAAGTACATACGTGCGTCTATGTGCAACATACAGTTAACGCGTCTATAGAGACCGTTGGCACGCCCTACAGGCGTTAGACCCCATTGGGTTAGTCACTCTTGGCTGGTCTGGGCGCCTTCTATCCTTCTATGTACGTCTTATGTTAACGTTAACGTTAACTTACTCCGTGCATAGGTACAGTATAAGAGTGCAGGTCTATGTTAATAGTGAAGTGACTTGCCTGTTACCTGACTAACATACAGTATTGTGCCTGGATCGACAAGTTAAAGTTTCCTATGCGAGAAATGCCCTAAAGTGCTCATGCGGGTCTCTACTTTCCAGATTACTACGCAGGCGTACACTGCCAAGGTGACTAATAAAACTACCAAGTCCCAAGGTTAGAGGCTTGGAACCTTCCATAGACAGCAGGCGGTCAAGTGTACACCGCGGGGCCATTCAGGATCTCCTCGGGAAACGACCTCGGAGCTTCGAGGGGCATTCCGGTGGGCCTGAGGCGAGGGTAAACTGTATTTCTGATCGGTTTGACTCATTCCCTTTTTTCCCCATCCTCTCTCACTTTTGTTTCTTTTCATTCCTCTCTTTTCCATATCCTTTTTTTTATTTACACACACTTCATAATGGCTACTACAAACGGTACCTCCGGCAATGACTTCACTGTCAAGGCCGGCCTTGCTCAGATGCTGAAGGGTGGTGTAATTATGGACGTCGTGAACGCTGAGCAGGTACGTCTGAAGAATTGACCTCATTTCGCATAACGACGATTCTAACTTATTCAATTACTAGGCCCGCATCGCCGAAGAGGCCGGTGCCGCCGCTGTCATGGCCCTCGAGCGTGTCCCCGCTGATATCCGCGTTGAGGGCGGCGTGGCTCGCATGTCCGACCCCAGCATGATCAAGGAGATCATGGAAGCCGTCACAATTCCCGTCATGGCCAAGGCCCGCATTGGCCACTTTGTCGAATGTCAGGTATGTAAATCCTCCGATCACCATCGTTTTGCGGGGGAGGGGCAAATGGGGTAAAAAAAAAACTGGAGTGGCGGTGGAGGCAAAAAAGAAACCAGTTCAAGTTCAGCAACTAACACTTGCCTCACTACAGATCCTGGAGGCCATTGGTGTCGACTACATCGACGAGTCCGAAGTCCTCACCCCCGCTGACGATGTCTACCATGTCACCAAGCATGGCTACAAGGTCCCCTTCGTCTGCGGCTGCCGCAACCTGGGTGAAGCCCTGCGCCGTATCTCCGAGGGCGCCGCCATGATCCGCACCAAGGGTGAAGCTGGCACTGGCGATGTCGTCGAGGCTGTCAAGCACATGCGCACTGTCAACGCACAGATCAGCCGTGCCCGCGGTATCCTCCTTGCCAGCGCGGACGCCGAGCCCGAGCTGCGCGCTTTCGCCCGTGAGATCGAGGCTCCCTATGAGCTTGTTCGTCAGGCTGCTGAGCTGGGCCGTCTGCCTGTTGTCAACTTCGCTGCTGGTGGTGTTGCTACTCCCGCCGATGCGGCGCTTATGATGCAGCTCGGCTGTGATGGCGTCTTTGTTGGCTCTGGTATCTTCAAGTCTGGTGATGCTAAGAAGCGTGCCCGTGCTATTGTCCAGGCTGTTACTCACTTCAAGGATCCTAAGGTTTTGGCTGAGGTTAGCCAGGGTCTTGGTGAGGCTATGGTTGGTATCAATGTGAAGCAGATGCCTGAGGCTGATAAGCTGGCTGGTCGTGGCTGGTAAATGTGTTTTTCTTTTAGTTCTGTTTCTCTTCTTTTCAGCCTTATCATTGTTGCACCTAAAAGAATACTGTACATGAGCCACGAGCAGATACCAAATACTACAAACTAGACATTTTGGCATTCCATTTATGTGGACTTCGAATTACTCATCTCTATGCTGAATGCATACCGGCTTCAATACGTACATTGGAATGAATCCGTAGAAATAACCTAAAGCCAAGTCCGCCAGCACATATCTAGATCCCCGGAGAATACTTCTGATAAGTTCGATTGAACAAGATCCGCAACCTGATAGGCCACCATCACCGAACCACCGATCGCCTTCGAGACGGGCAAGATGCACCAATACAATTGGTGTTTTCTGCCCGCGCTCAGACGACAGCCGAATGGATCTACGGGTGACAGTTAGTCTAATGCTACCGAGTCCATTCTCCGGGGCCCCGTATCACTCCGAGGCTCCGGGGGAACGGAGTATGTTATGGTTGTTTCCAAGCCCTAATTTGTTTACCTTGGGAAGGGGATCTTGTACTAGGAGTCATACGTAACTTGTATGTTTGTATTGGGTAGAAAACTTGGCTTAGATACTGTTCGTTAAATTACGGGGTTTGGAATAAGAAAAGCGAGAATAGTCAAGACATTTTGCTTGTTCTTATAGGCATAACACTTTGTTTGACTACTCTCACCATAGACGCCTTACTGAAGATCTGCCCGGTTCCAAGTTCTAGTTCAATGTAAACTTCAAGAAGCAAAAGTATCTCGCAGGTTTGATTCAACCATGCGTATAATGAACACGACCCTTCACAAATGTAATTAACTGAGATCAATAATCCAGTTCCAAACACCACGCACTAAATGCATAAGTCAAATGGCATTCCATCAAATGACAAAATATACCGCTATGCTATATACAAAACAACAAATACAACACCAAACCCCAATCTATAAATCTCAAATTTCAAATAGACTCACCCCAAGAAACCCACCTCCGAACACAATCATCAATACTCTTAAGCGCCTCCTTACTAGCCTCAACCTCAAACCACTCTCGATGCTCCTTCCCACAATCCGCACACTTCCCAAGATCCCGAACCCTCAACGCCGCCAACTCAAGATGAATAAGCCTTTCAACACGATGAACATGCGGAACTTTCCGACCAGGCGCTAGCATCTCAGCAGCGCCCTTTTCCTTTTTCCTAGCCGGCGAAGATGATGAAGAAGAAGAAGACGTGTAAGGATAGTATCGAATAAGCGTTAAATCATGCGAACACTGCTTCGACCACTCATTCAACCGACGGTGCACATTACTCGTGCGCCCAATCTTAAGCCGTATCGTGCCTGGACTTATCGATGTCGGGTTTGAGGATAGAGCGTTGAGATCCTTCGCGGTGCGGAGTGCATCGCTCACGCTGCGAGATTGGGCTGGGGGCCGGAGATGGGTGCTGTTGTTTGGTTGGGCTGGTGGGATGAGGGAAGCTGCTAGTTCTCGCGATGGCAGGGTTGGTGGTTCGCCTCTTGTGCTTGTTGTTTTCTGGGGCGTTACCCAGAACATGTAGATGTAGCCTTCGTCGTCGGCTTCTGAGATTGGTTTGGCTAGTTCTGTGAGGAGGGTTGAGGTTGTTTGTGGCGGTAGTGTTGGGGGATCCAGGATAGCAGGGATTGGGTTTGTGAGGATGTTGATGAGTGTCTTTGTTTCTGGGCTTGGGGCCGGGTTGGGCCTTGGTTGGATGGTGCTGGTACTCGGCCGTTTTGGGGGCGTTGGGCCGAGGTGGGTTTTGGTTTTTGGGCTCCTTTATATGGAGTTTGGTATGGTGATGGTCCAGTTGGACGTTGTTGCATAGGTTTCTGGATGGGTTTTGAAGGGGTGCCACCGTCACTGTCCTCGTCGATTGTAAAGCAGCAGAACGTGCTCTTCTTTCTTGGTCGACGTTTTTCGCTAAGACCTGTCTTGCCTGGAAGTTGGGTCTGCTTTCGCTGCTTTTTCTGAGGAGCAGATCCATCATTGATTTCAAGTACTCCGAGGCGATCCATTAAGGTATCGATGCTCGTCCTCGGATTTCCCTCGGGAATCGAGCTGACGCATGGCGCAGATGTTATCGCCTGGTCTTTATGTTGCCAACAGTATAGCGACTCCAAATTTGTCGCTTGATAGTTTGTGCCCTTTTTCTGGGTCACTGAGGGCGAAGAGCCCTGTGTAGATGCCAAGACTCGGCGGCAAGGCCGCCCATTCGCGGTGATTCCTTTACATGTTGTTGCTGGGTTCCGGGAGTCTGCGCGAGCGAGCAGTGATTCAGGTGTGTTAGCGATATGAGGCATAGAAATAACACATAAGGGTAAGATGCCTTACAGAGTTGTCAGCCTAAAAATGTCAATGCAATGCGGTGAGGAATGCAAAAAATAGTTGTCTACTCTCCACCTGATCTCCACTGTATCAATACTATTTTTACCTGTGGCGCAGGGTAAACATGAGGCGGTGCATCCCTGTCTACATAAGAAATCATCAACATTTAAATAGACCAATATCGCATAGAATTAATCAAATGATCCTACACCGCATATCATGCAAATGGATATCTAAACAAACGAACCAAAGTTGCAGGTCCCATCAACTCCTCATCATGTCATATTCACGCGCAACCTCATCACTGAGCATAATCGAAATTCATTCCGCGGCATTTCAACCAAAAGGCACGCACAATATCGAGTGACTGTTTCTGGGCACCGCGGGCAATAGCAAGGGACTCCAAGAATCGAGATTTGTCCTGCGGGGAGAGAAGAGGCACCTGCTGTCCGCTTGGATCTGTGACCTGCGCATTCAAAGAGTCGAGTGCAGCTCTCAGAGCCGGACGAGCCAGTACCATTTTTTTGAAAATAATACGTCGGAGGGCATCGTTTAGTGAAACCAGGTCTGACCTTGCGCACTGGCCTGCAATTTGTTGGATGATGGTATAGCACAAGCGCGGGATGAATTCTCGATGGACTGATTCAATGATGGAAGTTTGTTCTTGGGAATTGCCGCGGAGGTCGATTAATGCAATCCAAAATAATGAGGCGGATCGGAGAGGGAGGGGTTCAGGCCGTGTTAATGCGTGAAGCGTGAAATGGAGTAGCACAACGAGAGGAGATTCCGGGCTGAGCTCTGGTCCGGAAGTAAACAGAATCGGATAGTACTTTGGCAGGAGACGCGCCAGGAAGTCAATCCCAGCATTCGCAGTCTCTGGATCATACAAATCTGGGTTCTGAAGCATCGAAGAGAACAGTTGGGCGACATGATCGATCAACGCTGCGGCTTCGCTGCGAATATTCATGGCATGAGAAGCGTGGGATGCCAAAAATGATGATGCAGTCGCCATGATAACATCTGTTCCAGCAATACCAAGTGGGAAGCTTTTGATGAAATCAACCGTCATCGAGGGCGGGAAGACAAAAAGCCCTGCTGTCTCTGTGTACCCAGCCTTCAAAATATCGCAGGCTGCTTCGATAATGCTGTTATCCACGGGGAAGTCCACAATGAGAAGTCTCATGGACTCCATGATTAACCTCTGAGCTTCGGCACCCGGTCCGGCGTTCCAGAAAGACGGGGGATAAGGGTTTCCTTCCGATAGAGTGTCAATATTGATGGGTTCATCGTTTTCAGAACGAAGACCCCTTCCAATACTTGCAATGCAGCTCAGTACAAGGTGACCGCGTGCACGACCAGACTCATGTGCAGGGCCGGTGACCTCTGCACGCGCTGTGTTAGCTTCTTGGACAAAGAAGCTTAGGATTCTCTCCAGGGTTTGCACTTTCTCTTGATCGGTGGACAGGTTCTGAATGATAGTCGCAATGCCTTCCAAAACCTTTGGCATGGTGGAAACGGTTGCCGTCGGCTTGCTTCTGAACTGGTCCAGCTGATCTAAAAATGCCGGAAGATCTGATGTCAACACGCGGGCGCAGGACTTTGAGAGAGTCAAGATAGATCTTGAAGCTGCTTGAGCACACAGTTCGTAATTGAGAGAGTCAAACAAGATGTTGAGAACACCAGCAAGTAATGCACTGTGTCGTTCAAAGTATGATTGATATTTTCCGAACGAATCCACCAGGGTCTGACGAGCCTTAAGCGGTATCTCTGTCTCACCACCAGCGCAAAGCCGGGCGAAGGAATCACTTCCGAAAATAGCGTCGAGACACTGATCGGCGTGGCCATTTTCGTCCACTGCCTCTGAGAGTTGAGCGATGCAGAACATAGCTGTCTCGAAGTTACGCCAGTCCCGAGCCTCTAGGTAAGAGGTTGCGCTTCTCTGGAACACAGTCACTAGTTCGACACCAAGGACTGGGTATGCTGATAGAAGGTAGTCACAAGCATCATGGCGGAAAGCGCTAAATTCGCTCCGCTCTTCATCGGTCCAATCTTCCAAGTCTTCAGAACTAGGGTATAGTAACTTGCTGGAAAGTCCCAAGACGACTTGAGCTACATGGGACTTCACCAGCTGATATCTCGAGCTATCTTTTTCCAGTTCATCGGGGAGGCTCTCGGCGATCTCGTTCCAAAACTCTAAAACCCGTGGGGTACCGAGATCATCAATGGCAGCATATCCAGGAGTCTCAAAGATACCGTGCACGAGGGCCAGAATCGCCGCATTTTGTGGTGTAACTGGGTCACTGAAGATGTCCAAGTGTAAGTGTGAGACGTAGGCTATCAGTAGGTCGACAAACGACATGCTCTCGTTGCCTTCGTCTCCACTTCTCACTGCAGCGATACGCGCTGTGACGAATGAATCGGCAAGAATCTCGGATAAAAGCCAAATTGAACCATTGTCAAAGGCCCAGCGGCGGCTTTCAAAAGCCTGGGTCAGAATAGAAGCTGCGCTTTCACTCAGGCTAGGAACCCTCAGCGTTTCGATGATAGTCTGGCCACAATTTACGGCCAAAGTATTGATGTCTTCAGCGGAAGACCGTTGACGGTTGCCATGAACTCCTAGCCATGTCTTTCATGAAATCAGCCATAGGGTGAATAAGAATGAATTGAATGGACTCACTTTCCAAGAACTCATGGCTTCAGCCCCCAGTGCCACATCAACCGCATCATCCCCAGCTACCTTTGTGTGATGTGCCATCTCTCTTAGGACATACTGAGCTAGAAGCAACCCGTCCTTGATGTTCAAGATGGCGCGCTGGATAGCGGATTTATCCCCAGCCCCATCCTGAGGTTCCGAATCCAGCCTATAAGCCTCCTCGGCGAGTGCTATTGAGAAGAACAGCAATGCACCCGATCCGTTCTTGCCCAATGCTGGCAGTATGCGCCCCTGGAAATCCACCGCTTGTGATTCTTCCTCTGATATATACCCGCCGTGGACGAGGCATGCAGCAAGCTGCCACACAGCTTGCTTCCAAGGTGTAACCGGGTGTCTGAAAATGGCGACCAGGCTCGAAGCGAGCTTCCGTACGACCATTGCTTGTTCACCCTTGATGACCAAAGCGACAAAGCGATTGATGAGGTGCTGCATTATCTCCGTCGCTGCGTTCTCGTTGATCTCATTCCTAAATACAATTAGTCACTCGAAAATATCAAATAGAGCTGAAATGCAACGGATATCGTTCTGGGCGATTGAAACCTACCAGGAGACATTGATCTTCACCGTGAAAGTGAGTGCTCCCATGAAGCGATGCTGGGTAGAGTGCTCACTTTGCAGAAGTGAATCGGCAATTGCCCACGCATGTTCCGTCTTTTGGAGTTGTTGAAGTCGTGTCTGGATCTCGTTGATCCTGGCGGGGTCTCGTTGGTTTGCCGGGTTGTAGAGTTCAGTAACTAGCTGGTAAATGGTTAGCTGGAGCTCAAATAGGGGATTGGTGTTCATACAATATGGGTTTCAGAGATTGACTCTCTGGCCCCAAGGCCCTCGTCGGACATCCAAGTTGCCATGTTGTCCGCGAAGCGCGTGGTTGCTAAAGTGAAAAAGAGAAGTGTATACAAGCACGGGGCTAAAAGCTGGCAGAAACTGGTGTTTGCATCATTGGCCCAATCAATACAGAGGCGGTATACAGGGCGGTGAATGTGGGGTTCCTCAAGTGTTTATCCAGTACATGTATACTCTTCTGTATACTCTTCTCTATACTCTTCTCTCTTTTCTCTATCCCATGGCAAAGGGAATTGGTTAATATATAAGAAACAAGACACTGATACCTTGGATGCTTTATGCCGGGATTCATTTATTTGAACCAGAGCACTGGGATCGTTGCCCTCAGACTATTGTATAGTCCCCAGTCTCTTTCATTCATCTTGAACAGATGGTTTTAGGACACAGAATGTCATTTTAGCTCTGCTCTGGTCCGCTCTGTCTATGTCATATCCTACATGGCCTATCTTAATGAAAGTGTATGATTTTGTTTCAATAGTTTAGTGTATTGAATCCTTTCCGGCTGTCCTGCCTATGAAATACATAATATTATACCAATATAACCAGGCTCATCTTATATACCAAGGGACTGAGGCTAACAATGTATTTGTCTATCAAAATCTCCCAAAAAACCAAAAAAACCCAAAAGAAAAAGGGCAAGGTCCAAGTATAGAGTGCAAACATAAAAGTGGGCCGAGCTGTCCGGAGATCCAACCTCTCCACCTGGTAAGGCCACTCACACGACCTGAAAGGAGCTCGTCATCGCACTTGTCCCGATTCTTTGGCTTTTGGGACAATTTGAGGATTCTCACACATCCCCCTCCCCATGCTCCTCTCCTCAATTCGCCTTTCATCTTTCCGATCGCTAAGGCCTCTTTCCCGCCCGAGATTCTTTTCTGTCTTCGGCCCGCGTTACACAGTCGATATGGCGACCGTCGATACCGCCGAGCGGCTCTCGAAGCTCAGGCAGTTGATGCAGCAGCACAAGGTGGATGTTTACAGTATGGCATCACTTCAGCTTTTCGGGTTGTTCGAGCTTGAATTTGCGCTAATCAGTTATCTACAGTTGTGCCCTCAGAGGATAGCCATCAGTCCGAGTACATTGCGCCCTGCGACGCCCGCCGAGGTTAGAGACTAGCCCCTTCCGCGCATCCTCCTGCACCAACGACTGACACAGTATAGAATTTATCTCGGGATTCTCTGGCTCTGCCGGTACTGCTATCATCTCTCTCAGCAAAGCCGCCCTGTCCACCGATGGACGGTATTTCAATCAAGCCGCGAAACAATTGGATAGCAACTGGGAGCTCTTGAAGCGTGGAGTCGAGGGTGTGCCCACATGGCAAGAATGGTATGCGGCGGCAATTATGTGGGGTGCTCTACACAGGATACTGAACGTTTGGATAGGACTACAGAGGAGGCCCAAGGAGGCAAGGCTGTTGGTGTTGACCCTTCCCTGATCACAGCCGGTAAGTTTGCCTATCAAGGTTGATGTGGACGGTGAAACTTACTTTAATAGCTGGTGCACGGAAACTCGCAGAGACGCTGGAGAAGAGCGGCTCATCTCTCGTCGGAGTCTCGGAAAACTTGATAGACTTGGTTTGGGGCAAGGACCGTCCAGCTCGTCCTAGCGAGAAGGTGCGCGTGCATCCCGAGAAGTATGCCGGCAAGACCTTCCAGGAGAAGGTTGCCGAGCTTCGCAAGGATCTCGAGTCCAGAAAGAAGGCCGGTTTCATCATCTGTAAGAATATTTAACCTGTAACGAAACTCTACAAGTGACTGACCGATTGCAGCTATGCTTGATGAAATTGCTTGGCTATTCAACCTGAGAGGAACTGAGTAAGAGAATACTCTATCCAACGCAGATAATAGCCTACTAACTCTGTCCAGTATCCCCTACAACCCTGTGTTCTTCTCCTATGCAATCATCACACCTACCACAGCCGAACTCTATGTCGAAGATGACAAGTTGACCACCGAGGTCAAGGCTCATCTAGGACAGGACGTCATTGTCAAGCCATACGACTCTATTTTCGCCGATGCTCAAGCGCTAAGTATCCGCAGTCAATCTGCGGGTGAAGCTGCATCGAAATTCTTGCTCTCGAACAGAGCTTCCTGGGCGCTCAGCACCAGCCTTGGTGGTGAGGGACAGGTCGAGGAGACCCGCAGTCCCATTGCGGATGCCAAGGCCATTAAGAACGAGACTGAACTCGAGGGTATGCGGGCATGTCACATTCGCGATGGTGCTGCCTTGACCGAATACTTTGCTTGGTTAGAGAACGAGCTCGTCAACAAGAAGACTGTACTCGACGAAGTTGACGGAGCCGACAAATTAGAGCAGATTCGCTCCAAGCACGAGCTGTTTGCTGGTCTCTCATTTGATACCATTTCCTCGACTGGTCCCAATGGTGCTGTCATTCACTACAAGCCCGAGAAGGGAAGCTGCGCTATTATCGATCCTAAGGCCATCTACCTTTGCGACTCTGGCTGTCAGTACTTCGATGGGACGACCGACACCACGAGAACTTTCCACTTCGGTACTCCCACTGAGTTTGAGAAGCGCGCTTTCACTTTGGTACTCAAGGGCACGATTGGAATTGACATGGCCGTGTTCCCTAAGGGCACCAGTGGCTTTGCAATCGATGTCTTGGCCCGCCAGCACTTGTGGAAGGAAGGCCTTGACTTCCTCCACGGAACAGGCCACGGCGTTGGCTCATATTTGGTAAGATTCTTCATTTAATTCTATGTCTTGCGTCACTAATTCCGTTTCAGAATGTCCACGAGGGTCCTATTGGCATTGGAACCCGCGTGCAGTACACTGAAGTCCCCATTGCTGCCGGCAATGTCATTTCAGATGGTGAGTATATCTTCTACTGTTGCCACAGCTCACAGCTAATCACTGATATAGAACCCGGATACTATGAGGATGGCAAGTTCGGCATCCGGATTGAGAGTGAGTATATTCCCAGCAAAGAGAAGTTGAATCATACTAATCATCTCTGTACAGATGTCGTCATGGCCCGCGAAGTTAAGACCCCTAACAACTTTGGAGACAAGCAGTGGCTAGGCTTCGAGCATGTTACAATGACCCCGATTGGTCGCAACCTGATTGAGCCGTCCCTGTTGAGTGACGCCGAACTGAAGTGGGTGAACGACTACCACGCTGAGATCTGGGCGAAGACGGAGCACTTCTTCCAGGCAGACGACTTGACTCGGTCGTGGCTTGAGCGTGAAACCCAGCCCATCTCCAAGTAAATGGTCGTTAATAGGCATGCATCTGGCAGTGTGATACCATAATTTAGCATGCATGCAGATACAACATTTTAGATCTGCATTTAATTATGAGTCAGAATACAATATTAAAAAACCTAACAATACTAGAAGATACCATGTGCGTAGATCATAGATCTCAGGTTCAGTACAACTGGCCGGAATGCGGGAAGCTCCAGTGGAGCTGGCAACTCCGCCCTGCCTCCACCACCAACCTCAATTGCTCCCAGCCTACATTCGACGAAGAATGCCCACTGCCCATCGCCTACTGTCGCGCGCAAGCCACACATAAAGCCGGACACATATCGCCAACTGCGACCCCACAGCCCCTTAACGCAGTCCACCAGCGCTTTCAGACCGAGCCTGACCACCCCGTGCTTAGTGGACATCATTTGGGATGAGCGGCCGAAACGGCTACGGGAACGGATACGGCTACTCCGACACCGGCCGCTACGAAACGAACGATGGCGGATATGGCGGTACCAACAACAACCTTGGGGTAAACGGATACAGTGGACGGGGTGCTGGAGCACCACCAGGCGGAGGTGGACGGTCAGATCGTCGCCCGGGAGGCTACGGTGGCTTCTACCCCGACTCGAATTCGCAGTCGCCTATTTCGCAGAGCCAGTCTCCAGAGCGCCGGCGCGATCGAGGAAATCGGGACTACCAACAGCCCTCGCAGTCCACTTCCACTTCGCGGTCTCGGACGAGGAATCAGGATGCTGATAGGCGATACCGGGAGGATCGGTCTAGAGATGCGAGTCGGCGTGCGGATACTAGGGATCAGGAGAGGAATGCGTCGCCTGTTGTTAGAAGGGGGACTACCTCTGGAGAGTCACAGGCTATTGAAGGTTTGTATTCGGCCCCCCGGCTCTCCCACTAGCTGGTGTTAATAGAGGTTTTTTCTACAGCTGTGCTTCAGTCGATTCAGCGCGATTGGGACTTCATGACCGACGCCGAGTGTGTGCCGGTACACGTTGCTTTGAGCTTGATGGATACGAGTACATTGGGCAAGGCAGATCGCGAACCGGACTTCCTGCATATGTACAATGATATTCAGAAGACACTGAAGGCTATTGTGAATGGTAGGAGCTCCCTCTAATCGCTAAGGAGGGATGATGCTAATATTGCCCGAAAGAACATCACCAAGGTTTCAACAGTTCCATTGGTACTTATCACAAAATCCAGGCGAACATCTCTTCTTCGCAAAATCGAGTGCGCAACCTGAGACACGCCCTTGACCAAGCCAAATCAGGATTAATATCGACGAAGCCTGAGCTGAAAGGACTGGCAACGTCCTCTCAGAACTACGATGACATTGTTCAATTGTTCACTCAGATTGAAGAGGTTCAATCTCTTCCCGAAAAGCTCGAATCCCAGATCTCGGACAAGCGATTCCTTGCAGCAGTGGATGTTCTTCACGCCGGTCTTCGACTGCTACGGCGTTCGGAACTGGAGGACATTGGCGCCTTGTCTGATATCCGTGCTTATTTCATTAACCAGGAAACATCACTTACGGATATCTTGATTGAAGAGTTGCACGATCACCTATACCTCAAGTCACCATATTGCTCTGATCGGTGGAAAGCGCCGACTACTGAAGGAGAGGTGAATACATCCAGTTGTACCGGAAACCGATCCTGGGAGCGGCCTATCTATAGTTTCCTTGCCAAGTTCGATCCGTTGACGCCCATGGTCGAGGATGCCTCCCGAAACCCGGAGGCAGACACCTTCTCCTATATTCAGCTGTTGATCGAAGCACTTAACAAGATGGGTCATCTTGATGTCGCAGTTCATCGGATTGAGCAGCGTCTTCCAGTCGAGTTGTTTGCTGTGGTGGATAAGACGAATGCCGACGTTGATACTCGCTACCCTGCCCCCACTAAAAGTTTCTCAGCCCAGGACAACAATTACAGCAAGTCCAATCTCCCGACTGATATCATTGAAAAACGTGGCCATGTGCTCTCCGAGTTCCTGTGGGCACTATATGCCAAGTTCGAGGCTATTGCAGAGGGTCACCGAGTCCTTCATGATGTTGTTTCGGCTATTGTGGAGCGAGAAGGCCTCATCAAAAGTGAGACACTTTCTGGTGGATTCAAGGAGTTGTGGAAACTCCTGCAGAGCGAGGTAAGATAAGGAGTGGTGAAAATAAAGTTTTTAGGGTAATTCGCTAATCTTCCTTCCAGATACGGTCCCTCATGCACGACTATCTTGCGACAGATGGAGATTCCTCTGTCCGATCTAGAGGCGAGGAGTCTGACTCTCGACGCCATCTGTACTCGGGTAACCGTGATAAGAACAAGGTAAGACAAAGAGTAACGATCATTTATTCACAGAGCTGACCAGCTCAACGTTGCAGAAAATGTTCAAGCTATCCGACATTGAGCAAAGCTCAGAGATGAAAGCCGAGCAAGATGAGCTGGACGAGATTCTCAAATCCTCTGTGCCAGGGCTGGTTTCCAAGTCAAGGCAAAAGGCCGCCACGAATGATACTTCACAGTCCAGCAAGGGTAATTCAGGGACTGGCCACAAGATCTTGCTCGAGCCCAGTGTCTTCAATATGGGTCTCCTCCTACCACCTTCCCTATCCTTCATCCAGCGTCTCAAAGACATTGTGCCTGTAGATGCGGATATTGCCATGAGCACATTGACTTCCTTTTTGGACGACTTTATGGTCAACGTCTTCCTGCCCCAGCTGGATGAGACCGTGACGGATCTCTGCACGCTCAGCTTTATTGCTGCTGATGCATTTACAGAGGACCCCCAATGGGCGAAGGTCTCTCCTCGGCCTATTTTCAAGGTGAGTTTTCTTCCCCTCAATAAGGGTCTTGTGAGAATCCTAATTCAGTCCATCTTCTAGGGAACGGTCAAATTCATGACCATTGTTCGAGAGTTTAGCAAAATGCTGTCTAGTATTCCACACGACCAGGCATTCACGCAACTTCTTATCGACCAGATCGTGACCTATTATGACAAGTGTTGTGGATGGTACAAAGGTTAGTCAACTTCGAACGTTCCTTTGCCAATTTAAGCTGATAACCCATAAAGCCATGGTTACGAGAGTGTCTGCGCGCAATCATGGAGGCGGCGTCCGTTTGAAAGCTGCGGCAGCTTTTGTTGAAACAGGCGACATCCGTGATACAGTAGAAGAGCTGTGGAAAGGTTCCGGTGACAAGAAGCAGACTTTGATTGATACGGTATGCAATTTTGTAGCCATTCACAAAAACTTCCGCTAATAGACACAGGAAATCGACTTGCTTCTCAAACGAACAAACGAAGTGCCTTTGGAGCCGTACGACATCATATCCGACCCTAAGACTGTTGTCTCTCTTTCTCTTTTGTATAACAGCATGGTACGAGGCTCTCCTTTTTGCTTTTATTCGGTTATTGACGTGTTTCTAGCAATGGCTTGGAAGCCACCTTGCCAAAATCCGCCTTGTTGTCGAGCACACATCTGACGCCGAATCATCAAGTTTGACTGCAACCGGCCGGCCTTCACGCAGATGGACCTTGTTCGGGGCCATCAAACCCAAGCGTGATAGTATCAATAACCCGGTGCATTTGCCGCTCAATCACGAGACAGTAGTAGCCTTCGATGGGACTCTTGAATCACTACACGGGCTTGGTACTACTGCACTTTTGACAATGCACGTCGACATCCGCTGCGGCATCATCCACATGTTGACTAAGACCATGTCCGGGCCAAACCCTCCTACACTACGCAACTCCGAGCCCGTAACTCCATCCCCAAGTACGCAGGACAACTGGTGGCACATCATCATGAACCAGCCAACAGCAGCATCGCCCACGATCCTCACATTAAACAACGACCTCATCGAATTCGACACGAATATCTCGACATATCTCGGGTCCGTTGAGCGCTGGTTCATCACATCAGGTCTAGCCCGGTTCATTGACCGCGTCTTTGTCGCCTGCACCCGGTACATCGGGGCAATGAACGAAAACGGTGCTCTGCGACTGCAACTCGACGTGCTCGTGCTGCAGCAGAACCTGAAGAACATCATTATCGACCCAGCCAGTGATGTCCCTTCCTCGACAACAGATTTGCACGAGCAGGCCTCTCAGGAGGTCGTTGCCTTACCGCGAAGCGCCAAGTTCCTGGACTGGTTCCTCGAAGGCGCGGAAAAGTCCCTGGATTACGCCAAGGATGAAAAGGAGGCGTTTGCATCTCAAGGTGCCAAGGCCTTGGCAGCTGGAAATGGCGAGCCATTCACATATGACGAGTTATGTGTCCTGGTGGACTTGTGCTTCTCAGAGATCCTCCGCGGCCCGCGTGGGGCAGAGAGCCGGGAGGACTTTATGTCGGCGAAGAAGGCCAGTGCGGATGCCCTACTAAGGCTGAACGAGATCATGTGGGACGCCCGGTAGGGGAACCTGTTCATACTATTGCGCTTGGTTAGACCTGGCAATTTATTCCGCGGGGGTTTCAGGGTACTTCTGCACACCCAATCTCACTTGTTCCAGTGTCATTTCCTCTTTAATATAAGCACCTCCCCACTAGCCCTAACTCGGTATAGCACCCTGGGCCACGCGCCCTTTTCGGCTTCTCCCGAGCATCGACACTGGCCGTTGTAATCCACGTCGTTTCAAATCAGATTGTTACTGGAGTCGTTAATTACCAGGGTTTTGAGTCGCCCAGACTTCTAGACTTAATAGCCATGTCTTTCCCCATCCCATTTTCCTTTCTCATACCTTCTTTTCACTCCTGTCTGGCACAGTACAACCTTTCAATCTGGGATTCTCGCCCCAGACGTCCATTCCTTCCATAGTGCATCCAGCACGTCCGATCCTTCGTTTTCAAGAAGCGACGTATTTGTCCCTTCGGATCTCAATACTGTAGACTGCCCACTTCAATTCTTTCAATCAACTCCGCGCCAGACGCGAACTATCCACAATGAAGTATTTCAGCCTTGTTTCCGTTGCCCTCCTCGGCGCTGCTACTGTCCTCGCTGGCCCTCTTGGTATCCGCGAGGATATCGGCCAATGTCCTAAGGGCTATACTATGAGCGTCTACTACAAGACCATCTACCCCGAATCGACTGCGTCCGCTACTGTCGAGTCTACTGTGGCTCCATCGTCTACCGCTGCTCTCGTTCAGTCTGTGAGCCCTGTGGCTGCGGTTGAGGTCTCTTCTTCGACTACCACTTCTTCGGCTCCTGTTGTTGAGACCACATCCGTTGAGACCACTGCTCCTGAGACCACTGCCGCCGAGGCCGCTGTCGCCCAGACCTCTGCTGTCCAGTCCGCTGCAGTTATTAACCTCATTTCTCCCTCTTCGATTGAGACCACCGCTGCTGCTGAGACCACCGCTGCCCCGGTTGTTGCTCAGGTTCCTACTTCGTCGGTTGAGACTACCACCGCTGCCGAGACTACCGCCGCGGCTGTAATTGCCCAAATTCCCACCATTTCGGCCGAAACTGCTGCCGTCGAGACTACTGCGGCACCTGTTGTGAAGGCTGTCAGCACCTCCACTTCTACCACCTCCTCGTCAAGCTCTGGAGAAAACTCTGGCTCAGCCACCTTCTACGGCGGCAACGTGTCCGGCGGAACATGCTCGTTCTCCAGCTACACACTGCCAAGCACCCTCTTCGGCACAGCCCTTTCAGGCGATCGATGGGACAACGCCGCCAACTGCGGCTCCTGTGTCTCAGTCACCGGCCCGAACGGTAAAACCATCAAGGCTATGGTAAGTCTAAATCCTGAACATGAATATCTCACTCCACAAAACCCAAAGCCTAACAAATCACTTCCCTTGAATAGGTGGTCGACCAATGCCCCGAATGCGAAAGCAACCACCTGGACCTCTTCCAGTCAGCCTTCGCCGAACTGTCTGACATCTCTGCCGGTGTGATCAACATCGACTGGTCCTACGTCTCTTGCGACCTCGACGGCCCCATCAAGCTCAAGAACAAGGAGGGTACATCCGCCTATTGGTTCTCCATGCAGGTCATCAATGCCAACGAGGCTGTCACCAAGCTTGAGGTCAGTACCGATGGTGGTAGCTCGTGGAAGAGCACTACCCGTACTTACTACAACTACTTCGAGAACTCGTCTGGGTTCGGTACTGATACTGTTGATGTGCGGGTTACCGGATCTAGCGGTAAGACTGTTGTTGTTAAGAATGTTGGCTGTGCCTCTGGCTCTGAGGTTACTGCTTCGTCGAACCTTTCCTAGGAAGTCCGATTTTGATATAGGATTGGGACTTATGAAGGGGTTCTTATTTTCTTCTATTGATATATTGAATTAAGTTATGAGATTTGAGTGAGAGTCTTTCTGTTGTCCTTGCATGATTTCCAGGGCTTCTATGATGTACTTCTATGCCCCTCCCATAGCTATCTTGAATTTTAACGCTACTGTCTCTTTCAAATCATTCTTCCTGCCTAACTTATAGACACTGAGCACATGACAGCTAGTGATGTCTACTTAGAATTGCCATATGCTTTACAAATTCCAAGGTCGCCTGTTCAAGGCCATCTAAGCTTAATCTCGCATGGTATCTTCAAAGTTAAATAACACAACAATATCATCACTTTACTCCGTACATCTTATAACAATTACCTTCAAGACCATTGAACGTTGTACCTATCTCTAAGGTTCATAGCGGAATGGTTTATGACATCGTTGAACTTGAATACAGTAGATGTAAGTAAATACAGCACACAAAGAGAATAAACCAGAAGGGTACAGTAGAGCACAAATAACTAAGAACTCCGCTATTGTACAGATCCAATAGGCGATGATCGTCACCCATACATGTCCATGTAATGAAGATTTCCGATCAGCTCTCACATCCCACCTCGATATCCGAGCTCCAAACTACTGCGTCGCGAACTCCGAATCCCTCTCGATTCGCTGAATGTAGGGGTGAGCGTAAAAGGGCTTGATAATATCTTCATCGTAGTCAAAGGTAATACTAGTAGAATCAGAATCAGTCAGTCTGTCTTATAATATCGAGAAATGAAAAGGTGTGGTGGGAAATCGACTCACGAGATGCCCCCGGTCAATGAATACTCGTGGCCGATCCTGCCGCCCTTGTCGAGCACATCCTGTCTGACTCTGCGAGGGATATTAGGTCAGGTTTCCGTGCATGTAGGTATGTGATATGATACATACTTCTGCACCTGTTCTTCGGTTGCTTTAGGCTTGCAGTAGATCTTTTGAGTTTGGGATTGTTAGTTAGGGCTTCGTGTCATTACCATGTTGGGGAAAACAATGTGTGACAGCTTACGATGTAGTTGGGCATAATGGAAATTGAGTTATGGTGGTAAAGCTTAGAGGGGAGGCTCGGTGGTGAAATACTGCCGGGGAAGGACGGAAGGCCCGCCCTACTCCACTAGGATTTTATAGGCTGACCGACGCCCGTACATCATACATGCACAAGTAAGTTACAAGTTCAGTAAACTTAACGTAAGTTATATGTAGTTTCCGATCTGCTCATCTCCATTCCACCTGAATATCCAGTATCCAATATCAAATATCCAGATTTACTGTGTCTGAACTTCACTATCCTCCTCGACATTATCCACGTGAGGGTGCGTCTCGAGAGAAGTGACAGTATCCTTATCGAACGCAACACTAAATGCAATAGAATCAGTTATTGTGCCTTGGAATATCGAGAAATACTATGTGCATATAACTTAGTACGTTAGTAGTTAGTGGGAGACTTACGAAAAGCCCTTGATCAAGTTGTATTCATGAATGATCTCTCCACCCTGATCGATGGCATGCTTCTTGACTCTAAAAGAGAGATTAGTACCCGGCATCGAGTAGGAGAGCGTGTGATACATACTGCTGCACTTCGTCGTCGGAGGCATCCGGTTTGCATGTAATCTGTTGAAATGGTTAGTTTTCGTTTTTCATTTGTGCAGATAGGTAGGATCTTACGATGTAAGACGGCATGATGTATATGTTTATATTGTATACAGTAAGTTGCAGAAGGGGAAGTCCAGAGACTAAATAGCCCCTGGAGCCTGGAGGGCGTGTTTACATCATAGAGGGGTAGCCTTATCTCCGCACGCTAATACAGTCGTTCCGATCTCACCTCATACGTAGTGTGGAAGTGGCGCAGCCTTTATGACACCATTTCTAACATATTGAAGAATAACTCATATTGTACCGCAGCTCCATTCCCAAGCGAACCCATCCCATCCGTAGATTTCGCCAGCCTATCCATTAAAGATGAAAGATAAGAAATAATAAAAAGAAAAAGGGTAAAAAAGAAAAAGACCACGAATAGCGTACAAACGCAGATTTGTGAGAGGAGAATCAAGGGGACTCAGAAATAAGAAACATCGCAAACAGGGAAATAAAAAAAGGTAACATTCAGGATGCCTGGGGCAGAATGTTTCTCGGGGACACGGGGGTAATGATAGGTCCATGGGGGTCATATCGATTGAGGAAACATGGCAGAAAGGAGAAAAGATCAGACAAGAGCAGAACAACAGATTGGAAAACAACAGGGAAATGAGGGTATGTTCAAGTCTTAACCTCCTAGCAGGCAATAGTCGTAGCACGTGAAGAAAGAACAGAGATTGCCTACTCCATCTCCAGTGTCTCTAACTCTTTTGAGTCCTCATAGTCATCGAACTCTAGACCGGCATCGCGGCAACGCTGCAACCACTTCAGAGCAAGGTTGTTGCGTCGGCTGACCTCGCCCTTCAGCTTGGAGTTGGAGTTGCTAATCTCGGCAATGGCGTGGTTGGCAGTGAGACTGTGCTTTTCAAACTGCTCCTCGGTATTCTTCTTCTCTTCTTGTAGCTGGAGAATGTATTCGATGGCACGTTGGAGTATGGCGCCCTTGTTCTTATCACAGTTGGGCACGAGACGGGCAATCTGGTTAATGCCTTCGTTGATAGCTTCACGACGGCGACGTTCAACTATTTCAGACAGATTAGTACGGGGATGTGCGACAAAAGCTCAAGACACTCTTACCTTCTTTGTGGTTGTTCTTGCGGATTTGGTGCCATTCCGGAGAACCGACAGTGGGCTTCTGATTCATGCTTTGTGCCTCACGCGCGGCGTAGACCGCAGCAGCAGTCGAGTTGTGGTTGTGGGCGCCACCCATAGGAGTCTGGTTCATTTCATCAAACGACAGACCCTGGGTAAGGTTGCTCGCATCGAATCCAGCATCAGGAGGAGGGGGGTATTTGTGTTGAGGGGTGTGTGCAGCGAGGGCGGCTTTGGCGTTGGCTGTCAGCGCGTTATCATCAGACAAACCATTTTGCGGGCCAACGTGTTGAAGAATCTGCTGGTCAATGTTGAGCTCAGCTCCAGTGTTGGGAAGACCATGGTCATAGTTGCCAAGTCCACTGTGACCGAAGTTGTGCTGGTTGTCTCCCATGCTGCCGTTGCTACCGTGAGAAGAGCGGTTTAGACGCTGAGGATCAGGTCCTAGATCTTCTGAGCCATCTCTCTTGCGCTTGTGCGATCCATTGTCGGGGCTGTTCATTGTGGGATCAGACATACTGAGCCTAAAAGGCGATCACTTTCTGATAATAAGAGTCAGTCAGGGGTCGCCAACAGGCAAGTGAAACAGTCTCGGACAATAAGACAAGGCAATGATCGGGAATGTCAATGTCAATGCAGCCTTGAGGTTTGATGCGTAGGCCAAGCCACTCCGGGCAGATCAGTGGGCACCCCGCGAAGTAAACAGACGCGTGGGTCAGACGCGCTCGGCATCTCTCGGAGGCCGGCCATGTCAGGCTCAGGCATCGCCAGCGATGCCTGGCAGCGGTCGGCAATGTAAAGACGATTCTACAGGGCAGTGACTCTGTCCAGCACCATATCCGACGCGATATCTCGCGACACCCATGAGGGTCGAGGACATCAGAAACGCGTCATGGTGGTCTGCAGGCAGCGAACGTCACACAGGGGGAGGGGATAGCATCGTGAAGGGCACTCGCGATGAGCATCTCGTCGCGACGTATGCGATGACATGGGGGAAACTAGATGGAGATGGGTTTCGATGGAGCCGTACCTTGGGATGATCCTCTTTATCACCTGACAGCAAGTCACCTGCCAACAACAAGACGCAGGTCACGTTGTCTGTGAAACACCGAATCTCGAAAATTGGGGCACGGAAATTGGAAAGTAGAGAAATTGATGGATTGGATAGCCAGCGGTGGTATCGATTTGACCATGTATCGAAACACGGCAAATTTACTTAAAGAGGGGGAGGATTCTTGGAGATGTAGAGTAGGCAAGTCAAGACGGAACTCACGTGGCGAGGAGATGTGGTTGCGAAGAGGGTCCGCCCCGGCGGAAGGACCAACAGCGCAAAAGGGTCACCTGATATTAGGTAATCACGCGTTCCTCCAGTTCCTCCGGTTGTCAACCAAAGAGAACCGGGGAAGTTCAGGAACAAATCGAGCTGAAGATAACACTGAAATGCCTCGTCGCCTCCCCTCTGCAAGTCATGTGTAGCGATCCCGTGCCCCTCCGCTGCACACCCCCTTCTGCATGATCTGATTGGCCGTCGGATGCTGGGGGAAATCCCGGATCACGTGCCGGTATATCCCATGGCCACTCACGGGTCTTGGACTGCGAGGGGTCGGACCGTCGAAGGAACCTACATCTATGTACATGTATGGCCTAGATTCAAGGGGATTCTCCCGATGCAGGGCACTATGAACAAAACGGGATGACCTAGTTCGAATTGTGATATAGAAGTCCGCTTCCAATCCACCCGGGCTTTTAGGTTACTCCTAGTTCTTCTATTCTCAGTCTACATCTGGTCCCCCTCATTCTTATGGGTGGGGGAGAATCACATGTTTCAGAGACATTAAGATTCCCCCCAAATCCTTCACACCATCTCCAAAGGGTTGCATTAGACAGAAAGGGTCTTCACTAGTTTCTAGTGCTCTTCATGAGGATCCAGTGATCATGAGACTGCATCTGTTGCAGAATCTCTGAGCGTTTGCCTGAAGATGTTGACGATCTCGATGATCTTCGTCTGGATGTCAAGGTTAAGTCCCTGTCACATGGATCATCTGCGCATGATGCGAGTGTGGCAACCAGTCAGTCCCAGTATCGCCATAGCACTGAACAGATATACACCGTGTATAATTCTTCTGAGTGATATATCACGGAAACCCGACCAGGGTCGATCTTGGCCCTGTTCATAGAATCTGCTTTATCTGTAGGAGAGTCTGACGCGTTTGGTGTGCGCCTCATTACTTGGATGCCCGCTTCAGGGCAAAGACCATTTTTGGATCTGCCGTAGTATCTGCGAAACAAATACCTTCCTCCCTCGCGCCTAGCATGTCCCAGCACAGTATCTTCACGTCGGATGGGAGGTCATCCTCTGTCTCACTTTCTGAGGCACCTGACCCTGCATCTGCATCTTTCTCCGGTCGTTGCGTAATGGCGAGGATAGTGCTGGACCCCACATATTGCACCGGTGGCTTGGTCTCGTCCGCTGGTGGATCCTCCCCCGACCGGTTTGCAAAGACAATGATGATCCTTTTTGGGAAATCCGGCGCCTCTCCGCCGTCCAGGTCCACCTCGTGTTGCATTTTCCTCTTTATCAGCGGCCAGAACCGCTGCAGCCAATAGTTGAAGGTATCCATATCAGGTTTGTCCTTCAAATCCTCGAGTTCCTCAGGGCTCAGCATGCTGGTCCACGCCATAGACAAGATAACGAGCTGGGACTTGGAGTCAAGGACCCGGGATGCAAATTCCCATTTGTCAAATGGCGCCTCGAACTTGTACGGGTTGATATCCATACAGATACCAAATGAAGTTGCAATCTGCTTTTCGGGAAACAGCTGATTTCCCTTGATGGTAGATAACCTTTCTAGGGAAGAAAATTTGAGCTCACGGAAGCTTCGCTCGATATCACCTTCGGCCGCCCACGGCTCGTCGCACATGTACAAAAAGCTTTTGCGGTAGTTATGGATGAAATCGCCATTCTTGTCAACAACAAGAAGGGCATTGTAGCATGTGGTTTGGCCAGAATTTTGGGGATCTTTTTCAATCTCTGGATATCCGACACAAACCATGCATTGCAAGCGTTTGGCGGTTTCCCGCGCCCACAAAGAAGATGGACCGTCACCAAATGTTTCAAGGTATGGCGTGATTGCTTCCAACGAAGGGAAGTTGTAGCCTAATAATCAATGTCAGTTGAAGCCATTCCCATCGCAGACTCGCGATGAAAGTCGGGGTATACGCTTCGTCCAGGTACGTACCTGTTAAGGCCATTTCGGGCAGCACCAGAACATCAGGCTTCAAAAGGTCCACACCAAGGCCGAGACCAGGTTGCTCTCTATCTATAGAGATGGTCTTGCCCTTCTTCAGCAATGCATTGGCTGTCTCGATGTTGCCCTCGACATCGCCCAGCTTCGGGTTGAATTGAAGCGTAGCGATCCTCATCTCGAGGGATTGCGAACTTGAAAAAGTCCGGACGAATAAATGGAACTTGTTTTGCCTTGTGTCGGGATGTTTGGTGGGCCTTGAGGGGTATGCGCGTGAGATCACTGATACCCTGGGCGCGGTCGAGGTATGAAGTCCGTGTGCTATGGCCCCAACGCGGACGCAGCCGGGCAGAATTTTGGCCAGAATGATGGTGATTGGTAAATCTTGAGTACACACGAAAGATGATTCAATCGATTACTTGGTTCAGCCCCTGGCCATCACAGCAAAGATTAATTGTGGGATGTTGTGGAAGGTGTCGATAACTGCCGTGCCGAGATCTTATAAATAATGCTGCCTGAGGATTCAGTCTCCAACCCTCCACCCACCTGATGGCATTGTCATACAGTAGATGGACGGTAAGACCCATTTGATTGGGTACAGTAAGAAAGAGCAAGGTGCAGCCTTAGCTCTGCTTTAGCTTGAACGTCTGCTGTTCCGATATTTGAGTCATTCGACGCCCAGGCGCTAACGTTGGAAGCGAGATACAATAGGACATTCAAGCCCCAGAGATTCCTAACCAACTACATCCCCTTGCAAAAGCGCTGTGAGAACCATGGCTTATCCAAGCCAGCCTAGTATCTTTCATGATGGCTCATGGCCTACACTATGGCGGTCGTCGTCGTCTGAGTTTCCGCCTGAAGAAACAACCTTCCAGCGAAATATCCGACAAGAAGCAAAGCCAGAGTGGGAATCTGCCCCAGACTTTTTTATTTCAAGCCGGCGAAACGGGAGGCTGGCCATGGGGATAGGCCATCCATCGCACCACTTATGCTAATACATTGGATGAGGACTGGGCACGAGCCATTGAAAGCTGGACCAGGCATGTCTTGCTAGCCTGGCAATTGCAGAGGGTAAATGGGCCTGGGAAGGGCGCACACTTCTTGAACTGGTCCGCGAAGGTTATCGGCCCTTGTAAAGGTATAACGTTACCTAGATATGGCGATGGCTAGGTCATTCCGAAAAGGCCGCGACATAAGCACACGACTGTTGCTGAGGGAACCACCACTCGCTGTGATAAGTAGCATGTTGTCATGAACGAAGCGATGCAAGAAAACTACACTACGATTTGTGTGCAGAAGAAGATCCCTTGGAGCTTGTTCTTAGAAGCCAACCCTTCGGTCAGTGCGGATAAGTGCAATGACAACCTGGACAATGGGTTCACCTACTATGCCGGGCCAACATATGGTTGGGATCTGTTCCTTGATCGAGACGATTGGGAGGAGGAGCTTTGAGCATTTGAGCAAGCTGTTCAAGAAACCTTACATCCTGTCTCCAGCATTATAGTCTTGGAAATAGACAACGGTTGGTTACAATGAATTTGACAATGTGCCTACTTTCTATTCAAGTTCCGGGTCTGACATACCGCAACTTCGTAGAGGTACACATCTATGGCACACCGTATGAGTTCCCTTGGGGCAGGGAAAGTTGAAATAAATGATAAGCTAAAATTCCTCCTATGGATATTCAATAGAAAAGAAATCGTACATCAAAGCGCCTTCACGTTATGCAAACATGTAACACCTAGTTAAAGGTGAAAGTACCAACAAATGCGTAAGTAAACAATGTTCAATGAAAAAAAAAAAAAAGACACTCATGGTAATTGAAACATTAGAAGACGAATGAGGAGGGTGCATGGGAATCAGTCCAAACACACCACATCGTCATCATCCTCAACTGAAACCAAACGTTGGTTCTCCTTCTCTTTCTTCAGCTTTTCCCCCTTCTTTGCTTTCTGCTTCTCCTCTTCTTTTCTCTTTCTCTCAGCTTCAGCCCTCTGGTCTCTCTCACGTCTGTAGCGCTCAATCCCCAGAGAGATAGAACTCGATCCTTGAGAAGCGGTGCGTCGGAATCTGGCTTCAACGCGGGGGTGCGTGGAGTGCGCGGAGCGACTAGGGGCAAATGATGCAAGGCCAGGCGTATCTGGTCCATAATTGAGTGTGTATCCATGAGGGCTAGACTGTAGTTCAATGCGCGGGGAAATCAGTATCGGTACTCTAGGCTTGGACATGAGTTGGCGAACCTTTTCAAGTAATGCAGCACGACGGTGGTTGATTGGGGGATCCACTGGTGGGGAGTACGGGATGTCCTTTGGAATATCGAAGATTCCGGGTCCGTTCTTCAGCTCGTGGGCTAAGATCCGCGCACGGGATAGCAGGATTTCGTCTTCTTGGACTTGGCGCTCCCGAATTCGCTTTTGTTCCTCGAGCCATTTCTTCTCTTGATCGGTGAGGGGTTTGGGCTCAACTAGAGCCTTTGTTTCTGCGAGTTTTCTTTCAAGGCGTTCCAGGATCGGAAGCTTCGGCATTGGCTCGCTCAGGACCTTAGACAGGGAGAATCTGGGGTAAAGTGGCTCTTCTGACGTGGGAAGATCCGAAACCTTGGCCAGTTTGGGACTCGGGCCATTGTTCGACTTGGTTTCGGTAGATTCATCCAGTGATCTTTTCTTGTGTGCGCTTGTCGTCTTACTCCGCGAACGCTTTTGAGATACGTTTGCCTTTGGCTCTCGGGCTAAAAAAAGTCAGTAAGATACCACAAAGTGAAATGTTAGCAGACTTACCATCCAATTGAGAGAGCTCCGAGAGACTCATTTGCATTTCCTGTGGCTGTTGGGTGGGAGGTGCCTCGAAATGCACGGAGCGTTTTAGAGGGTTACCTGAAGATGCACTGGTGGACTGGCGTTTCAGAGAAGAGCGCCTGCGCTGCTTGGTCGTGTCATCATCATGCGGCCGTTTTAACGAAGCTTGCTGCACCGAAGACCCTGATGCAATTGAGCCTTGGAACAAAGGCTTCGATGACTCGGTTGGATTAGTCAAAGGGTTGTACATAGAGGACTTGGCATCGAAGAGCTTGGATGCCTGCCCAGATTGTGAGGAAAGTGACTGGCTAGGAGATGAACTTTTGGCGTGTGGGGAAGAAGCGAGAGTGCCTGTGTAGTTGAACAGAGAAGACAAGACTTGCTCAGGTGTGGGGCATTGTTCCCATGCGAGGGAACGCATTTTCGCAGGCTGGGTATCTCTCGTCTTGGGTGAAGTTGAGGGGAGACTTCCAGGGACAGGCGGAGGAGATGTAGGTGGCGTAGATGATACAGTTGCAGAAGAATCGACTTTCCCATTTGGCTGGGGTGCTGGAGTTGCGAATGAAGAATCCACCTCATTCGATACTCCAGGAACGGCATTCGTGCTACCGGCTGAAAAGCTAAATTGGGGCTTCGCAGTGGTTGACGCCGTAACTGGCTCCTTCGCCTTCTCGCTGGGTTCCGAGGGCTGTGAAAAGGCAGAGGGAGCAGCTGAGGGAGCAACTGTCCCTGGACCCGAAGATGAAATTGATGTCTTTGGAGTCAGAGATGCGAAAGGGTTATTGAATGCGGTTGATGACTGCTCAGGTGTATTGCTGGTCGCGAATATCGAAGCTGGTACCGAAGTCGATGTTGCCACAGGTGTCTCCGCTTGACTTGCTTCCAGTGCCTTTGTAAATGTGAACGGAGCTGCGGCGGTAGGAGCTGCGGTGGAGGGAGGTAGAGAGGAAGAAGGCTTCAGGAAGGAGAAGTCCGGAGTCGACGACGCCGGTGGGAAAGTGCTGGGTTTGAATATCGAAGACGGCGCAGCAGCTGTCACCGCGGGTGTCTCCGTTGTCTGGGTTGTATCTGGAGGCTTGACCGCGGATAGAGAGGCTGCGAATGGGTTTGGTTGGGAGGATGGTAGAGATGCGCCGGAACTCAAAGATGCGAATGGATTCTTCGGCGCAGTAGTCTCTGAAGAGCTGCTAGCCTTGAAGGGCGAAGATGTTGTAGGAGTAGCTGCGGTACCGGCATCGGCCTTTTGATCTACCTTCGCCGGCTTGGGGAACGAGAAAATAGATGATGACGGGGCAAAAGGAGATGGGGCAGCAGGGGTTGCAGCAGGTACATCTGTCTTCTCAGCTGGCTTCGCAAAGGAGAACGGGGACGATGAGGTAGCAAAAGGAGATAGGGCAGCAGGTGCTTCCGTCTTCTGGCCAGTCTCGGCTGGTTTGGCGAAAGAGAATGGGTTCGAGGAACCACCCAGGGGAGAGGGTGACACAGTATTCGCAACAGGAGTCTCCACAGGCTTCGAGAACGAGAAAGGAGACACAGAAGTAGTCACAGCAGGAGCCTCCACATTCTGAGCTGGTTCCGCCGACTGCGAGAAGGAGAACGGAGATGGCGCAGCAGACGTAGAAGCCTGCGCAAAAGGGTTCGACGACTGAGTAGCAGGAGGTGGGAAGGGGGATTGGAAGGGAGACGGGGCGACAGGAGGGAACTGGGCGCCTTCAGAGGCAGTGCGTAGATCAGAAGCCGACGTGTTGTCAACGAACCCGTTGGGCTCGATCACTGGGGCTGGTGTCTGGTTCTCATCATCACTCACGAAAAGACTTTTGCTGTCATCTGAGAGGTCAGATGCTCTGTCCTTCTGCTTAGCCAGGAGGGATCGATCGAGCATGCCCATTCTCGCCGCTTCTGGGATGGTCATTCCAAGAATGACGGCAACCAGAGAGCGGCCTGCACGCTTTGACTCGACGTAAGTCTCAGAGTACGAATGATCGGATGATGGCGAGAAACCTGTGAAAAATTAGTGGGTGACAAAGTATGGAGGGGAAAGAGCTGTTGTTGTTGGGTGGGTGGGCGGGGGGAAAAGAGAGAGAGAGTGTGTGTGTGTGTGTGTGTCTGTGTGTGGAGGGTTGAACGTGTTTTGGGATGGAAGAACACGTACCGATGGAGTCAACTGGTCGAGATCCCCAGTTAAGATAAAGTGCACCATCAGCGTGCTGAGCAAGCTGCAAATCCTGTTCTTCGCAGAACCGGATAGTTTGTTCGTAATCATCAAAGTGTAGCACCCTTGTCAACTCCTCTACAGTCCATTCCTCGTTCTTCGCCTGCTGTGAAACAGGAGACCGGCAGTAGGCCTTCCAAATTGCACGAATTGCTGTCTGACGAATGTGGTTGAAGTAAACCTCTGCCACACAGGCCATTAGATAGGGCACGCTTGGGGAATTGATAATGTTGAAGAAACGGGTGTAGAAACCCTGGGCAATGGCATTTGGCCGACGAGCGTCGAGAGCACCTTGGTATTCCCAGGTGTTGCCAGCAGCAGCAAAGAGATCGAGGGCCACTTGAACTCGAGGAGAGGCGAGTAGATCGGCTGGCCACTTCTGGACACGAGCTTCCAGATCGGGTCGCTGGTCGTGAATCGAAAACAAGATGTAATAGGCACGGAACTCATCCTCTCTTGGAAAAACAATGCGTCCACGGTTGTCGTCGTAGTAGTACATGAGCGAGAGCATAGTGTTGTTGAGCTGTTCTCGTTCCTGATGACGGTCGAATTGCTCTTCGTTTGTGGGATTCGAAAGAAGATGGAGAGACACGATATGGAAGCGCGCAATTCTCTCTAGGCACATTACTGCCATCTTGACATCCTCCTCTTGCGTGAGTTGCTGAACGGAGAAATCATTGCGAATTGAACGTGTCCGATCCCAGACGAACTTGTGGATGATGGCCAATGGCTCACTGCCACCAACAACATAACGAATGAGGTAGTTCATACTCTGCAACAGGGTCTTTGGTGTCCGAATATCCGAGGGCAATTGCTCATCATAACCAGCAGCTGAGCGTCGAAACCGCTTCAACATCTTGGATTCCATGATTTCCAGCTGGTTGGTCGCCGGGTCAAGGTACTGAAGAGGGTGAGCGGAGGGGCAACAAAAGGCAGGAGAAGAAGTTTACCTTTTCGCACTTGTCCATCATCTTTTGCACGATTCGCTCAACACGCTCGAATTCGGGGCACATGCTGGTGCAGGTTCCCACGGGTGTGATTGCCTGTTTCAACGACGTCGGCTGGTTGGGGTCTGCCATCTGTCCATCTTTGATTGCTCGCTGGCGCTCTTTGGCACGGTCGAGTTTCAACTGCAATTCTGGTTAGTTCTTCTCCCTGTCGCATGTCATTCGGGGGTTTGCCCACCTTGTCATAACGGTCCTGATAGTTGCCTGACGACGCGTTTTCTACCGGCCCACCAGATCCAATGCGACTGAAAGCCACTGAACCTTGATGGTTCATATTCTGCGCAGGTTTGGCGAATGGGTTGTTGGAGAGATTCGAAGCCGGGGACGCCTTTTGAAGAGCGGAGAACGGAGATTGCTGGACGGGCTGCAAGCCAAACGGAGATGCGACGGAAGAGTTTTGCTGATTCGATCGCGCAAATGGAGAAGTGGTAGCACCGGGGTCACCTGCTGTCGCTTGTTGTGTGCCATTTACAGTGTGGCTCGCAGCGCCAGCGCCGCGACCACGACCCCGACCCCGATACTGGCTCTGACCTCTACCTCGTCCACGCCCGCGATCCTTTCCATCACCCCGCGCATTATTCCCTTGAAATTGAGCCGCGGCAAGCCCAGAACTTCCTCCTCTTCCTCTACCAGCGGAGCCCTGCGCGCCTCGTCCTCCCCTCTGGCCGTTGCTCACGGCACCGCCAAAAGGATTGAACGGGCCAGCCATCCTGCCCGCAGATCGCGGAAGAAATTGGATAGGCCGCCTCCTTCTTCAGCGACTCCAGAGCTGATCTTCTTCTCAGATTGATCTCGATTGTCGGTTGGTTTTGGGATCACTTTTCGGTGAGATGCGAAAGACCGATCGAATGTTGAGGAATCTAAGAATGCTATTCGCCGGAGACGGTGACCGCCGAGGCGACGAAATCCAAGTCAGCCCATGTCCCTATATGACAATTGCCCGCCGGATATTCCCAAGTTGCGGCGGCGGTGCGCGCGCAACGGGTGGCCGGCACAAAGACGAAAGAGAGAACAAAGCGGACTCGGATGAGGTCAGACAAGGGGGTTTTACAGTACCTGTCAAAGGAAAATGGCCCGTCACTATCTACCGGTTTGGTTGAAAGGCATAAACAGCCTCGCAAGCTGGTCGACCGTCGCGATGAGAGTTTGAGCCGGTGATGCGTGCGCGTCGAACTTTGCGGCTGAGGATGGTGCTGGATGAACTGCAGTCGCCGGCGGTTAGTACAAGTGCAAGAATTCATCAAGCAGCTTGAGAGAAACAAAGCAGGCACTTACAGAGCAACAAAATGGGTTGAAGAAGTCGAAGATGATCCGCAATCCTCACGGAGCTTCAAGGCGGACCGCACTCCGCTGCTCCGCCGTGAGTGGCTGATACGGACCCGCGCGCTTGGCGTTTATTCGGCTGGTCATGCGCATTCTATGGCGACAATGGGCGTATTTAATCGTACTGTATTGTCTATTGAGGTATTACATTAAGCCCTAATTCGTGTGATTGACGGAATAATCAATAGAACAATACGAGAATACAACAATACGAGAACCTCCAGGAGGCAACCTCTAAGCAATCCTTTTACTGTACTAGTCAGCATATTTAAACCTCGATTTCTAGAAAGAGCAGAGCTTTAGCGGTGGAAGGCACATCCGTGATGTAGTAAACCTATGAGTCATAACAAAGAGAACTGGAAATTATGGTAGAAATGAGGTAATATAGACTTCAAATGATATTATAAACAGCAAAGAATTTCCCAAGTATCTACCAAAAATCTCGTTTATCAACAGAGAGCCCGAATATCCAAATCGGCGAGCCAAAAATCCCATATACAGAACTAAATATGAAAAGACAACCAGGTCATCACCGACAAGGTGAAGAAACAAGACCCAAAGAAAAGAAAAGAAAAGAAAAGAAACACAAAACGAAAGTCCGGAATATGAGAAGAAACCAAGATCAAACCCAAAGTATTTTCAGAAAAAAGAGAAAAAGAAAACAGAACCCAATTGCCCAGCACATTATGAACGACACTCCCAAATTTTTTAATCCACAGAGTGAACCACATCGAAATGATATGAAATAAAGACAATAACTCCCCTGACAAGGCCTTATGACAAGCGCTAAGTGTGGTTATCAGAGCCATCAGTCATATAACGTTCGTTAATACCCAAAGCCCTTAGGCAAGTGGGTTTCCTTCACGTCAACATGAATCGTCGCACCAGGACAGACCAAAGAACCAAGAATCAATCGGGACCAGCCCGGCCATTGAGCACCTTAGACAGCGTGGGAAAGAGGCAAGCCGTTAGGATGGGGATGGCCTAGCGACCCCGTGCGGAAAGGCAGAGATCGTTGATCAACATGAGACTGTGACATGTCGTGCATGTGGTGAGGAGCCATGGGCATGTGGTAGCTCATTGAAGGCTGGGACATGGGCTGGCTGGATGGTGCGGCGTTGTAGTCGACAGTGCCGAAGATGTTCTGGCGGAATGTGGGTGCAGGAGCCCAGGGGTCGTAATGACCGGCGCGTTGGTGGTCAGGCGTGGAGGTTGGGAAGGCGTTGTGGCTGGAGTAGTCGAAGACGGAGACGTCGTGGGGACTGATCATCTCCGCTGTTACGGGAGTGCTGAGCATTGGCTGTGAGGAGAAGGAGTCTGTGTATTGGGGTGGCGTGGTGTAGTAGGGGCGGTCCTGGCGGGGTCCTTCGAAGCTGAGAGGCTCGGGCATGGAGAAGCTGCCTGGGAGGGAGCGGGTGGCGGGGAGGGTATCGATGGGTGTTGTGAGGGCGGCGGTTACTTGCTCAACTGAGGAGATGGGCGTCATGAGCCCTTGTACGTTGTGCTCGGGCTCCTCGATTGTTACTGAGGGTGCGTCGTTGGACTCTTCTTCTTCGTCGCCCTTGGGGCTGGGGCCACGGTTCATGGTGTAGACAATCATGTTGGAGTCGACTTCGCCGCGCTCGAGGCGCTCTTCCATCTTGCGGACACGAAGGATCTCATAGATGATCTCGACGTGGGATGGGTGCTTCAAGCTCCGCTTGGTGTCGCCAGCGACTTCCTTGAGCTTGTCGGCAGTGATACCGTAGCTACCGAGATGACGGATGATGTGAAGGAGAAGCTCAATGCGGTCTGTTATTAGGTTAGCAAATAGGGCCTTGGTGATATGATAGGTAGAACATACACTCTTTGCGCAGGTGGTCAGGCTCCTTGTGCATGACACCTGGGGGCCACCACTCGGGCTTCGTCTTCTCTGGGTCACCGGTGGTGCCGGGGGCAGATCCTGGTGGAGGCTTGCCACCGTTGTAAGGGTGTCGGACCTGCTTGCGAGGCTCGATGAACTTGATGAATGCCTTGGCAACCATGCGGCAGTTAAGTTGTTGGAAGTGCTTGAGGGCACCCTCGTAGTAAGCCATAACCTTCTGGCTGTCTCCAATGCGGAGAGGAACCATTTCAGTGGAGCCATTAGAGAAGTCTTCACTGTCGGAAGCCTGCTCAGAGAGACGGTCCTCGGAAATAGAGGGAGCATTGCCTTTGCGGCGCCTCACCCGGCGGGGAGATGCGTCTACTGTCTCTGTGGCAGTGTTAGTAGATATATTTTGTTAGGAGCCAGGATCAGATTACATACGGCGAGGGGGTGCATGGTAGCCAATGCGTTCCCCGAGAATCTCGAGGAAGTTCTGGCGGACTTCTGGGCTGAACACAGTCGCGTTGTGTTCCTGAATAGATGAAGACTCGTCGACCTTGAGCTTGCCGTCATGATCGAGGTAGATCATGGCGTAGTGTGTATAAGGAGGACGGAATGATGAGCGAGAATGCGTCATCATGGGCTGGAAGATGTTAGTAAATAGCCAATACTATAGTAATAGATAAACATACAGGAGCAACGTCCCATCCGGGAGGTCCTTCGAGGGCTGAAGCGGATCGCTTCATGGCGCCAGTTGTAGGGTTTGGTTTACTGTAAACCATTGTTGTATAAATATACACAGAAATGCTTCGCCGTAATGTTGATACGGTAGCAGGGACGTATTCGGCTCAAGTGATAGAATCTCAGTCCAAATGGCACATCAAGATACTAAAAGAGGCGTGATGTATCAAGAGGCTGATGGCGTTTAAGGTTCCGGCGAGAAATGTGCTCTTTATAGAGATTGTTTCTCCTCGAGTAGAGAGTTGCGATCTAGTCTTGACAAGAACTTGACACTAAATCTGTCGACTCGCGTCAGTCTACTGCTTGCCACTGTTTTAGGACCACAAGCGGAGATGGATATGGAAGCCCAACGGCTGGAAAGCCCTCCCCACTCCCGCGCGGGAACTGGTAGGACAAACGCATGCCGTGCCGGACAACGGGAATCAAGCTCTTGCAAACAAGGCCATAGAGAATGTAATGATTGGCGCCGGGATGTACTCACACACTCGAGATCACAATGTGCAAGAGTCTTAATGGACTCAAACGGATGACTGCAGACTGTTGGCAACCGGGATGCAGGAGCGACAGGAAGCCACTGTGTTCCCGCAAGTAAACGAAGGTGACACAGGCCGGGTTGGGGCAGATGAGAATAAAATATCTTAGAAGGGAGGGTGGGTCAAGTGGGATGTTAAATAAATATCCAGGATGTAGTGTGAAGTGTATACTATGTACAGAAAAAAAGAGAGAGAACAGATGGGGATATGCAAGCCTTTTTCAGTTTCCAGAGAGGTTCCAGGCAATTGGAAAAAAATGACAAAAGCACGACTCCAAACCAGAGCAATACGCAGCATGGATGATCCTAGAAAGCCCGGGGGCAACCCTCATCGTATGCATGCAGCGAGATTGGCGCACTTCAAAGCGACATGCAGGTGAGTGTTAGGCCCAGTCCCGATCCTGCATCCCTGTCCTACTATTTGTAGATCGCATAATTGTTTTTATTTTATTTTATAAATTTTAATATATTTATTTTATTTTATCTTAGTGTCATGTCGGGCCCAAACCAAGTGGCGCTGATTATCGATCGACCCCCCACAAGGGAACTGGGGATGCGCTTCCGGGACGCCATGGCTTCTGTCAGTTCCAAAGGTGATCAGATCCCTTGATCTCCATTGGTATACGAGGGCGAGGGCCCATACTAAATCTCTCTGGTCCAGATTTGTGGTAAGCAACTAGTTCATTTCTTTGTATGTTCCTGTGTGGGAACAATTATTACGTTAGGGAGATTAGCCCTAATTACTATCCGTGCCAGGCTCCTGTACCTGGACGCACAGGTGCAGTTCGGAGGTTCCGTCAGAGTTTGATTTGCCCCTTCATGGATCTGGGGGAAAGTACCGTTTAGAATATATGTGTATATATATATGAAATATTATCTGTAACATTTGTGTCTCTCGATCGGATCTTAGCCCTTGGGCCCCGGTGCGCTAGTAGCTGTGACCCCTCCACCAACCAACGAATGAGCCTGTCAGTTCCCATTTACTGTTAACCTATCAAGATGCGGCGTATGCATGGCCCAACACCCTGGATCCTGGGATGGAGATGACTCGCCGATAAAGTGCCATTCTCTTGGTTTGATCCCGTATGTCGATCTCCGTTCACTGACAAGAACTGGGTAGGCAATGGGAATCTTGGTGGCCACTTCAGCTGGAATGTCAAAAAGCCCCTGAGATCAGACCTCAAATCTCGCCAAATCAAAGAGACAATTGTAATTTGCGTATGCGAAGAAAAAGTACTGTATAGGCCGCCATTTTGCTAGTACGACTGTAACTCTCGCCTACACTCCCGTTCTAGCCGCGATGAATAAAAAAATCATTAAAAAAAATAAGACGCTCTAGGACAAAACGAGATAACAGACGGTTTGACATTTGAATCCTACTGTACAGCGTGATCTCCCCTCTCCCGGGGAAGAAACCGGTCGCAAAATGGTTCGAGTATTTATCCCACGACGGGTTTGGCGCGGTACTTTTGAAGTCAGACGTATTTGTGACAGCCGAATCAGCAGCCACGGAGTTCCCCAATTCTTCCCCCTGGGTCTGTGCTAATAAAGTGCCCAGGAGAACCCAAGCTGCTGTCAACGCGTCCATCTCCCGCTCTGGTGGGTTTCTTCGGGCTTGGAGATTTGGAGCTTGGGATGGCAGGGGATAGCTATAGTAAGACGTCAAAATCCACCTTAAACAAAGACGTCAACGGCTAAACTTCTCGATAAAAAAAACGCACAAAAAAGAGACAGGCGCGATTCTCTAGAACTAGTTTTGTCCCACTACATGGCTATCTTGACATTACAAAGGGGGATCACATTCTGCTCAGGTTCCACCATCTACGCTAGATCGGGGATGCAAGCAGAGTTTTCTGACACAAGCAGTGCTCTATTCCGATCAGATTGTGTACTTTGATAATCCATCCGAGTTCTGATCAATCTGACGAGTCTCAAGGAATTTTGACTACTACTGTAACCTCGGTAACATCGACAATTGCCGTCCTGCCTGCACAGCGTACTAACGGCTCCGGCTGCAAATCATTGCTCCATAGTGGAATACAAAGCAACCTACGCGAAACTGTTGCCTGCCCTGCGGTCAAATTAGATTTTTTAGATTATCCCAAAAGGCACTCGAATAAAGCACTGTAGTCGAGCTAGTGATTTAGGGCTGCCCTATGTTATTTGCCATTCTTTCAGTTGCATAGCGCACTACTGGTTTTCACCTAAAACCAACGGTCTCAACGCTATCTCTTCGCATAGGCGCAGACGTTTTGATTCTTTGTTAGTCCCCACTAAACCCCTCCCAGAAACCCCTCCCAGTGCTTAGGGAGGGTTTTTTCCTTCGTTTTTAGGCGCTGCTATCTTTTAGCGTGGCAATCAAGAAGTATGGGTGTCGGATAGTAAAAATGAATATCGATTCAAAAGTCCCAGTTACATTTGAAATAGCGGATTACTCCGGGCGTACCAGATCTTCGGGATTGAATTTCAAGGTCTAGACTTGAGGCAACCCCTATTTTTATGAACAAGGCCCTGACACCTGACACCTGCCAATGAAAGCTTTTTATTGGAAGTACAGTAGATCCTTGCCCTGGCTAGCCACAACGTGGCTCAGTGCTATTTGGAGGTTTGGCACAGCCACAGCTGAAGAAGCGAGAATAGCTGCACATTTAAGTATGCAACATGGATGGTCCCTGTGGATTTTTTTCTCTGCTTTTTTTTTTTCCTTCTATCTGCAGACACTCATGAATGTGCTTAGTTTGACAGCTTGGCAGTTCCCGCATGTAGTTTCAAGCAAACATCAATGAGTTCCCCACTCGTGACAGGGCTGGGTAATTAATCTAAACACCGCCTTTGCCGCTAAGATCGGACAAGGGATCTCACGGAGCTGTTCGGCGATGCAATCACCCTGAAACCCAAAGTGAGGCGTTAACTCGGCGGACTCGGCGGATATGTGACAGCGGGTGTGTGCTGACGGGAGTGGGGGCTGAGAGGGGTATGGGAATAACTGCAAAACAGACTTGATTCGGTATAGGAGGGCTGATCTACAGTTAGGGTCTCATTTCTGGAAAGAAAGAAAAAAGTCCCTTTGAGTTCGGTTCACCGCTACGGAGCAAAAAAAGCAAAAAACAAAAAAAAAAACGGATATAAAGCGCAGGAAGGCTGTTTCGTACTTCTGGAAATTGCTTCAACTTCATAGTTCGCTTCAAGAGTCGATTGTGCTACTATTGGACTTGGGCTCGTATCGATGAGATGATCATTGAGCTATTTGAGCGAGCATGTGGACAAAAGGGGGTGTGTACAGAGGGTATGAGTCTGTTCGCAGAGTATATCGAGACCATCGTTGTTTCTAGAGCTGCATATCGGTGTGAGCAAAGGTACTGGAGGCAACCTGCCTCCAGATGAGTGTATTCCGAATCTAGTAGAAGACCTGAGAGGTGTCAAGGCCTTTCATTTCCATACTCTATTTGAATCTTCGGGACATACAAGCGCAAGCGGACCAACAAGGCACAAGGGTGCATTGCTGTTGTGCAGAGCCGATGGGCCGCACGACGATCGATCAATGATGCACCCTGATCGAACATTGATCGGACCGACAAAGACGGGCATTGCGTCATATTGCATCCGCCATTTTGTCGGGGCGTTTTTTTGGGGGCAGACCCCTCCGAATGGTAGCTTTATTGTCAGGGTTGGGTCATCTGGGAGGGCTATTTTGCGCTTGTACTTCTGCTTCGACCAGTGAGAGTGTTCCGATGAAACCTTGAACCTCTTCCAGCTCGCTAAAAGACGGTCCAGACTCGACCCCCAGCAAGCCACTGCGGGTCGGGGATGGCGGTCCGGAGGCACTAAAGCTGTCAAACACCAACTAGGGTTAGCTGGGCCCACGGGGGCCCAAGGGAAAGGTCAAAGTTGGCAATCATCGAGCCTGTTTCTCTTCAGTGCCAGTGTGTTGGAATTCCCAATCTATCTTACTATAGTTAGAAGTTTCAAGAAGCGAACCTCATGCCTGCTTTCTCCTAAATAGGAGATCAGCTTACTGCCAAAAGTCCGTCTCATGTGCCATGACAATAGTTATGCTGATCCCAACACTAGATTTTTCACCAAGCCTCATTCAGTTGTCATTCGTGTTGCCTCCTATTCCTTTGCCCCAACAACCTTTAGGCCTCAAAAGACCATTCCAAATATACCGGTGGCTTTCAATAATGTTCGGTACTCCAAATCAATCAATATGTACCTCTAATCTCCAGTACTGAACGCAGGAACAGAAAAAGCAATCTGAAACTGCAGGAAATTATTTCTCCATCGTGGCCCGGCCCGAGGGGCAGTCTATGATGGTTCCTACAGGTCGGAGGAGATCCATATGCGCTATATGGAGAGTGAACTACTGTCTTGTTCGTCTTCGTTATGCAGGAAACAATGCTTTGTTTTGACATATCTGTTAGCGAGTTCTCGGGTTTCAACTGAAGATAAAATAGACGTAATTTCGCTACTACATCTCCACTCGGTCCCGACAATACAATTAACCCTGGCGGGAAAGGCTGACGGAAGTCTTTTACGCACAGAGCCCAGCGTGGGCGTGACAGTTGGCCCTTGCACAGTTCGCATTTTGGCCCTCGGAATTGTTTTCGTTTCCAGCGCACTGTTCGCGCTCCACTCGTTCTGGACCAGGCCGATAGTCGGGGCTCCCTTGCTCCGGAGTCATTTTCCACATTCGTTTCAGGTGGAAAACGTGGACATTGTCTGCATGAGGGCTGGTGTCATTTCAAATATCATAAAAAGGGGTATCAAAGGAGATCAAAGTAGGTGAAGCGGTTCAAACAACACCAAGAGTGAATACATGTGCGATATTTGGTTACAGTATAGCTATGGAGCCCGAGTAGTCCCCGGAATTGCATCATAAAGTCCCAACTACCTGGATATGCTAAGGCTTTAGCTTGACGAAAGTTTTGAGGTCCTTGCATTCCCCCACAGCCAATCACCTGCTCCAGCTTGCTTGAATTTTTTCGTGGATAGTGCAAACTCTCCTGAGGAACTAACAGCTTCCCCGGCCCCTCACCCCAAAGCTTCCTAAACTCCACCACAGCGGTCCCTGATGCTCGCGATCGCATGCATGCCACGCCTTCTTCGTTAATTTGGATCATTTTCCCCTCCCCACGGACCATCTCCCGTTCCCAGCAGCTCAGGTTGCCCGCCACCCTAGTCTCTAGTGTCCGTCCATCCCTGAGCCCCGGACCAATGTCCTGTCCGCGAGGCCTCATGGAGCTATGCAAAGACGGACAAATTGCCCGAAAAGGCGCCCAAAAATCATCGCTGGTGATCTGTACTTGGTCCCGATCGAGTGGCGTGGCTGAAGGATTGCTCTCCATGATCCTGGATCAGCGTTGGCTCCAGCGCACTGGATGGTGGGTTCCGGGGCCGGTGAGAGATAGGAATCATTTTCCGTCTATCAGTCTGGAGTAACAAGAACCATCTCTATCAAGGTGTGTTCTCCCCAAATTGAGGTATTTGGGATTCCCTGTAACTCACCGGGTAGCGAGCCCTCCACGCGAGTTGATCAGCAGTGGCTGGGGAATCTGGAGTCGTGACAAATACTCATATCATATACCCACACCGCATACAAAGTACAAGTGCAGCAGCTATTCCCCCCAATGCGCACGGTATGTACCCACCAAGTCCACAATTCAAATGCCCACAAAGCCCGACATAATATAAATTACTACAACTATAGACATGAAGCCACTATCAAGGGGGCAAACCCCATCAACAAAGCAAGGCATGGCTCACATAGATTATATATCTCCCCGGCCCCAATTAAAATCCGACACTACACACAGAACTCTCAGTGCCACTCCGGCGGATCATGTTCCCCAAGGGCCCAGTTTCCCAAGACAACTTTCGCTGCCCCATATGGCGATGATCATGGCCCCCCCAGACCTACTTCATCGTCTTGCTTCGCAGGTCTAAGCGTTCCGGACGAGGGTCCCATCCCGCCACGGTGGTACTGCTGCATTGTGCATGAGAGTGTGGATTGTGGATTATGGATTATGGATTGTCTGCGCTATGAATGTTCCACCCTGGCCCTCTTTCCCCTCAAGGCTGAGCCGATCCAAACTTAGATCTGAATCTGATCATGTTGTTGAATGTTGTATTCGGTATAGCCAGGTTACAATCGGAACTAGAGGGATTTACATAGTCCGTGCAAATCCCGATTGCGCATTGTGCATGTACCATGGACCTGGATCTGGAGCTGATCATCCATTACCTCGGTAAGGAAGCAAGAAGAAAAAAGTAGAACTACACCTAAACCGAAGCTAACCAATCCCGGTGTACGGTATCAAGGTCATCTGCTCCAGAGCACAGCACCACCACCACCATTCCAGGACCCGATCTTCAATGTAAAGACGCAATCCAAAAAGAGGAGACCACATAACACATGCACATGCACATGCACACGCACATATACATGCAAATGAAAAAGAGGCTGGGCTAGTTCACCATACCAGCAGGTACAATCTCGATTTCCTCGATTTACCCACTTCGGGACCAATGACCCAGATTACAGGAGCGGCTTGCCTGCGCCTGTAGTGCGCTGAGTGGAGGTGGAAAAGAGAGAAACAAACCCCTTTGGAAGAGTCGCTTGTTTATTGGCCTGTGTCCACATCCACTGATGTACCTTGCCTATATGCACATACTGCTACATGTAACTTACATCTTATGTATGTACATGTCTGTCCTATGTAGGATGGAGCTTGGAAGTGGAGATCTAGTGTCCCGGACCTGTTCGGGTGCAGAGTAAGATGGTTTGCGGTTAGGTTCGCTTAGAGGGCTGGATGGGCGTTGCAGATGATGTCCGGTTGTGGGATTGTGGGATTGTGGGTATTGTCTACAGGCCGGGTAATGCAGTATCGTATGGCTGTGCATGAGAGAAAAGCGCGCACACACACACGTACATGGAGATGAACATGGATATGGATACCTGTAGAGCATGGAAAAGAGATCGCACCTATAGAGAGAGAGAGGAACAGACATCCCCTCAGTGGATTCACCCAGGATATGTGGGTGAGAGGAGATGCAAGAAGGTCCATTCTTCTTCATGACGGTCTCTGGTTACTTCTTTTGTCGAGGTACTCATCCGAGAGTCTATTCTGACTTTGGCTTTGTCCTTTTCAGATCTGAAGATCTGTCTCTGTGGCGCTGATTGGTGCATCGAGGCTCAATGGCCCATTGAACAAGATTAAGGAAGCAACTTCCGCTGGCTCCCCGTCCTCGCTGTGCGTCTGAGATGCCCCTTGCCTTGGATCTAGATAGCTGAAACAAATCCCGAATGCAGGTCCGCGGCCAATGATGTTCGTGACGGGATGCACAGACCGGGGTAGGAGGGAGGAGGCGAAGAGATGATCGTAGGCGAGATCGCGAGCGGGTTTTCCACGCGAAATCGGCGATTGTGCTTCGAAGTGAATATCTTTACTTCTATGGATTCTGTCTCTGACATGACACGCAACGGCATTACTCATACGTTATACGTTGACGTGGTCTAGTTGCCCCTCCTTCAGCTCTGTTAAGAAGAGGAAGGTATTTTCTCTCCCTCTGTGCATGTATCTACTGTTTTTTCAGCTTAAATCCTGATCTGGTATGTAGTGACACATTCGCCTCCCTTTCCTACTCCTCCCTCTCCCCTTATCCGTACAGTTCGCCCACATCTACGAAGTTAATGCATGTGCATGAACTCCCAATCTCCCGCGTGGCTAATCTGTTTCGCATCCCGCAAGGTGCAAGGAGGTGCCTTCGTATACATGTACATTGCCACTATTGAATACTCCCGCTCGTCCTTTTTCCCCGAAGTGGGGGGCGGAGGCTAGTATGCCGTATGTGATCGTCGAACCAGAACAGAGACTGTGGCGGGTGAGCGTCTGGCTGCGTGGTAAGATATAATGTATGATGTCAAGTGGAAACGACGGGATTCTTCTGTAGTTGGCAGCACTAGGACTGTGCATCTATGATATTTTTGATATCGCTTGCTTACTTGGTGAACAAAGTGGCGGGACAACTGGCAAGTCGGAGGTACCCTCTCACCGCTACAATGCACTGCTCGTCGATGTGATTGTCAAAATGTCACCGCCACGTTTGGGACTCGGCGCTACTGCACATAATCAGAAAATGAATGGCTTATGATTGTCTAGAAGATTGTCTGTTCACTTGTTTGATGCAGGGTTACGTTGGGTAGGGTCTAGCCACTGCTCTTCTGGGGGATCTAGCTATGTCCGGAGACTGTATTAAGTTATTCACATATAAACAAGCAGAACAACGATGTGCACGGCCACAATTTGATCATAGTTGACAGGGTAATAAAAGAGATAAAGGGCTTTTTTTTGCTTTTGTTTTGGTTCGCAGTGGCCAATCCAATCATATGTTCAAGGTCACGAAGGCAATCCCCGATCCCAACATGAAACACAATGGGAGAGGCTCGAGGACAGGGTCTGAATGTGCAGGAAATGAAAACATTTTTTTTAGCTCTATCTTGCTGGCCCCTGTCAGGGGGTCCCTGGTGCAATGAAAAACTTTTCACTCAGTACATGTACATGCAGTATGCACAGACGGCCGAGCCACATCACCAAGGCGTTGGAACTGTCAGCACAGATGAATGGGCATAATCCATGCAGGCAGCACTCAAAAGAACTAAAGGGCCTGCGATCGGCCCGGGGTAACAGAGAAGATCCGGCCTCCCCGAGCCACTCAGGACTGCATGAGGCTGGTTCGAACCATCTCAGCCATCTGGGGCTGGCTATCTGAGCCATCTTTGTCAAGGAAATACGGAGGACTGGGGACCATGGCAATTGATTGGCTTTTACGCTGTTTGGGAGGAGGCAATGGCACCGTCGTTGTCGAGCAGGCCGGCCTCCTTGGCGAGCTCGTAGAATTTGCCGCCACGCTTGATCAGCTCTGCGGGCGTGTCGAACTCCGCCACACGCCCCTTGTCCAAAACGACGATACGATCGGAGTCGATGATCGTGTTGATGCGGTGCGCGATCGTGATGATGGTTCGGTCCTGGAAGATACTGCTGCGCAGGGTGCGTTGCAGGTGTGCGTCGGTTTCTACGTCAACCGCGGCCTATCGCTGTTGTTAGCTGAAATTATCCGTCGAAGGTAAAAAGATTGATATCATACGGTTGCCTCGTCCAGAACAAGGATGTTGCTGGGTGTCAACAGGGCGCGTGCGAGAGACACCAGCTGGCGCTGGCCCTGACTCAAGTTGGAGCCTGTTATATTGTTAGAAGATGCCTGAGGGCTCAGGTGAAAATGGTGCCTTACCTCCTTCCTGAATCTGGGTATCCAGCTGTCCCTCCATCCCGGAGATATGGTCCTTCAATCTCGCGTGATCTAGATAAAGTCAGATCACTGGAAAAGAAGATATAAGGAACTAAAGACCTACCTAGAACACTCCACAGTTCAGTATCGTCATGGACATGACGAGGGTCCAAGTTGTCACGCAGGGTGCCCTCGAACATGGCAGGATCTTGAGGAATGATGGCAAGACGGCCACGAAGGTCGAACAAACCAATCGTAGAGACATCGAGCCCATCAATGCTGATGTTGCCGTTGACACCCTCAATAATACGGAACAGAGCCAGTGTAAGCGAACTCTTTCCAGCGCCAGTACGGCCAACGACACCAATCTTCTCATGAGGCTTGATATCGAGATTGATATCCTTGAGCACAAGGTCGAGCCCGGGGCGGTAGCGGGTGCTGTAATCATTAAATGAAACAGCACCTTGAGCCGGCCAGCCGATAGCAGGGCGGCGCTTGAAGATCACCTCGGGTGCCTCACTAGGGAGACTGGCATACTCGAGCACTCGCTCAACAGACACAATGTTAGTCTCAACCTCGACGGTCTGGCGAACGATCCAGTTAAGCGACTGTGTGATCTGGAGAGCGTATGACATGGCCAGACCGACCATACCGGGGAAAGTAAACTGCCACTAGCAACGGACATGATGGCAAGTCCGGCAGATGCCAGAATGATGATGGAGCCGATGAACTCCAGACGAACGGCGAGCCAGCGGTTAGCGCTGATGGACGGGAAGTAAGCCCGTAGGTTGGCATCCATGCGCCATTCATTTTCGAGAGCAAACCGGTTTTCTTGGCGATAGGCACGAATAGTGGAAATGCCGCCCAAGGACTCCTGGAAGTGAGCGAAGATTGGGCTTCGCGTGACACTATCGAGACGCTTCAACTCGCGCGACGTTCTCAGATAGTACTTCTGGTAGCTGAGATAAATATAGCTCAGAGGAATGACAAACAACAAGAACGCAGGGGTCGTAGTTGAAATGACAATCATGGTGAAGATGGCACGAGCAGAGTTGGCGAACAGCATGTTGAAAGTACGGGCAAGTACTTCATCAACACGGTAAATATCACTGGAAAAGCGATTGAGGATACGGCCAGATGGTGTGGTTTCGAAGAAGCTCATGGGTGAGCGGAAGATGGCAAATGCCATGCGCTCATGAAGCTTGCGAGACGCTTCGATAGAACAGAAAATCCACAGGATCAAGTTCTGGAGAATGACTAGAAGAGACGAGCCCAACCCGAGGGCCAAGTAGACTCCGATAAACTTGCCAACTTGAGCATTGGTTCCATGAGCCTCGTTCCACTCAGTCCAGTTCTTCAGCCAGTAGTTTCCAACAACCTGAGCAGTCTGGGCGGCCAACATGGCGAACAAGTAAAATCCGACAGCGACGGTGTTGCTGTCCTTTGCATATTGGCCGTAGACACTCCATTTCACCTTTCCTTGCTCCGAGGTTTCCTGGGTTTGCTTGCTCTTGAGAATATTCTCCTCGTCTCCTAGCTTGCGCCGGGGACCTTGCCAACTCACGGTGCTTGCACGGCGCAAAGTAACGGTGCTGGTACGTCTGCGAGCTTCGCCAGCTGCCTTGATGGGAATAAGATCGCCGGGTTGCTCTGTGTTATCAGCATCGGAGTCACCGCCGTTTTGAAGAATAGCAGTCTCAACTGAGCTTTCGACGCTGGTAAGATCCTCGGATCCACTAGATCCACTAGCAGTACCTTCATCATCCGAGTCCACCACGGTTGTACGAACGAGATTGGAGATCTCGCCCTTCATGGCCATCAGTTGTTCATATGTTCCCTTTTCAATGATGGTCTTATCACGGAGCAAGCCAATGAAGTCCGCCTCCTTGAGGACAGTGATTGCATTGGTTGCAAGAATTCTGGTCTTGCCGCTGAGAAGACCGGTCTTTCCGAGAACCTTGTTGATGATATGACGTCCAACATGCTGATCAACTGCGGAGAGAACGTCGTCCAGAAGATAGATATCGGCACGAGCATATACTGCTCTGGCGAGTGTCAGGCGTGCTTTTTGTCCTCCGGAAAGAGAGATGCCACGTTCTCCGACTTCGGTCTGATCACCATCCGGCAAGTTCTTGAAGTCATCAATTAGGGCGCATGCTTCCACGGTAAGGTCATAGAAAGCTGGATCCCATCGATGTCCGAAAACAATGTTTTCCCGGACGCTGGCATTCATAACCCAAGGTGCTTGAGCGACGTACGCGATGCGACCACGCACGACAACTTCTCCCTGATTCTTCCAGAGATCACCTAACAGTGACTGAAGAAGAGAAGACTTTCCAGCACCGACTCGGCCAACGATACAGCTCAGCTCACCCTTGCGCGCACTAAGATCGATGTTCTCTAGCACGGTGGCTCCTGTATAACGGTTCCAGGTGAACGAAGCATCACGCACACGAACAGACTCGTCGCCGGGGTGTACCACGGGGTCTTGGAAGGAGACAGCATCGCCCTGGAGCTCCTCTGCGGTGAAGTAGTCCATCAACCGCTTCACAGCAACGGATGATTCAATAATAGATGTAATCACCATGGGAAGGATAGAGAGAGGGAATGTCAGCAAGTTGAAGAGCGTCAAAGCCGGAAACACAATCTCGGTGGTCAAAGGCTTGTCACTTGTCAACACGAAAACAGTGAATGTGGAGCAAGAGACGAGGAAAGGAGTTGACTGCCAGGTAAAGTTGGCAATAGATTGTGTGGCTCCGATCTTGCGCAAGGTGTTAAGCTCAAGGTCATTTCGGATGTGGCTCAGTTTGTTCATAAACGCCGTGTTCCAGGCGTACAGCTTGATGCTCTTGATATTGTTCAGAATCTCAGTCATCAGTCGGGTTCTTGAGTCCTTGTTCTTCATTTGGACAATCTGCAGCTTCTTCATCATGCGTGCAATAACGCCATTCAGAGGGATCATCAGAATCATGACTCCGACACCGGCGAACATGCTAGGTCCAACGAGCTGGTAAAGAGATACCATGCAGAGCATAATTTGGAAAGGCGCAGACAAGAGTTGAGTACCAAATTGTGTCAAGTCCGAAAGGCGCTGTTGGTCAACGGCCATGTGGTTGACGATATCACCAGTTGTCTTTGTCGAGCGACCTTCGTTTGACAGTTTCAAGGACTTGGCATAGATCATAGCGGTCAAGGCCGACTTGACTCTCATACCAGTATCGAAGGCACGCTGGAAGTATTGATGAAGACAGCTGGTCTGACAGACAGAAACAACAAACATGGCCAAGGCGATAGCGACGCCTCTAATGACAGGCTGTGGGTCAGGGTACCGATACGAGTCAACGAAGGAAATGAGGAGTCGCAAGAGTTGCGGCTGGACAAAAGCAAGGCAGTCACTTCCGGATTTGATGATCGCACCGCGGACGTAGGGTCCACCAAAAGCCTTGAACAGCGCCATCCACAGGGACGGCTTCTTGCTTTGGAGCTGTTCTTCCCATGCCTCCTTCAGGGCATCACCCGTGACCCGGGTGGTATCGCGACTGCGAAGATTCCACAGATCATCTTGGGTCAGGTAGTTCTTGTATCCATATTTCATCATCGGGGTCATCCAGCTGAAGGTAAGGACCGAGAATATGTCGGCATAGTTGTAAGGACACTCATCCTCGTCTCCCAGAGCATCGTATGCGCTCTGCTTCTTGGGGACGAAGTACTCTAGCACAGACTCAACTAGTGCCAGACCCAAACTCACGTTGATACAAATAAAGTAAGGGAGTTGGTCGACGAATGCTTTTCGCGCGACCAGAGAGCGCAGTTTAACGGCATAGGCGATGATAAAGAAGAGCCAGTAAAACAGGACAACCCCGTTGGGCTGTCTGCTCCGCCAATGCTCGAAATATTGTACCGAAGTAATCACTCCTAGCGACACGATGGTCAGAACCGAGGACCAGAATCGGAAGTCGGCCCAGAAGGCGTTCGGTTGCGTTTCGGCCTGGATCGCAGCTTGAAGGGCGGTAACAAAGACAAGAGCAGCGAGCACGGCCTATAGCATCACAGTCAGTCAGCAACCATTCACCCTGTACGCGATCCTGGAAGGGTATTCGTTATCGGTATGACTAACCAACTTGGTGTAGAAATGCCAGTTCTTCGATACGGGCTGCGGAATCCGCTTCCTAAGCAACAACCACAAGGCACCCAGTCCGCTCAGCGTACCCCAGATAGCCACTACCGCCACAATCACGTCAAGGAAGCATGGCGTCAAGTCGAATCTCGATGAGCTGATGGGGCCCCAGCCCTCGCTATGAGTGCAAAAGGGCTGTCGCCGGGGGAATTGATTGCCGATCCAAGGGAATGCAAGAGATTCCCTTGGGATCCCTCTAGGACCACCTGGGATTGGCCATCCAGCATTTTTCGAAGCAACTGCGTCCCGATATGCCTTTCTGTGTACAGGCAAGCAAAAAAACTCCAAGACTTGAAGGGTGACGGGGGTTTGGAAAGCTAGGCTGCTTACTAAAAGCCAAAGGCGGCTCCGCTTTTGGGGATATCTGGGCTGCTTACGGATCCCGATGGAACCTATAAAGTCGGACTTATTACATATCGATCGATGACTTCCTCTATAGTTCTTGTAGTCTGGTTAGACTTTTTCTAGCACTGAGCTCCGTACCCTCTGGCTTCGAGCATAAATCATGGCCCTGGCAAGTCTTTGATTTGTCACGGGATGTGGAATATGATGTAATCATCGGGGATAAGCCCCGACTAAGACCGATGCGGTTGCTTGGCACTTCTAGAATTCTATCATTTTTCTACTGTTTCTAACCTATCCATCGATTTGTTTAATATAGTACTATGTTCTTTTATTGTCTCCTATGACTTATCTTGTCTAGCAATCAATTGTGTTTCATAAAAATCCTAAGTTTCTTTATAACCGTGTAGTAGGCAAGCCCAGAATAAGATATATATTATATCACCGCGAACAGAAACTACACTTACCTCTCTTGACGCCTAAAGGATACGATGAACCATTAACTTGATATCGATACATATGCGCCATTTTCTCGACAATGTACATTCTTGTAACCAAAACTGCTTAGATGGCTGTACCCAAACCCAGTCTAAGTGATGCCATTCTGACTCAAAACATCACAGCATGACCATGATTTCACAAGGACCGACATCATAGGAAAAACAAAATATGTTCTATTTTCAAAAAAGCCAAACTGAACTAGTATAGCTAGATGTACACTGGGTGACCTGATAGACACGAAGACCATTCCACTCAAACAATTGGTGTTACTTGACCTTGACACTCACTAACTTCGCTCAACAAAACCTTCAATCACACTGATCATATCTTCATTTCCAATAGCACGTGCACGTTCGATTGCACTTCCATAAGCGCCTCTAACATTTGGATCTGCCCCATGTTCCAACAACCACCTCACCCGCTCGACTGCTCCTGCCATGACTGCATGTACAATAGCATACTGCGGTGTCATATGTCGTGATTCCTCTTTCTTATTCACATCCGCCCCATGCTCTACCAGTAGAGCCATCACTGGAATTCTGTTCGTATCGAAATCCAAGCTCGGTTTAACTTGTGTAGCATGTGGATTTCCACCTGGAGGACATGCTCCTGCAGCATAGTGCAATGGCAATCCATTCTCAATCCGCGCATCTGCCTTTAGAATCATACGCACAGCTTCCACATGACCATGAGCTGCAGCTCTTTCAAGGGTGATGCATGAATCTGTGTCCGGTCCGCCGCGGCGATCACGGTTGTCTCGTTGCGTGCCAAGGTTGGGATCAGCTCCATGGTCAAGGAACCAACGAAGAAGAGGGACGTTGGTCACAATTCTAGGGAGTAAGACAGCACCATAAAAGCCTGGGGTATTTGGGGTCCAGCCATGGCGGACGAGGAGTTCGAAGAGACCAATTTGTTGGTCCGGAGGGGCGGATAGGACATTTCCCGGAGTTTCGCGAACAATCGGTGCCCCATGAGAGAGGAGATAACTCGCAACCTCAATATTACCGGAACTGAGTGCAAGTACCAAGCCATGATGAAGGAATGCTGGTGTAAGTTGCTCTTGAGATATAGTAGATTGAACGATAGAGAGTGGACCGCGTCGGCAGGCAGATACAAAAGGACCGAAAAAGGTAGGGGGTTGACCAAAGAATGTAGGATGTCCATTAACAAATTCAACATCGCTAGGGCTATTGATTGGAAGATCGTCATATGTTGAGCCCATTGTTTGCGATTGTGGTTGCAGTTGCTGCCGTGGAGGTATGTTGCCGTTGGTGACTCTTTGTTGTGCTGCCATCATTTGCATTTGCTGTCGGCGAGCATGCATCATAATTTGCTGTTGCATCTGCTGCTGCGTTTGCTGTTGTGATGACATGTTGCCTATAGCAGTGATAAATGCACGATTAACAAATTTCTGTATAAATTATGTCCCTGGTGTCGGTGGTTGCAGGTGTGTACCCAATCTGACAGTCATGTGATGTCCCCACGAACTCATTCTAAAAACAAAACCAACCAAGAGACCTATTCTTGAATATGGAAAGTATGACGTTGATCATAGCTAGTGCTGATTTGGTGACTAGTGCTTACTGAGCCACGGAAGTTATTTAGCCCCATTGAAACAGCCGCAGTCCTTGATATCAACGAAACGAATGGGGCTAATTGTGCGGATATCATGCAGATCGCCGGGGGCCGCCCAGGGGGGATCCACAGTGTTTACGATCATACAACGGCCTGATTGCATTCTTCAGACATTAATCTTTACTGATCATACCGGTACGAGTCCGAAGAGAAAGCCTTGTGCTGCCCGAATATGATTGTCACAATAAACGGCAATTGGTAACAGTCTTACAAAAGTCAGCCTCAGAGGAGCTCCAGAGGATCAACTAGACCAAAAGAAGAAGGTCGGGTCACCCAAAATTAGAGATCAGATTTTATTCCCGTCGATATAGACCTAGCAATTAGTTCTCAGATTTCACAGAAGTCCCCCACCTGGCGTATCAATCCTAAACTGCAGCCTAACTCAATTGATTTAGTGCTGACAACGTTTCTCCACTTCACCCCAATTAGATTCTTCATTGTACATGTATCTTGTTTTACCCCTGGGGCGGAAACTTGGCAGATCATTAGCGTTTCAAGGCTACAAATGATGCAGTCACATCAGCCATATAATGATTTGCTTAAACTGAGTAAGGATTAGATACTTGAAGATTCTACAAAGTAAGCAAAGGGGGCTTTGTAGTTCGACGGTCAAATGCAAACTATACTGATTGCTCGGGACCCGTACTCAAGCAAATTTGCCTCTTCTTTAGAAACCTACATGTATTGTATACTAATATATGTCGCTGATCTACAGCCTACCATTGGCATGCCATGGACCACTTCCTTCTATTTGCCACTAGTCCCGTACCTTCTTGTGTTTATTGTAGTATGGGACTCGATGTAGATCATAATTAATGCATTGAGAGTCTAGTGCTTACATATTTAGCCCCAGAAAAGCACCATATGGCCCCTAGAACGGTTCATTTGGCCCCAAAGGTTTCGTGTGCCAGGATTCGTGGGCCCCTGAAATAGCACCCTGACTTGAAATATTACAACGTCAAACGGGCTATTCTCTCAGATACTTAAACAATGCCCCGCGGTAGACAGGCCGTAAAGTTCTCACATTCCCTTTGTTCTCCACGCGTTGCACCTGGTCTTATACAAATCTTTACAATGCGGCCTTCTGAAGGCTGGTCTGTATCAGCAAGATGGGCCTTTCTGGTTCTGACTTCAATTGTACACCTTACCTCTGGAGCTGCCATAGGAAACCCTAGCGGTAAAAGCTCTTTTGCTTCCACATTGCCTGCATCTACACCCTCTAGGTATGAAATTGGATTCTTGTGAGAACTTAGATTGGGCCGCGAATGGACTGACGCGAGGATAATTTTCAGTCTTAGGACTAGCAGTGTACAAAGCAAAAGCTCCTTTAATCCCTCTTCAAGCAGTCCTCCTTCATCTGCACCTAAGCAAACAAGTTCTGCTGTCATTGTATCGAGCAGTGATGCTTCTTATGGCTTTGGATTCAGCTCATCCAACGTAATTTCGCCAAGCTCCAGGTCCCTGATTAGTACTGGAAACATTGCTCAAAGCACGGATAGCCCTGTGTCCTCGAAAGTTCCATCTTCTTCTCAACCTCAAAGCACTCCATATTTTACATCAACCGCAATATCGTCTTCTAGCACCGGAAGCCCATCTTTTAGCAGCAGCAGCGGTATTCCGGGATCCTCTTTGTCGCTCACAAACCAATTATCTAGTTCTGGAAGCTCTCGAAGCTCGGTTCGAAGCAGCAGCAACGCTGACGCTTCGTCCACCAATGCTTCCTCTACAGTCAGCACAAGAACTAGCATCGGTGTCTCATCAACTACTCCGCCTTCAAGCAGTGGTAGCAGCAAGAGCCTGTCTCCATCCTATGCCAACTCAGGCGGACCTACCATTGTATCTTCCACGATTGTCGAATCAGGTAGCACTGTGGTAGTTCCGGTCATAACTGGAGACACATACTCAACCCCAATTACTCTTCCACCTGTTACATCGACTATCAAAAGTTCTGAAGCGACATCCAGTGTATCTTCAGTGTCCTCAGATATTGCTGGCCTGATCCCGATCATCAGTTCTTGGAAGAAGAACCCAGATCCTCTTAAAACTGATACCCTTAATAAGGTGAAAAACATTCGAAGTGAAGTAGAAGGACTGATTTCCGATCTTGGTGGCTCATCTTCCTCTTCAGGGTGTGGTTCAAAAAAGAAGAGAGGATTGTTTGGTTCCATTGGCGATATAATCAACTCATTGTCATGCATTGATGAAGATCTGCAAAAGGTCACGGACGATATCAACGCAAATAATGTTGATTCCATTGACGACACGCTGGATGAACTCACAGAGGATAACAACAATCTCACTGAGAACGACAATGAAGACAACACCGAAAGCAGTTCGAACTCTGATTCATCAACCACCCCCTCGTCCTCTTCGTGCACAGAGTCATCCACAGCATTCAAGGTGACTGTCAAGTGTGTACCTACCTCTTTTGTTACTGGAAGTTCCACTCTTCCCACCACAACTTGCACGCCCTCAACCACTGTCACCACCGTTGGATGCTCAGTCACCGGGTTGACGACCACCATCTCGACCTCTGCCTCAGCAGCTGGAACCCAAATCCCATGTGCTTCTGGTACATGCGGCAAGTCATGCCCGATGAACAAGGGTCCTCTCAGTGGTGCTAGCATGGGCGTTATAGCCACCACAGAGAACTGTGCATTGATCTCAACAAGTACAACCGCTACCCTGCCCACTGGCAGCTATGGTGTTGCTGGGAGCATCGGAGTTATAGCTCCAACACAATCTAGCTCTGCATCTAAGAGGAGCCAATCCAACAGCGATGATAATCACCTAGTGGATCGCTCATTAGTTGAACGTGCTCTTGCGGATGTTTCCCCTCCCTACGCCGACTATGTCAGGACGCTGACACCTACCTGGGTCAGTCAATTGGGTGATGCATCAGGACAGTGGTTTGACTTCCCAACGTTTGGTCACTCGGCTGCTGGTGTTAATGGTATCTATGGATGCACAGCTGTGATCCTTGCATCTGAGAAAGGTGTGTACATTTCACACATTTGGGAGAACCCAGTCTTCATCCACGGCGATTACAGCCCAACCGATGACAATTACTTTGTATCAACTGCCTTCAATGCCCTACGGGATGGTACTGCGTTTGCACAAAGTGTGACTGATCTGATTGGAACTGATCAAACTCCCGGTGTTCTGAATGCCATCTACGCCCCCAAAGTGTTTGTCCTTACGCCTTATACCACGGATTTTGATCGACAAATGTTTGGCATTTCAACTACGCTGAGGTATCAAGACCGTGCAAACGACCTCGCGCAAAGACTCGCAAATGCTATCCCCGGCTCTGGTGGAGAAGGCATTGTCATGGGATATACACGCACAAGTCAACAGGCATCTACCCAGGAACCAGGCGTTGCAGGTAGAGCCATTCTCGAAGTTGACCCCTTTCAAACATGGCTCACCACACCTAGTGATCCAACTTCTGCGGGTCTTCAAGTTGGTCGCTGGCGCCTGTGGGTAGAGGATCAGTTGATTACTTACCAAGATTTCTGGCTTCCCCATGCCGCAGCTCCTGCAGGAACTTTCCAGAAACGAGGTGAGGGTTATGCAAACCCATGTAGCAGCTACACCAACTCTTCCAGCTCTAGCTCTAGTAGCTCTGGAATCAGTACCTCCCAAGGCTCGAGTGCGACCACTTTCCGGAGCTCAATCTCTACCTCGCAACCATTGCCTTCTGGAAACTCTGCATCATCGTCAAGGTTCCCGTCAGCCACATCTTCAATCTCGGGAAGTGTATCATCATCGGCAATAGCTTCATCATCACTTTCACGCTCGTCTTCCACGCCGTCTTCAGAAGCAAGCTCGTCATCCACAGTAAACCCATCATCCACACCAAGCTTCTCATCTAAATCAATTTCTTCAACACCACCTTCATCCTCAGGATCAGCTTCATTGGCAGCACCGGCCTCATCTTCAGGAATAACCTCAGCCCCGGTCACATCTACGTCAAGCCTGACCTCAGCCTCAGCCTCCCAAAGCTCGTATATGTGTATGAACCGAGGTGGTCCTAATGTTGCAACACCGCACTGCCAGTGTTCAACAACATCTGACGGACAGAGCTACTACGCGACAGCGCCTCTGATTTCCGATTACTGCACTGATTACACCACTTTCCCATCAAGCATCACGCCAGAATCAACTGCAACTCAAGCTCCTACAACAGCGACACCTGAGCCTATCATCAAGACCGAAGATGGAAACATCATCTCCTACCCTTCGCGAACTCTTGAATACGGAGAAGTCTACGGCAAGCAATACACTTTCACAAATGGCGCCGGCTCCCCTGTCACCTTGGAAACAGCGGCCCCAACCCAGACCGACGCCAACAATAAGGGCTCAAGTCAATGCAAAAGTGTTGACGATGCTTGCCAGCGGGCTTATGAGCAGTTCGAAGATGATACTGTCTACAGCGATTTTGCATCCTATACTGCCAAGATCCAGAGTGGCATGGTTATGGTTGCGACTTTTGGCCAGGCTGGTTGTGTTGCCCAGTATAAGTGTGATGACTATGGATTTGGAATGACTGGACGACAGATCAAAGATGCGTAAGTTCAATCCTGTCCCTATATTTTGTGGAAACTTCACTGACATTTTCAATAGGGTCGAGTATATGAAGGACAATGACGGTGTTGAGAAGTGTGGCACTACCTATCTTTCTAACTCCTGCCATGTCACACTGAACTACTGCACCAGTTGCAAGTCACAACACTAATTGCTATCTAGATTGCAGCTGTGATTTTGTACCTTATATTGTGACTTAATATTTTCTGTTGAAGCTATATAGATGAATGAGAGGTTCAGTTTTGGGCTGCCAGCAGTCTATAGCATTCAATTTAAGTTATATAAGTCATGTTTGTTGTAGATATAGACGTACTCTCAAACAGTGCAAAAACTATGACGTAGAACAATTTTTACAGCAAGATCACGTGAATTGTAAATATAAATTGAAGAAATATATGCTCACAGAGAGGTAGAGAAGAGAACCATTCTCGTCATAGAGGATTTACAAAGCATCAATCCCAGCATTCAGGCACACGAGAAAAGATGACCGCAGCCCATGAGTCAAATTTCCCAAACGGGAGGCCGAGTCGTTAGCTCCGCTGTATCTACAAGCACAGCCCAGATACTTCTAACAGATTATTAATGCCAATAAATCCACCTGGGCTGAGCAAGGCAGTTTGCAGCGCTGTGACTCAATCTCAATTGCCTCAATTGCAAGCAAGAAAAAGAAATAAAAGCAAACAAGGAACCGCATAGTGCCCGCATTCCTTAGGCGGTAAGAACCCACTTATCAGCGTCATTGGAGGGGCAGCACGAATTCGATACGCATTCTTCGCCCAGCACATCATGGCGGATACGACTCGAATGGAGGAGCTCCTGAAAAGGCCTCTCTATGGTAAGACTCCGAGCTTTCAAACTTTCACCTGGCTTTGCTGATCTTCCCAGTGTACGACCTCCCGCCGGAACTTCTTGCGACACTCACGGCCAAAACCACGAACCCTGTCACCGAAGAAGAGCCTGGGACAAACCCGGAAGACGCTGAACTCGCAGCGCAGGACTCTGCGATCGCAACCTCTACCCTCTGCTCTCTCTGCAAGGTTTCCTACAACAATGTACAGGAACAGCGCAGCCATGTCCGATCCGACCATCACCGCTACAACATCAAAGCCCAGCTGCGCGGAAATGCACCCCTTGAGGAGATCGAATTCGCGAAAGCGATTGGTGAGCTAGACGAGTCAATATCGGGATCGGAGTCTTCGGAGACCGAAGAGGAGGAGGCAGACACGGGCGCGAACACGACACTCTCAGCCCTGCTGAAAAAGCAGGCGAAGCTATCCCAGACCAATGAAGAAACAGAAACTGCTGTGACGAGCTCTCCGAAGCACCCTCTTTTCTGGCTGGCTAGTTCGGGTTTACCGTCAAACAAGTCCCTGGGCGTTTACAGGGCTATTTTCTCGAATGCTGAACAAGACGAGCCCGGTCATCTGGTTGAGACTCTACAGCGCAAGCAGCTGGAACCTGTCAAGGCGCGCACGAACAATGCGAATAATGCCCCGGCTCCGGCCGCCTCTAGTCCTCACTTTTTTATGTGCATGATCGGCGGTGGCCACTTCGCTGCTATGCTGGTGTCTTTGGCACCGGAGATCCACCGAAGACAAGGAGGTGTCGAAGATAGACAAGCCCGGGTTATTGCGCACAAGACCTTCCACCGATACACAACACGACGAAAGCAGGGTGGTTCGCAATCTGCGAGTGATGCTTCTCGTGGCGCTGCCCATTCAGCGGGCTCCAGTTTGCGCCGCTACAACGAAGCTGCTCTTGAGAAAGATATTCGGGATTTGCTGTCGGATTGGCGCAAGGAAATCGATAGTGCCGAGCTGTTGTTCGTCCGCGCTACAGGAAAAACGAACCGCAAGATCCTTTTCGATCAATATGATGGAAATGTCCTCAAGCAGAAAGACCCTAGACTACGAGGATTCCCCTTCAATACCCGCCGCGCGACTCAAGGAGAGCTCTTGCGATGCTTCAAAGAGCTCACCCGCGTGAAGGTCAGCGAAGTCGATGAAGCCGCAGTGGCAGCAGCGGAAGCCAAACGGCGCAAGGAAGAATCAAAACCAGCCACGCCTCGCCCGCAACCACAACCACAGAAACCCAAGCTATCAAAGGAAGAAGAGGCCGCCCTGCTACACACATCTCAAATCCAGGCTTTTATCCGGCGTTCAAAGGTCCCCGCTCTCATGTCCTACATCACAAACAATTCCATACCTGCTACCTTTACCTTCACACCCGCCAACCAACCCCAAAACTTCCGCTGTCCAACACCTCTCCACCTAGCAGCAAACCTAAACGCCCCAGTGGTCGTCACAGCCCTCCTCACAAAAGCTCAAGCAGACCCAACGACAACAAACAGCGAAGGCAGAACCCCCTTCGAGCTAACAGGAGACCGAGCCACGCGCGACGCCTTCCGCATCGCCCGCCACGATCTTGGCGAGTCAAAATGGGACTGGGATGCCGCAAAAGTGCCTTCAGCAGTTTCAAAAGCCGACGCGGACAGTCGCGCTGAGAAGGAGCGGAAAGCTGCTGATGAGGAGGAATCGAATAGGCGTAAGGCTGGTCTTGATCGGTTGAAGCGCGAGGATGCTGAGAGAGCTGCTGCTGAGCATAAGGCTTCGTTGAGGGGTGGTCGGACTCTTGGGGCTGTTGTTGAGAAGTCTGCTGCTGAAAAGCGGGATGAGGAGACTAGGGGTATGACGCCTGAGATGAAGATGCGTTTGGAGAGGGAGCGGAGGGCTAGGGCTGCTGAGGAGCGGTTTAAGAGGATGCAGGGGAAGTGAGGGTTTGGAATATTTAAGCTTTGGGACGTGTTGCATTCCCTTTTATGTTTCCTATGGACTTTCCTAGATACATTTTTGCATGGTGGCGACATATCAATATCATATAGTAGCATCATTGCCATTGGCTTTTCTTGATTTTTACTCTTCTTGTACTGCAACGGGCAGCTAGATTTAGACAACACCATTCTACGGGCAATGAACAGGGGCAGGCAGCCCTACTTGCGAACATAGTAAAGAGTGAGAGTGTTTACATCTTCAAAGCACGAATTTGAAAGTATCAGAGTCAAAATCCGAACAGTTATCACATTAGATGCCATCGAAGGGAACAAATGAGAACAAGTAAGCCAACCTCAATGATAGGGAGAAATATCACACCACCTTTAGGTTAATCTAATCGAAAGACATGTAAAAGGATCTAAGAAGAAATAACCCTTACTCAAGTACCACTCACCAGCCTATCTTTAGAAATATCTATCCCGCCGTAAACCCATAAAGTCGCCATCTCCACAGGATAGATTCCACTCGGCCTTCATCCCTAGAAGGCAAATCGAACAAGCCATAGTCTACATTCCTTCTGTGCCTTGATGCACGACCCACGACGCTCGACCATCACTATCCACTCTCCAAAGAGGGACAGGAGCGGGCAAGATAAGGCAACTTGGATAAGGAGACAGAAATAGGGAGGAGGGGTGCATTCACTCTCAATTGAGCAAGATACTACTCTGTCCAGCGAGGATAATTCAATAAGCCCACTCTTCCTTATCCCTAGGGTCTCGGGTACAGTCCGTGGTCCACTTCCAGTGCCACTATAGAGGGAAGTATACATGTATCTACAGTACTAGTACATGTTCATGTAATTACCCGTGTGTGGGTTCGCAACGCGTGACAGTCTGGCTAGGGGTTGCAGGCTGCATGTAGCATGGGATGTACATGTACTGTATAGGGTTAGGGCAGGTCGAGGGTCGAGGGGGAAGGGGAAGGGGATGAAGATTGGACTCGAGAGGGGAAGTGGGTGTGCTGATCTTTGTTCAGCCCAGGTAGATGTTTCACTTTGGGCTTAGTGATAAGTGATGTGTGATGTGATTCAATAGCTTTGGGGTGATTCACTGTATGAGTGCGTTGCGGCTGGTGAATAAGTTACAGTCTGGTTTGCAACGCGTCGGACTCGATGGTCTCATCTTGTCTGGGAGAGACTGTCTTCATTCGGACACTGTGATTCTGTCGAGGCCATGCAGAGTCGGGTCTGATTCTATTGGGTCCGTGTTGGGTTTCTGATATTATTTTGAATAATGGTAATAGCTCTCGACTCCTAGATCCAATCATATCAAACCATGAGCAGCTGATCAGCTGCGACACTGTCCACATGAAGGAGAGTAAAAAAGCAATATTGCAATAGCCCAGGGCAAGTGATCACCAGCAGAGCCACAAAAAGAATTGTGAATATCCCTATTCAGCAACTAAAGCAAGACAAAGTGGCAACAACAGGGCAGTCACAGCCAAAAGCAAAAAGCAAAGAAACAAAAAAAGCCTGCCAATACCCTATTCAGAACAATGTCTGAGGTCTTCAAGGCAAAAGTGAGACCATCAGTACTCACCACCCTATGAAGGGACCGAAGCCCTAGCGGGGCATGGTTGGAGGGGCAACCAGGGCGACCCAGCCACAGCAGCGCACGAAGGACGATCAGGTTTGCGGAGATGATCTGCATTAGCGCCCGCTGTGAGAAAGGGATGATGTCTTGCATGGTCTTGCATTGGTCTTGCAGGGACGTGCAGGAAGAAGCTCCTGGAGGACGAGGAATCTGGAAGTTGGAAACTCTCATTTTGGCTGTTTGGGCGCTTTGAGCAGGATAGTTTGATGTTTTGCGTCTCGTGCCCTAATTTCCTGAAGGCTAACTTTGTTGTAGCCTATGGATGTCTTTCGATGGGAATAGTCTCATCGAGGCTCTTGATACCCCTTGCAGGAGATCGGATGTCGATAAGGGGCTGGGGGCTCGTGGGACTGGGATTGGTATGCTACAGTGTCCTAGAGGAGAGCCCTCTGTTCAGTCCCCTGTGTATAGGACTGGGTCAGGTGGGCGTATACCCTTGGATCTTCCAGCCTCGGGTCAAGGAGAGTAGCCCCTTTGTGGTTTATTGGCATAGTGTATGGGTAATTTCAAATAGAGGTGTGGTGCCATCCTCTTTGTTTGTAGAAAGGCTATAGATCAGAACTTCGGGTTGTCGGCCCGTTGCAGCAAGTATGTGTAGTCGGCTGCACCCCGGTGATGCAGTAGAGTTCTGCAAGATAATGCAAGTGATGATCTGCGCACGAGTTCTCCGGTTGATCTGCGAAAGTAAGGGTGGTTAGAGTGTATTGAAGAGTGTTAGAAAAAACCCCGATGTCAAATGCAAGTAAAATTAAGCTGAGGTCCGAGGCTGCCAAGGAGCCCTCAGAACCCTGTTGATAGGGTATTTCCTTGATTTTGGCTAAGTTAAGCCCAGAAGGGACCATATTATACTCTATGGTCTATACTGTGTAGTGTATAGTTTATAGTGTATACTCTGTCTATAACGTTACTCTTTGTCTGTGTATTGTAACACGTAACGCGTCACGTCGCGTCGCGAACGCGGTACGCGTCAACGCGTTCCCGCGTTTCACAATGAAAAGTCGAATTGAAACCCGCACCAGTAAAGCAGTCAAATGTTGAAAGGCATATAGGTCAAAGAGCAGGCTGGATATCCCAGTAACATCCTTGGAGCCCTCGAGGGCTGGTATGGCAGGGAAACAAACCCTCCTAGGCTGGTGAAGGGCAGCGGAATGGCAGGAGAGAAACCTCCTCTTTTGGGAGACTATTAAACGGACACTCGCCCAGTATCAAGTCAAATAATCAGATATTTACATCATAAGTTACAAGTATATTGGGATTAACGCGCCTTCGCTACTGTATGCAAGCCTATGCACGCCATTGACGCAGCCCTAAGCTTGGACATACAATACACTACACTTCATACAATTCATACGCTAAGATGTTACAATGAACATGCACAGTTCAACTGAGAGTATCCCAACGAGGCAATGCAAAGATGATCCCTCATGTCTCAGGGGTTCCTCGTGCCTGTTCTCCTGTAGAGCCTTGCATGCAATCCCTCTGGCCCTTTCCAAGGCTGCTCTACTGTTTCACTGGGAGTTTTAGATCATAGTATAATAGTATAGTATATCAGTATATTAGTATAATAGATCAGACCTTCATTCCGTTCCTCTGCAGTCATTCCAGTCTTCCAACAATACTCCAACAGTCATTCGTTGTCCTTTGAGCATTCGCTCTGACCTTCGTTTCTATTTTCAAACATACCGGCTCTTTACAAATTTTCTTTTCTTTCTTCAGGAATAGAAACATCTCAAACAATCTCTTTAGACGTATAACAAAGAGTGGAGGCACGGGAGATGATCGCTTGGCCGTTTGCGGTCCAATTTTCTTTTATCGCTCGGACTCCCCCGCCAACTTTTCTCCCTGACAACACATTCGCTCAAATACATCAACACCACTTTCCCACCGTCGCAACCCCCGGACCAGGTGGAAAGTAAAGCGCATTTCAACAACATCTTTATCCATTCATTTTGACCACCCTAACTCCGTCGTCGCGCATCACAACCGCCTCCGGCGCAATCGCGCAGCCCACAAATCGCGACCGCGACTCGCTTCCTCTCGTTTACACCTTCAACCTATTTTCCAGGCTCCCAATCTTCCAATCGCTCAAGTATCACCTTTTATCCTCTCCAATCATGTTGCTTCCATCCGCCCTCCCATGCGATGTGCGCCGGTCGTCTCGCTTCACCCCTGCTCGCCTCTTCTCAACTCCTCCATCAGACGGTTTCGCATCAGGCAACGGTCTCCTCGGCACCTGTCGCGCCCTACAATCTCTCCTCAACGGATCACCATCACCTCCATCGCGCCGTTCAACAAAGGCCCAGCGCCTCCAAAGTCCCCTCCCAATCAACACACCGCGGCGCTCGCCGCGATCACACAAAGCTGCCCGTCCCGTCTCTCCTAGACCAACACCATCCCCCAGAACCGCCGCTCTCACACCCCCACCCGCACCTTGCGCACCATCGCGCGGCGCAAACAAGCGCCGCCGCGACGCCCTCGAAGACGAAGACAGCGACGCGGAAATGAGCCGCGGGCGCAACCGTCTCACAACCCCCAAACGTATCCGCCACGCTCCCTACAACATCCCTCTCGGTCTCTCCTCAACAGATTTCTACTCCCTCCATTCTCCACCAGTCACTCAATCTCCTCCTTCTCCACCGCGCCGCCAGATGAACCCACACATCGAGGCCGGTCCCCGCATCGATCCCGATGCGCCTCTCCCTTCTATTGAGATCACAGAGGAACCCTCCTCCTCCAGTCCAGCTGATCAATCAAACATCTGGACCCAAGAACAAGACCAACGCCTTCTCGAGCTGGTCCTCGAGAAACTCCGCCTCTCTCAACGAGAATGGGATGAGTGCGCGCGCCAAATGGGTCGCGACAACATTGCCGATAGGTGGAACTCTCTTGTCGGGGAGGGTCGCGTCGGCTTGCGCCCTCGTCGCCGTTAACCAACTCATCCTCACCATTCCATATTGCACAACGCAATTTCCGTGTTTCATTATGTATTATATGATCTGTACCCCTGTAACAACTATCTGTCATTTGAGATTGGCCAGGCTGTTTTGTTGGCTTGGATTTTTCTGCAAAAGAGAAAAGCAACCCCTGTACTATTATTATTATCTCTTGTTCTGGCACAAATTGCTCATTATGTTCTGTTTCGGTCTTCTCTGAGTCCCGTTGTTTTCGGACTATGTGAATATGTTTTTGTCTTTTGTCCTTGATTTTTTATTGTCAAGACACCCCTACCTGGGCTTGCTCATATGTTGGTCACCACCTGCTTGCTTGGTTTATGCACATCTGCACATCTACTGTTTGGGTTGCTTGTTTGGGATTTGTATTACTATCTACATCTACTATCTAAACTTGACTGTACTTTTATTCACATATTGATTCATTCAATAATTTTGGATCATCATCTACACTCTTTGATTATTACTAGGGCGATAATTGTCTATTTCCAAGCTTGTCACTAACGTCATGTTGTGACCTAGCACTGTACATTTGAATGCATATAGCCATTAGCCCTCTCTTCTAAGGACTGGTTTCTAATGCTAAGGAGTGTGCGACAGTCGGTAATCAAATCGGACATGTTGATCCGAGGGGACTCCGTATTCTATTTTTCTTTATGTACTGTACTGTACTCTGTGCTCTGTACAGAGTCGAAACGACATCCTCTTCCCTTGCCCCCCACCAATTGAACAGAGTGAACAGAGAAGACGCATAGTCTCTTACTACGGGCCGAGGCCACTGACAAATATCCGGCTACACATAGCGCTTGTGCTTTGACCTATCTTGTATGTGTCAAATGAGTCATTGTTCAATCTAGTACGGAGTAAGTCCGTCCACATTGATTCACACAATTAGATCAATAATTATAAAGAGTGAAGAATATCACCTCCCTTCCTAGTATTGGTTTTTCCTCCAACAGGAAATCATCCAGTAACTTGACCCAAGCCCTACTCTGCTGTACTCTCCCTCCAAAATGACCACCACTATCGATAACCACCGTGTCAAAGAAAACATAAAACAAGCCTACGACGACATCGCCAACAAATACCTAACCTGGACCGAACCAACCCACAAAGTCCGCCTCACCTACCTAAACAGGCTCCTCCAAAACCTCGAAACAGCAACCAAAGCCACCCAAGCAACAATCCTCGAACTAGGCTGCGGAGCCGGCGTCCCATGCACCCAACACCTAGCCTCAAACCCCAGCTTCAAAATAACAGCAAACGACATCTCGTCATCCCAAATCGAACTAGCAAAACAAACCCTGCCGGACTCGGTAACCTTAATTCAATGTGATATGATGGGCCTTGAATTCAAACAGGAATCTTTCGACGCTGTGCTAGCCATGTACTCAATCATCCATTTACCACGCGATGAGCAGATTACCATTCTCACGAGGATCTTTGGGTGGTTGAAGCCTGGAGGTTGGATTCTGGCTAATTTCTCCGAGGGGGAGTTTGATAGTTCTTTTGATGAGGCTTGGTTGGGGGGGAAGAAGGGGGTTATGTATTGGAGTGGATGGGGGAAGGAGAAGATGAGGGGGATTCTTGGGGATGTTGGATTTGTTGTTAAGGTTGATGAGGTTGTTGTTGATCAGGAGGAGGTTGATGGTGTTCAGTGTGATTCTGCTTTTCAGTGGGTTTTAGCTAGGAAAGTATGATTCTTTCCTGTTCTACGCTTTAGAGATATTGGCTCTTGGATCATTGCACTGTTGATCTACTGAATTGTTATATTTCGTTGCAAAAGTAGACAGATGCCAATAGGTTAAATCATTGTTTGATCTTCGCTGCATCTTTCATCTCGCCGCGCTCCTTGATCGTACCAGCCAAGTGGTTTCCAACATCCGACCCCAGATTGCTAAACCCATCAATAATGCCCTCACGATCTTTCTCCCCCATCTCCTGACTCATCTTAAACTTGCCTCCAATGCTTTCGATCGACACCTCAATCCCAATGATATTCTTCCTCATGATGTCAATATAACGGTCCGGGGCATCAGAGACATTCCATGGCCCCGGCTTCCCTTCCTGGCCAGTGTGTCCCATAATCGAAGTCTCACAAAGATGAGATAAGTCATGGATCTGCTGCGACAGGTACTGGGACGTCTCCTCCTCCGAAGAGTCATAGTAGATAGTAGCCTTGCCATAAACCTGAGCAGCGGCATAGTTCCACGTCGGCACAACCTTCCCAGTGGCCGGTTTCGTCTCGGTGTAGAACTTGGGGGTAACATAGTGATGATGAGGGCCCGTGAACAGGATCATCACATCCTGTTGTAGTTTGCGTGTGGACGAGGTTGAAGCGGCCTCGATTATGGCTTTCGCTTGTGGGTTTTGCCGGGCCATATGGCCGCGTAGACGGCCTTTCACGGATGCATCGGGGTCATCGCTGATGGTATCGAGGACCCATGGGATATGGCTGGACTGTAAGAAAGGATATGAGGGTGAAGAAATGGCCGTCGTGAGGATTCCCAGGGGTTCTCTTTGATAAAGTCAAAAAGAACCTTGATGGATGGTTCAGCGTGGACGGCTCGGAGATACATAATTGTGATCTTGGAGAGATTGAAGGACTTTGCAATAATTTCCGGTGCGAACCTTTTGATGCTTAACTTATAATCGAATAATTTATCATGGGCTTATAGTTGGCGGGGATTTGATTGGCTTAGCTGACCGAGCCGCCACTTGGTTGGCGGAGGCAAACTGGCCGAAAGAGGAAGTTGTGTCGAGATCCGACCTAAGCCCTACGATAACGGCAATCAAATTAACATGGCAGTAGGATATGTACGGAATGAATAAATACCTATAAACTCCACGACTTTCTCGGAGGGCTCATTCAGCTTTTCTGTTATCTAGGTGACAGGCGCAGTGCAGCTCTTGCTTTGGTGCCAGTATCGAAGACCCACACCCCGGAGAAAGGGATCTTGTAGACATAGAAGCCTAAATGTTGACGATAAGATATAACTAATTTTCTTGCGCGATTTTGACGTATGCCTCGATATTGATTGCCTCACCAGTCGGTCAAGCAATCCGTGTAGGCTCATCAAGCCAACAGTATCAATTTATATTAAAACGCGGCGGAAATGCACTATATACATGTAGCCTTGCAGTAGAGACTGCACCCACGCAAGTTTACTTCTGCTTTAGGAAAAGCCCAGTCCCACTCTAAATAACTTCCTCTTTTAGTTACTCACCACCGACAACTGAAGGACGATTTGGCCCAAATCTGTAAGGCAAGAACGCTTCACCCCTACTTTTTCAATGGGGATATTGGATTGGCAAGGTGCGGCGAGGTTTCCTTTTCAGAAGTGAGTTACGATCCAGGCTATGATTTCTGCACCCCGAGGCTGATCGGATCATAATTGAACTATATCCATGAAGTTCCACAGTTTCATGCCATTCAAAAGGAATACGGCGCTTACCTATTGAAGCTCCCTCCAACTTCCATTTGGGGTCAAGCTTCCCAAAGTTAGTAGTAGACAGATTTCAGGAATAACCTAGCATTTTATTTACGATATATTATAATCTACGAGATACTATGATCTACGAGACTTCCATTACCACACCCGCCCTGTCATCACCAGGGGACACTTCCAGCCAACAATGACCAAAAACCGACCCCAGATATCAATAACGCATGGACATTGCCATAAAGATCTCGATAAGAAGTATGTTCGCACCAGTCTATTGAATTGCAGACCAAGTTAGCCAGGATTATTGCCAACATGCAAACGATGTCCAGAAATGTGTCGACTCTCGGGACAAACATTTCAGTACTTCCCAGCCCCAATCCCAGCTAGATTCCGCTGTTGCTGGCCGGATTTCTTAAGAACAGAAGAGGAAGAGAGATTCTCCCCTCTTAGGTGTTTCGTGCTCAAGAAATTTGCAATCCACGCCATACAGTTCTTCCCGATTGGACAACCTTCTGGCTATACCCGCGTTTGACAGTGACTTCGAAAGTACTTGTCCACCAACTCAGTCCCTGGTGATGAGTCTGGCCACATGCATCGCCAGATTGTTCCCATTATCTTCTAGAGAATCTCAATTTGAATAAATCAAATCTCTAGTTTTGAGTTGTAGATTGGGCTATTTTGTCATATTATGTTAGCAAGAATTGACCTCTCCTTGTCCTCTCACCAACGGTTATTGGTTACAATATTCTATCTACAGTCACACCAAGGAAAAGAAGCATTGGATGCAAATGAAATCCAATATGTATCAAGGTATGTATGGTCCATCCAACGCCAAGCACCCTGCCTTGTGCAAATGAGCAAGAAAAAAAATGAAGAGTGACACTAGACAGTGTGGTTGATATTAACACATTCGAACAGCCGACAACGATCAGAAACTAGACGATTGAGTTAGTAGGAGCGCTGCCAAATTGGTTTTGTATATCAAACGACGTACCGAATCTCATAACTCCCCGCACGAGTCATATACCGCACCCACTTAACAGAAGAATAGTTATTCTTCTCAAAGACCTTAAGATACCGCACAAGCAACCCAGAAGAAGTAAACATAAGCAGCGAAAAAGAAAGACTAAGTGGCGGCCGACTCCAAGCCTTTTGATGCGTCATAGACGTAAGCGTCGCCTCAGCATTGAGCACAAACTCACTCTGCCCAGAAAACCGCGCAATTTTCCAAACAATATTGTTCTGCTCAGGTTCATACTTCGCGCGCCCCTGACTCGTCCGCTCAGTAGTCTTAGCCGTATTAAGCGGTGTCGGGATGCGAATAACAACATTCGTAGCAAACAGTTTCGAGCTGTAATTCGCCTTGATGGCCACACTATATTCAACCTTTGTCGTACCAATCTCCCGCACAATCGGGTGCACCTTAAACGGCAAATTGACATTCTCCGTCGCGCGGTACCGCATCAGCTCGAACTCGCCGTCCGGCGGCACGAAGGAGATAATCCGGTCTGCGTCGAATCGGCCTAGCTTCACGCACTGGTGGAATTGGCAGTCTTCCAGTGTGACCGAGCCTGCTGCTGCGCGCGTTGCCTTTGATGTGCCGAGTCCGTTGCCGCCGCCGCGGCTGCTGCTGGGACCTGAGGATTCGCCGGAGTCCAGGAGGAGACGGTCGTTTAGGCCGAATTTGCATTCAGGGGTTCCGGATAGGTAGGCGCGCATGACGATTTGGCCGTTGACGTCGGCGCGGAGGACTGTTCCTGTTGCAGACATCAGGAGGTTTACGTCTTCGATAACGTCGACAAAGGCTTCGTTTTTGCGGTATTTTATGTCGGAGCGACGCCAGGAGAGGGCGCCTGTTGCTTGTTGGGTGATTCTGGAGGAGTCGGTGGGATTGTTGGCGATGGCGGATTTCACGCCTTCGGTTGTGATGTACATTTTCAGGGTGTCGGGGTCGGTGTTTTGGGGGTAGCCAAAGTCGAGGATTTCTAGGAAGTGAAAGAAGCCATTGTTAGAGGTTGCTTTAGCTGGGTCATTGGGATAAAGTGGGATTGGCTTACCATCGAGCAGCTCGTAAATCAGGACAAAATTGTTCTTGACGGCCTCCTCGTCGAATTTCCCAAAATAGCTCTTGCCCAGCATTATCAGCCGGTAGAGAAACTCGAAGACCAGCGCGGCATTGGCATTGCTCTTTGTAACTGCTACCAAGTAGATATTCTCGTGCTTGACATGGCTGAATGTCGTCGAGCCCAGGGTCAGGATCGGGGAGCGGACCTGCGGGTTGGAGATGACCTGGATGCGGAAGATGTCGGCCAGGCGCGGGCGACAGTCGCTGCGGAAGGCGCGAAAGATGAGGTTCTCACCCTTCTGGTTGAATATGAGAATCCCTGAGAGCATGGTGCGTGTGTGGTGAGGTCAAGTGGATGAGAGTTGGAGCTTAGGGAATGGGGGTGGGGGTTGGATCGACACCGCCTGGAGTATAACCCTGGAAAGGAGGTTGACCTTATTTGGACAATTTAGTAGATATTGATGTATTTTACTCAATCTCGGTGGGATCATTTGCTTTTCTATTCTCTCTAGAGCCTGATATGGTATCTATACGAAGTACTTGGCATATGAATGCAGAATGCATAGTGAGATAAAAAAAGAAAAAAAAAGAAAGGTGTATCAGACATGAACCACCCCAAATCACTGAATTTAATGCAGTTACGTTTTCCGACTGATAAAGCTTACAGAGTCTGACATATATCGGTATAGAATTGTCTGGAAGGAATATTTACGTGGGAAAATGAGAGAATTAGACTGTATGAAGTTATTATTTCTGAAGTAATGGAATCCCAGGGCTGCGAAATTGCAAACCCCAAAAGTAACAATTAATCTAAGAATGATCATATAAGTTTCCCGAACATGAGCAACTCCAACATGTGAGGATCCAGTGTAGCGGCCGGATATGGACAAGGCCAGATCAAATGATATAGTAAACTGGGGCAAGGCACCCTCAAAGATGAGATAATATGTAGACAAAAATGACAGGAGAAATCCCAAAGGTATCAGAACGAATTAAGAAAATATCAAGCCCAAAGATGTAGAGAAGAAGGGTAAGGATCCGGAAAAGGAAAACTGCTGGGGGTTGGATATCATGCAGAGGTCCAGGGGAAATGCAACAAATTACAAACATGTACAATCAAAGAAAGAGAATCGAATGGAGAAGACAGCGTGCGCAAACACAATACACACTCAAACCCCACCAATACCAGTACTCGGCCTGGTATTAGGAGCAGAGGGTGCCTCACTCGGCACGATGCCAACCTTGGGATCAGGGATCTGGATATCAAGCGACATATAAGCCGTCCGACGTAGACTCCAAATATGAACACCGTCCTTAGCCCCAACCTCCTGGTTCCACTTCTCCAACCAAGACTCAACATGCTGCAGTTGACTCTTAGCCCCGGGGGCATTGAGATCGTCCCAAACCCAGCCGGTCAACAAGCCAACCGCACCGTCAAACAAATTCCGGAAACTGAACGGATCAAACGCCTTGATGATACCATCGTTGACAGTGGCAATCACTTTCCGGAATTCCTGCTCAGAAAGTAACGGGTCTAGGATCTCAGGATAAAGATTTGAAAACGTCGGCGCCAGATCACCCTTGATCATCCAGTCTCGTCGGATACGAATCACACGCGTTGTCGTATGCTCATGCGATCCGATCGGGACATGCGGGTTGAGATGGGGGAAACAGGGGTGCGCAGGGCCCCATGCTAGCTCTTCGGCGACATCGGCGGGCGGCTGGCCCGTATTTGAAGGCACAGAGGCAATCTGCGATTGGGAGCGGAGGGAGGTTGTCGACTGGGCGTGGCGTGGGGAGAGATCATCGCGGCGACGAGTTCCATCCTGCGTCAGGTGAACGGCCTCGGGTGGCCGCAGGTTCTCGGTCTCCCTTGCGGCGCTGCCTGCGAATGCGGCTACCATATCTGTTGGGGACGAGTGTTCGCTGCGACGATGTCGGGGTGGTAAGGCGATGCTTGTTCGGCCGCTTTCTGTCTCGCCTTGGCTGCGCTCGACGAGTAGGCTGCTTGGGGATGGTGTTAGGCGGCTACGCCGTCGCTCGGGGACGCTGAGGAGTGGGTAGGCGTCTCTTGTGTGGCCGTGTCCTAGGGGAAGGCTCTCGTCGGATTGGTATGCTGGGACGGTTATTGGGGTTATTCGTGGGACGTGATTAACTGGGTTTGCAAGGCGGACGGCTGATGGGCGGAGAATGAGCGACGGCGGGCTAGAGATTGGGACGCACTGTCGCCGCTGCGCGCGAGCGAATGATGGAGTTGCCTCCACGGGGGCGCGATTGGAGGAACGGATGGTTAAGGATAGATCAGCCTCCCTCGATTGGGATCTCCGGTGGGATGTGAATGACGCCGTTTTGAGGAGAGAAAGGAGAAAGGCGGAGATGGAGATCGGCGGAAAAGTTCTCCAACATACGGAGTATCAACGAGCGTAAAGAATGGAGAAATAGAGAGAAGATTAAAAGATTAGAAGATTAGAAGATTAGAGAAAGAACTTGTGAATGTTCTAGAGCTTCAAATTTGAGTCAAAGTGAGGCGAAATCGTTCATGTATAACTACCGGACAAGTCAAGCTCTTAAGGCATCCCTGCACACCCCGGTTTCACTGTGATTAATCCACCGTAATCCCTTGTTTCATCCTCGATTGCAATTGGGTAGTATGCAGACAAACGCTACAGCTGCATTAGACTATGGCCTGTAGAGGTCTCATTGGATTTCAGCCTAAGTCTCGGGAGTCGGTCAAGACCTACATAGACCTGAGTCATCTCTGTTGGAGAGCTATACCGATTCCAGGACTGCTATTGATACCCTGGCATCTATATAAAGATCAGGCCGAAGACTACAATGTTATACACCAAGCCATTGAGTTTAACGGTATGCATTGGCCACCACTTTGGGTGATACAGGTACTAGTTCAGTCAATAAGTTACCTTGGCGGAAAGCAACTGCAACTATATAACCTTAAAAGCACATAGATCGCCGATAGCTGAGGCGACTCCTCTAAAATGAAAATGCATTTCTCCCTTACATCTTCACTACTACATGTAACGTATACGGTACATAAGTAAACTTGTAGTGTTAAACGATCATTAACTTATACGGGCGACTGCATCAGAAAAAGCGGCTTCTGGATTTGATGCTAAATCTAAACCCTATTTTGGATATCTTTATAATTTACATTAAGAAGCATCCAAATTGAGTAAGACTTGGTTAAGTTATAGGATTAATTACATGATTATATATTTTGGTGTCAACAGACCCCATGGCCTGTGATTGTATGCAAGCAATTCATAATTCATATCAGACAGCATAACAACGATATCAACGCCGGAAGCAACCAAAAATAAATGGGTATCAAATCAAGAAGAGGAGTGAAGAATCATCATCACTACAGCTTTTTATTCGCAGAAGCCTGCATGCGACGCATAGCCTGACGATGCAAATCCGTCATGCTACCACGCTGCATGCCATTGGCAACGGCACTGTCAAGCTGGTTCGACGAGACATCCCGCATCTGCTGCACAGAGCCCCATAGACTGCTGTGCGGTCGATCGGGGCTCACGGCACCACCATTAGGTGGGGACTGAGGAGGGAGAGCAAGGGGATCACGCTTGTTGATGATTTCCTCGCGGACTGATTGGCGCCATGCTGCCATTCTCGAAGCAGATCTGTTTAGCTCTGCGCTTGGAGGGGGTGTTGGGACCGGGGATGGAGCTTCGATGCTGTGGATGCTGGCTGCGTATGGGAATTGCATGGTTTGGCGCTGGAGCATGGTGCGTCGTTTGGATAGAGGGATGTCGTCTTCGTCGCGGGGTGGGCCTTGTTCGATGTCCTCGTCCCTTTCTTCGGGGGCTGAGAGAGGTGGTGAGATAGGGGAGAAGTCGTTGAAGGATTGGCGGGATTGGTTTCGGGATGCCCAAGGATCGTAGCGAAGGGATGTGGATGACATGCGGTTTCGGACCATGTCCTCACGGACGGCGAGGAGGGGAGGTGGGCCGTTCCATTTGGTGATTGTTCTGCCTCCTTGGTTTCGGGGGCAGTGAGGGTCAGGAACGGGGTCGAGGCGCTGCGTAATCCTGCCTGTCCTTCTTGAGAGTGTGGTAGTTGGCCAGTTGTTGATCGCAGCATGTTCACCGAGCCAGTCGAGGCGTTGCGCGAGATCGGGTTTTGCATAGCTTTGCTGAAACTGTTTTTTAAATTGGATCGAGGCACTTCGGGCGAAGGCGCCGATGGAATCGCAACAGGTATATGAGCTTCAACCTCATATGATTCAGTCCTGTTCACAGCTGGAGGTGGTTGAGCATTAAGAGGCGTCTGTAGAAGACCGTCGACATCCACAAAGGCGGCAGTTTCATGCACATCATTAAAGCCTTCTACTTCAGGCTCAATGCCGAATTTAATGGGCTCCATCTCAGGAGTGTCGGCATCTGCCAGATGCTTGGCCCATTCGTTTGTGCGATAAGAATGGATGATTCTGGATGTTTGCTCAGGGAGCGATTTGACTGTTGAAGCATCCAGTTTCTTGATGACCTTCTGTTTCTTGACCTTCTCCATTGGTTTGGGAATGTGCAGGGGAATGACTTGCTCTTCGGCGGTGTCGACTGTAGGCTGAGCCTCGGTCTCTTGCATAGTTTCAACCTTGGCATCCTTCTGGGATGGCCGCTCCAGTGCTGCGGTTTTTCCCTTCTGGGTTTCTGGTGCATCTGTAATGCCGGGCTGAACATCCGTCGCAGGCGTATCTGGCGATTGAAGTGGGTCAGACATGACCGACAATACAGTCCTGTCTAGAGGGCTTGCAATGGTGCTTTCAATGGGAGTTGGAGCAACGGTTTCAGCAGTAGTCGCTAGCTGAATAGTTTTGCTTGCAATGGCTTCGTCGGTAATCACTTTACCGGCATCGTTTTGGATTGATGCACCCGTGACAACGCCGAGTCCAGCTTCCTTGGAAACCCGAGAATCAACCTTGCTGGAAACAGTCTCTTCGACAATGTCATTCTGTGCATCTTGGTGCTCTGTTGCGCCTGTATCCAGGGAAAACCCAGCTTCTTGAGTGGCGCTCTCGTGGACAGCAGTTGACTTGCTTTTTACCTCAACAGTACGCTTCTCTGGCAAATTCTCGGACACAATGGTTTCTCGCATAGGGCTCTCCTCAACACGCTCGTGGATATCCGATGCGATACTGGAACAACCCATGCTCATGTCCTGGAGATCATCCACATCATCCACCACGCCATACACAGAGGAAGAGTCGTCATTGTGAACAACCAAAGCCTCCTCAGACTGGGAACTGACCTTTATGCCAGTGCTGTTCCGCCAGGAGAGCCTGTTCAGCAGCTCTTTCCCAGACAAGCGTCTTGAGCGTGATGTCCCAACCTCCGAGCCAATGTCTGCCCCGTTTTCAGAAGAATTGTCATTGTCCTCGCCGAGGACATGAGTAACAACAGGCGTCTCAGGTCTGGCTTTGGAGTCGACATTCCTCTCCTCGGGCTTCTCGGGCCCTTGCGGCTTTCCTTGCTCAGGCGATTCTTGAGCACCCTCCTCTTTCACTGGCTCGAGTTCCCGAGCTTCATTGCCATTCTTCTCGCTATCGGCACCAGCCTCGGGACTCTGCATCTCCTTAAGCTCAATGCCGCCATCCTTGTCGTTGTTAGAAGATGTGAAAGCATCTGAGCCGCGCCGCGAGTCTTCCCCAACAGCCGTTTCGGATACTGAGACGGTCTTGCCGTCGTGGCCATTGCCGTACGTCATTTCCCATTCGGCACGTTCCTGGATGTTCTTCTCTTCCAACTGTCGACCGGCTTCGGCATCCTCTTCCTCGATCTTCCGCTCATGCTCTTTACGCTCGTCCTCTTCCTTAGCTCTGCGCTCCTTGATGACTTTCCACAGCCTAATCTGCGAAATAACACCTAGGACACTGACAATAATCGTCACGGCAAGCTCAACACGGATATTGCGGGTGACCGGGTAAGTATCAGTCTTGAGCGGGAAGATATTTTGGTTCAATCCTTGACAAGTCAGCAAATCAGACATCTTTCATAAATAATCATTTGTGGACTTACCCCAGATATACAGCCAGAATTCTTTCAATCCAGCTCTGCTAAAGCAGTCAATGCCCAAAACCAATGCCGTAGCACCAGAGAAAGATGAGCATCCGATTAGGCCATATGGACGCGTGTAATGGCTGAACGACAGGCAATAAAACCCAACCGAGAACGCGATGATCATGCCGGTTCTAGGACCATTTTCGGTCAAAAGGCCACCAGATTTCAAGGCGAGGAACCACATGCTGAGACAGAAGCCGCCCAGGAGGCAGCCCAATCCTTCACAGATCTCTTTGAAAACGAGAGAGAGACCACCAAAGACGGCACCAGTGAAGAAGACGGCTACGACATAACCGCCCTGTACAGCATTACTCACGGATGGACTCATCACGTATACAATGAGGACGGTGACGCCCAACGCAGTGAGGAACGCCGTTGAGAGGAAGATTTGGACCCATTGTTTGCGGACGCCAACGAAAGCGAGGATTACTCCCAGAGCCAGAAGTATAAATCCTCCAACTCCCCATGCTGGCGTGATTACCGGCTTGATAGGGAGTCCGCCCGAGTATGTCGGCCTCGCCGAATCAGCCGCCTCTTGCTGGGAAGCGGCAGTGGCTCCATCGAGTGAGGGGACGGTCGAGGTAGCTTCAGCGGCCGAAGCAGTTGTTGATGCGGTGTTCGTCGTGGTAGCCGTACCTGTACCAGTGGCCGTGGTAGTTGCTGATGTTGATGTTGATGTTGATGCAGTTGTTGATGCATCTGTTTGTGTTGCTGTCGACGCCTCGCTGGATGTACTCTCTGCCGCTTTATCTGAATCCGTTTCCTGTCTTGCCTTTATCTCGCGTCCCAGACCCTGAGCTGGGGCAGCTAATGTCCCTGCCACAAACAGCAGGGACAGAATCAATGTGAAGAACACAGACCACCTCATGGTTACTGTGAGATGAGATGAAACGCGAAATGCTCGGAACTCCAGAGATGAGTCGCACAGGTGTTATAGGGACAGGCACATATCCCACGCGACAGCAGAATTAGGGACGTGCGTATTAATTATTGGGATAATTGGGATGTATAGGAAGAGAGTCGAAGCAGGAAAATCAATAAAATAGCCCCAGCCATTCCACGCGGGGCCAGGTCTAATTTGTTTTGCATATTTGAGATTTTATTTTACAATAAAAGAATTAAATGGATAATCCACGCGAGTTGACTAGTTTACTCTCTACTGTACATTAGTCCCACCGATCGCGAATGTGGCCGATCTAGCAAGGATCGGCTGGCATTGGCGTCCCTCGCAGTCAAATGAGATTGCAAGCTCTAGCAAAGATCTTCCTGCGAGTGGACTCGGTGGTCTTAGCTCGGCGAATATTCCTGTTCAGGGGAGCCGAGATAATATTAGCGCTATACTTTCGGAGTACGGAGTACATGGACGTGTTCAGTGTATTTGATATTGACTCATACCAAGATCAACGGAATGGAATTGATCTGTCATAACAGCTACGAGTTCAGAATGGACTCACCGTAATTTACAATTTCAAGTCCAGTGAGCAGACATAGGAACAGGCCCTCGAGCTCGGGTGGCGCCGTAACTAGGGGGTCGCCAGCCGATCTATCCAGTTTGCCCACGCCAATACTTACAACTTCCACCTTTGTCCAGCAAGCCCTGTAGCTAGGCCTTACCCCTGCTAAGCCATTGTTGATGCCCTGCAGCTCGACGTGGTCGGGCCGCTAATTGACTTTGGAGAGAAGCAAGGAGCCAGTAATGCATCTGAGACAACAGCTATCTTAATCTCTCTCGCTCAATCAGCGCGCGTTCTCGCAGCATATGCTGCTGCTTTGGGATAGCGCCTGTTGATCTGCCTATCGGTTACTTCTTCCAGTTGGTGTATGCACAGTTATACATGGACAGTTGTCAACGCGGGACGTTCGGTTGTGATGGTATGATGAGTTAAAGCTTACGGTCTTGTTTTTCCGAGTCGTGGTCGAGACTGGCAGTGCTGTTGGCAGTTGCATTGGCGCCTTGTCTGATTCCAATCTGGTCGCAACTCGACTTCACGTTTGTTTCTGTCATTCCCTGTCGTTGGGTTCACAACGTTGCAGCTGTCAATTTCCGAGCCCCTGGGCGAGCTGGGGTGATGTTATATGGAGAGCTCACCCATACAGTGCAAGAACCACACCCAACCAAGGCCAACTCCAATTCCAATACTAAATCCTACGCACGGAGTAATAAAACAAATCATATTAATCCCTGCCTGTGTCCAATATCCAATATAACCCAAATAGTCCGACTCGTAAAGGGGCAGATCTGGTGGTCACATGACCCGTCGCGAACATCGCGTCTCAACCTCATCACAGTCCAACACCAGCCAACACAAGCCCATCCACTCCAACATACCATGTCGTCATTCCTCAACTCCCTCCGCCCTGGCCTGCGCATGGCCAAGACGGCCACCCAGACCGCCCGTGCCTTCAGCTCCTCGCCCGCCCACGCCCTCGCCCGTCTGACCGTCACCGGCCGCCTCGGTGCCGACCCCGAGCTGCAGGCTACTGCCTCCGGTCAGGAAATCATCAGATACGTTGTCGGCTCTTCCCACGGCCCCCGCGATAACCGTCAGACCAGCTGGTTCCGCATTACCAGCTTTGCTGAGGGTTCCCAACGTGATCATCTGCTTAGTTTGACCAAGGGGTAAGTGGACTTGTTTTATCTGGATGGCTTGTTAGGGTTGCGGTTACGGGAATTGGTTTATCATTTTGTCGGTGGCAGGTTATTGTTCGCGGATTGTGTCGGTCTGCATGCATGGCTCGATTCCTGTGCATGGGGATAGCTTGAGCTTAAGCTTGGGCGGCTGTGCATGGAACATTGTACATGGCCCATGAGGATTGCATGGACGAACCTGTTCGGTACATGAGCTTTGACATAGCAACCTGCCTGCAGACGAGCGAACAACCCTAGCAAACCTTCTTTCTGGCATTTGATTTCTACGGTGTGGACGAGGTTGGGGTTCAATTGGAGATATGGACATATTCAATCCGCGCGCACCCAGCCCTGCCACCGACATTTACCACACAGACCAGACCAGACCAACTAACACGCCTTGCTTCTGCAGAACACTCGTCCTCGTTGAGGGTGATGCCAGCCTTCGCACCTACGACGACGCCGAGGGCAAGTCCCGCACCGGCTTGAACGTTATTCAGCGTATGTCTCCATCCTCCATTTATCCCCCAACATCCAAGTCTAATTTATTCTGTTGCAGGCTATATTGAGGTCCTTAAGCGCCCTTTCAACGCCGACCAGGAATCTCAGCAGTAGATACGTTGTATCTTTGATAATGTCTTAAATCAGGTTTCTGTTGGTCTGGTACGGGTCCTCGACACAATAGACTACATGGAGACGGTGTGTATCTATGTGTCACGGCGTGTCCGGATGTAGCATGTTTGTGCTAGCGATGGATGTTTATGGTCATGGTGTTTATCCCGTTTCGAGCTGGCTGGGTTGATGGCTCTTCTTTTGACTTTGTGATTATCTTGTACTTGTATATCCTGAATGTACTTCGTTTTGCCGTCTTTTGTTCTGCGTGTAGTTGTGAGACGGAATATTAGGGCTTCCTTTTGGAAGGGCCTATATGAGATACAGTGATAGCGTGGCAGGGAAGACGGTATTACTGCCGCGTGTGCTCAATTGAGATGTTTGCATCAAGGCTTTCCATGTATAACACTACTTGCCCAGATGCTGATGGGTAAACCAACCCTAACTCATCGAGTCTGCAGCTTTCACATAAAATATGAGGACCTGTGGAATTGACGCTGAAAATGACCGCTTTTGAGGCCAGAAACGGCTGGCTACCTTTCCACCCGTAACTTTGGACGTCCAGCCGCCTGTAACACCACTATTCAGCACCCGCCAAGCACTGCTAGTCATCCACCGGTCCTCCCTTGAATGCATCATATGCTCGGTTACTTCAAACGAACAACACCAAGGCACCGGCCGATTCAACATCAATTTCAATTTCAAACACTCTTCCTTATATCTCGACTTTCTCTATGATCAATCAATATGCTATCACGCGATACGAAATGCGGGGCACTCATCACGACTATAATCGACGTAAATCGGCACCTGAGTGGGAATACAGCTGCGGATGGTACCGAGGGCAGTTTGAACTGAAATAGCTGTTCCCAGACGCCATCAAGACATGGGCGTTAATAAATTTGCGCATGTCATCAGTGATATGAACCTCATCCGATAATAATAACTCATCGCACACGGCAAGGAGCTTCTCTTCATACTCGATGCATACTTTTCTCACCACTTCGCGTGTCTTGACGGCGTCTATGTCATGCTCTCTCATAGCAACTGGGACAGCATTCACAATCCGAATATTCCGTTGTTCAAAGTCATCGAGCTCTTTCTGCCAACTCCACAATCATTCGTCAATCCACAACAGGCGGACATAAGATTGGAAACAGGTTGGAGGATCTCCAGCTCGGATGGTGTGAGAGTCAACCCCATACAATACACTGCCAAGGGTGAATATTGCCTTTATAATGTTAGTTGTTACTTTATAAACATTAATATACCTACCTCATCGCAACATCAATAATCCGGTAATTCACATAGTCCTCGACCGTCTGGAAGTCGGTTTCATTTCTTGATTGGGCCTTTTCCATCCAGGCTTGCCACTCGCGGAGAACAGGGATCCCCCGAGTATAATCATATTCCAAAAAGCTTCTGAGAAAAGGGACCACAAGCCGTGTTATAGGTGATATTTCCTGTGCCTTTTCACCATTGCTCGCGAAGATCTCGCTTACTTCATTAAGAGTCTGGCGTGCCTAGATTGAACCAAAAATAAATCAGCATTGTTATTTCATCCTAAATGGGTCAAACAAGGTGTACCTCCTTAGGACTCATTGCCTCTGTTTTTTCTAAGAGTATCATTAGAATAATCCAACCATGATTGATCCCATAATTCAGCTTACCATCGAGGAAAAGAAACAAAGCAGTGAGCTTGGTCACCTATGCGAGGGGCTCTGGCTTAGACTCCGCGAATATCATGGCATTCCAGTCCCCCGTGATCGGATTACTACTGCCAAAGTTTTCTTTTGTTCCATCATTGACGATAGTTTCCCAGCTTTTGACAAATTGTGCTTTCGCCTCATCGCCTATCTCGTGATCTGTATGACGTCGGACAGGAAGTATTGTGAAACATCCATACTCTCTTACTTTCTCCGCAGAAATGGCCTCGGAGTAACGCCAGTCATTTCGGTGGTCAAGTATAGCACGGCTCATCTTCCTTCCTTGGACAGTGTAATCAGGGACAAACAGCACGAATCAAACAGCAGGAAGTCGGCTGCCCTATTATGATATATACTTGATAGAACTGAGCAATGACAAATATCAAAGTAGGTTGGCTCTAGTTGGCCAAAAGCAACTAAGAATCAACTACGGTAGGTGTGAACACCATTGCAAGGCCACCCCACTACCCAGTCATGTATGATGTGTCACAGAGTGTCTCCGTGGCCATTCTTAGGGCCAACATGAGGGGCCATATCTGCATGAGAGTGGGGAAGTATACGGAAAATGCAGCCATTCGTGGGCTCTATGTCGAAGTATCTGATCCTATCTATTACGTTATACGCGACAGCAAAACACAGAACCGACACTGGTTATTCATTGAAATCACTGTGAAAAGAAAGCTGATGTGAGTCAGTCAGAGATCTGCTCAGAATAGTGACGCCACATATAAGTGCTTGTTCGAAGCTCATGAGCCGGATAGACGAGTCCGTTGAAAGTGAACCAGGTCAAACCAGTGGTAAGGAACAATGATGAAAGGCAGCAATGCGAAATTGGAGTGATCCACGAAGTGGGAATCACGTTCCCAGCTTACGGTGTCGTCGATAAAAGATAGTGTCTCCGAGGATCATCATCATCTCTATATATCTGATTTCAACCATGCCACTCAACTACTGCTTTGTGTACCAGGTGAGTTTCCGGGAGCGCGCAACATATTACGAATTTTGCATGCAGTGTCACCCAAAAGCTTCCTTGGTCCTGCCATACTCGCTCGCTGATCAAAATGAGTGTTTACTCGAAATGGAGCCTTGCACCGGATGAAAGTAAACGTGGTGGCCAGCGCGCAAGTCAATACCGCCTAATAAGCTATATTTTCCGAAGAAAGCACTCCACGATCGACGCATTTCTGCTGTTGTGTCACCAAAACCTGTTCTTCTTTGAGCTATATGAATCTGTACACAGTCGGTCTTACGTCTTTTATTCCGTAATATACAGGCTCATGCGTTCTTGGCGAGCTCGCGGGTACCCATAGAGTACCCAAAAAGGCAATATGGCGAGGTCTGAGTAGATATAATACCGTTCATAATAGGGCGATAGAGATAAACGATCAGCTCGCACATAAATCACGTCATCTTATTAAAACCGTCTGTTCATGCATGTTATCAAAAGCGGATAGTTTATATGGTGCCGTTTCGCTCCGGCCAGACATATAAAAGCTCAAACCCCAGGCCCAGGCGTAAAATACCGTGAGTCTTCCTATTCTCGCACTTTCACTGACATGGATATTCACGCCTTGAGAACTAGAAACATGGAATACCGATATTCTTCCATAGTTGATCCGTCGACTATGAGACCGAAGGACTATGCAGCGGTATATCCGTCCGTGTCCATCAAAATCAGGATACAGAGGACTTGGGTTGCATCAGAGCCCGAGAGGACTGGAGGATATATGTTGCCCCTTTAGGGTTTTATAAGGGGAGCCTTGGCCCCAGATTCAACTTATTATCTGTGGCTTTCCCGGAGACTCCCCCAGAGCGACTGGAGATTCTAGCTTATTTAACCGAGTATATATTTCTCCATGATGATGCCGTTGAGACTGTTGATCAAGCCAAAGTTAGTTCATATATACGACCCCATTCACCTTACCTTCACGCATTGCCGAGTTGACCAACAACTTCTTCAGGGAGACAAACAGAATGATGAAGCGCGGGATGTGTTCCGAGAAGGAGCCAAAAGAAGGAATTCAAAACCAGAGGTGCCACCGGTAGGAAGCTCATGATGGGCAAGGTGACAGAAAAAATACTGGCAATCGATCCAGGACCTGGATCAGCTGCATTAGATTTGTGGGTAGAGTGGTTTGACAAAGGAGCCGGCCGCCGCAACCACAGCCAGTTCGACACCCTGGATGAATACCTTGAGTATCGCATTCTTGATGTAGGAAAAATGTTCGCCAAAGCACAGCCCTGAGTATTAAAGCCAGAAAAAAACTATTTCTGATGGCATTAGGTACCTGACAGGCGTTGCGACCTTCGCTATGGGCCTTAACATCCCGGAACATGAGCTTGAGCTTCGTTCACAGATTTGTCGGCCGGCCTGGGTCGTGATAGGGCTTACCAACGATCTCTTTTCGTTTGACAAGGAGTTAGAGGCGGCTAACGACATGGGTGCGAACCATGTGTGCAATGCGCTGTGGGTCATGATGCATGAACAGTCCATCAGCCAGGACGAAGCAAAGCAGCTGTGCCGACAGAAGATGGGGGAAAACGTCGCAGAGTACATCGAGGCTGCGCAGCAGACGAAGAACCGAGCCGATCTATCTCGGGACCTGCGCAGTTTTGTCGAAGCAGTCCAGTATGTCATGAGCGGCAACCTCGTGTGGACGCTCGACGCCCCCCGGTACAACCCTAACGTCACTTACAACGGCCGCCAGCTAGATTGGATGGCAAATGGAAGTCCAGGTAATAGAGTTCTGGCCTAAAATGGTCCTATTATGGTTCCAAGGTCTGCTAAATCGGACCGCGAATCCAAAAGGTTCGATTCTGTTGTGATATGTTGGTAAAGAGCTCGGTATTTGTTTCCAACACCCACTGATTCCTGATTCTCAAGGCATCAACTGCTGAATCAACACGAAGCCCATTTATTTTGCTATCAGAATTATGTAGAAATACACATCTTAAGTACTGTGCAAGGGCCTTATTGGCTATTCTAGTATTAGTGCATACTGCATCTCTTGGAACCGATATAATATGAGGCTGGTGCAGATCGGGAATCAAGCGGCCCCGGCGGTATTAATTCCTGCAATGTCTATACGAAGAACCAAGTTGATTTTCAATCAACTTGATCTTCTCATTGTATGTATAGCCCCAGTCATTCCCTCTGGTACTAATAACTTTCAATCTTTCCTTTGAACTACAACAGGTTATGAGCCCGGGAGCAAACTCTCGGGTGCAGTCTCTACTCATCTAAGAATCAATTTAACCCTCTTGATTAAATATCCACCCCAACTACAAAATCTCCACCAAGCCCCAGGTCCTACAATCATCAAGCACACAATCCAAACAGATGTCATTCAAATCTCATAAATTATGTTATGTTAAAAAGTCAATACCAGGAAAGAGCCGAATCCGATGTGCAAAGGACCAGACGAAAGACAAGTAGAGACAAGCATAAGTCATTAAACCAATACTCATCTATCCATCCTTACCCAATTCAAGCCACACACCTCAAACCTGAATCTCACTCTGCTGGCTAATAACCTTCTTAACATGAATGTAACTCTGCTGATGCGGCGGCGGCGAGGAAGCAGACGAAGGCCCAGCCGAGTAATCCCGACTACCACGCGAACTTCCAGCCCAGGCATTGGTTAAAACAGTACGCGAGTGCGACGGAACAGAGAGATCGTCCAGCAAAGTCGCATCAGATTCGTGCCTGGCAGACTGACGACGGAACAGAGAGAATGGGAACTTATCACAGAAGGTCTTCTTGGCTGGTTCGTGGGTACTGCATGTACTATGGGCGGAAGTCAGATGGGATGGCTGCGCCCCACCCTTTTCGAGGTCGTTGTAGGTAGCGCGTGTTGAATTGAATACACCCATATGCTGTTGGTGTTCACGTTGATGCTGATGCATGTTCCTGCTCTTAGGTCTGGAGAAGAAAGACCTCGCCTTGGAGCTAATCGTCTCGACGAGGGTTGTAGATGTAGAGACATGGCCATTGGTATGGGGGTGGAGCGGGGTGGCGTTTGAATCTGCCGGCGCGGTGATACTGGGGAAACAATATCCCAACCCTAGATACCAGCAGGTAGTGCGATACATGCGGGCAGCGTCACGGCCGAAGCCGAAGAAGATGAAGATCATGAAGCCCGATGCGACGGGGGTCCAGCGGTCGAAGAAGACGACGCCGTAGGTGGCGACTTTGTTGATTGTGGACCAGTTTCCATTGTGGATTCTATTCCAGGAGTAGGGGTGCCAGGGGAAGGAGAGGTGGATGTCTGCGTAGACGACGTAGGCTTGCAGTGGGAGGATGCAGATTAACATTGAGAGGGCTAGGAAGAAGAGGCGAAGGAAGCGCGATTTACTGAGGTTGCTGCTGGAGGCGCGGACGATGCTTGCGAAGTCGCTGCGGTATTTGTGGATGCGCAAGAGGACCAGACCTAGTTTTTGGTTGTGGTTAGTTGGGATGAATTGGAGGCGTGGGAAGTGTAGATCGGATTATTGGGGTGCTTACAGCAGTAGTACGCTGCGGCGAGGCAGATTACCGGTGGCCAGATGAATGCCAGTACGAGGCTGACCCAGCTCTCGTCAAAGTCATTTACACATCCTGAGATGGAGTATAGCAAGTATCGACTCTTCTGCCAGACGATGTGGGTGATCATTGCAATGACTGGGACCACCACGCAGAACAACATGTCCATGAATCGATTGCGCCAGCGTTGGCCCTTGCTTGGGACCAACGTCGCCCGATCAGTGTCCAGGACAATTGCTAGAGAACGGAAGATGCACATCAGGGATCCTGGGACACCGACATAGCCGGCAACCATGAACTTGAGTTCGATATCGCAGAGGCCGGCACCATCCCACCAGGAGTCCACGTCGTCGTTTGGCCAAGTCAAGGCATTGATGATGTTAAAAAGGTTGAGCAGAATTGACCAGGATACCAGACTTGTTGCAGGGAAATTGCGGTTCTTTGCATGTAGAAGCAGCGGCGGGATGCCGAGAGTGATAGAGAAGAATGACAGAATTGGCAGGCCCACGGCCAATGGATGGCGCTTAGTAGGATCCATATCGGTCGATATAGAAGGAAAATAGCCTTTTAACACTTCGAACCTCATAAATAAGCTCGAATTCCTAGCGATTGATCAAGGAAAAGAAACGGAAAGGAAAGAGGAAGATGGACGAGTTCAACCCATCCTCGAAGCCGAACTATATCTAGCTGGAGGTAAAAGAGATTCTGTGTCTAAATTAGAGCCGAATAGGGAGAATCAGAATCAGGAGAGTTGATTCAGTGTGAAGATGAAGGTCAAGACATGAGGGTGACCTGAAGAATGTATGGGTTGCAAGGCAAAAGACACATTTTCGAGACCCATTTGCGACATAAAGAAGAACATAACCATTGAAAGGCTATTCGGTTCAATAAACAAGGCATCACAGCTGAATAAAGAAAGTTGATATGTTGATGCCAATGAGATGGGGGACCAGTCCGCATTTGGGACTCAATAGAGCCGGGGCTCTATTCGCATTCCCCCCGGGGCCATCCGTGACATTCCCTGCCTCGTGAGAGGGCGGATCGACGTGGACAGTTCATTTGGTCCATCGGTATCTGAAGTCTAGCCCGTGAAGTAGAACTCAGAATCTGAAGGAGGTGGAAGCTGGAAGGTTGGTAGTTGGTCCAGACTTGCGACCTCGACTGCATACAATACCCGCCAAGTCAACGTACCATTTCTGAGCCCTCCATATCACAAATACACGAAAAGGGCTAGAATTTAGAATTCAAGTCTATCTAGTGACGGAAAATATTATCACATCATCCATATTCATAGTACTATTATTTAGCCAAAGCCCGTCATCGAGATGCCTATGCCAATTGTAAGGATGGGATGTCGCGCTCCAGGATTGCTCATTCGCATTTTCACACTCATGAGGCTCCGGCTTAGCTTTTGTGAGAAGAATACATAGACAGACCCTCAGGCGCCCGGGGAGCTCAAACTCACCCTCGACTAGCTGCATGGTTATGATCACCAGCTTCCAGATACTGCATGCTCTGGATGGGATCAAATCTCAGCTGGTAATTTGGGCTCATTGGAATCTTATTGCCGGAACGTAGCCTCCAGAGTGCTTGTCATGGTAAAGGCCTGTGTACGTAGTTACCATGAGCCGAAATGTCAGGACTGAGATATCTTTCATCGTGTTTCCGAAAGGAGGGGAGGAGGTCCAAGGCGCCGACGCTTCTCTCCAACAATAAAAAGCAGTTTGAAACTCTTCAACCCAAGGAACCATCAAAGTACGCGTTCGACAGTAAGTAACCTGTAAGAACGACTGCAGGGTGTTTGTCCAAAAAGCTGCAATAAGATTGATTGGAGATAATCGCTCTAACCATACACAAAGACGGTGGATCTAGATCGTTGAGGACAAAAGAGAACCATAAAGGCTCAGATGGGGCGCTTTGTCTGATATCGCATTCAACAGCTTTTCCTGGCTAGGATAAGAGTGCCAAATGCCGAGAGACGCAGACTCTACCAAGTTGCAGGGAGTTCTAGGTCAAAAAAGGCGCTCAGGCCATTCAATCAAGTGTGGATCTTAGATATAGAATCTTATCGGTCGTCTGCATTTTCATGGAATATAGTATCATCCTGAGAGCTGTTTGGAGGCCGAGAAATGGCAACTGGACTGACCATCTTCGGGGCGGTAGATTTCGTGACGAAAGCAACAAGACAGAGGTACGCCCAAATAGAAGTTCTCTTTCGAAGCCTTGCGAGATGCAAAACTCCACGAGTATATTGAATGCATATGATGAATCCGGTCGGACAGCAACCCAGTTGTGTTAATAGTCATAAGCGAGAATCTAGCGAACACTATTTTGGGAGACATATTCATGTTAAAGACCTTTTCTATCCCTCCGGAGCATCCACGGGGAGTAGAATGTGGCTTTCTTGCTGCCACTCAGATCAACCGCCCTTGGGTGGCAAAGATAGTTCATGTGATTTTGAAGTCTCTCGATAGGTAGATGCTGCTTGACTCCAGGATCTGAAACGTGAATCTGTCAGGCAGATACCGTCACCGGGGTGCCACTCTCTTTCGCTTTGCGATTCCGAGTCTGGGGTGAGGATAACTATGGGCGCCTTCCATTCTCAAAATTACTTTAGAAGACGTCATCAGAAGTCAGATGAGTACGACACAAACAGGAGAAGTATAGGACCCTATACCCCAGGGGCTGGAAGCACTATTCAACTTAAAGATTAAGCCCAACCTTGGATGGCCTATAATAAGCACTGTGGTGCCTGTACCAGCGAGATCTCGTCCACAGCTATATACAGTAATTAGCTTCCCGGATTTTTTTTAACAAACACTTTGAGGTAAAGATACCGTCAGGAACTAGTGCTCGAGTCGTTGGCAAAGAAAGGTTCACTTATTCCACATGGTAGACTATACGCGAGTAAATGTAGTGGATTTTGTGAGCTTTTAAGACCTCTATTCTTCACCCTGTTCCGTTTACTGAGCGTATACAGTAACTAAGCCCTATAGGAACCTTGGAACCTTGGAACGATTCTGCTAGTTAGGTACGTATTTTAGCCCCCATGAAGCAGCCGGTCTCGGGGTTTATTCACTCCGCTTGGCGGCTTGGCAGAAGAAACTACTTCAGTAGATGTTCCGTTAACCGGCCCTCTAGAAACCTTGGCAATTTATATGAATCCAATCTCCGAGATTAGTTGTAATTGGGAATGGACCGAGACTGGATTTGGTTGCCTTACTGCCTTAGCATGCGCCATTACCGGATGTGAGCCGAATAATGACGCGGGGAGTGTGGAGACTGTGAATATCATCATAGAAGTTGACGCTTCTATGTAACGTAACGTTCGTGGACTTTATCGACTTGTAAGCAGGGATTTATCGTATTGCGTTATGAATGCGTACATCAAAAGCATCACATTAATTATAAAGCAGGCTAACACAAAGAACCGGGCACAACAGATCTCCGATCACCGATCTACGAACCGGTTTGCATCACACCTGGCCTCGGCTGGGGAAAAAGCAATTCTACTCCAAGAAATGCACCTTTCACCTTCATTCCCTGTCAATCAATCCAAATGCCATGGCTGACCCCCCGTCCCCCTTAAACCGCCGCTTATCGCAAGCTGAATGGCAGCGTCGAAACTCGACATTATCAGACTCACTCTCCGAAGCCCGTAACTCCATCCGTTCATCAACCGACGGCCTCTTTCTACCGCGCGTAACCGAAGAACAGCCCCTAGAGGAATCCCATTGGCATTCAGCGCCCCTGGGACTCGCCCTGCTGCCAGCGATCGCGGGCATCTTCTTCCAAAATGGCAGTTCCTTCGTGACCGATGTGACCTTGCTGGTGTTGGCTGCGATCTTCCTCAACTGGTCTGTGAGGTTGCCTTGGTATTCCACCTTGCCCCGCATAACGTCACAAAGTTCACAGAGACTAACACCAACAGGGATTGGTATCGCTCAACCCAAGCAATCCGCAAAGAAAGTGGACTTTCCGATCCAGCCACATTCGAGGATGAAGCCGAGGCCAAATCCCCAGATAATCCAGAACAGTCGCACCAGCACCACCACCAAACATCAGCAGCCGCAGCAAGCAAAGAACTCCAAATCCACGAACTCGCCGCCCTAGCTTCCTGCTTCATCTTCCCAATAATAGGAACCTGGCTCCTACACGGCATCCGCTCAAGCCTCTCCCGCCCCTCCGAAGGCCTAGTATCAAACTACAACCTAACAATCTTCCTCCTAGCCTCCGAAGTCCGCCCAGTCGCCCACCTCCTAAGACTAGTCCAATCCCGCACAATCCACCTGCAGAGAATAGTCTCGGACGCAGAATCAGATCCCCGCGATACAGTAGACCAAAACACAATCCAAGATGTAACAAAACGTCTCGAAGAGCTGGAAGCGCATATTGCCGCGACGGTAGCCGCGCGTCTCCAATCGCAGAATCAATCCCAACATGCTGGGGCTGGAATCGGAGCTGGAAACCTCTCTCTCAAACAACAACAAGACCACCCCGATTCCCCATCCCTGCTCACCCAAGCAATAGCCGAAACCCGTCGCTCAATCCAACCAGATATCGACGCTCTGAATCGCGCTGTGCGCCGGTATGAAAAGCGCACGGCGCTGTCAACCCTGCAGACCGATCAGCGGTTACTCCAGCTCGAAACGAAGGCGCGGGATGCGGTTTCGTTGGCTGCTGCTGCGCAGAGAGCGAGTGCGTCGCGACGCACTGGGTATGCCGTTATTCTTGTTGATTGGGTTTGTGCCTGTGTTGTGATTCCTGCACAGGTTTTCTTGTCTGTTGTTGCTTTGCCTGGTCGGGTTGTTTCTGGGTGTTTGGATAGTGTGCGGCGCATCTTTATGCCAAGAAAGTCTGGTTCGAGGAGAGAGCGGTCGAAGGGGAAGGGTGGGGTTGTTGGGGCAGGGGTTGGGGCGCAAGCTGGCTTGCATCGGCAGGTTGCTGTTGGTGTGCAGAGGAGGGTTGGGGGAAGGTTAATGGTTCTGGGGCTGGGGAGGTGGATTGAGTCGGACTTTCGTTGTTTCTGGTGTCTGGGTTTGGGGTTTGGGATGGGATGGGATGGGATGGGATGGATGGCGTTTGTATATCTCGGGAACTACTTGGAACAGATCTTTCGAAGATAAGATGTGTATTAAATGGGAAATTTGAATGTTTTATTGAATCGACTCGATCTAGAATCAGTCTTTGTTTGGAGGGAGACATGAAGGAAATGGCATTATACAACGTTGTACAGAGACATTATGCAATCAAACACAACTGGGGCAAAAGTCAAGTCTATTGCACAGGTGAAATACAGTCCTGTTCACAGATAAGTTTGAAGGACGCAGAGAAAGGGACCATTCAAGGGTGGTTAGAGATCAGCGTCCACCCGATGGACCTCGATCATCAACTCCAATCATCTTCAAAAAGGGTTCAATAATTGCTCGTCTGCGCTCCTCGGATGCACGGCGTTCTTTCTCTTTAGATGGCATCGAAGCAGTAGCAGAAATAAGCACACGTGCAAAGATGGATGATAGGGCAGTCTCCACAGCCTGTCTGCGCACTGCGGAGGGTTTTGTGGCTACCGGGTCGGTGGTGGTAGTAGTGGATGTGCTGGTGGAGCGGTTCTTACGGCGGAATGTGCCGCCAGATATAAATGCAGCAGCAGAAGCTGGTGTGGGAGACTGTAGTTCCGCTGGTTCGGATTGTTTATCCGCTGATTCATTAGACGACTCCTGCGTCTTTCCATGCTTTGAGGAAGACGAGGATGGTCTTGGTGCGGTCGATGGCACTGGGGCAACCTCATTGGCGATACGAGCAAGCATGAAGGTGACAAATGTGAATGAGACGCTGTGTGCTGGTGAGTACGAGAGGTTCTCGAGTACCCAAGCCTGGGTTTCTTCCCAGTTCAGAGGCGGTGCTCTCGATTTCTCGCGTGCGATCATTTGTTGCTCCATGTCTTGCCATACTGATGCGGTGACGATGCCATCTCTAAGTGAATTAAGGAAGGTGAGAAGGGTCTCGGAGAGGATCTCCAAACGGTGGAGAGATGGGACCTCGGGTGCAAAGACTGATGTAAGAGACCCGTTGGTGTCAAGGGCTTCATAGACTAAGACCAGCTGAGCAGCGCGATCCTGCGGGTCCTTGAGGGTCCACGTATCTGGCTGGAATGGCCATGACGCTCCAGAGGGCTCTCTTGTCCATGGTGCTTTATGCTCCTCGGATTCACCATTGGTCATACTCCATTCTGCCACGGCCCGTTCTGTCAACTCAGATATTGCTTCTGTCAATCGGAACAGCTCTCGGGGTGCTGATAAGCGAACTTCGGGGGATCTGTCCGCGCAGGATGGATGAGGGACGTCTGATTTGGCCAAAGTGCGAGCACCCTCTTCTGGCATACAGGTTAATTCATCCACAGAGAAACCGAAGCTGGTAGGCAGCCAGTTCCCAAACACAGAAATGAAATGATCACGGCCACTATCCACGTGGAGAACTAGAATCTCTTCTAGTTTGACCTTCCTGATATTGAGCAGCCTGACGTGTTCGATGTCATGGACGCGGGCTGTGATATCAACATTTGCCACTTCACCTGGGTGGAGGGTATGGTTTCCAGTTGAAGACGCAATTGTTTCACCATCGTGGCTCGTGCTTTCTGCTGATCTCGTGACATGGAGGTCAAGCCACTTAGGTTTTTCGGTGTCGGAATGCCGCTCTGCGAACGAAAATGTCGCCGAGGTACCGCTAGTATTGGCAATAGTCAGGGATCGATGAACTGGCAGATGGAAGGCGACATCCCCGAGATCGACAGCATTTGGATCTTTGTCCCCAAGTTTCTCGTTGCCATATCTGTCCACCACAACAGTGAGACCCGGTCGCGCCTCGTTCTCGGCCTTGTCCAATTCGCGGGCTACCTCTTGGTGAACCTTGGATTTGAGTTGGGGATTCACCGCATCAAAGGTCAAGGTGAAGATGGCATCTATAGGCTTGTGATCCGATGAGAGAATACCTTGGTGGGACAGGTAGTGGTCTAAATGGATTGCATCTTGCGATTCGTGTGATGCAATCGAGGCTGCATCCTCTTCCCCTTGGTCTTCGTCTGAGATGTACTCCTCTCCGCTCTGTGCACCGTCGGTATCAGGGTCATATTCAAACAAGACATTGTCGTCGGCGACGGCCTTATCCAATCCGCGCGCCTTCATCTCCTCATCCCTCTTTCGAGCCTCCGCGGCTTCCTGGTCCAGCTGCTCGTGTTTTAGCTTATCCCGGCGGGTACGGTATAGAATACGATCACACCAGCTGGGCCCCCGATACTTTTCGCTAGAGTCGAACGTGGCCACACTTCCAACGTCGTACTTGTACGTCGGTAGGAATGAAATATGGCCTTCCCGCCATCCCTTGTGGAAGGCTGTCCCCTTCCTTTGTTGGAGTCGCAGTTGATCATGCGGAAGCAAAGATGAGATTGTAGTTTGAAGAGATGCCGGGTCGTTATGAGGATCGATTTCTTCATCTGTGACGGGATTCGTGTCCTCTTCTTCGAGGGAAGACGGATGCGGCTTATCTTCATCAGAATCGGTATCTGACTCTTGATCATGGGCTGCGGCCTGTTTCTCCTGGCGCGCTTTATCGTACGCGTTGACAGTGTGACGGGCAAGTACCTGACGCACATCTTCACCAGGAATGTCATCGAGGCGATAATTAAGGTCACCAAACCAGAAAATGAAATCTTCATCTCCGATGGCATCGCCCGACTCATCAGATGCACCAATATCGGACTCGATTGGCTCAAACCTAGTGCGTTGCACAATCTGAGAAGAATCCCAATTGCGACGCTCTACGCTGTTTTTGTCGGATCCTGCTGCCAGGTGGGAATTCACAAAGACCAAACGAGTCGTCTCGCCCAGGACCAGACGTGTTGCCACGGCACCCTTGTTGCCCATATAACCCATTAGCCCTGTGCCAACAGAGGTACTGCTGACAGACGATATGCTCTCGTCAATTGCAGGCGATGCATAGATTAGAAGTAACAGTCCGATCAGCTGGATCTCGGAGACGAGCTTATATCCCCGGGGCAATGCTTTGTGTACCGCTTCCTTCCATCGCTTAGATGGTGCCGGGTCCGCGTAGGGTCGCAGTGCTTCTGCTGGAGAGGAGACATCCACAATTTCTTGCAGGCCTAGAGCGTAGAGATCGATCTCTTCGGGGCTGCAGTGAAAGGGAGCAGTCTTGCCCGCGGTTGAGTCTGGGCTTTCTTCCGGGGCAAATTTCGGACCAGAGAGCTTCTCGGACACCCCTTCGCCTTGGACGAACCACTTTCCAATGTCTTTCTCGGTGCCGGAGATCGAGGCAACGTTCCAGGTGCCAATTTTGACTCGGATGTTGCGTTTGCGCGTGTACTCCGCTCTTCTTTTTCTCACAGCGCGCGAAAGTGATAGGACATCGAGGCCTGGGTGCTCACGTTCTTCCGCGGATTCCGACTCGTGGCCCCCGTGCTCTGACGCTGTCGGCGACGTCTGCTGTGAGTTTGCGCTCATGTTGGAAATGAAATGTAATTGTATCAAAGAAAGGCGAAAGCCCTTTGCCTGTCTTGAAAGTGTTCAGGTGTCTATTGGCATATATATGGTGGCCTGGTATATGCATAGGCAGCTGGTGTATCGGCTTGCGGTTCTTGTCGGCGGGGGGTGGGAGATAAGCTAGGAGGTTCGTCACAAGTGGAGAACAAGGTGACTAGGATTATTTTCAGGTGAATCGAGAGAAATGAGAGGGTCCGTTGTAGGTTGCGACAATAATCCGATCATCGCATCGTAGAGGTCAAGCTTCCCGGGACTCGTGGCGTCATCACATGAGGGCGCGAGAACGTGACTGAAAGATACCGTAAGAGAATAAGCCGATTGCCAACTAAGAAGCAAAGTGAACAGGGCTCCGAGTCGCAATTGAAGAGGAAGAAGAAGAAGAGAAGAAGAAGGGCGGGGAGCTCAGGCCGGAAAGGCGGAGCTCAGGACGATGACGATATGCCGCTCACCTCAGCGCCTTCCACACAACACACTATCTGCACGCAGAAATGACCTCTCGCAAACCCCGACGCCAGAACAATCACACTACAACCGACTATGAATCAGACACTGCATATTATTCAGACATGCCGCAAGCTGCACCCCCGCTCCGTTCCAACGAGGAACTGAACCTCTCAGTGATCCGCCGCCACAAGCCCTCCGTGACCTCGATCCTCTCTCTCGCCCCCTACGCAGTCGTCTACATCTTCAGCCCAACAACAAAACAATGGGAAAAGAACGGGGTTGAAGGGACCCTATCCGTCTGCCAGCAAACCCAGGGCGACCTAGGTGAAGAACGCTACAGCGCGTTCGTGCTCAATCGGCGCGGACTCAACAACTTCGATCTCCCTCTAACGGACGGCGAGAATGTCGAAATCACCGACGAATACGTGATTCTCAAGGCAGACGAGAGCGCTGAAGGCGAAACGGGTCAGAATGGCATTGCCGACCCCTTGCACCCACAGAACATCGCCAGCAACAACCAGAGCGGCAACAACGTCCGCATCTACGGTCTCTGGATCTATTCCGAGCCGCCACCGAACTCGACCGCCGAGGCTCGCACCATCAATGCTCAGATGATCCGCGAGTGCGCTACCCACGCTGGGCACAGTATGAAGCTCGCCCGTGAGCGTCTCGAGGCTATGCGCCAGTCCAATATGCATGTTGCTGCCGCTGCAGCTTCGACACAGCCCGCCCCGCTGGAAGAGATTCAGGCCAGTGTGCCCATGGGACGACAGGTCTCGTTGAAGGAATTGTTTGGTCAACAGCGCGCTCAGGATGATGGATGGAGTGTACGTGCGCATCATATTAGCCCCGAGCAGCTGGCTCAGCAGGCTGGTTATCAGAATATGATGCATCAGCATATGTCTGCTCCTCATCCGCCGCCACAGCCGCAGGCAGATGTGCTAGGTGATCTATTTCGGAGGGCGGGATTGGCGTATCAAGGGAATGGACAGGGATAGTAAGGCGTCGGTGCTTCGTTTCTTTGCTCTTGATCATTTGTTTACAGGGCGCTTGTCTTATGTGATTCCTACTGCATTTGGATGACTTTATCATCTATCATCTGGGAATGGGCGTAGCTATTCTTGAGATACCCGTTACGATCTGCACCAACGGCGAAATTCATGGGCTTCAGTTCTCCTCACTTGTTAAGTAAAAGTGTAATATGTTCATGTTTTTACCATCTAGGTAGATTCCCAGCCCACAATCTGTTTAATCATCCCCGCGGTCTTACGGGCCATGATATCACTATGTTCTACAAAGGTCAGCGCAGCAAGACAAAATGAGAATCAAGACTCACTCAGACAAAAAGCATGTGGCAATTCCTCCTCACAAACCAACATAGTCGGTCCCTGCCCTTCCTTACGCCCCCGCACCGCAATAATCTCGTCCCTCGTCTGATCAGCGACCCAGTGATCCTTCCCTCCAAAATAGAAGAATAACTTGGTAAGAGGCTCGCGCGCCGTTGCGGCACCCCAGACATCATCACTCCACTTATCAGAAGTGATAGTGCGCATTTCATCGGCAGCCATATGTCTATATAGACAGTTAGATCATAGGGAGAACACCATATCATAGAACAATAGAACATACAGAGCCTGCCTCACCCCACCAGAACTTCTCAAAAAGGAACAAGTCGCATCCAACGCATGAGACGGGGGATCATTCATAACAAACCGCACCAAAGCCCGCAAAATAGATGCCGGAAGCAGCAACGTGAGCAGTCTCGCGAAGAACCCGACTACGGCGGCGAATCGAGGGATTATTGATAATAAAGTCTAGACAGAGTCACAGGATTAGCTTTAGGGCAAGACCGTTCAAGAGCAAACCAAACCATACCGTCAATTTTCGACCAGATGCTGAAGCCGCAATATCAATAACAGTAGGGAAAAGCATCGCGCCACCGATAATATCAAAGTCGCGTCCCTCTCCGGGACTAGCCTCGCGATGGCGGCGTAGGATTTCCATGGCGATATATGCACCAACAGAATGTCCAATTAGAATGACTTTCTGTTTGCTTCCGGTGGTTATGGGACTGATTCGCATAAGGGTAGTAAGTTTCCCTTGCACGAAGCGGATCTGATCTTCAAGGTCTAAATCCAAATCCCAATCGTCGGACTGGGTCTTTTGGACTTTTCTTTCATGGCTAGACGGGTTCTTTTCATCATTGAGCTCGAAACCGCCGAGAGAACAGCCATAGATTTGGAATGAGGGTTGATCATTTCCATTGTCATTCTCATTCTCTGGGGTTAGATATTTTGATAGGAGGGATAGGAATGGGTGGTAGTAGCCGATCAGACCCGGATTGCCGGAGATGAAGAAGATTGTTGTTTCAGGGGGTTGGATTGGATTGGACCCTGTGCTTGTGCTTGTGCAAGTGAGGAATGTGTTTGGTGTTATTTCTGGTGACATCTTCAGGGGGTCTTTAGGTGTAAATGGGGTTGTCGGTTAATGGTATGCGTAGGGATTAGACGGTCTCTGGCTTGGTAAGTAGGACCCAGATAGAGTAGAGATCAGCTGGGGCACTACAGTAAATGGCATGTGGCTTGATCATTGGTTATTGATCATTGATTAGATTGGGGATCATTGTATTGGGATTGGGCCCGTTTGAATTGGAGAACTTGAGGTCGAGCTCGGCTAGTGGATCCAAGTCCCCCATGTGAACTCTACTGTCGGATATAGTGGCGCCTCAACAGACAACAAAGACCTGGAAAAGGCGCTAACAAAGAGGTCCAGGGTGTTTATGTCCTGTCGAGGAGAGCTCTATGTGGGATGTTTGCCGTCGTTTTTCTGTACTGCCTGACAAGGGCACAGATCTTCCAAGCCTTACGATAAGACACACTACAGAGCACCAAGGCAAGAAAGCAAGAAGATTGCAAGATATATTGCCACACGATCCGACTCCCCTGGTCGCGATCTAAACCCAACCTGGAAAAAAAGAACAAGAATAGGCACCACAAGGCCAGTTCCAATGCATTGCCCAGAGACGCCATGTACATCAACCATTCAATCCCGCTAATTCGGGACACGAGAGAAAGAAAAACCACATAGGGCCAGGCGAAGAAAAAAGAAGAGCAGCCTTCAAAGAAGAAAGAAGAAAGATATCGCCTGAAGAACAGCAAGCAAGAGATAACAATGGGGGACACCCGCAATCGTATCTGGTATCTAGGTCATGGGAAGCAAAACATAAAAGGCTGCTTAATCCAGGGAAACAAAAACGCCCGGCTTATGGGTAATAATTATCCACCTTCGTTACCTTGACTCTCGTCGCGGTTCTCCTTTTCATTATTCTCACTTGTGATGTCTGTGCAATTGTCGCCTTCTGACGTGGGGGATTTGGTTGTTGATCCGATGTTGATGGCGATTCTCTTGGGCGCAGCGGTGACACTGCTTAGAATCGGTGTGGCTCCTTTGTCTGCCATTGATCCGATAGACATGGTCTTTTTCCGATTCAATATCCCGGCGCCGGAATTGCTGCTTGTGGAGCTTCTGCGTTTGGGTCCGGCGGAGAGTTTGATCAGCTCGTCGTCGTCTTCTTCTTCGCGTCTGCGCTTTTCTGCTAGTCGTTCCGGCGGAGGAGTTGGAGCGGTTGGTGATGCCGTTGGGGCTTCTGTGGGGTCCTCGGTTTGGCCAGTCGCTGGCTGGGCCTTGGCAGATTGCTCTGGACTTTCTGGCTTGGTGTCCATGATATCTTCGTCGTCATCGTCCGGGTAGTCAACCAACGACTTGACAGCCGGAGAGGCAGATCCGTTTGGAGGCCCAACAGTGATGGTTCCACGGTCCTGAGACCACTGTTTCTTGTCAGTTTCTCTGTTGTCTGTATAATCCAAAATTCACGTACCTCGTCTTCGTCATCGGACGTGTTGAAGTATTCGTCTTCAGCAGCGTCCATTTCCCTTACGCCTTGCCAACGTTGGCCATTCATGGGGATTCGTCGAGGGGTGCTGCCTTCGTCCTGACTGAACAGTGCCGAGTCAGCCTCGGCGCCGTATCCCTGCCCCTGCATTTGGTCATATCGAAGGATTAAGCTTTGGAAGGTATCAACATAGGTGATGCTTTCGAGCTTTTCACGATATTTCTCGACCACGTGAGTGATGAATGGCTTGATGTTCTCCTTCTTGATAAACTCGAAGAGCTCAAGACAGGCCGAGTTGAGTAGGTTGTCGCGTGGCATTGTTTCATAGACGATGTCAAGGATCAATCCAAATGTGTTGTTGTGTGTCATGAGAGCTTGGTAGAAGGTATCTTGAAGACTGATCAGGGTGCGGAAGAATTTGAGGGCGACTTTATCAAGATCAGTACAATGATCCAAGCTTAGATGGAAAGGGCTACTCACTCAGCTTCAGGTGTTTCTGGGGTACCCGCAGGAGCTGCGCAACCTGAGGCGCGAGGGATTCGCTCTGGATGGAGTTGCGTGTGCGGAAGAGGTGCTGGCGAACGAAAAAAGTGAGGATATCAACAAGATGCGAGTAGAGGGTGACCTCTTGGAATGTCAAATCATTAACTAGAGACGTTAACAACTTCTGCAGGCCCAAGAATTCTGGATACTTACGGGTTGCGCGATTCGCAAGCTGTTTGAGGGGTTGGAACAGCCGCTTTGAAGACTCGTCGAAATGCTGTTGGACAAATGCATCGGAAAGAAGATTGTTAGTGCGGACTTTGAAGTAATCGGGACCAGCCCGACCAAGCGGGTCCTGCAAGGGAATCTGGGGATCAAGGAGAACCTTGATGGCATCGGCAAGTTGGTTTTTGACACCAAGGTCGGTCTCCACGTGGAGAAGATCAATCAAGGTGTCTGTGAGAGGGGTCTTCTTCTCGTTTACAGCCTTCAGCATGTACCCTCTCATCATGACCGGATCGTGATCCAGCAGAGCGACGAGAATATCAATGCCTGTCGTGCGCATGGCCGGATTCATGTGCTTCACGGCAAAGGCAATCACAGCGAACAGGCCGTGACTGATGAAATTGGCGAACAATTGGGCTCGCGATTGGACCTGCAGATTCTTCGCAATGCCAGCGCACTGGTGAAGGAACTGCACAGCATCATCCTTGCGCCTCGCGTCCATGTTCCTCGGGTCGAAGACAGAGAATAGTTCTCGCAGGAATGGGCCATTCCCTTGTATGTGATTCACAATTTCCATCTGATTGAAGAAGATCAACGAGTTGAGCACTGAGAATGTCGGGTCATCCAGAATCCGAGCCAGCACCACGTCTTTAAGGTACTGCAGCCTCCAAGTATTGCGAATCTTACGGCGAATGATCGGGTCCTTGATCGGAACGACTTCCTTGTATCGTGACTTGTCGGCGAGATATTGTCGGTGGTTTGCCTTGTGCGTGGGGAATTCGGGGTCATATTCCAGAGCTCCCACCACCCCCAGGATGACATTATCGGCGACAACGGTTTCGATGATGCTATTGTCGTTCAGAAGGATAAGAGACTTCATAATGTTGCAAAGACGGTGCAGGTCGATTAAGCTTTCCAGATCCTCGGCCATTTCTACTAGCGGGACCAACTTCGAAATGTATTCATCGCGAATGATGTATTTAGATAGCGCATCTCGGCCGTTTTGCGTCATACTCGCGGCTCGGACAATCTGTTCGATCTCGGGGAGGTGGCCAAGTTCGGGGGCTGGTAATACGATGGATTGATAGCTTTCGAGGTCGTCGGACAAGGCATCATCTAAAGAAAGTTAGGGACTATGAGGCTCGAATGCGCAACACACTTACCAGTAGGCAAACTGAGAAGATGTTGTTGGACGGCATTGACAAAGTCCCTTTGCGTGGTCAGCTCGCGCGCGCCAAGGTTTAACCCAGCTTTCTCACCAGATAACAGCACAACCCTCTGCCTCCTGGAAACTCAGCGCCATATCCGTGCCATTCGGCTCTGTCCATACGATCAAAGTCTCTGGTCGCGTGATACAGACGTCAGCAAAAACACATTCTTCCGGGCGGAGATGGCGGG